TACACTCACAAACACCTACAGCTCCATGTGTGCACGCCCACGGCTCAAATGTTCCAGGCAAAAAAAAAGAAAAAAAAGTACAAATCCACCACCAAACATTCTTGTTTTCATTTTGCTAAAAGAAGATTAAGCAGTGAGGATTGTTAAGTTGAAAGAAGGGCTCATTTCACTTTCTGTGTAGATCAGATGTTTTCATCACCCTTCATCGAACACTACGACACAGAGTATGAAACGCAGAAAGGGGACAACATTTTTTAAAGGAAGTTATATTAAACTACCTCAATATTTAAGTGACAGGATCCTGGAAATCATATTAAATTAAAGAGAGAAAAGGAGATGTGCTCTAAAAGGTTGTTGTTTAATGCAGCCTCTGTCACTGCACATTTAGGTCAGGACCTTGTAGTTACAGAAACAGCAAATACAGAGTACTTTTTTCACTGAAGGAAATTATCATGAAACACAAGAAATAGACAAGGTGTAAATAATAGAGTTAATGATTGAATTGCAGAAATTTGACTGCCGCAATTTTTTTGTAAAAGCTGCGAATAACCTAAAGAACAATGTCTCCTATGAGGGAGATATTCAGCTGTTTATACTATATGTTAAGGTGCACATGTTCACACTTATGTAAGCAGCATGACAACTCTTTAGTAATGTCACACAAAGGGTGACTGCTTTTTCTTTGGATATCAGCACAGATTTGACTCTCTGACTGGCACGAGTGTTGAGGATAATCACAGGGTGTTGATATTCAGTAAAACGGCACAACGCTCGGTGTGATACTGTTTTTACACAACAGGTTCACAACTGTTATATGTCAGGAAATGGTAAGAAGAAGCAGCAACAGATTTACATTTAAAAATCTGTTTGGCTCACTCTGAAAACTTGACCAGAACTGGACCATTGCCAAACAAGACTTTATCATTTTCCGGCACGCTTTGATAATAAGCACAGAAATTCCCCACACATGATCACTATGCAGAAATTAGGAAGTAACTGTAATAAATACAGTCTTACAATGCACGAGTTTTAACATGCAGATTTAAATGACATGTTGATATTAAGCTTGTGTGCCCTAACATCAGGATTTACCCTTTAATGCCTGAAACCACAAATTATGGCCAGAAAATTAAAAAATTTTGGAGCTGAAATGTTTATTTTACTTACGACTGAAAACCAAAAAAATTAAAATGTCCTTAAAATTTAACAAGTAGATTTATTTATCTTTTTGTAATATATTAGATGTTTTTGGACACTGATAAACCACAAAAGGACATTTTTATCATTTATCGGACTGTATTCAGGTGTTATTATAGTAGTTTGTTGATCATATTGATTTGATAGAAGTATCATTAAAGTATGTGTCAAATATGATACAAAAGGAATTAAAAGGTTACTCTGTTTATTTTTGGCTTTAACTATATCAACATGACCTATTCCCTGTGTACAAAGTTAAGTCCAAACAGACATCAACATGTGATTTGCAAGAACTTGCTCTCCCTTCCTTATTTAGTAGCTCATATACTTTTAAACTTTTAACTTAAAACAATAACATGCTGCATGGTTGGATTTCAGTGTACATTTCTAAACTTTAACAAATGAATTCTTTTGGTACTCTCACCCCTAACTCCCTCTTGATGTATTTTGTGCTCTCTCTTCCCTCATTACCCCTCACCTCTCCTCCCTCTCTCCGCTCATTTCCTCCCTCCTACTCTCCCAGTGAGCAGGTGCACAGTGACAGAGTCACTGGGCTGTGAAATCTCAGCTCCTTGAGATGTTTCATCCAAACACACACACGCACACACACTCATGCACAAATGTGAAAATACACTGCATTGTTTTTCTCCTATTTTTCTTCAAATCCACTCTTTCTCCACCTCTCCTTTTTCTCATCTCCTTTTCTCTCTCTGTGTAACGATTGAGTCAACAATGTGTGATGTTCATGAATTTAACCGGGGAGAGAAAAAAAGACAGATCAAAACTACAGCAGGATGAGAAATCTATGCAGTTTCATTAAGCAACAACAGAAGTCTTTGTTAGTGTGTAGGAGTTGTTTGTGTGTATATGTGTGTGTGTGTAGGTGTGTGTGAGAGCACCCTATGTGTGTCTCTCCTGCATACGTCTCTGACCACATCTACATCTTTAATGTCTCAGACTGAATAATGTATGAACCCCTGGACTGGAAGACACACACATACTCTAACACAAAACCCCTCTTTTACTGCCTTTATCTGCACAAATGTCATAAAGCTGAAGCTAACATTAAGCCATAAAAGACTGGTTGTGTTGGCGCGGTCCTGCACACCTCCCTTTTCACAACTATCCTGTCATGACTGAAATGAGCTCATGATGTGTTGATGTGAGAGAACAAAGCATGCTCCACAGAGGACGAGTTCTTCCTGCTCCTTTAACCACAACCACTCCTGACTTTAACCAGTTTCCTGTTTACACGCTGCATCTTACCTGTCGAACCGAAAGCGAAACTCACATCCGACTCGCATCTTTTAACCTGCCTCCGTCTGAGCGTGTTCGTGCTCCTGACCATTTGGCATCTCAACAGCATGCGGCACCATTATGCAGCCTCAAGTGTCCCTCTGATGCAGTCATGCATGCTACATAGTCCTAATCTGACTTTCAAATATCTGCACACTGTCATGTTTTCCACATGCCCACACTCAAACACACACCCTCACTCACATCTTTTTGCCTCATCTGAAGAATAAGAGGAAGAAGAAAAAGAAGATGTAAGGCTGAGGTCAAGAATGGTTTCTACAGCAACCGTGCATAATGATGCTGTGACCCTGCTGACCATCAGGCCTCTGTGAGGAGCACGGTCATAATATTAATTTTTCAAACTTACTCTCCATAATCCTGAGGCTGTTTTCCCAACACTTTCTCCTCTTTTTTCCCTCCAGTTCTGTCTCAAAGTCTGAAATTTGACTTGCATCACTGCAGCCCCATTTACAATATACATTCATATATACATAGAAAACATACATATATAAACAAACATATTGTCTTACATATTCAGAGGTCTCCAGCAGGATTCAGCTCCATATAATTGACTGTTGTACAAACCAGTGCTTTAGTATGACCTTATTCAAAATGGGACCTTGTATTTCAGATTTGATGGTCATAGTTTAAGGTGGTTAGCCAGCCTTAGTATGTTTCTGCTGTAGGTTGATTCCCATGACCGACAATCTTTGAGCGGTTTGGACTTTAAAGTAGTGGATGTGGACACTTGTACGAACAGCACGGTTGACAAATCTTCAAGAAAAACTGAAATGAGTTGAGAAAAATCTCAATCAGCACAGATGCCCCAGAATGAGGAGTTCACTGAATGATTCAATGAGTAAGAAAACATCATGAATCATATTCTGTAGTCTTTGTGGTCACCAGATTTCAATGTAATTAGGTATCTTCTGGGAATATTAACCCGACATTAGGGCTGGGCGATATGGGGAAAAGTTTATCACAATATATATTTCTTTGTATATCAGTTGATATCGATATATATGACCAATATAAAAAATGAAATTTAACAGTGCTTATTGGTAGCATGTATTTTGCAACACAATAAGCTACTGCATCTGTGAGGTCTTTGTGTCTCTTTGAGGTTTTGTCATGAGGTGTTGCGCTAAAGAAAACGGACTGAATGGTCGGCTGTTTCTGCCACACAGGCGCCATGGGCTCCTTCCTCCGCTCGGGTTTTGTAACCTTTTGCATTGCGCGTGCTCTGCCGCGTGGCACTGCTTCAGGTGGTGAAAAAGATTTGAGATATTCCCCGACTTTGTGAGAACATGTACTCGACATAATTTGCAGTACACATTACTCTGCTTCATGTCCAACCTCAAAAAAACCTGAAGTACCTCCACAACACCAACGTTTTCATGCCAGTGTTGTGGAGGATGTCGTCATCTGTTGAGTCGCCATCTGCCTTTTAGCTGGGGGTAGCACTCATTTTATTTTCTTCTCACCAACAGTGCTGTCGCTTCACGTGTTAAAGTGTTGTAGTTGCATGTAGCTGCAGCCTGCAACTACGCAGTTGTTTGCTACTTAGTTCTAATTCAGTACATTATTGGTTCAGCGCTGCGTGGACCTGGAGCAACACCCCTTTACATTGGCTATTCATATAGTCTACCAAATATGGCAAAATGCCGACTATCGAAAAGGATATTGACTATGTTTATATTGATATTGAGGGGGATTAATTTTCGATACATCGTTATCATTTTATCGCCCAGCCCTACCTGACATGTTTACCTGTCAGCACTGTAATCTACAGAAGAAGACGTTATTGTGACGCATTGAAACTATTCTCTACTTTTGTTTTTGTTTCTCATTGTTATGTCATATCTGGGTTAGCTGAATATCCCCACCTTTAAACACTATGAGGAAGAGTTTGTGGGGATTTACACATCCCTGAAAAGACCGGTATCAGCTCCACCTACCTCTAAAAATAATCCTAAATGAGCAGTGTGGGCGCCTCTATGATGGAAACATGTTTTCTTATTGCATAAATTCACAGCCCTGAGCTCAACTATTCGAGGCATGTGTCTGAAAGTCCCTCATGAGTCACTACTGTCCAGACAAGCCTGGGCGCCTTCAATGTAACTAATCAGAATCATGTGATAAACTAAACACACCAAAAACACACCACTATGATCCATGTACAGAGGCAGATACAGTCATTTACAACAGGTACACCCTTGTCTTTCCTCTGGATTTGCATAGTCAAAGTGATAGTCCGCAATAAATTTTAGTGGCCTTAGAGATTCTTCTGTTTTTGTTTGTTTTTCACGCCATAAAAGTTCCCACCCTTTATTTTTTTGCAATCACCCTCTCAACCTTTACGCCCCATAATCCTGTCATAAAATGTAATCAGTTTGGGACACTTTTGCGGTGGCCTGATAAAAGCCAAGTGAGCCATCATGACTCCTCTTTCCTCCGCACTCAGAAGAGACAGAGAGAGAGAGAGAGAGAAAAAAAGGGTGAAGGGAGGGGAGGGCAGGGGAGTGGAGGGGGGCGCAGGGTGCCATGCGCGCTCCTGCTTTCTGCTGCGCACAGGCAGCCGGCGCAGAGAGAGAGAGAGAGAGAGAGAGAGAGAGCTGCTATTACTAGTGACAGAAAACGGCAGCGAGCACACACAGTCTGAAGAGCGTTTGATGCGACAAGGTAGGAGAGAGAAACACCTCCGCGTGATTTCACTCCGCGCTCTTCATCAGCATTACCAGTTGGCCTCACTCCCCCCCGTTCATCTGCCTGTTTTTTTCACGCGATTGTGGTGTCTGATGTCCTCTCTCCGCGCTGTTGTTGTGTGTCCGCAGATGCTGAGCGTCGCCTTGCTGTGTGTGTGCGCCGTCGCCTTTGGACACGTCTCCGCTCGCTCAGACAGCGGCAATTTTTTGGATGATAAGTGGCTCGCCGGGAGATGGGATAAATTCAGAGATGTAAGTCCCGTTATTAGCTTCCTTTCCCCCTGATCATAATCTCATTTACACCCCCCCTATCCACCCCTCCTTTTTTTCTCCCCCCGTAGCCAACCTCTCATTGGCTTCTGATCATGCGCTCCTCGTTTTCTTCTTGTGTCCATGCGACGCGTCACGGGGCCCGTTGTGGTGTGGAGTCTGTCACACATCGTCTCTAGATCATCTGAGACACAAAATGATCACTGGCCTGTGAGTGTGTGTTTTAGCGATAGCATAGAAGGAGCTACAAGGCCCCTTATGAAACGTTCTCGCGCACATCACCACGATGGCAACACTGAGTGCCCGAAAATAGGGCCTAATTATTGTGGCAGGTGTGAGGAGGGAGACATCCCGCAGTGATGTACAGTTTGTTCAGAGGAATAAACACTTCCCACGGTGTTGTTAAGAAACCAGTGTAGTGGTATGTTGTATAGCCATTGTGTGTATGTTGCTGGTATTGTGTTTTAAATGGAGAAGGGCCTACAATATAAAGACATATATAACAGTATTTTACAGTATTTGCAAACAACCTTTGGGAATTTGAAGGAATATTCCAGCTTTGTGGTTGTGATTGTGTTGGCACTGATCTGGCTGCTGCTCCTGCTGCTGCTTGTGGGTCTCGGTGTTGGCCTGACTGTCATGTTTGCATAAGGTGAGTAACGCTTCCGGCTCCTGTGGTGTTCATGGCACACAGTCTACCCACCATGCTGCCCAGTAGGCTTACAAGGCTTAAGCCCTGAATGTCTACAGCAATGTCTTGAAACGATTGTTGATCACGCGTGGCAGAGTCTAAACCCCGATCAGAGCTGAACGGGGAGGACCCAATGTGTTCGACTGAATAGCTGGAGCCGAGCACTGATAGACAGGAGAGTCCCTGCTGCTCCTGGATGTAGTGTTTCTGATCTGCAGCAGTAACAAAACAACAGAACAGTCAGAACTGAGTTAATCAGTGTCCAAACTGGTAACTTAACCTGGTAGATTAACCAGCTCCTTCAACGAAAGTTCGCCAGAATTGATCATCCATTAGCTGCCATTGTAAAATGTTGGTTATTTGAAGCTTCTTTTAATGCAAGAGTTTGTGAGAGATGACTCTTTTGGCTATAGACGACCAGTTTGGACGAACTCTTTTGGATTTGGTACAATCCAATTAAGGTGGTTTCTAACATCTGTTTTATAGTCCAGGTAGAGAAGAACCATGTAGAAGCCTTTTCATTCTTGGCTGTACAGTTTGTACAAGCCATATGAATGTGTAGACACATGCTAAAATATGGGAGCCAGTCACGGAAATGATATGACATGAGAGGTGTGACAAGACTTATCAATGGATGTGAAATAAGACGGCAGAATACAGATGGGATGAGGTTCTTTCAAATCATTCAAAACTGCTTTGTTTGCCATTACTTTGCCATGTTGTTGCATTTGGCTTTCAACATTTTTTTAAAGGAGACCAAATAAAACATGGACATAAGTCTTGTTGATGTCACTCAGTGGTTTCTGGAGCAGAGTTTAAAAGCCAATACGGCGGTCGCAATGTAGGAAATGCTGACACAGTCTAACTTTAGTTCAGAGGCAAAGAGGTGGAGTTGAGGCGAACCTTTATTCCACTCACAAACACTTCAGTGTGCTTGCCACTCAAGTAACCATGTCCCTAATAATTCAAATTTCATAACCTTAGTATTCCCCAAACTAACGAGTAATTTTAAAGAATCAGTCCTACTACAGTGTGCAGAGAAATATGAAATATTCAGACCAAAACTGTTCTTTGAACCAGGCTGTAAACAAGTCTGTTTTTACTCTGAAGGCAGAGTGTGTGTGTGTGTGTGTGTGTGTGTGTGTGTGTGTGTGTGTGTGTGTGTGTGTGTGTGTGTGTGTGTGTGTGTGTGTGTGTGTGTGTGTGTGTGTGTGTGTGTGTGTGTGTGGCTTCTGTTGCTTTTGCAGTCAGCCCCAACTAAACACTCCCAGTAACTGTAAATTTTACCACTTGGCATGGGCTTCATTTCTCAAAACTACAAGTTGTCTCTTGGTTGGTTACCACTCGTAGAGCACAGCAGATATTTCTAGAGCAGCAAACCAGAGTTCAATCTGGCCCCACCCTGGATCTCCAACCATCTTGGAACAGCCAGCAGTAAAATTACTGTTTTCATGCTTTTTACTGTCACGTGACCTGATTCATTAAAAGATCATCCTTTCTAAATGATATATAAGAATTTTTTTGGTATTAGTCTGACCCTGTGCGTTGTACAAGAAACTGATTTTACAGATCTATCCAGCAAAAACTGTCACTATTGTCTAAAAATCATGTAGACGATAGTGATGATATTAGTGCTAAAAGTAATTAAAGGAACTCTAGTATAAAACGGTCTTTTAAAATAAAAGCCAGATAGGGATGGAGAATATCTCGCCTCAAGCACAACCTGATGTAAATTGATCCACACAGACAGAAGTGATTTGTACACACCTGCACTCATTTACATATACACACAAGCAGATAAACAAATGTGTAAGCACCAGAGGCAGCAAGAGTCTGTACAGAGTCTGTAAGAAAGTGCAAGTATTCAACAAAAAGCTGCTCAGTATCGGTAACCAGATTTAAAGTCATCTGTTTCTTCTTCTGATAAACATACAGAGATAAGTTCAATTCATGGTCATTTGAAAGAATTGGCATTGCTGATGTCTGGGCCAATTAAAGAAAGTTACAAATAATATCTGCAGACACTGCAGGCCACTTCATCAGCATGACTATACATACTCTTAAATTATAACATTATATCCACATCCTTAATGATAACATTTGGAACCTGAACAGTAACCAGCTAGTGTTTAATCTAAATCATGTTATGATGTGTAGAAAAATGCTGTTTGGAGTTACCTCTAAATATCAGTCATGTTCTGAAATCTAAAGCTCAACCAATTTTCTTTTTCAGGATTGATTAAAAATCCGTCTAAAACATGTGACTTGCTCAGAAAACAATGTTTAGTAGATCGTAGTGTGTGTGTGGAATAATGGTTGTTAGTATGAAGTTGTATTCAATCAAACACGCTCAAAAAAACAACAACAATAAATGTGTATTCAGCCAGATTGTTCTGTAATTATCAGCATTGGCAGTTGAAAAATCAATATCAGTCAACCACTATTATTCACACGTAGAAATGACAACCGTGGCTTTTTGCTCAGAAGCTTCACTTTGACCCTGCTTTAAGACTGACAATTCACCAGAGAAAACACACTTTGCTCTCAGACCAGCTTTAATGAGTCTTTTTATCGCTGTGCTACACACAGGCTACTGGATTTTTTTTTTCAGGGAATTAGAGCCCTCAGTAGTATTTGATGTCAAAGAGCAGAAAGCAGGGGCAACTGTCACTTGGAGCCAATAGCAGGTTTTTTTATACTTCATTTTTGAAGTATACTTGCCGTGCCTTCCTGTCACATTCACTGTAAGCTGTAAGAGCCCGCCTGCTCAGGTGGTCACATGTGATACACCTCAGGTTCAACCACTGAGCAGGATTTGGATTATGCAAATTAGGTGTCAGGACCAAATGCCAGAGAGAGGATGTGATTGGCCGTGTACTGTGCTATTTCAGATCAACCACAGTGTATATCTGTGATAGAAGGACAGACAGATTGAAGAGAGTTGCATAGTGGTCAGTGAATTGAAGTCTCTGTGTGCATTCATGTCTGAGATTTAACCTTGAGGCTCAGGCATCAGAGGTAGAGCATTGTGTGCTCTATAAGCGCATGCATTTCATTTCCTGTTTCAGCGCTGTGCCCCAGATTGTCTTTGTGTTACGATGTGTTCTTGCATTCTTTCCCATATAGGAACCTATGGGTTGTACGTTGTGCAAAGGTATTCAGCAATAGCTAGGAGAAGCAGTGGCATAACATAGCCATGCTTACTTATCTGTTTGCATGTCTCTTGCCAACTAGACTTGTACCATAGTTATGTTTCCACAGGTACAAAAGGAGTGAACCTCATTGGCTAGGATACAAAGATTTCACACAAAAATGGAAAAAATAAGCCTGTTGTTTGGAGCAGTTGGCTGACATGAGGATGAGTATGAGGCAGTGCATCTGCACTCTCATTAAAAATTTGTTTGTCCATCTTAATAAATTCAATATGCAGATGCACTGTGGTAGGAATTGATGTCAGTCTGATTAATAAAATCACGCCTAATGGCACACATGCGTCCCGATACAGTCACAGAGGCACGCTCTGCATATAGAGGTTACAGCTGGAGGGGCCAGTTTGCCGTAAAGGGTGGCAACAGTTTGTCATGAGACATGCTGCATTGCCTGTGAACATGTAGGCCAAAGATATAACACATCTGAGATGTTTACAGGATATTTACAGTAAAAGGGGAGGGGGTACACACGTGAGAGGGAAAACAGCAAAATCAAAAGGAAATATCAGCCTACCCAAAAAAATGTGCTAACAAGGAACTGTAGCTGCTTTATCTCCATCTTTGTTTTGTTTTTTTAATTTTTCCAGATTTATTGAAATTGATTAGCTGATTTGAAACAGTTTTTTTGACCCAACTCTCTTGCTTACTATCAGGTGCTAAATCGCCAACCATCGTGAGTTTAAGTTAATATCGTTTTGCTAAAATTACAAGACAGTAACTCACATCAACTAAATCCAAAACTTACTCCTGATGACAGATTGTGTTCATGAAAACTCAAAAATATATCCTTCATCCCGGTGGTCATACAGAAGTTTGGGTGTTTATTTATTGTCGCTGTTTCTTCATATGTGTACTAAGCACAGTGTAAGGAACTTAAATGTTTATTTTAGCTGCAGAAAACCACTCGCTAAGTTCCTGTTTTTATCTCATGTGCTCATACCCTGTGCCAAGCTCTGCTTCTCTGATTTAAATTGCACATTTTTTGCATGTATTGTCGCTATCATCTTTCAGCAAGACCCATAAGTGGGTCTCCTATTAAGTGCACCAGATAGGATCTTGGCTGCTGATTTACTGTACGTCCTGTAAGGATGGCTTGAGGGGCTCTTAGTGCTGCACTGGTGCCATCTCAAGTTTTTTCTTTCTTTCTTTGCCTTTTTTTTTCTGACATTCTGCTGAGTTTACCGGGCTTTGGCTTGCTTTCATCACTGCCTTATAGTATGGTAAAGAGAAAAGATTGAGAAGAAGAAAAACAGACAGTGAATGATATATAGAGGAGTGAGTCTTGTTTAAAGCAGCCTCATTAGAGCAGATTACACCTTTCATGCCGCTCGCCACACCTCTTAGTGTAATATTTCTGTGCATGTCCATCCTGTGTTGCTCAGGCTGTGGAGGGTGAATGATGTAGAGGGGAGGTTCAGAGCTGGAGGCCTTTTCCACTTCAAAGAACCCGGTGTGTATTTGTGTGCGTGCATGCAGGCGACAAGCTTGAGCAAGACAAGCGGAGCCAGTACAATGAAAACATGCACATATTTCTGCCACTGAAAGTTAGAAGGAAAGGCAGCAAGGAGACAGGAAAGGGAAGGAAAGGTGAGAAAAGTGCTCGTCAGAGGGGACAGCTAAAATGTGCTTTCAAAAGGATTCAAAATTATCGCGCACACGAGCATAACAGGATGCAAATGACCAGAGCTGATTCATGCACGGTTGTGTTTGTGCTTGTGGAGAAAAAAAAAAAACATACCCAACTAGAGGAACAGAGGTTGAATGAGATGGAGAGATAAATTGAAAAGGAGCTATTTTTGGTGCTCTCACAGGAGGTCATGAGACCTATTGTCGATTTCTTTGGGTTTCTGTTTTTTTGGACGTGGGAGGCTGGTTGCATGCATGTGCAGTGGAGTGCATTCACCCGGTTATTTGATGTTTTGTAGTGCTGACAGATTCTGGCACTCTCGTCAGAGTTGTGGTGATAAGTTTGTTTGTTTATAGAACTCTGTGTGTGTATTAGGAAGTGCATATGTGTGTGTGTTCCAGTGGTCTTTTTGTGTGTGTGCATTTGCGTGCATCCGTTGATTCCATTATGAAATCACACCGCAAGCACTTTTGTGGTCTTGACTGGTCTGGAGGGCCCAGCCCCATAATGCAATGTTCTCATTATTCAGACTCCTCGGTCTGCAATGCTGGAGGGGGGACCATCCTGAACAGGCACAAAAGTACCTCTCTGTTTGGTTTTATCTCTGTAAAGCTTTCAGCATGTGAACCTCCGTCATATTAAGATGTTAAAGTACAGAACAAAATGAAAGGAACGTGGGGCTTTGGAGTGGGAGGGAGAAAGTGAGTGAGGATATAATGAGTAATAGAGAGTCTGTCAAGAAGATGCAGAGGGTCAGAAAGAGCAAGCGGTAACAGAAATTAATTAGAGCTGAGAAAAAGGCAGGAGCTGACCCTGGTCACCTTATAGAGGGCAGGAAGTGATAGAAAGGGAGAGTCCTTCACAGTTTAACTCATACTTCAGAAAATAATGAGGATGTTGTGGCAAAAGATGTTTGTATGCATGGATTTGGATATGCGGCACGTACATGCGCTGAACATGTACACAGTACTGATTGTGCTTAAAGATGGACAATGCATCTCAATATCATGTTAATGTACAGAGGGGACGTCAAAATAACCCCTGTGTGAGAGGAGCAGTGCTGGTGATGATGTCTAAAGTCAGGGTCAGCTTGTGAATCTGCAGTATTGGCATATCATCCCTTTCGCTGACCTTAACGTACATTTTAACTTGTTGATGGCGTGGATCAGCATGATGAGACCGAATTCTGAAAATAAAAACCATGTTTGAAACAGTGGCAGCAGCAGGTCTTTCAAGGAGGGGAAGCTCATTTTTTTTCCTGGCCCACATCATAAATGTGTTTGTTTATTTATATGTTGATCTGTGACCCTGTCGTGACAGAAGAGAGACACCAAACACAACGCGAGTTGTTTTAACAAAGAGAAAGTCGCTGGGGATCGGAAAAGTCTCCGGATCAGTTCAGAACAACAGAATGAAAAACTTTGAAAATGCTCCGGTGGATGTTTATACTCTAAGAAAAAAGAGGTTTCATCCATGGGTGTGACAAAGCCCAGCATTTATCCAAGGACTGTCCAGTTTCACGCAGTCGTGTAGGTTACCTGTGATAAGTAGCTGATTCTGAACAAAATATGAACATGTTCTAGAACATATTTACTCAATGAAATGTACACACAGCAGTACATATTTCACAACTTTTTTTTTTTCTTTACATTTTAGGGGAAACTGAGCTTCCCTTTGCAGTCTCAGAGCAATCGCCACTGATTTGAAGTAGCTGTAATCTGTCAACATGGAGGAAGTGGGCCTCTGTGATCTTCACTGTTACCAGTCAGCAGAGGTGGACTGCAGAAGTTTTGGCCTCCACTTTTGGGAACGCTTATGCCATCCATTTTTAAAACAGTTTACTCCTAAAGGTGAATAGATAACCTGCTGTCATGCTGAATATTACCGGAACAGAGTTGGTCCAGGCTGGTTGAGATGTAGGTTGAGCAGATCACACGCAACCTCCCAATGAAGCAGCATGAGAACTGCTCCAAGTGTAATAATTTATCAGTTGAACCAATGTGCTACATATCAGGCAGAACTTATCAAGCACAGCAAGTACCCTAGAGTTACACAACAACTGAAACCAACAAAAACATGTCAATATCGTCATGAAATACAGGTCAGTGATCCTGTGATTGTGCGTATTTCCGCTGTGGTTGACAAAACAGGAAATGTTCTAAAAACTGCAACTTGAAACTGTAACTTGAGTTGCAAATGAGTTCCTCGTGAAATCATAAGGCAACTGTTTGAAGAAAAATTGATGCCCTAATTGGATAGTTAGCTAAAAGAACATTTGACAAACAAAAAATGATAGTAATATATATATATTAAGTCCTGCACTGCTCTGTACTGGCAGGTTGGTTAAGACTCGAGTCTCTATAAAGCCACACCGTGGGATTTCTGCTGATAAGACCCTTTTCTGCCTCCTATCTCTCCCCGTTTCCTATTTGTTCTGGCACCTACCATGAAAACACAGAAAGACAATGAGAGTAAGAGAGAGAGAGAGAAAAGTGCATGCAACCGTTATCCAGCTGGTCAATAAATGAAGTACATCAACTTAATTTTAGAGATGGATTTCTTTGAGCAGATACCAATAACTTGTAATATCTTGCTCCTGATGGTGGATACCTGTAAATTACGTTTTTGCATTTGAAATTGTGGAGTTTAAGCACCCCATAGGAAGAAAAAGACTGTGAATATGTGTGGAGAAAAGGGCAGAGTAGGGCTGGGCGATATAGCCTCAAATCAATATCACAATATATTGAGCAGTTCACCTCAATAACGATAAATGAAAAAATAAATACTCCACAAGCTTCTCACCCCCTCCCACATAAACTTTGTCTACTCCAGCCGCTCCAACTTTTTAACCGTCCTCCACCTCCTCACCTGTCTTTCACTCTTTGTTACTGACTGGATGGGGTGGAGTCACGTCTCTGACGTAGGACAGCGTCTTAAAGGGACATGAGACCGTAGCCTACCTACACACATCCAAAACCAACTTTTATTTATTTACTTTTTTGACACCGAATATATTGACATGGGCAAAGTGACTTTGGTTATTGTCATAAATTTCAGTATCAGTAAATTTTCGTTTTATCACCCAGCCCTAGCGCAAATATTTAAGTGTAGGGATATGACTGCTAGAGAGTGGGGACTCAGGATAATGTTCGAGATTCACCATAAGACAATGAAATGAAACATCCATACTGATTGATCCATTGTAACTGTCTAGTCAGTATGCTGTGGCTGCACTTGTTCTTCTTTGTATGTAATAGCAGCTTGCCTGTCCCACCACCTACTGTGTTGGAATGAATTGGCTTCTTAATAAGTAGGAAAGAATAGAAAAAACACACATTAATTACTACTAATACAATTGTTTCTATCAGCTCATAATCTAGCATCCCTTTATACACAGTGCACCTCAATTTAATTTTGTCTTTTACTTTGACTCAAATGTTTCATACTGTGTTTTGGGACAGTGATCATTACCCCTTACAAGTGTAATAAGTGTGTGTATGATGTGTGTGTGTGTGTCTTAGAAAGACTCAGTGTTGTGTCTGATGAAACACCATGAAAGAGAACAGATTTGACAAAGAGACAAGGTTATCATTGAGACAGGAAAAGAGGGAACACGGTGCAGTGTTGGGTATAAAAAGACAGACTGCAAATGAATCAGTGAAAAAGATCTCTGAGCACACAGAGCTCACCGTTTCTTAAGCTCCTTTTACGTTTGCATCACAGGCCAGCACCCTTGGGCGTGTCTCCCACTTGGCTTTCTATTAAAAGCCAACAAATCACTCACCTCTGTGCTCTCCTTATTTAGACTGTTCAAACACATTGCTAGGCAACAGATTGATCCATTTAGCCATAAAGGAAGTTTTTCTTTTTGAATTGCAGGAAATATAGTCTATTAATACATGATCAATTCAAGCATTTCTTTACTTGATAAGTGGTACTTCTCTCTTGTGTAAGGAATAGAAATATTCCTCTTTTCTCCTTGAGTGACAAGACTTAATAATCCAGATGCAGATTACTAACAATTAGTTTCCAGAAAGGCTTCTTTATGTACTTTATTCCTCCTTTGTGATGCTGCAGAGTTTACTGGACGCTCACAAACTCAATATTAAAGAAATGTTTTGGAACTTAAGTCTGACATTAAGTTCATCCTACCTAGCGTGTGTCTTTATGCAATTCCTGTTTTAAAGATATTTTTGAATAGTTATGAAATCCAGTTTATATTTTATTGCATATGAATAAAGCAGTAAAAGCTAAAGTTTGAACAGCTAATACTGTTCGCCTGGTCTGTTGTACCTCTGTTAAAACTCAATACATGAGTTAAAGATTTAATTTTATTTTAGACAAACATCTTATGTTAAGATACTGCAAGTCAAAATGAGAACCAGCTTACTGGTGAACATAGACGAACATGTCAATAGGACAAGAATATGTAATTTTTTTTAATGATACATTTAATTAATTTACAGGTGATTCCTGTCTTTCTTTATTTGGCTTGTGATATATTGAAATTTCATATTTTGCTGGACTTGTAAGGTTGCTGTGGCTGACATTTTGTCGATGAAGTCAATTCTAATTCTGCAATAAGATGAAAACCCTCCATTTTTAGAAGTGTGGAGGTAAAATAAGCATGGGTATAAACACACAAAAAGACACATGACATGGTTGCTTTGGTGCACATACAAGCATAACCCTGTGATAACATCCACATTGTCACTGCTGAGTAATTGCATGCCCCATTGTGGATGTCTCTGATCAGTTCATTTCAACATGCACAGAAAACCCTTATTAAACCAAATCCCTTCTTTTCTTTCTATCATGCTTTCTCCTAAAGGAAGTGGAGGTTTGTATGACTGCCTAATCTGTCATCTATTACCAACACTAGATGTCGTAATGATGTTGTATTCATGATTTTGTGTGTTGGTTTTTCTTGTTTCAGGAGCCAGGAACATGGACTCCATCCAAGCCCTTTGATCAAGGTGGGTGTGAGCAGGAGAGCCTTGAATGTTTGTGCTGTTGGCTTTGTGATAAAATACACATACAAAAAAAAAGACAGACAAGGATGTAGAAAATGATGCTGCTCTCAAAACTGAAGAAATCTAGTTTACAAATGAAGTGTCTTATTCATATAATGTGGTAATTTAAAAGATTAAAACCAGATTAGAAAAAACATGCAGGATAAAACTCTAAATAAAGACTTTAGGGAGAAAAATCATTAGAGGCAGACTGCATTAATGCATCTTTACCTTGTCCTCTGTCCATCTACACATCTGTACTTAAAGCTGTGTACTTCTAATCAGATCACCTCATGCTAATGCCAACAATGTAAACAGGGCCCACACAACATTACACCTAGCCGTAGGTAACTCAACATCACAGCTTCTGGTATCATAGCAGTTACATTCAGTGGTTCAACTATTCTGAAGCACTGTTTTTATTTGTCGAATTGTTTGCATCTTAAACCCAAAAGATGTTTTTGTTTTTTGATGGAACATATTGCAACCAATTGGTGTCAGCCCTTGTGAGTCATTGTGGATTATTAGATAACAAGATTAGGAGCCGTAAAGGAAGAGTGCTGACCACGAGGAGGAAACTTTTAATCGACAGGTCGTGGCATCGGCAGAGTTTACTGCAGGTTCATGCAGATAGGAGTCTGTTTTAAAGTGTGTTACTTAGAGGCTAGCCCAAAGTGTTTCCCTTCACTTTACGTAGCCTACAAAATCCTGTGACAGAGACGGCGGTAAACCCACACACACATCATGGCACGTAAGGACACGAACACATTCACTCTCACTGTATCCTCAAACACGCGCACACATGCACCCAAACACACAGACATGTCAATGAAACAATAGCATTAGACAGTGCGTTGGAGGATGGAGGCAGGATAATCTGGCAAAGCTGCTCACGGATTACAGTAAGGTTCTCTAAAGTAGAGGTCATTCACCAACTGTTCTCAGATCAGCAAACAGCCACCGACCCTGAGCACAGGACCCGCACTAAAGGCTGACGACCGGTCAGAAAGAGTCAGCATGTCACAACCGACAGAGATCAGAAACCTCCGATCCAAAATCAGCTCTCATCTTAAAAGCCAGAAACGATCCTCTTCTCTCAGATCTGATACCAGATCAGTTTGAAGCTCTCTGAGGAGGCTGACACATGGTGCATGATGATGACAGGCCAGAAGTAGCCTTTAAACCAGCTCCATCTGTTTTTAGCTGTAAGTGTACTTAGAGGTATTAAAGCTTGGAGTTCAGCGTGAGAGAGACAGTGCCAGTGACTGAAGAGACAGTGTGGAAGGATTTAACTCAAAAACACATTGAAACACACATATTTCTCACGATCCCTTTCCATTTTACTGACAGAGAATGTACTTTAGGGTTTGTAAACATCAAAATAAACAACACAGAACAGGAGGTTGTGTCTTGCATCCACTCCACATCACAAAATCATCATTGATTGTTCGTATCAACCTGAAACATAAAGACAGAGAGTCCATTAAAGCAGAAGTTCAACATTTCTGACCACACCACACCGCAGATCAGCTAACGTGTTAGCTTGCTACGTTTGAGGCAATGTACTTTATGCTACTAACATTGGCTAACCATTAGCTTGTTCACCTACCAATCGATTCCTGAAGGCAGAAGCTGTTACACAACAGCGCTTCACAAACTTACATCTTAACAACAAAATGAGGGTCTATATAATGATATCAAGTCATCTATATGGTAAAGCAATGGTGGGAATATAACAAACCTTGTTTTGCACGTCTCCTTGCTATGATGAGTGGGTGGTGCTTGGTTTCAAATGCCCAAACATTAACCAAATGTGTTGGGTAGTCCACAATGAACCAACAAAACTCTATAGAAATTACAACCCAACAGCTAATAACTATGTCCCCAACTCCATGAAAATAACCCAAATAAATTGGCCAACAGACTCAACCAGGTGGTTGGGTTGAAAAAAACAACCCAGCATTTTTTTTTGTGTGTGTAAGGAGTTAAAATGACAAATTAAAATACAACTGTAGGAAATTTTATCGGGAAAATTACCATGAGCATTTCTTTGAGTAGTGAGGATAAGTTTTTGTCCTGGATATATTAACAGTTTGATACATTATGAAATAATGAGCTAATTGTTTTTCTCCATTTTGTGTTTTAAGCCCTCGATCCAGCCAAAGACCCTTGTCTGAAGATCAAATGCAGCCGCCACAAAGTGTGTGTGGCCGAGGACTTCAAGACCGCCACCTGTGTCAGCCAGAGGAGAGTTAGGTAACCACCAACAACACTTGCCCTTTTTAAGCAGGCGTTAGTTTAAAGCTGTCGCTCAGTTACAAGTTTTTCATGTCAAAGCCAGAAATAAAACACAAAGTAAGCGGACTGGGAGGAAATGGAATTTCTTTTGTACTTTCTGTATCTTGTTTTTTTTTTTCTTTCCACTTATTCACCCAGTTACACTAGAGGAGGTTTTTCCTTTTTTTCTAGCTGGTCTACTTACCGCTTCCTCGGCTCTCTTGTGACTGTTGTGTGACATTACTTTTTAGTCCAGTTACCCCAGCACTGGCAGTGCCTTACAACGGACACGAAAGTCCTGCCAAATGATATGAATGGGCTTTGTGTGTGTATGTGTGTGTGTATGTGTGTGTCTGGGAGAGTGAAGACCGCCATACTGACCTCAATTCCCATTCTGACAGTAGCATCAACAGAATTTCTACAACAGAGAAAGATATCAGAAAATAATCACACATAAATCCTAATCCTCGTCTCATATTACGAGACAAAAAAAGAGAATACAGAGGAGATAAAAAATGCTGAACAAAAGTTTTTGACTTTTTCGCTCCACATTTCAGAAAGATTACAATAGACATTTTCTTTTTTTTTTCCTTTTTCTCTTTTTGTTCCTTTTGATTCTTTTGTTTTTTCATGTTATTGTAGTTTTTTTTGTTCTCTTTCTTATCCTTTAACACCACTTTTTTATCTGTATAGTCCTTTGTCATTTTTTACATTTTTGCACAATAATAAAAGCAGCCAAAAATGTTCAAATAGTAAAAAAAAAAAAAGGTTGTTATAAGAAATGTTTTCTTCAGATTTTGGTCCAACTTGTGATTGTGTTTGTAAAATGAGTCTTTGATTTTCCTCTTTAGTTTCAAAGATGCCAGTTTGTACCAGAATCCAGGGTCGAAGTGCAAACCCTGCCCTGTGGTTCACCCCTCTCCAGTTTGTGGCACAGACGGGCACAGCTACTCCACCAAGGTACCAGCACGCACACACATGCACACACACGGAAACACACACACACAATCACTCTAACCTAGATTAATAGACACATCTAAGCACCCAGCGGTTAGATTTCCCCCCTGATCAGACTCTCCTCATGATTTTACCTCTTTGTCATCCCTGTCTCTCCTGCTCAGTGTAAGTTGGACTACCAGGCGTGCATCACAGGAAAGAAGATTGCTGTGAAGTGTCCTGGCATGTGTCCTTGCCCCACCCAGCCTGAACCAAGCTCTGCAGAGAAGAAAGGTACACGGGTCTGCACACATGACTGCACACACTGCAAGCTGCAGAGGAAAACTGTAAATTCTGCTTAATTAAAAGGTCTGTCAGGGTGTCAAAGCCCTTGTTAAACCCCCCTACTGACAAACTAAAGCCCCTCTGATACTGGATTCCAGCAACTTTTCAGGGCTGCTTACTCTGACTTTCATTTTCACGAGGGATTAAGGGGCGATAAAGCATCCATTCATCATCATTAAGTGTTAATGTTATTGTTCCTCAGTGTGCAGTGAGTCTGACCTGAAGGAGGTGGTGAGTCGTCTGAGAGACTGGTTCAGAGTGCTGCACGAGAATGGCAACCACAAGAGAGTCAAAATCCAGAAGCCGGAGAAGAACAGTGAGTCACAGGGCATTAATAAATCACGAATACATTTCCGCACGCATTATTCAACTCATACCTTGCTGCTTCTAACTTCTCATATTTTTTCACTTTTTCCCCGCAGAGTTTGAGGTCGGGGCGTCACCCATCTGCAAGGACCCTCTGGGCTGGATGTTCTCCAGGTTGGACACAAACTTCGACCTGCAGCTTGACCAATCAGAGATCAAAAGCCTGTACTTGGACAGGAACGAGCCGTGCTCTGACGCATTCTTCAAATCCTGCGATACACACAATGACAAAGTCATAACCAGCTCTGAGTGGTGCACGTGCTTCCAGAGGTACACAGGTACGGTGCTCCTGTCATTGCATGCATAGATAGATATGTCTATTCTTGTTTAACAAAAGTAAAGCCAAGATAGGAGTTAAAATATTGTGCGATTGTTGCCGGAATCAGGCGGCCAAGATCTGCCGGTTAATGCTGCGTTCCAGTTACCGCGGAAGTCAGATGTCGGAGCTGGGAATGACGTTACACCCGAGTTGACGGCATTCCAGTCAACAAGTCAAAAAACCAAGATGGACGCCGACTATTAGCCGTTGTGAGCTGTTGTTTACAATTGTCAGGGGTTGTTAGTTGTTGTTAGCTATACCAGTTGTAAACAACGCACAAAACAGTATTTTACTGTACAAACACCATAGCACCATGTTCACACTTAGACATTAGGCAGTAAAACATAAACCACTTATTTAATTTCACAAAAATAAAACAGAAGTGCTAATAAATAATACATTTTGAGAGCTTTCACTGTCACTGTTTTCTGTTGATGCACTGTGCTGCCATCTTGAGTTATGACGTTGTTGTCAAGCCAGGGTTGGCGAGATGAATTTCTGACTCGAAGCTTGGAAATCCCGACTTCCTAGTACAACTGGAACGTAGTATGAGCCACAATACTGATGGTTTACCCCTTCTGCTAGCTTAAACACAATTTAACTCACCAGTAAAGAATCCATCATTTCTTTTCAAAGCAATCTATGGCTCATGCAGAGATATAGAGTTGTATGTGAAAGTACAAGCCTTTGCATGTTTCAATAATGGAAGCTTCAAGCTGTGAAGAACTTTGTTTGTCTTAATTTGTTGCTTTCTATAGACCAAGATTCCTCCCTCACCTCTCAGCTAATTTTCCTCTCCACATGTGTCAGTAACAGTTTCTTCAAAAGAAAAAAATCCTCCTGCTCTCTTGTGTGTAAATGAATCATGAATCTTTGCTGTGGAAAAGGTGAAAACGGGTGTTTCCTTCACCAAGCTGTAAATCACCTTTCTGTATCAACCCATTTGCGGTGTTTACAGACCTTAAAAAATTAAAGAAATTGTAAAACTTTTTTGCTAACGGTCGTGTTGGCTGTAGGAGATCATAAAGATGCCTCCCTTTTAATCTCAGGTTGTTTCATAAGTAGTTAAAACTTCCTCACAGGAGCTTTAATCTTTACTGCCTTTTGGCTTGTTAGCCGTTATGCAGTTTTTTACCAACTCTCTGATGGGCTTTGATGAGCACAGTTTTATCATAACAGATAAAAAAGATCGCTGATATGTAAAACAAGACCCAAGTGGTTAAAAAACAAAACTTTTCCCTTATTTATGAACCAACTCCTGCAGCTAGGAATAAAAGTCACCTTTTGCTGAATCTCGATGTCGTATTATTTGTGACAGAATACATATCTGAGCATTGAAAAATACAATCAGAAGCATCACAATACAGTGCAACACACTGTTGTTGTATAAGACCTAGGAGAAAAATGTTGCTTTTTTTTGGGGTTATAATGAAATTGCATTTGAAGATGAGACTGCTCCTTTGTTAAAGCAAAGACAGCAGGATAACAAACACCACAAAGAAAACAGAAAGTACACAAAAGAAGCAAAGTTCACAAAGAAAGATGCATTCCCTGAAGCAGACTTCTGTAACCACGGTCCCTTGTCTCTTCTTTTTAGACTCCCCTTGTAAAGCAGAGCTGTCTGGTATCAGCAGAAAGCAAGCAGGGAAGAAACTGCTTGGTGAGGCACGCGCACACGCACGCACACACACACACACACACACACACACGCACAAATACACATGCAAAAACAGTGTGTTTCCTTTGTTCACCGTGTGTGTCTGTGTGTTTTGGCTCATGTCTATAGGTCAGTATCTGCCATCCTGTGATGAGGAAGGTTACTACAGGTCACACCAGTGTCACAGCAGCAGTGGCCAATGCTGGTGTGTTGATCGCTATGGTAACGAGGTAGCTGGCTCACGCACACATGGACCTGCAAACTGTGGTAAGCAGAACTAGGAAGTAGATTATGAGGTTTTCTGCTTTTATAAGAGGAAAAAAAATTACTAATTTGTTGGAGGTATTAAAAAATTATTTTTGTTTTGCAAATTGTGTAATTATCTTTACTGCTTGCAATATATACTTTATATCTTAATTTAAAGCTACGATTAGCAGCTAATAAGCTTAATTTAGTCAAATTTCAGCCAAAAAAATCTGTCTGCCAACCAAACAACAAGCTCCAGTGCTTCAAAATGAAGTCAATGCTTCAGAGCAATAAACTGCAGTTCCTCCAGTGTCCACTTGGAGCTGGCTCCAAAAGCGAAGGAGACCCAATTATTGCCCATGCTACAGCAAAATGAAACCTGCTTACAGCCTGGTACAAAAATAAAAATCAGCTTTAGCTTGATTGGCTCATTTCTTTACAGTTACATACTGTACAGACCGACAGATTTGTATAACTCAAACATTTAATGATATTAAGTTTAACAGTTATGCATAAATTTGCTAAAGAACACCTGCCGCCATGGTTGCTATTGATTTAGTTCTTTTTGAAAAATCCTCTTATAGGGCGCTCACACCAAGCGCCAGTAAAATCATCTACTCGCTTAATTCGCTTGAATCTAGACGCTTGTATGAATAGTATTTACTCGCTTCATTCGGGCGTCAATGGTAATTTCAACGGTAATCCCTGCCAATTCAACCAGCGGGATCAAGTGATAGACAAAGGTCTTTTACAATTTACCAGGTAATCTGACCTCCTCACTCTTTTGCCTCCAGGCGAGCTCCTTTTTATTCGGTCTCGGTAATTGAAAGAAAAGGTATCATATAATTCAGACACTGTCCATTTTCATACGTCACCTTGCAACTCTCGCACTGATTAGTTATTGCGACTCAAATATCTGCTCAAGTTGAGACATTTGCAGCTCCCGCCAAATTTGCGTTATTCGCATCGCCGGAGTAGTAGGAGCGTCTAATCGCGTCTTTGCATTGACTTAACATGTAATTCATTCGTGCAAATGATTTTACTCGCACTTGGTGTGATCCTAAAGCCAAGCCATCCTGCTCTATGAATATGGAGGCTAACCAGTCTGTCCATATTTTTCATGCAGATATAATAATGGTGTTGATTTTCTTGGATCTTTATGTGTCTTCTTTTTTTAAAAACCTTTTCTGTTTTCTTTCTGCTTCCAGGTGTTATTTTGGAGTCTTCTGGAGACCTTGGCAGCGGGGACTCACTGTTCACCGACGATGACGAAGATTCATTTGTCCTCAACGACCAGGTCGGGATGGATGACGAGGACGACGAAGATGAGGACGACGACGATGACAACGAAGAATATCTGTCATAATTTTTTTAAAAGAAAACAAAAAAAGAAAAAAGAGAAAACTGTTTGTTTGGTCAAACTGCACGTTTCTAGGTGACTTCCCAGGCAGATACTTAATCGTACTAACAGCCTATGGACTACTCTCTGTGTATTGTTTGTTCATTAGTAAAAAAAAAATATTCCTGGCGATTGTTTATGATTTCTCTTCTTCTGTAAGTATAAAATATGTTTGGTTAATGGCACTTGTTCACTAGTGTATCAGCCAACCAGAGAACTTACAAGGACTTATCGACAACCAATCCAGTGCTTTGGATTTGGCCACATGTGCAAAGACCTCTCCCCTCATTGGACAGTCCATGTCTTTTCGTGTGTTCTGTCCTTGTGCAGCACTCCGATGCCTGAGTGTGTTGATGCCTGAGGCGCAGTGTTTAAAGAGATTTCCCCCTTCATCATTACTCCATCCTCTTCCTCCTCCCTCCCCCTTCCTCGCCCCTTTTTTTGCTCCTTATCAAATGTTCCTGTGTATAGGTGGGATGTTGATGATGTAGATAAGAGAATATTGCACTCTTTAGGTTTCTTTTCATCTTGATTTGTAACTGTGACTGTAACTGTGTGGAAAAAACAAGATAAGAGTTAGACATGCTTCATTAAGAGAGTTAAGGCAAAAAAGAAAAAAAGAAAAATCTGTGTAAGTTGGATAACAATCAGAAGCAGCATGCTCGCTGTTTTCACTGGGACACAAATCAAGTTAAATTATCTCAAAGGATCAGCAACAAAGAAAAGACAATTTACTGCCTTGACAGTGGTGTTAGGGGCAAGAGTATGTATTTTTTTAATCCATTGTTGGATGATTACAAAAGATGAAACAGATTTGTTAAAGCATGTCTAATGCTTTGCGATGTTGTTTCAGTCTGCAGGACCAGAGGCTAAACCTTTCTGGAACTCAATAGCTAACAAAGCTGGAGGGTTACAATTTTAATTCCCTTAAAGGTTGTACAGATTAAAGTTTCCTTGCATTGTTTTAATCCACTTGAGCCTCAAGCTGTGTGATGGAAATGTTTTCTGGGCTTCACTGTAGCGTAAGAAAACTCCATAACTGCTCACATCAGAACACTCACTCCCAAGAAATCATGGAGTGGATGCTATGAAATTTTTAGATATGAGTGTAGGGCTTTACATGTTACAGATTAATCTCTTGCAAAGTGAGAAGCAGACTTGATGAAAATGTCTCGTGGGGGATGATAGGTGAGGTGTGCCTTTTATTGGTAAGGAAAGATGGCAGAAACAGTGGGAGAAGCATGCTTGCTGGACTAGCAGAAGTTCATCTTTACACGGTGTAAGAGCAGCTTTACTGTAAAGCTAACGTACCACATAGATTTGGTATGGCTTTTTTTGGCGGGTCTCGTGATATAGGCCACGATCCAGATCTTGATTTGTGATATAGGATAGCTAGAATGTAGAGAAGCACAGACATACTTAACAGTTAAGGCATAAATACACTTAGATTCTGCTGGATTTGAAACATCGGTTTATACATTAGTACACTGGCTAGAGGAAGCTTTGGATAGACAGCTTTATATATATAAAAAAATCATCTTCCAGTGTTTCGCTTATACTTAATTTGTACTTGATCTGCTTATCTACTTATAGTGTAAGTATATCTGTTAGAGTTCAAAGTGATCCCAGATTTGTATATTCTTGCCGAGTCCTGTGACTGTTTATGCAGAACTGGGATTTGCAGAGCACCTTTGTTAACTTCATTTTTCTTTTTGTTATGAATCTGCCGTCAGGCTTAATTTCTCCAGTCAAATATTAGTTGAAATTCCATGTTAAGACTTGCAAAGTGCCATCTAATTGTCCTGTAGTTTTTGTTTTTTTTCTCCCGTCATTCCTTTTAACTTGGAGTTTCGATTCACTTTCACCACAAACTGGGAAACATTTCAGTTTTCAAGTGTGCTGTTTTCATGAGTGTGACGACATGCAAATCATTTTTGATGACCTCAGACACTGTAGCCACTCTCAACCAATCACGCACTGTCATCAAAGCTCTGATAGTGTTTAAAGGTAATGATACAGATGCATTTTTTACAGTGTATGTATGATTTGCTGAAATAAAAGCTATATTGACCAAGGTTTGCTTGACCACGGAGTCATGAGTGATCTCTAGACAGACAGACAGACAGACATCATGGTGCAAACTCATGTTTCCGTGTGACGAAGTTTCTGTTCCATGTTTATCATTTTCGCTTCTCATTTTCTTTTGCTCAGGCCTCGAAAAACCGCCGCAGTTTTGTGTCGTAAAGGTTATAGATGCTTAACTTTACAAACATGCAGGAACTGAGAAAACAAGTTTTACCATTCTGTGATCATCACCCTATTTTAAGGGAGCTCCTGAGGGTGAGGTGAGAGGATGTGAAAGAAAACATCTGCCATGAGTGGAAGTTGAAAGTTTTTATGCATCACTTGACGCCAAATTAGAAGTAGACGAAGCTGACAGTGGTCAGGAGTGACGAGCTCGGCAAACCAGTTCAGTGTGCAGGAACATTACTGCATTATGTAGGAGAGGAGCGGGTGAATATTTCATGAGCTGCTGTAACACACGTAACATAGGTGCATGCTTACGCACAGCACATAAAAGCACATGTACAGACGTGTTAGTGTAGGTAGAGCAAAACGCAACACACACTGAATCAAAAAAGTAGGACACATTAACCTGGAAAACCTCTTTTTTTTCGCTCTGAGTGAGCACTCTGCGGGAACTAAAACAATGTGAACACCGTACTGTTGTGACTGTGTGTATGTGTTGGCAGCAGCTCCACATAAGGAAGTCTCTGAGTAAATATCAAAGGTTCATTTCCACACACCTTTCCTCTGCCCCTGTATGTGTTTACCATGGATATGTGCAGAAATACCATCTGACTTCCTCAGAGTGAGTGAGCCTGGCTTTGGAGGGCGTCCAACAATAAAAAGTGATCTGCCTCTGTACAGGGTAGACAGTAAGGCTGAGCACTGATGGGAAATACCTCAGATTGCAGGAAGCACTTACGATGTTCTGAAATCAGTTTTCTTGGATAAGCAATACTCAGTGACGCAGGCTCTTTTATCACTTCCATAATGTGCTGCATGATTTGCCGTAATTTGCTTTCAATGCTGAATGAGGTGTAATCACCATCTAATTTTGTGTTATCAGGAATGTTTTTTATGATGATCAAGACATATTCAACGGCTGCAGTACAACCATCTAACATCACAAGTAAGAAAAACAACAGCTTTTGATTTTATTATGATTTTCATTTTAGGATAAATTTGTGATTGAGGCAAATGTGGTAAAGATGTCCATCTTTGATCTTTTTGAGGATGTCTTGGCAAGACTATTATCTCCACCTGAAAGAACAACAATAATCTTTGAACTTCAGCATTCATTTACATTTTATGAATGTGTTTTTTCGTATATATTCCCTCTGACATGTAATGATCCTGATGATGACTTGTTTTGATTTCATCATTTTATTCTTGAATAATAGAAGCTCAGTACAAAGATCCAAAATTAAGGGGCTATTTATTTACAATACATCATTCAAATACTCAAACAAAGTATTTGTTTACTATAATACCAAAGAAAATATGCTACTTACATTTTACAACCATAATGAATCAACCTTTTCAACCAGTAAGCCTTTGTCCTGCTAAAGATCCATGTTTGATTCACTCATAAGCAAGTACTTGGCTCAAGACAAAGTTCCCCAAGACAATAGTGTACTGAATGCTATGGTATGTTCTGTCGCTTCACCGTATCGTATCGTATCGTGTCGTGTCGTATTGTATTGTATTGTATTGTATTGTATCGAATCGCGTCATATCATATTGAATCGTATTGTATCGTATCGTATCATATTATATCGTATCATATTGTATCTCATCATTTTGTATCATATTGTATTGTATCGTATCATTTCGTTTTGTATCATATTGTATTGTATCGTATCATATCGTATTGTATCGTATCATATCGTACTGTATCATATAATTTCGTTTCGTATCGTACTGTATCATATTTCGTTTTGTATTGTATCGTATTGTATCATATTATATCGTATTGTATTGTATCGTATCGTATTGTATCATTTTGTATCGTATTGTATCGTATTGTATCGTATCGTATTGTATCGTATCGTATCGTATTATATTGCATCGTATCATATCGTATCGTATCGTATTATATTGCATCGTATCATATCGTATCGTATTATATTGCATCGTATCATATTGTATCGTATTGTATTGTATCGTATCATTTCGTTTCATATCATATCGTATTGTAACATATTGTATCGCATCGTATCGTATCATTTCGTTTTATAAGCTATCGTTTCGTATCATATTGTATCGTATCTAACTGTACCATAGTGACAAGCATCTCATTTGTAGACAGCTACCTGCCAAGGCTCAAATGATACAAAATTGGAAAAGAGAGACAAAAGGTAGATAGGTAAAAATAAAAACAAAGGTATGGAAGTGGAGAAAAAAAATCGACTTATGACAGCAATGACAGCAAAAACAAACACAGTTAGTATGGTAAATAGACTCACATCCTAGTGATGTGAGTGAAGCATCTCCTCCGCAGCAGGAAGTCTGGGACAACTCTCCACGGTAACTGTGTACATTATGTCATGTTGTACAACAGAACACACTGCTTAGGTAATGACTTCAGTGGCTTGAGAGGCTAAAAACTGAATTAAACATGAGCTATGTGTATGAGTGAGTTCATACCCCCTTTTTTATGAGAATAACGCTCACAGTCATTACCTTCTATCGTTTATTTAACAGATTGTCTGTGTTTTTGCAAGTCAAAGCAGCTCTTTTCTCCACTGAAGTCTTGTTTGTGTGCTGAATGCGAGGGGCTTTGAAAGAAAAAAAAAAAAACTGGGCTGAGCTTCCAGAGAGGGCTGCTGAGGAGGCAGTAAAGCTCACCTTAATGGTCAAGTCACTGTTGGTCAATACGCGCTCAGGCACACACACAAACACACACACATACGCACTTATCAGGCTCATGTTACTGCGCCTGAGTCAGCGCAAACAATAGACATCCATATAGGAACAGGACCGACCAGGTTTAATGGTTGGGAGCTATTTACCAGTTGAATCAGAGATTTAAAGAGAAAAGGATGATATCATGATCTGCATATGCTGGGAACACTGTAGGATGACTGACGGCTCTTAACCTGCTGCATAAATAGATGAAATGCAGATGTGTTACAGAATATTTTGTAAATATATAAAACATTGACCAAAATACATATGTGGTAATAGTTAAAAAAGAGTGTACCGTACAAAAACTAGACTATAGAGGTTGGGATCTGCATCGGAGGAAGAAAATAGTTGATATTTGTTCTTAAAATCTAAATAGTAACTCATAAAGTCTCACCCTACCTTCTCAGCTCTTTGCTAAAGTCAAATCTATCAGAATTTTTTTCAAGTTCAAAACAAAACAAAAAAATAGCTCTCGTCTAGGTTGTCAGATCTTTGTATTTCCTGTTGAGGCGGCCTTGAGCAAATGTTTTCCTGTACTTCTTTTCTATCCTGCAACAAAAGGCTTCCAGGAATGGCTGAATTCTGTAAGTACTACAGCAATCACTTAGGTGTGACTCACTACGGGCCATCGAGCTGTTTTCCTCTGGTTTCCTGCGTTTTATGGAGGCGGACAGCAATGCGCAGAGAGAGCTTTCCCATCAATAACCTCTAACTGCTTAGTGGCTTGAATCTTGTCTAGTCAATGCTGGATTGGAAAGAAACTGGAGGGAATGAGGCAGTGATCTATACATCAGAAGATTGTGGATACACTCAAGGGGGATCAGATTTATGGAGGGTCAGTCCATCTCCCTGGTGATCATGAAGATTTACGACCGTAGGACTTGTAGGAAATGATGTCAGTTTGTAGTTCATTTTTTAACAAAACCTTCATTTAACATATTCATAGTGTCTCAGGAGAAACCCACTACTTCATGAGGATTTATTTCTTCTCGTATGATTTAAATTAGATTATGAAATATGGTGTGACATCCCTCAAGTGAAGAAGAAACATCACATTGTCAAAGTCTTTTCTTCATTAGATTCAGAGTTAAAATCTTGTTAGTCCTTGTGTAATATTAGGGTATAAAGTTACTTTCTTACATTTGAAAGGCATGCCATCCAGAGTGGACAAATTCTGATTATTATCGTTATCTACTACATGGGATCTGCTGCCCTCTGGTGGTTAAAAGTAAGCCTTAAAGCAGGGGTGGGCAATCATGTGCCATGGAGGGCCAAGAGGCTGCAGGTTTTCTTTCCGACCCAAAACTCCACCAGGTGATTTCACTGATTACCTTACCTCCAAGCAGAGAGCGGGGACTAATCAGTGAAATCACCTGGTGGAGTTTTGGGTTGGAAAGAAAACCTGCAGCCTCTCGGCCCTCCATGGCACATGATTGCCCACCCCTGCCTTACAGTGTGTTTCAACAGTTTAAGTTAGTGGATCTTTAATGAGTCCGTAAATCACCTGCTTTAAATGAATATGATTGCGTCATAGTTCTGAAGAAATACTCCACTTTTTGTGTGATTTCACATAAAACCTAAAAACAAGAATGATTAAATTATAAACATAATTATTTGTTTTCAACATTTTTACATGAGTTACAATTATCAATTGTTGTCTTGAAATTGTTTCCTCCATCTGTAAGTATACAGTTTTATCTCATGGTTTCTGTATGATTCTGTATATTGTTTGTACAAAGGTTTCACATTTTGTCCTGCTCTGCACATCATTTATGATTCTACTCAGATCCTTAAAAAAAGACCTTTACAGTGATACCACTATTATTCTGGAGTGAAAAGCTCAGCTTTAAAAGTATTGAATCATTAAGCTGCCATCTCTTCATATTTGGGGGCTTTTTATGCTGCTTTTATGTGGTCAATGGATTGATTAGGAAACTGGGAAGAGTGGGGAATAACCATTAGGATATCCACTTCAGGGACTAAGGCCACTGTATATGGGGTACACAGTTTTACCTCTGAGCTGAACTAGCAGCCCAAGCTTTCATAAATTTAACTAAATGCTTATTCTGCCCCCTGCTGACCAGAAGTGGATGCTGTATTATTTCCAGACTCAATGGTTTATAGCACACTAGTCATTAATCTGCTTTGATATTTCAGCTGAGAGAAGCACTTTAAGGCCTGTGGCGAGAAAAGGAAGTATCTTTGTGACATCCGATCTAGTGTTTACGTGGTTAAGAGGCCGTGAAAAAAAGGAGATCACCCAATATAACTCTGTTTCATGTTTTTAGTAAAAACTTTTGAGAAGTGAAACAACATGACCAGCCTTTTACAAAACACAGTTAGCTTCTCAGTACAAAATACACACAAAATTACAGCTAACTAACTAGTTATCGAAAAATACATCAGAATATGTTCAACCGTTCGTGTCATTAAAGAAGTATTAAAAGAGAAAACTGCAGTTTTCCGAAAAAAAAAAAACAACAAGCAAGTTTATCTTATTCAAAACCAAAATGAGCTCACGTTAAATTAGTTATTAGTGTCAAAACGTCAACTTGCAGTCCCTCCAAATATAAAAATTTTAGTCTAATCATTTTATCCTGAAACTATTTACAACATCAGTATAATCTCTGCTGCTTTTTACCATTGTCCCTGAAGTGGCATGATGAGCTTTGGTATTTTTAAGGAGTTTTGTAGTGTTTTGGTCAAGCTAAAGTCCCTCCACGGGTCTGCAAAAAAACAAACAAAAAACAAACAAAACTGTCAACTACAACTCAAAACACAGGATCACACAGTACCAGAAAAGATACTAACAGTGAATTTTCCCATTCATAAACATACTTTGTGCATTTACATGAAGTGAGATAAACTACAAATGTCTTACAACTCACCATGGACTTCATCTCCCGTCCATCTCCATCATCTGGTTTGTATTTAGCCATTTTTTTACTGTTCTCCACATACTCCTGAAATAAACAGACAGAGTCACAGATGAGTTATTCATCTTTTTTGTATATAATATGGACAGTTTAGCCTCATAAAAATTAACATGCAGCCAAAAAAAGAATTCACTTCCTGAGGAAGTAAAACTCATTTTAATGTCTGTAAATTATTTGTATTTTCTATCAGTCTTTCACTGAATGATTTAAACTTTTTCCTTTAGTTACTGGTTTGATGGTCTGTAAAAGACACAAATGACTTTTCCTTGTTTATTCAATTCATTTGGTTTTTGCCCAGTCCTTGTGTGTCGTTACTTGAAGCAGCCACATGGGGGTGCAGAGGGCTGAGGCATCTAGATCAGTGGTTCTAAAGTCTAGTCCTCGAGGCCCCCTGTCCTGCATGTTTTGGATGTTTCCCTGCTCCAACACACCTGATTCAAATGATCAGCTCGTTATGAAGCCATTACAGAGCTTGATAACGAGCTGATCATTTGAATCAGGTGTGTTGGAGCAGGGAAACATCCAAAACATGCAGGACAGGGGGCCTCGAGGACTGGACTTTAGAACCACTGATCTAAATGAATGGGTTATTTATTTGTTGTCTCTAACATGTACCTTTCTGTTTTTAAATGTACTTGTAACACTATAAGGTGTTTGCATTTTAAAGCTCTCTCTCTCTCACCATTAAAGCTTTGTCCATGTAGTACTCGCGTCCAGGACTGCCGTCATTGTACTTGGAGTCCACAGCAAAGCAGAGGAAGAGGACATCAACCACATTCTCAAAGACGGAGAGGAAGCAGTGAGCCACCAGGTAGGCAAACAAACAGACGATGAGGAGAGGAAGGACCCACACGGTGTACTCTTTCTGGTAGTTCAGAGCCAGGACGCCGGCGAAAGCCGTGCAGGAGACGATGAGGATCTGAGAGTGGAGATAGGAGACTAGTTAGACAACTTGAGGCGCAGTTTGAGAGTTTAAGAGGGAATGTCTATAAAAGTGAACAACAGTGGCTGATAAAGCAGAGTATGACACTGCCGAGTACCTTTCCTAAGAAGAGGACGAAGTCTCCCACAGTGTTGATGGCGGCTACACGGAGAGCGTTCTCTACAAGGAGGAGGAAAGCTTCACGGGCGGAGGTGCAGAAACTCGTGCTGTTGATGGCTGTAGCCGTGTATGCATTCTGAAATAAAGCAGCACGAATTCGGTGAATACTTGGGGACTTTTACTCTATGCACTGAACACAATATGTCTCCTTTACAAAGTTGAAATGACTTACTTGGTTTAGGTATGCAAGACATTTTTCCAGACACCACAAACAGCAGACACAGGCTTTCAGCATGCAGCGAGCACAGGCGTTCTCCTGTGAGGAACCAAGAAAAGACACGGGTTAACAAACTGAGAAGAACATGTTCTGAAAACTGCCCCTTACAGGATCAACAGAGGGGCAGATATCAGACAATAAACCTCGCATAATTTTAAAGCTTACTTTTCCTTTGAGCTGGCTGTGGATGTACGTCAAGATGAGGCGAGGAATCTTAACAAGCGTGATGATGAAGGAGCCTTTAGCCACTGTCCCAAGATGGTAGCGGATGGTGCGTCCCATGGAGGACAGAATAGGAAGCGCTGGCATCTGGGACTTATCCCTGGAGTTGAGAAGGAAGAATGAATCAAAATGACATCTACCGGAAAGTCGCACATTAACACGACAACCCTCAACTTTCTGTGCGATAAGACAAACGAATGCACTTCTGTAGTTTCTCACACACCTCGTGAAGTAGTAGGTGACCACAGCTCCTGAGATGGTCATCTGCTGGAAGGCGAGAATGAATTCGCTGATCCAGATGAGACCGACAGCATGATACCACACCAAGTACTGGAAGGGTCCTTGCAGTTGGTATTCAACCACACCTGTTGAGTTGTTCTTAATTGGTGTCCCTGTCAGGAAACATGAGAAGGAGTCGGCAGTGTCACATTTCCCCGTCGTTTTATATGATGCTGTAGGAAAACTGGAGAGACTGCGCTTAAATCTTCTTTGCTGATTTCTCCTTGTTGTTACGACCTGAAAATTACTCCACCTGCAAGTTCACCATTAGATTCTGTAAATTCACTACTTGAAATATGTAGCACCTTTTCTTCAGGAATTGATTAATATTTTATTGAACGAATAGAAAACAGAGGACTAAGAATTCACCCTGGACACCTAAAATGTGTTTGTTCCACTTTTGTTCCAGCAGCAGTGAGATTAGGGTCTGACTTGGCACTGCTGCATAGTTTGTAGAGGTATTCATATTAGTATTTCTTCATTTGTATCAGGCTTTTGTTCTATATCATCATGTCCTTATCTTTTATTGTACCACTTTTAAATCATGTTTCATTGGCCATCACTGTGTTTATTGTGTTTCTGGTGTTAGTCTGTGTTTTCCTGATGCCTCCATGCTGTTTGTTGTCTGTATGAGTCTTCTTGTCCTGGTGGTGAAATAGTTTCCCCCATGCAGGATCAATAAAGTCTACCTTACCTTACCTAAAATTAAATTTTATTGCATCTGCAGTGTTATTATATTCATGTTTTGTTATTTTGATTACCTACAATTTTGATGAGAACCAAAAAAAACAACCCTGCTGAGGAGTTCTGAATGAGTAAATTGAGATGTTTTGACTATATTTGGGCATGCTTTTGGCACAAATTAAGTCTCAGCTGCAGAAAGGGAAGTGGGAGATGAAGAGAGAAGTTGTTCTTTGACACAGTCGTCCCACATCACGAGACCGGAGCAGATTCCAAATGTGGGAGGAAAGTCATGCCACAAAACAGAAACAAAATGTCAAAAAGTAACTTACTTAATATACGACTTGTTTGGGAATAATGTGATGTTAACAAAAGGTCTGTGTGCCGCATAGACTACATTTAAGTATTGTGTCCCTGCTAGCATTTGTCCTCACCTGCCGTCCCGAGGGTGAGCAGCACAGCAATCCAGTACACCCAGAAGAGCATGAGGCAAAGGAAGGTCCAGAAAGGCTGCAGGGCCAGCAGGGGGAGGTGGATGAACACTTTACCGGCCACGTGAAACAGAGAGATGGTGAGAGCCACACGCTTCCTCATGATGAACATCACTATCAGGAGGACGACCTGGAGGGTGACAGAGAAACTAGTCTGAATGCCAAGGGATGTGTTTCATGGTGCTGTGAAAGTGAAGTAGAAAACGCACTCAGACATACAGTGAAAATTGTAGCACCGATTGAATAAACGAGCAGAGCCTTAACGTTGTCAGCGGCCACTTCGTTCCCAAACACTGATAAGGTTTGATTTTTCGCGGCGTTCCTGCTATCCACATAGAGCCACCAGAGGACAGCAGTCCCACCTGCAGAACATCAGAGAAGAACAAAGCCCAAACATAACCTCGTATTGTGCTGTGGATTTTAGAGTTTTGAAGAATTATAACATGAACAAATATTAAATGTTAAATGGAGGGTATAAAGTGCTCGAACACACCTATAGAGCCAATGATCACCAGGATGGTAAGGATCCACACCAGAACTTTGGAGATGTACCGGATGACCACCATCATGATCAGGGACAGAACTGAGGGGGGAAAAAAAGCACATTACAGTTAAATCACAGGAGAAGCAGCAGAAATGTGATGACTGCACCTCAAACAAAAGAGCACATGTATCTTTAATAGACTTTTTATTTTAGCTTATGTCTGTTTTGTCTTTGGAGCTCATATGGAGACATAAAGATTTGTTTCGTTTCGTTTTGTTTCATTTACTGTCATCAACTCCACATGAGAAAAGCCCAGAAGTCCCACGTAGGAGAACTCCACTGTGTTATGATTCATGCTGCATTAATAAACAACTTACCAAAACTAGACGGGTCAAATGGTTGAGATAAATACACGATGACTAAATCTGACATGATGGGACTACTTCTGCCTTTTCCCCTGTGGGTAAAACTTTAGTGGACACTATGTCTGAACCCACACAGACATTTCCTGTTATTCTGAGGACAAAAATAGCTGCCCATCAGATTGTTGTATTCTCTCTACATCCTCATAAGCGTGGACTTTTGTACAGCAGGAGCATGCATACAAACCAGCAGTTTTTCATAAGGTTAAAGGAATAAGTCATTTACTTAACACATGTTAATGCACAGTGAAAGCCTGATGTCTCAGTGTGTTATACCTAAAGCCAGCAAACAAAGGCCCATGATGATCTCTTTGCTGGCCATCACTCCTGCAACGACGCGGCGCAGCACACTGTTGTCCCCGATGTATGTGATGAAGGCCTCGGCAAATTCAGCATAGCAGGAGATGTCCACGGGGATACAGCGGCGAAACACTGGGACGGGTTTGCTATGAAGAAGGAAAAGCTGGTTTACCACAGGGTAATACATCTTTAAGCTGACAATGTATATCAATAGTATTCACTTGGTCCTGAAATAGCTATAAGTAGATGAGATTACAGTGAATACTTTTCTGATTTTGCTGCAGAATAAATCACTGAAATATGAAATAAAAATGAAAGATTTCGACTTTGTTTTTCATTGGCTGAAATCAAATCCAAAAGAAAAGGCTCGGCTACCTTGGTGGGACAGGCAGTTTGGGGCATTTGGTGAATCTTTCTGAATGGCTTGGGTATCTTGTCGGAGAAACGTCATAGGAACAGAGCTCAGATCCTGTAGATGACAAAAAAGATGATAAGGCAGTTACATGTAAATGCATAATCCTCTTCAGTTAATGTGCTGGAGTAGTTTTTCTGTGGAAACCTGGTCAGCTGAGTTTGTTTCTCACCATTATTCAGGGCGAACTGCTTTATATCACCATAAGTCTTCAGTTCACTATTTGGGCATTTGGAGACACACAGGGCGATGGACTTGATCTTCCGATTTAAGAGGTCGAAGTTGCAAGGGTCTAAAAAGAAAACATACCTGCAAAGAGGAGACATAGAATGAAAGATTAATTTACAACTCTACCCATCCTTTTGAAGAAAATAATCAGAGAAATATCAGTTGAAAAAAAAAACATCAGTAGATTTGGTCGCTACTCTGCCAGTTTGGGCTTTTCAGTCTGGACAGAAAATAAGAGATGTTGACATTTGCCTCTCTGCAGCACAGATCCCTCTTTGTGGCCAAACGCCTTTTATTCCAAGCTTCCATGGGCAATCAGCCCATCAATAAAGCATGACCCATTGTTTCAGTACAACTAGGCCTACAAGCTGCAAGCTGATGGGAAGATACAGCCTAAAACGAGGATAATCATCAAAGACTTTGAACAGAAATTTTAGACAGAAGACAAAGCTGTCTTGGTGATAAAAAGAAAAGTATGAAAAAAAATCTGCTTCACTTTTATACAAATTATTCTGTTTGAATACATTTCAGTTTAGCTTTGTGTTAGTGATGTTAATCCACATAGGATTCATGTTGTTGCTCAAACAAAACAAACAGCTAACTGGTGATTTCTCTCTTAATAAATACAATTCGCAGAGAAAACACAAACTTTTTTTCAAGTATCTCTCATTTTATCCTCTATCTTTACTCCAGAAGCTCTACTTCAAAGTAAGAAAGTCTGGTATTTGGAAAACATACTGCTCAGGTTGAAACATGTAAGCCACAGACTAACAGTTGAACTGTCATCCACAACAAGAGGCAAACTAAGGTTTTTAGGAAGGCAACAACTGGTTGTTTGTGGAAAATGACATCAGGATGACATGGTGTAATCCTTACACATGCAATGCTCAATGATAACACATCATAAGAAACATGAGCATGAGGTCTCAGCAACTTGTATAGAAACAACATTTTCTCAACATAACAGAGCAAACAAAATCCTCTCAGGGACTACTTCAGAGATAAGATATGTTGTAAAAAGAAGATGAATGAGACTGAGATAAACACTGTTAGGTGTCACATGTTGGGTGATTTGCATTGAATCCGACTGACTTGTTTTCTGTCATGTCCTTGCCGCTGAGGGTCACTCCCTCAATCGGGGCATTCTTTCGACCGCATGTGTTGCCATAACTGTCATATCCGGAGAGCAGTCTGGAGGCGCCTCCTGTGGCGATGGGAAAGCCACATATGCAGGCCTGAAGATGAGACAAATTAAAGCAGAGAAACTAAAATATCTGCAGGATTACAGCAGGTGTGTAAAATTACATAATTGAGAAAGATAATGTATGACTTGCATTTTCAATATCAATATCATTTTCATTTCCAATACAATATCATATACTTTCTTTCACTACATTTCAAATTGGTAGTACATTAATTTCACTTGCCTTCAAAGTCATGTTGCCTAATTTATCCTGCAATAATCTGATGCTAAAAGTCATAATTTTGTATTGATGAATAACACTGTCCTAAAGAGCAGTTAATTGAGTCTTGGACCTACAAAACCTTGAAGACTGTAGAACTAAGTTATGCTCAATGCCACATTTTAATGCTTATCTTTTCAATATATTCACAGTGTGCATCTTTTATTATCATAATTGTTGTAAACGACTTTTATCCTAACACTGTCTCTGCAGCACCACAACCTACAGTTCCCTAATAATACTAAAACTATTTTCAGTTTCACAAACCAGCATGTAATGCTATGATGACAAAATAAACAAGTTTTGTTTTAATAAGGATCCATTTGATCTTCAGCTATACACTGTACATCCACTGACTTATTAAACTAGCGTTTAAGAACATGATAAAGACAGATGTCCTACAACTAGTATTGCTCTCTTACACAACAATGTGATGAATAAAGTCCTCATGAAAGATTTTCAGCTTTTATACTTATGAGTTGATTCACTCTCAAATATCTTAAAATGCAGTTTTATTCCAACTGATGCAAATGAGTTGGAAAACTAACCCACAGGATATACCTCTTAAAAACTATAACTAAACTAGCTTTAGTCACAAATCACATCATACAACAATAAACTTGAGCAAAAAATGTCAAATTATCACTTTTTGAAAATGTAATTCTGGAAAGTTCAGAGCTTTATCTTCAGACAGTTTCACTCTGTTAAACCAAACAAAAAGACAACAAGCTGTATTAAAGTTTTAAATGTCTCTTACCATCCCAATGCAAAACAAAATGAATAAGATGAGCCATGGGATGTCCGTGCAACTGCGCTCCTCCAGTGGTTTCCAGTCACGCTTACCCTTCCAAGGCATAAATAAAAGATAGTTAAAAGATGACACAGACCTCCTTATTTCCTCTCGGTATGAGCTGTTAGCTCCACTGCTACTGCTCCTCCTCAGACCTGCAGACGAAGAAGCTCTCTGTGTTGTTGTTGCTGTTGCTGTAAAAAGAGCTGCTGCTGCTTCTGCCAATAAAGTGACGCTGTGGTCACACTCAAACTCTCTCAAACTCCTCTGTGAAGAAACATTTTAGGTCTTAAAGAAGACAAAACTTCCACCATGTTGTAGCAAACTCACCTCTGCGCTGGAACAGCAGCCCATGGTAAACGTCAGGGCGTCAACTTCAGCTTTCTTCAAGGAAATCCAAAGTCTGGTGACTTTCTCTTTACTTCGCGTTGAACTTTGTTCGTCTTTTCAGCTCATTTCCTTTTCCCTTTCGATTCTCTTTGTACCAATGCTGCATAAGAGGATGCAATATGCTGTTTTAAACCCGCTTCACTCCCCAGAACACACCCAAAGAGAAACCACCTCCGGTGTTTTACAGCGTCAGGTAAACATATAAGGAACTGAACTCCCCGTGCTGCCTTCACGGCCTATCGAAAATATCACGACACCATTATACGGATGCAGCGGTAGCTATGCAACAGCACGAATTGCGCCCTTTTACGTCCCCGGGACATTTTATTGAATATTACACATGTTAAATTTCAATAACAAAGCGTGTCATTCTTAACATGCAGTCAAAATTATTTGTTTTATTTTTTTATTTTTGCTGGTAAGGACTATTTTTTTACGGTGGCCGAGAACCGCCACTGCTGCAAATAATAATAAAAAAGTCACAATGGAAGTTAACTACACAAAAAAGTGAGGATGGATTAAAAAAACAAACAAACAAAAAAAAAAGCTAGTTACTGCGAAAAAATCAAATCAAAACACATATCTAGTTCTAAATGAAACAGTAAAGGGATGTGCCTGGAATTTTCCGGAGTTTCAGGGTATTTCCAGTGAACATACCCTCTGAAAATTAAGGGTTCCGGTTTTGTTTTTGTTTTTCGTTTTCTTTTCATGACAATAAAATGACCTGTAAATAACTTTTACAAAAAGTCCCATACACTCAGAAACACCTGAAAAATAACATGTGAACCCAGAGGAAAACAATTAGGTCCACACGTCATTTCAAAATTACGACGGTCCTTGAATGCAACATTATGGAACCGAACTGGGAGGCCCACATGTAGTTTTTGGCGCCATTCACTGGAGTAGTGAAGTAATGAGCCAACTGTACACGGCAGTGTATTTAAGTGAAAATAATTCATACCATGACAAGGCTTATGTCGCACTTCGGCGATACAAGTTGTCAAAATCCTGCTGAAAGCTTACCTGGCAAGAAATGATCATCCCCTGAGGTGAGCTGCCGTCCCCCATGTGACCTCCATTTCCCATACAGGTAAGTAATGACAGACCCTCCTCAGGTTATGAGATAGTCCCAAAAGTCTTTAGTTCTGGATTCACTCATTTTTTTCTTCATGAACATTGTTCTGGACTTAAGAGGTTTTTCCTCCCAACACTTTAACTTTAAACTACAGCCTAAGTAGGCCTCTAGGACACGGTGAACAGACAGGTTGAGTGATACAAAGAGAAAGACACTGTCCACACTTAAACAGTTCAGCATTTCCTTTTTAACTGTGTAATATGAGTAAAATAAAGTAGCTGTGGGCACAGATTTACAATACACTCATAACTATTTACACGGTTTGCATTTTAGCAACAGTCCTCTCTCTTTAGTAGTAAGGTTTTGTCGCCCTCAGCTGTCTGTGTCATGTCATTACAACCATTTTAATCCATTGAATGCAAAGATGTTTCAGTGGCCATACAAAGTTAAAGTGAGGCAATGTTATGTAATGTATAATCATCAAAAGTATTATTTTATGCTGTGTCTTTATGCTTCTCTTCATTTCTGGAGGAGCTACCTCTTGTTCATCATCACTTTTGGCTCATAAATTGCACTTTCTGCCTCGGCACATCAGTTTTTTCAGCTTTTTAGCTGTTTGTTTTACATGCTTTTGAAATTAGTCAGGTTGCATCTTTGTTGAGGTAACATCGCCACCTGTCTGCTTGGTTTTTTTAGGGGATTCGTCCTTCTCCTGGTGAAGATTTACAGAAGCAGACACGCTGTAAGTTTTATCTTCATTTTGTTCTTATTGTGCTGGAAATGTTTCTGCTTCTGTGCTGCACAGAAGGCCGGAAGAGAAAGTAAATATTAAACAGTGGCAATCTCATCAGGTCTTTCTATGAGTAATACAAGATTTCGACTGCCTGAACTATATAATCTTGTGAACAATGTTATGCACATTTACGTCATGGCTGAGGGTGGGTTGAAGGTGAAATGGAGATCTGAGGAAGCCCATGTGGATACCATTTGAATGTAGGAGACAAACAGCAGATGTCACATTCGTAACAAACTTTAAAACTAACATGTAGCTGAGAGAAAACTATCCAGGGGTTACTCTGTCTCTGTCATCATTTAATGAAACAGCTCCTTGCCTTTTGTCTCTTTCCTGACTCTTGGTCTTAAGTATTTCCTTCTATTACTGCTGTGGCAACTGGATCCAAGGACAACACGTTTTCCTGGATCTTCAGTGGAAGAGTCAATGCCAGCACAGCATATGTTCAGCAGAATCCTGGGTGGGGTGGGGGGTGTAGTGCGTCACATTGCTGGCCCTCACAGGGTCTGGTCCGAGCTCAGGAATCGTTCCTCATCAACAACAAGGCAAGAGGATAAATATTATGAGTCTCTGCCGTGAGATACTTTCAAGAATGAGGCTGTTATAATGTCAGGCTTTGGAGCATGTGATGAATTCCAAACAGTAAATAATTCTGGTTTCCTGAATTGAACCTACTGATTCCTTTTTGCAAGAATGGGTTGGAGGAGGTGTGATTCGTGAAGATGCCTTGTGAGTCATTTGACCTTTAGTCAAACAAACACTGTTTTTTCATGAAGAATTGCTGTATCCTGACTGTGTCTCTGATATATGTGGAGCATCTGGGGAAAAATGTGTTTGAACCCTCATTGGCTAAAAATCACGAATGTTAAATGCAGTTTTAATGTAATAAAAAAAGCGGGAAATCGACCAACGTGTTTGTAATAATAGTGTGTGAAACATCTAAAGCATCTGCTGCCAACATGCATTTGATTTCAAGTGTCACTCCATGCTATGTGCATTCCTGGACACATGGTAAAGTTACTGAAATGTGAGACTGCTCGGGTGCAGGTGGTTGGAGGGTTACAAGGCATTTTTCTGAGTCAGGGTGCAGAGATGAACCCACTTAGCCCTGCCTTTGTTTGAATGAAACTAGTGCAGAGATTTCCTGAGCAGAAGCCAAATTCAGATACCAATAGTTAGCTCCTTTGAAGGGTTTTTGGATGTTCACAGAATAAACCCCAAATGCCTTTAAAAGCATATGAGATTATCAGAGATTTACGCTATTTATGAGGAAAACTGCTGTCAGAAACGTCCATGTTTTTACAGTGTTACAGTCGATTGGTAGATTTCAGACCAGAGCATCTGCAGCACACTAAAAATAGACTTTTGGAAAAACATTTTCAGGTAAATTTTCCACATGGTATAAAGAAGATGAGATTATTTTTTAAAAACAAACAAGCAAAAAATTCCCACATGTGTACAGGACCAAATCTGTAAAGACATATCACACCAAAAGACATCTTACTGTCCACAGGGGAGCCAAACTCAACACACACTGAGAGGTTCTTATTGGAGCTTTAAGAGACAGTGGCTACCTGTCTTTCTTGAGAAGTTAACACTCCTCTAACAAAAAATGAATTAGGACAAAAGGAGGAAAACAGGATTTCTCCTAGTTCAGTCTTCTTGGATACTCAGTATGGCCTCTCTTGTCTTGAAGACCCAGAAGGTGAACAAACTGCAGGTATACAAAACACAGCGCTCCAGGATATTGTTCAATTAAAAGGATGAGAGATGAGAGTTATACTGAGATCTACAATATCTGAAACTAGACATGCAGGCCAAAGAAGCAACAAGAAAAGGCAAACAAACATAAGTCCCTTTAAAAAAAACATCTAGCATTCCTTGTTTGTGCAGAAATTATGATTAAATCGCAGGACATTTAAGTCTCAGGAAAACAAATGGTTACTTCAACTTTTTTAACAGAGTTTTTCTCAGCTGTATTTCAGGCAACATTTGATTTGAAAAGCCAAACAACATGTAAAAGCATTTTGAAGAAGTCATATCGAGCTAGATTCATGTACTCATAGTGCATAAGTTCCTCTTCTTGTGTTATGCACTCTCTCTCTCATATACACACACACACACACCCACACACACACACACACACACACACACACACACACACACACACACACACACACACACACACACACAAACACAAACATACACACAGATCCTCTCACAAGAAGATTAGCTAGATTATTTTAGCCTGGAGATTGTTATGGTCTGTATCCTCAATAACTTGTACTTCCTGTTCTCACGGTCACCGTCACACTATAACCCATGATTAGTGGCCAAGCTCCCCTTGGATTCTCCCACGACGGCTTCTTCCAAATAACCCCAGTGGAGCAAGGGGAAATCAAAATCCAGGGTTGATTAAATACTCTTGTTTTAATTAAGACAGTAATGTTGCTAGTTGCTACTGGCTTTGTAGATTGCATCATCTTCTTCGGGATGTTTTATATAAGAATATTGAGATTGCTTAAGTTCCCACCAAGGCCTCAGATACTGTTAGTTAAGCCGACATGGCAGGGCTTTCAAAAGGAGTTGTTAACCACAGAGCACAGCAAGTGACAGGAAAGGATTGAAGGAATCTTGGTGTGGTGTGGTGTGTTGATATTGTTTTTAGATCTCCAGATGAGACTCTGGCATTTTGTTTCGTTTTCTTTTCAGAGTAACTGAACCCTTTTTGTAAAAACTTCACACAACCACATTTACAGTAGAAAGTGGTTATTTAAGGAAGCCTTAAAAGTGGTGCAACTAAATCCTCTCAAAGCCGTCTTTGTATATGAAAGGGCCCAGAATGACTCAGTTATAGGAGCGACAGGTTTGTTTTTTTTATGTTTTTTTTTTTCTCTGTTCAGGCATCACCTACATGGGCAAACACCCTATGTTCTTCAATGCTCATGATTTAGACTGGCTTATTTTTCCAATAATAAACTGTATCAGTGAGGAATGTGAGGCTGTTTCCTTTGGGCCCTCACTGCTCCACTTAAGAAGGCGAAGGGTTGAACAGTGGGGGATTTTGGGTGAATCATGAATGGGTCTTTTTTAACCATGTATGTGATGGCTGGAGACATATGACCAATAATGCTGCATGCCTGCAAGAACATTCATGCTCATGGGCTTAGACACAGTCTGGCCCACAATGATGACTCTGAAAGGGCAAACAAATATCTGCAAACTTGGGAATAACTCACATATGTAATACATAGTCAATGACAAATATTGTAAAATACATCGAACAAAAATCCACTCAGATTTCGGCTAAAAATGGAAAATATTTCTGTTTATTTCTTGAAGTCAAAGTCAAAAGTGTGAAGATTTATGGAAAGTTCTGACAGTGAATCACTTAAAAAATGCCAGTGACTCTCAGGACAGAGTTGCTGGGCTGTCTGTCTTTTTGTTTACTCGTTTTGTCTAGACCGAAATATCTGAAAAAGAAAAAAAAAATACCTAAACTGAATGCCATTGAATGTAAAACAGATGTTTATAGTCCCTATCATGCCCCACTATTGTGGTTAACATCTAGGATCTTTCCTTTTAAACTTTGGTATGAAAACACTCACTAACAGACAAAATAATAATAATAATAATAATAATAATAATAATAATAATACATTTTATTTGTATAGCCCTTCTTCAGGAGCTCAAAGACACTTTACAAAAACATAACAAAAATACAATCAGGCAAAGATTAATAGTAACAAGCTAAAAATAAGGTAAAATCGAATAAAAAGAATAAAAGAGTACAAGTGGGAGGGGCAGATGTGAGGGGTAGGATAGTGGTGAGTCGGGGCGGTTCATATCAGGTAATAAAAGCGAGTGTGAAAATTGAGCAAATTTTTTTTTTTTTTTTTTAATGTTGGTTTTTAACCATAGACTGTATATACTATGGATAACTTGGTTCCACCTCCTGCCAGTATACGGGTTTGAAGCCGAAAAGCTCTCGGTAATTCCAAGTTTTTTCTCCACTTCCTGAACCAACATTGCACAGTAGCATTTTACGCATTCGGTGGGAGAGTTGCTGTGATGATGTTCGCCTCAAACAGCGTATCCCTGGGTGAGCAACGCAATCTTGGTACGCCCATAGGCTGTATCATATGTCAATCATAGCAAACATGAACCCCCTAATAACTTTTAAAATTGGAACTGAACAGAAAAAAGAGGACTTGAGCACAAACCAGTCTCACAATAACTACATGTCAACATCACAAGCGGGGGAGAAAAATTTATATTCTGTACGATACATTTCTAAAGTTTGTCCACAGCTCCATAAGGATGGCTAGGGGAAGCAGCATTTATGACCTATACTGCAGCCCATCAACAGAGGGTGCTGTACTCAGGGTAAACAGTGTCAGACTAGTTTGGTGAGTGTGACTAATGTGAGCAGAGCTAGCACCACCAGCCTTCAGTCCTCTTTGCAGGGTGATATCCACATACTTATGTAAATTACACATTGCTTATGTTGAGCCCTAGTGGTTATACACCAGTTGAAACAGACAGCCCACAAGAGGCCACCTGTTACTGTTACTGCAATAAAAATAAAACCTATTTATGTAGTCAGTCAGTAATTCTGGTGCTGTATATCGGGGGTTAGAATATTTTATTTATTAGTCAACTCTTCGCAACTAAACACCGTCCCTATTTAAGGCTTTCAGGCTTTATTTGACATTCCAAGTATCCATGAATATATTGAGTTGCAAACACCTGGAGCTTAACCTGTTGATATTCAAAATAAAAAACACAGAGCCATCTCAAGATAGAAGCCTGAGTCCCATGAAGTTTGGTTCAGTATTTTAACGCAAACTGGCTTAACTTGAAAAGAGTAAAGGGTACACAATCACGTGATAGATATCATTATACGTTTTAATGTTGTTTTTTTTGTGTGTGGTATTAACTGTTAGGTTATAATATCCAGCCCATTTGGTTTTGGTTGTAATGCTCCTTTGTGAAGCTAAATACTCTTGAAGCTCACATTCAAACACACACACACACAAACACTGATGATAGGCATCTATCCTCACACATGTTGTTGATTGAACATGTGTTTGCACAGTGTCGCTGAAGGATCAGTTGTGACGTCGACCAGTTGCCCTGTGGCCGTGCAGGATGCTGGGATTGGCAGGGGGAGCCTTAGTCTTTTAAATTATAGGCCCTTGTTGGACGTCCACAGGAGGTAATGAGTAGATTGCCCAAGTCCTTCTCTGTGTCGGCTTCTCTTCTTCAATAACGAGCCGTATTCACATGGAGGCTACTGTGACCGAAAAGATCTGCCTTTCGTTACACCGCACTCAGCGTAACCACAGAGAGCATCATGTGACGCGCTACAGAGGAGTCTTGTTGAATTTGGATCCTTCCCCTCGAATACGACCATCTGTGTCCCTGGAGAGCCAACATTGATGGCAGAGTACAGTTTCCCAGCGAGGCCCCTAAGAAAAGACTCATCCAGAGACTCACCTCACATCTGGACGACCTAGAGGTCAGAGGCGGGGGTTACAGAGATCATTGGAGGGGGCTTCATTCCACTTTATCCCTGTTGCTTTGACACACAGCTCTTTGAAAACCGAGTTTGTCACAGTTTGGATGATATAACTGTCTTGAGCACTTGGATATGGATTAATACGTTTTAATGTTGGTCTAAATCTGAAGGTTTTAAACTGCAAATGGAAATCTGTAAAGTATTTTGTTTTATACCCTCTGTAAAACCTTAAAGACACCATTTGCTTAGAATATTTGTCTTGAATTTGGTTTAAGTGACATCAGTTGTAAATAACACGTGCCTTTTTCTGTCTCCCCGCACCTCTGACAAATGACTATATTAGGAAATGAATCACTGGCATTTTGGTCCTGTTAAAAAGTTTCTTCTCCTCTTTAGCCTACTATAAGATAAAATGATATGAAGTCAAAAACACTTCTAATGTGTTCCCTATTTTATTACAGCTTTACTTTTACAGATGTTCTTACAGAATTCTGTAAAAATGCATTAAAGCATATCTGTTAAGATATCTAGCTTTGCCATTTTAGTCAGTGCCAGTGTGTTTGGATAAGAATGCTTGTAAGGTTACAAGATGACAAATTTTAAGAAAAAGCATGCCTCAGAAATAACTTCCAAAACATTAGAGCAATCTCTCCTGGCCCACAGCCAGGAGGTCTTGCGTGGCAGCTTGCCTGTTACTAATCAAAACCAACTGGTGGGAACCTTGCCCACCTCGGTGAATATAGCGAACTGAAGTAAAACGGAGGAAAAGTCCACTGGGAAGAAGAAAGAGACCAGATTTAAGAGAAGAGGCAGAGAGAAAGTTTCAGAAATGGCGAGAAGAGACAGTACATTAGAGGAGGGAGGGAGGAATAACTGTGTATAGTGTGCTGGGTGAGCTGTGAGACGGGGGATGGGGCTCCTAGGATGTGACTCAGACTCCCTGTCAAAACCAATGGGGAGGGGACCTGATGAGAAAAAGGGGATAGAACGGAGGAGAGCAGGGGTGGAGAGGGGAAAAGAAAACCCGGCCCCTCTTACACCACCCCGACCCTTCGGCATTCAGCGTCAGCAAAAACCCTAATGTGATCAAGATGGAAGTTGTCTTTGGACTTATCGCTGCTCCCCGGCTTGCTGCCTGCCTTCACAGGCTTCACTGCCTTTCCGACAGTTTTACAGCAAAGATACTGACTGGAGTCCAGAAAACGGCTTAAAGAAACCAAGATCAAGGACAGCTTACAAAATAAAACCTATGTCAAGTCACATGGAAAAGGATGGATTCATATTTCGTGGACGCATTGCTTTCAGTGGATGAATGAAAGGGCAACTAGTGACGTATCTCTGGATAACTGTTCTTCAAGCAAATACTGGACCTGCAACCTGTTTTTTTGGAGTTTTGCTGAATGTTTTATCTCTGAATATACATCCTCTGGATAATACCCGAAACCCCTGGAGAGTTCAAAATGAGTAAACTCGTCAGAAATGCATCGAGGTGTCGGTTTTTCTGGTGGTTTAAGGACAAGTAGGAAAAACAACTGCTTGGGACATTATTTGCTATCTTCTATGTATTACTAAAAACTGGATGTGAGCTCATGCCAGAGGGTGCAGATGACTTTTGGTTTCATCCAGATCTTCTTCTGAGGGAATAAAAGGTGAAAAGCAGAAAGAAAATACTTGTCTTGAAGTTTAGAGAGACTTTTAGAAAGAGTTTATTAGTTTATCAGCAGCTCAGTGACACTGTGCTCACTTGATGTTTTGCTTTTGTGCACACTGATCTAGAATAACAGAACAAACTGAGCTTGGCTGCAGACCCAGCTGTTCAGAGACAGTTTAAGTTCCCTTAAGACGTCTCATAATTCACAGCTTTGGGAGTTCATGAAGAGATAAAGATACAGATAGATAAGCATCACCTCGTTTCTCAAAGAACTGTTTGCTTCTGAAAACTTTATGTGCAGTTCAGGTTGTCAGTGTGTTTTTGTTAAACTGGTTTGGTTAAAGTTCACTGAGTAAATATGTTGAAATGCAAATGAGAGACACCTCTAGTTACCTTGATAAATACACTGTTGTTTTCGAAGCTTTGGTGGTCCCTCTCCTGCAGGCACCTTAACAATTTCTGCCAAAAGAAACAAAACCAAAAACAACACTACCAGATGGAGTGCATTCATTGTAGCTGTCAAGCTGTAATGTGAGATTTGGCACAGCCCTGTTGGAACGTATCCTCTCTCAATGTTGGATTGGCGTAACTTTGAATCCTGTCATCTCAGAAAGACCCTTTGAGTTAATACTGTCAGGGAAACTTTGAATGCAACATAATTACGCCCCTCTTAAAATACGCCATAGCTGTTTACTTTGAGAGTAAAACGTTTTACATCAAACTGTCATCTGCACATTCAGTTACTGTGAACTCATAATTTGGAAACACTGGCTGCTTCTAAACCCCACTTTTTCCTCTTGATTACAGCAGATCTGGTTCTCCATTTTTTTCCCCCCGCCATCAAAACAGCTCTATGGCATAATACTGGCTGTCCACCATGCCAGTAGCCATACGGAAAAGAAGCTGGGAGGAGCATGTGACTCATCCTTCAGGATTACAGTACAGCTATGATGATTTAGATCTGGTGTGCTGTCATGGGGTGGACAGTGAGGGGTCTTGGATGGAGTCGGGGGCTTCCAAACAAGGTCGCCGAATGAGGTGTGCTTCTATGCCAGAGGGCTGCCACCGAGTGCCCACAAGTGAGGACGAGGCTCGGACTCTTGAGCCAACAACATTTGAAGTAAATGATGACAAAGACTCAGGACAATTGCTGAAAAACAATGTAAATGTTCCCGTAGATTTGAAGGAGGAGTCACTTCATGACATTTCCCAAGAGGCCTCTAAATCTGAGCATCTACAAACCACAAATGTTGGGAATTCCGGGGAAATTCACTGTAGCTCAAACAGTGGGATGTCTTGCGCAAACATCTCTCTTACAACTGATTGCAAAAATAATATGGGTGTTGAAGGTGAAGTTGGCACAGGGGTCAGCCAGAGTTGTGATGCTGGCAATGACAACGGTGTCTATAAAAGTCCACATATCTCTTGTGAAGAACAACAATGCATCTCTATCTCTTGTAACAATGGGCCTCTACTGTCTAAATCTGCTGGTGAGCAGCATGGCAAACTTCCAAATTATCAGGAAACAAAGGAGAGCCATGTAGAGGATGACTGCAGATCTCCTGAGATCTCTGGGACTGCTCAGAACTGGTCGTCTGCTGCTGAACTGGAACCTCAAACTGACCTTCCAGATGTCAAGGAACAAACCTTTTCCACTTCTGGCCTTGTGGATACAAGTGTGACCTTACCTACCAGTCTGCTAGACAATTCAGTTAATATGATGGAGAGTGATGGAGTGATGTCACTGGCTAACACAACTGTGCAACCGGTTGTGAATGTAGCGCCGGAGGAAGTATCGGAGAAAGTAGCCAATGACAGCTGGAGTACAGATTCTGCTGAAAAACTGGATCCATTAAATGACCCAGAAACTCCAAATGGAAATACAGGACTTGAACGTGGCTCAAGAGACATTCAAGAAAGAGACTTACTGGATGCAACTTATAATTGTGAGATATCCTGCCAGGAATTGCCAAGACAGTGTGAGATTGAAACAACGGCACAGGTCAGGCATCAGGAAGGACAAAGTTTACAAGCAGAATGCACAGAGAAAGCTGTCAAAGACAGGAATGGGTCAATAACACCATCTGATATTTGTGTCAAAGGTCAGTGTTGCTTATTGACAGTTGAAAATGTGTCGTCTACAAAACCAGACAATATAAATGTAGAAGGAAGCCCATTGCAGGCCATCAGTCAACCTCCAGAAACGGACAAACAATCGACGGCTTCCTTAAATGAATCAACAGAAAACACTGATGAAATTTCTGTTTCCAAAGAGTTGGCTTGTTGTGAGGATCAAGTCGTGGCTCAGCAGTTGGAAAATAGCTGCTCAAAGCTGGATACCATCCTAGAAGTAAGCCACGTCGAGCCAGATGACACCCCTGCACTGAGTCCACGAGAGAACTCAGATTTCTCCCAAAATCCAGATGCTCAGCACCTCCAGATGAGCGATAACTCTTCAGCTACTGAACAGCACCCTGAAAACCTGCCTCCAAACTCTGCAGAGGTCAGCGAAGAGCTCTCACCAGAGGGACACCATGGCAACCAAGAGGCCTCTGAGTGTTGCTTTGGTGAGTCACCTGCCTCTGAGGTGGCAGATGGTCAAAGGGAACACCACCACAGACCTGAAACTGCTGTGTCTAGAATGGAGGAGTCAGATGAGGAAGGACAAGCTGTTATTCTCAGTGACACACAACTTTCCAGCCCAGTTTTAAATGGAACAAATGAACCAGGAGATCAGAAAGTTGATGTTGTCGTCAGAGTGCGCATGAGAAAGGTAGGGATGCATTGAAGATACATTATATGGGATGCAGAATATATCATTTGCCATTGTTTCTTTGTGAAAACATGTCTGGCTCTTGTGCTTCTAAAAATGAGATTATTTGTCTGAATGAACTTCCTGGAGATGTTGAGCTGATGAATAATTTTTGTCCCACACTCTAGCGAGCGCCTTGGAAAACAATGACTTCACTCTCACATGCTTTCAGATCTGTGAGTGGGGGGGATCTGTGAAATGTTTTACTCTTTCTCAACTGCTCATTGCAAAACAAGGTCCTATAAGGGCATGGAGACTATGAGCACTGAGTGGGCTCAGAGGCTCAAGTACTCTCCGAGGTGAAAGACTTGACTTGCTCTCCTGAAAATACTGTAACAGAAGTCCCTCTAGCCTGTGAACTTTTTGAATACAGTAAAGTACAGAAAACTGGACAAACAATTCTGAATTTTTCAGGTCAATGAGAAAAAAGATAAAGCAAAAAAACGTCTGAAAACCGACTGCTTTTATTCGCATCCAGTAGTTGCGGTTGGCTTGTTTGGTATGACAAAAATGACAAAACCATTATTTACATCAGTTTGTATCAAAAAGGCATGTTGTTTAGACAAGAACCATATTGTCAATGGTTAAAATTCTTGGAAAGTGTGCTTCTTGAGAATAATCATCCACAGCATTTCTTGAAGTTACGTGTAGCAGCAACAGATTTACATTTTTTATTAGTTTATTAATGTGAGAAATATGTATTTTTGTTCATGTTCAGTTGTTGTTGTTTTTTTACCTGCTCTAATGAACTATTAGTCAGTGATTTATTTGGCCCACCTTCCCAGAGGTTCATACATCAGTACATCAGTAGGAGTGGGAGAAAAAATTGATACAGCATAGTATCGGGATATTTTGTCTGGTGATATATCGTATCGTCTCATTTACCAAGTATCAATTTTTCAAATCAATTGCTGATATGAACTCAAGTCTATGATAATGGGAAAATAAAATCAACTATTTGTCAAGTGAGGTTTGCAAAAGTGACATCATAGAGCAGGAGAAAGTTAGTATGACAAATATATAAATATAAAGTTTGCAAGATGTGCTACATGAAAATTAAATACAGCGTAAGTAAGATAAACATAAAGGAAAGACAAATACTAAATTAACTGAACAGTTGAAAACACTGTATAAATCACAATACATTGTATCACAATGCTCACTGTATTGAAAAATGTTAAAGATCGCAATAATGTCGTATTGTGGCCCAAGTATCTTGATAATATCGTATCGTGGGGCCACCAGTGATTCCCACCCCTATACACCAGTGCAGGTTATGATGGCACGTTTGGTGTTATGTAATCCCAGAAAACTGCTCATTATCACTGCATTAATTCAACATTTATTCTGTACTAGCATGACCAAAGTTGACGTCACTCTTTTGACTGCCAAAGGTCCAGAGTAGGGACATGGAAAACAAGTGCCATATTTATTATCTCTGGCTCTAGTTTTCAGTTTTAAGATGACTTTAAATTCGTACCCAAAAAAACTGACCACCGGTACTCAAAAAGGAGAGATCAGCCATAAAGCAGGAGCCCAGAAGCAATCCATTCACCATATGACGATTGACTGCTTTCCCTTTGACTGCACCATATGGTTTTTTACCATGTGGTGTATTTACATACTGCACAAAGCGAGGTTATGAAAAAGTATGGTTTACTAAAGGTCAGGATGTGCAAATGAGCAAAATCCCTTCAATGAAAGAAAAAAACTGGAGGTACGGAAAGGAAAGGGAAAAAAAGCTTTTTATTATAATAGAGCAACTATGAAACAGATGTTAATTATCTGGTGGTCAAAGGCAACATCACCCTAAAGTATCTTAGAAACGGTTCTTTACCAGCTAATGATTATATCTCATCTACAGAGGAGGTGTTGCAGAATGAGTTTGTAAAATGAAACCATCTGGTTTGCATAATGGCCACAGATTAGCCTGATATTGGGCTTTGTTACTGTGTTTATTTGTTTTAGCAACAAGGCTTTATCCTAACCTGAGGGCCAAACTGACAACATCATCTCAGTCAGTTCTCTATCTGATCCTTTTCTGCCTTTTTTGACCACATCCTTCACTAAATGTTTTTATTTGCTGACTCTATACGCATCATTTTAACATTTAACTGCTTTACAGGCATATTATAATTCATTATTGTCTGCTCGCTGCATTTGACTTAAAAGAAAAGGCGTAAAGTTTTACTGACAGGTCTGAGAAATGGGACGCAGGGCACAGGGTGTAAGGTTGGAGTTTGAAAATGAGAGCGAGGAATGGGGAAGGAGGGGTCTTAAGAGTTCAAACAGTGTGGGAACTGTCTCAAAAAACAGGAAGTGTAGAGAAATGTAACAGAAACTTCAAAACGGGAAAAGAAGAAAAGAAACCTTCTGAGAGCACCCAAACCACAGGATGCCCCCTCAAAAAAAAGTTGCATCTCCACGGCGCCTGACATCTTGTGCACTTGTTTTTCGTCTCTGCTGTTTTGTGGTTGTTGTTGCCATCCAGAGCCAGATGCTTTTGTTCATTCAGCGAAGCCTCGTAAAGATGTCATTGTTTTACCACCGTACAATGTTTCATTGTAAAACTTTGCCAAGCAGACAGAAAGCAGCGATGTGCGCTTCCACCAGCAAGGAATGCCAATGAATGCATCAGTGTGAGGCACATTTCCATGACACACATGGCCCTTCATGTCCATGTGCGCTCTCAGCAAACCCAATAGGAACTGCTTTGGACAGGCTAATTGGGCACTAACTGGAAAATAAATGTAAGCTCCAGTCATAAGATGTTATTAGGGGCTGGAGCTGGGAGCCAGGCGCAGCGTTAAGGACTGTTTATCGTGATGTAGATGTAGATCCTATCTGTGATCCGTAAACCTGTCAAACTCAAATGCATTAGCATCAGTCAGCCAATATAAATGCTGTTAATGCAACACACCCTCTGTAAAATTAACTGAAAAAGTGTGGAGCCATGCAGGCGACTTCAATTCAAGTGTGTTTGATTTATATATGTGTTAACTTTATCCAACATCACCCTGTAAAATTCTTCCTAATGTTTCACATATGAACGGATTAAGCTTATGTCAATGTGCCTGTGCAGGATTTCCACAAACATTCAATCAAAGTGTCTGTTTGTCCCATGATATCACCCTCATAAAGTGTTTAACAGGGCCTGTTAGGGAGATTGTAACAAGGTTTGTTTGGGACTAATGAGCGAGCCGTGTGATGTAATTTCTCGGGGTTCGTCTCAGGAGAGCGGCTCAGACAGAGAGCCACACCCGGAGCCAGGATGAAAGACAGGCAGGAGGAAATGAAAACATGGACTGCATAAAAGAACACCAAAAAGGGATTTAACAAGTTTTTAGATTTAAGGGAGAGGCTTTTACTGCATTAAACAACAGGACTGAGGGATGGCACACAGGGACAGAGTGGTAGGTGGAGTGCTGTGAGGGATGGATTGTATGTTATTTAGCCTGTCTTACTGGAGACACACCACCTGAGGTCAGTATGAGACTTGTTATCAGAGCGTCAGAATGGCTAATTGAATACCACAGAGTAGAGGACCATGAGGCGGATATTGTTTTGAAGTGGTATGAGTTAAAAAAAAAAAAGAGCAGTGATGATGAAATTAAAAAACTAAATGCACAAGGTGTGAAGAAAAAAAAGGAAACCGCCATGATGGAGACGATCGGAGGAGATCAGAGGGCGAAAGTGCCGGGATAGGATTATCAGCAGGGGTTAAAAAGGAACAAAGGAGGGAAGTAGGGAGCAGGGAAAGAAGGATGAGCAAAGTTTACCACAGACAGCTGGTCAAAATACTTAGGAGCTAACATTTATACAGACAAAAAGAAGAATAACATTAGTTGGATGCAAAATTTATAACATGTCAAAAAAAAGTTTGTGTTTTTTATTCAACAGTAAAGGTTTGTTGTTTTTTGCCATTAAAATGATAATTTTACCCTGTTTTCTTGGTTTTAACACAGAGCGAGGTCAGTTTCATTTTAGTGCCATCATGCTGACTAATCTTCAGTTCTGCTGTCAAGTATATCAAGTATTATGCAGATAATTGATCTTATCCTGCCTAACCTTTTGTCAACAGCAAGCTTCACTCATGATAGAAATAATCTAATCAAATTGCTTTTACTGGTGTTACCCTGCAAATTTTGCCTGACAGAATCGATGTAAAGCACTGTGTTATCTGGTTTGTCTGAGAATGAATCTTCAACAGGAAACACAGATAATGTCAACAACACAGTTCAAATACCACAGTTTTTATAAAAAGTTTAGAGTTAGCCATCCTGTTGTGTTTGTGCGAGGAGCATCTCACTAATACTGTACATCTCTACTGCTTCTGACCATTTGGTAAACTAACATTCACTTTATTCACCCTAGACTAATATATATATTTCTCTGCTTTGTCACTTGATCCAGCGTGAACATGCTTGTCTTGACTCAATGGTGCTGTTGCTGATGAAGCTGGACCAGCTGGATCAAGAAATAGAGAATGCTCTCAGTGCCACATCCTCCATGGACAGCACCCCCACCCTCCATCGACATCAGCTCCAGGTACACAACTACATCTTATTGCAAACTTTGGTGGCTTTGGCTGCCACTTTCAAGGCCATATTAATTCCATTTAAAGTGTGGCAATTGTGAAAAACAAACATAAAACTGCTCTATTTCTCTTCTTTCAGCTGTCATAATCTTATCTGCCCCCTAATGGCCATATGAGGCGTAACAATGCCTGCTTATCATTTTGCTTCTAAAACAACACTATTGATGTTTCTTGAAGTAATAAAAGCCTTTTCAATATTGTGATCTTGCCATCCACAGGAACTTGATGAAGGATCTGTGCCAGCAGCCTCACAAAACCATCTACATCCAAACTCTCCTGCTGCCTCTACCTCAGGACCTACTCCAGCGCACGGGACAAAACCTAAGAGTGGAGTAAGTCAAGAGCTTGATACCATCATAATGTAGAGCGAAACTTAGTCAGAAGGTCAAAAAGAAACTGAGTAAGTTAGGTTTGTGCATCACCATTTTGAAACTCATTTCTACAATATTTAAAGTTTTCCAGCTAGAAAGATCTAGAAGTGGTAAAAGAATTATAAACTGTAAATACTGCTCCTACGCCCTGGTTATTTAAGGATCTGGAAATTACATGAAGTTACAATTGCTGCAGATTTGAAAGCTTTCCTCACTCCTCCTTGTGTCAATTCTTATTTCAGATCATCTCAATGTTTGTTGATTGAATGTAGAAATTGTTTTTTTTTTTTTTCTTGGGACAGATGCAAGGAAGTTTTGACAAAAAGGCAAACACAAAGGGCACACATGCACACTCACTTACACACTTGAAGTGAATCTCCCAATTGTAGGAATGTCCCCCAGCACTTAGGGTTTAGTCAGGCAGACGTTAAAGCTCTATAATTAGCTAGCTCCAAAGATCTAGACCCCTTCTTCCATACAAAGGGGTCAGACAGGGGGGGTCTGAGTGTGAAAAGCCAGGGCATGGGCGAGCAAAGGGGGAGGGGGGGCACGTTTCAAGTGAGACGTGCGTCCTCAAACCCTCTTGCTTGCTCACTTAATGACTTTGTCAGACTAGCTTTGCTCTGGCCATCAGAAGGAGGTCAAAGTGAAAAAGGCTGGCGGTCAGCCGGCTGTGAAGACCCATGCAAACTTGTATAACTTCAACGTATTTAGAAAATTACTCAACCTGATTTCAAGAAACCCCAAAAATCACATACATGCATACGTACATGCAGCAAAACAGATTATAACCATGAGAAGTTAGATCAAATCAGCAGTATGTAGCAATGACATATGCATTCACAATTCAAATAAATATTCATACTGATTCTCTAACCTTCAATGCTCACAAAATAATCTGTTTTTTTTTTCTTTCAAATAATGAAGCTATGCATAGTTTGATTTTTATTTATTCACCAGTAAGTGCGTCCAAACAAATAAATGTGAACAGAGAAATATGTGCATAGTAAGTTGTGGTGTTGATTAACAAAATTCTATACATATAATAAGGGTTACCGAAACAAAAATGGGCAATGAAGAAAAAAAAACAAACAGAAACAAATAAAAACAAATCAAGAGAGTAGAGAGGTAGAGGAGAAAGCCTAACAAAACAAAATAAAATAAATAAATAAATAAAAAGAATAATTAAAAACAAAAAATGCTAATAATAATTATCAAGAGACAAGAGCAGAAAGACAAAGAAAAGGGGTTTCATGATAAATTAGTTGTGATTATTTTCCTTTGAGATTCAAATTTTTTTATTAATTTATTTTTCCCTTCTCTTCTTCACAAATAACCCTTTGTATGTCAATGCTGTTTACGCGGTGGCATCAACTCACCGGCAGAGATGGCGGCGAGAGTTGTGGAGTATGCATAGCTTGATAACCCTCAATGTGAAACTTTACGTCTAAGTCACTTAGGACACACAGCAACCAGCGTAAACATCAGAATCCTTGATTAAAAAGGACGTCTTGAATCCTGACCTATCTCTTACAATTTCCCATAGATATTGCTTTGTCTTGTTGCACGTCACATCTGAAAAGTTGTCAGAAGGTCGCTCGGCGTGATGATAAATGAAGTGGGAAACAGAAACAGCACACACTATGACGTGTTATGTATTATGTCTATGACCAACTGTTTCCACGACCCCCATTCCTGCAGTAACCCAAGGTAACTCTCCAAGCTTGAGTAAACAGAGCTTTCACTGCGCCTAATAGGAGGCTTTTTACAGTGGAGGCCCTGCTGAGTGATTGATTGAGACCAAAGAGATGATGACCTGGTGAAGGGGGATTCTCACTGGTTAATAGTAGCAGGGGGACTGAAGGGTCCTTTCAGACGCACAGAGTTGTGACGCCCGCTTAATCTTTTTTAGGGAGACAATACAAATCCTTTAAATGATGTAAACACAGAGCAGATGTGAGGACGAGCTGAGTCGAGGTTAAAGCTTTAGATGGCGCAGTCATGTTTACAAGACAACATGTATTGTACGAATCAACACTTCCATTTAATAATAGATCACTCAAGCATAAAAACACAAGTAATGTACAATTATAACTCATTTCTGAATAGCAGGAAGAGTATGTTAAGTGATTATTTTATAGCAAGGCTGTTGCAGAGTGTTTCCCTTTCAAGTGAGTATAACCTTTTATTATAACAGGAAATAATCACATCCTTTCTTTTTGTATTTACCATAACACTAATCTTAGCGGTCTTTATAAATTATACAGTGGGTGAATCACTTGCCAAACTGTGTTTGATACACTTCATCTGCTCCACATGCCTTCAAGCCTCAAAATGTTGATTGAGTTTAATCAGTACTTTTCCCTACATGCTGTTGACAAATCCTTCAGCAAAATAAGATTTTTTGGGAAGATTTAAGATTTTATTTTAACAGGATATGTCTCCTTTTACCTAATTCAGCCATGCACACCCAAACATTCAAATTGTACACCTACAAAAAAGTAAGAAGAACCTTTTCAGAGTGAGACTCGTCACGTACTCTGAGCTTTTATAACCTCTCGCAACATGTTGCCCTCAACAAGTCTTGACATCAATCCAATAAAGAAGGTATTTGCTAGTTTACTCTGGAGAGCAAACAACATATATCCTCTGAGCAAGTGAAGAGTGAGTGCAACCCACACTAAAGCAAAAGTCAACATAGAAATTGCAACCGCACACACATCAGTGATCTTTGCAAAAAGGGTCAAGCATCTGAAAAAGGAGTAGTTCTTTAAATGGGGGCATGTTTACAGTAGAAGTTTTATTTTTAATATAAAGCGTAAAGATGGATGTTTTTTACTAGGAAGGTCAGGGAAAGGTTAAATAAAAAATAAAAAACTTAAGGGAGGGAGGACTGACTGTAACTGGATGTGATCATTGCTCTCAAGTATTTCTACAAGTTATTAAGACAGTCACCACATCTAATAGATCACTGTTACTCTTTACTTTTGGAGTGCTCTCATTACCCTGATGGCACTCATAGAGTTGGCGTGTTATTGGGTAGTCTGTGTTGTTAATTTTTGTTACATATTTATTCTGTTTTTAGGCTCCTATGAGTGATTCAAAATTCAAAAACAGTTTTAATAATAACTAGCTTAAGCTAAGTAGCACTAAACAAAACAGAGATACAGAGTTATTCATGAAGTGTTTGATTTTATACACTGAGTAATAAACGGCTATTAGACATCTTTTTTTAGACCTAATGTCAACCGTCTAGATTCTGTATATTTTTAGATGAAATTTAGATGTTGCATTTTAACCCATTATTCAATAACTATTTATTTCAAAAAGCAACTGTGACGTGCATAACTGATCTTCAAGTACTGAAACAAAATAATTATGATAGCTGTTGAGCAATATACAGTGTAGTGTAGATATAGCCCAGATTTAGACTTGGTCTAAATTTAGACGTCTAAAAAACTTTCATTTTTAGACCTGTGGTAGCCTAATTTTAGACCAGTCATCTAGGCTACATTTAGACGTCTATTAGACCTCTTAAAACCAAAAAATGATCAATGGGCTTGTTTTGAAGTCTGTAAATTCTTTCTGTCATTTGAAGCCGCAGCAGTGATTTCATGTAGTTTGAACTGAAGTGCTGATCTTTCAAGCCAATGCAAGCTAAAAGTCAAATGGTCCAGATGACTTCGAGCCATTGTCTTGGCAATCATTGTGGTTTTCATGGGGATACAGAAGGCGCTGTCCCTGTTTATAGCAATGGTCAGGATAAAGAGATAAGACTCTTGTTGTGATATACAGAAAATTGAACCAACTCTTGCTGAGTGTAGTTCAGTGAACTCTGACTGACCCGCAGGATATCTGTGTGGGCATTATAATGAACATGCAGAAAGCGTAGAGAACGATATGTGCCTGACTCTTCCCGTATCACGTGGTAGTGTTTGTGTGTGTGTGCGTGTGTGTCTGTGATTTTGATATGCTTGTAGGGACTCTGTGGATCATGAAGTGTTTACCATCATACACTCACATTCCTTTTGTTCTGCAGGATCACACAAAGGCACCTGTTTGTGTCGTTCATGTCCCCCAGACACCTCCTGGCAGTCAGCGTATCGCTTCAGCACGTACTTGTGCTGTTCTGTCCTTTATGTAACAGTGATAAATGTGAAGTGCTGGTATGTGTCTGTGTCGACTGGTGGTGAGTTGACATTTGCTCAGCATGTTGTACGTTCATTCAACCACAGCTGTGTATGAGGCAGCGGGTTCAAGTCAATGGCTTAGCTGCTTGCCATTGTTAGCCTTCAGCAGGTGACTGTTATTTTTGCGTCGAATGTGGGGCTTAAATATAACGGATGTTGTGCCACAGCAGGTGTTTTTTTCTCATGGTGGAGCAGCTATTCTTTGCCCCAGAGTGTTTTTGTTGGCAGGTTTCTATTCCTTGCTTCGTGGAGCAGGTGTCTTGTAGTGTTGTTTAGTTTGCATTGTTGTGTTGCAACAGGTGGCTTTTATTTGCTTTATAGACTGATGTGCATGTAAATATATATTATAGAGAAGATTTCTCATACACAAGGCAACATGATCGGTTGTCAGATCACTACTGCCAACTGTCTTCGTGTATCGTCTCATACTTAGACCACTTTTTAAAAGCCTTATCAGTTTTACCATTTATTTGTTTCAGCATTGACTTTATCCTCAGATAATAACAATACTTTTATACTGTATGTACATATATAAATACAATATATATTTAGATGTATAATTATGCATGCTGTTAGAGACATTTGTTATGCGGCTCTATTTTTAGCGTCTTTGCGATTGCAGAGGATGTGCCAAGCTGCAAAGGCGGGTGGAGGCTGCTGACCCCTGACCACCTTCCTCTGAATGTTACATTCGGAAACAACATATCAGTCACCCTCAGCGCGGAGCGTTCCCACAGGCAAAACATACTACAGACCCCCCCAAAGACTCCCAGCTTCTGAGGGAGGCACAGAGCATGACAATCTGTTAAATTTAGCACCTGAGGGTTTTACGTGTCATGCATACAGCGACAGGTAACACACCGCTCTATACAGTCCCTCATCCTCTCCGTCTTTGGTAAACATAACTTTACATAAAAGGGCAACCTTTGACCCTGTGTTTGGATCTGTATTTGGTCTCCATGGCAACAGTATTCCCAGCTTGTGTTCAGTGGTATTCTTTCTTTCTCTGAGCTTTTTCTACATTGGGGTCTCTGATATTTATAAGCTCTTCTTTGAGGGAGATGAGGGATTTGGAGATATTTCAGTTCTTTTAAATGATGGAAATTTTTCAGCCCCTGTCAGTGAGTTATATATGTACATGTGTCGTTATCTGTATGTAGTGTGCTGGACAATGGAAGTGCAGTGGTTTGCGTGCTAAGGTCACTTGCAGATCTCTGCTCTGTCCTTCCTCTGTGTTCCAGTTTGGCAGCCTCACAGTCCCCAAACATCCTCTATCCAAACCACACCTCCTGAATATTTCCCTCATACTATTTTTTCTTCAATTCTTTTATCTCTTGCTCCTCCATTCCCATCATTTTTCTACAGTCAACACCAAATGCAGCAGGCATAATCATATTTTTTGCCTTCGTTCCGGCAGCATATTTGTTTTAGTGAACCATACTGAGTCAGCTAACTATGAAACTAACTTCCATTGAAGCTGACAAGACGGTGCTAACAGCGGTTCTAGTCACTGCTTCGCTGACTGCTTTGTGCGGTGTTGTTGTCCCAAAGGTCAGTCCTCTCTGGTGAGCACAGCTGTAACATGGAGACAAACATGGACCTGCTGTGGTTTATAAAAAAGGAAGAGTACAAGATAAAAGAAAAGACCTGTGTTTGGAGCAGGATGTGGAAAATGAACTTCTCCTCAACCCCCCCACAAGGAAATCTTGTTTTTCCTGTCAATTCAAGGCTAGAGCTGTTGCATAAAGCACTCCAAGAACAGAAGCGGGGCACATGGTAAAATATATTTTTCTTCTTTTTGGCTTTGCAGAGTATTAAAGGACGAAGCCAAAATGAAGTTTAGAGAAACAATGTGTATATATCAGACTAAATCTGTTTGCACACACGTATATTTATTTATCAAAGTAGATCCAAGCTGTGATATTTTCAATTGTTTCCCAAAATAAGACTTGTATTGATGCCTCTCTGTTGAAATCGAACATCATGTCAAACTTCGATGTTTACACTAAAGTCTAAAATGGCAACTCTGTCTCTGTTTGTTTTTATGACAACATACCGCAGCATGACGCCTGAACCAGAGCAGCCTTATCTCAAGTATTGTTTTGTTTTTTCTTTTTGGAAAGCTAAAATGATTCCTAGTTCTTCTGGCATGAAATCAACCATCCACTGAGCCTGTTCGTTGCTAACAAATCGTCGTTAGTTTTTAAAGCACGCACTGAGTCAGTGAAGTAGAGCGTTCGTCATTATGTAAAGCAGACAGTAAAAAAGCGCCGGGGAATACTTTCAGGATGATGGTACTTGTTGACAGTAAATCTTGAGGATGACTGGAAAATGCAGGCATCTGGAAACACCCCTGCAGCCCGCTGATAATGAAGCGCCATAAATCATGGAACGAACAAACAAACTGGATGCACTCTTGGAAACGCGCACACAACAAACACTGATAAATGCAGAAACATCACGCAGGAATTCATTGGATAACCGAGTACAATTCAGGCCAAAGTTACTCAAGGATAGGATCTTAATTTTGACACTCTGCTTGAGCTTGTGGTTTTATTTGCATTTTTAATCATGTTTGCCTCAAGTCATGTTCCCAGAGCCAATATGAATTAAATTGTCTCTCTTGATCAATCGTTTTTTCACTCAGATCATAAAAGCTGTTGATTTGGCAGATGAGACTTTTTAGAGACCTGAGTTCCAGCTGAATGTATTACACTCCTAATAAGACTGTGTATTCGTTGGTAAAAGTTACAAAACTATGACACAGCAAATGTCTCGCCCCCGTGTCCTTGTGGTAAGTCAGTAAGCCATGTGTCTGCCACACTCTGGGGCCACCACGCTTTTCTGCAGAGGACGGTCTAATCCCTCTGTGTTGTTAACCCACTCTCCCAAAAATGTCAGCAGCTGATCCTCAGGCGAGCATTGTTGGTGCAGTCGGGATTGTAAGGCTTATCCACATCAACTCTGGTCCATAAGACACCAAGTCGACCTGCTGGTGAGTGGGAACAGGTGACACATTTTCCCTCTCCGTGTGTAGTGTAACAGCACAGGGGCGGAATTAAGTGTCAATTGTACCAACTGTGTCACCGTTATTTCAGCATTTTTCTCAGCCCACATTCAAAAAACACTTGCAAGCAACTTTGATGTGCATGATGGCGATGAATCTAGCTTGTACTCTAAAGGTCCTTACACAACAGCGAATTTGTAGAGCGAAGCGAAAAAGCGAGACGAAAATGTGAAAATATTCGCCGGTCCGAAAAATCGCTTTCGCTTATACACATTGGGCGACCACTCTGTGGTACACACTCTCTCCCATCGTTGCTCTTGGTGCCAGTGGTGGTGTGTGTCGTGTGAACTACAGCCGCATGGGTCTGTGACGTCATCAACAACATGACTTTTGATTGGCCAGAGGTCTAGCAGGTCCAGATATTCGCCTGCGAATCTCCGAAAAATTCGACACAAGAGTGAAAAAATAAAAGACGCTTTTCGCCCCGCGGAAAAATCGCCGCCGGTGTGGAGGCTTGCATTGACTTTATGCTGTTTTAAAAAAAAGGCGAATAAAGGTGAATAATTCGCCTGGCGAATTCACGCCTGGTGTGTAAGGACCTTTAGGGTGACCATACATTCTCTTTTACCTGGACATGTCCTCTTTTTATGGGGGCTGTCCGGGTTTGTCCAGGGAAGTTTATAAAATCCTTCAAATGTTTGCGGTTTTGTACGTGATTTTGTGTCACGTGGACTTACTGAGTTAGAAGCACGTAAAAGACTCTCGATCTGACCCAAAAAACTCAAAATTAACTTTGTGCGAACATGGTCACCTTGGTACTCTAGAATAACCTTTTATCGTTTTGGTGCCTTCTTTAATGTTTATTGTTGTATAGTTTTAACCAAGAAGCAACCTAAGCGTTCGAAAATAAACACTGTTCAATGGGGAAAAACGCAGGTCTGCAAGTTTACCCATCTCCTCTTCTTTGTCTTTTGGGAGGAAGAGTCTTTCAGTCAGACAGGTCAAGAGTTACGCTCTCGTCTGCTGATGGATTCTCAGGGCCAGTCAACAGTTCACAGTTTATGCTCCAGGGGCCGAGCACTAAATCCCAGCAGACACCGCCTGAAACAAGAAGCCTGTTGCTTTGGCTTACTCTTGTAAACAACGGCAAAATGTGTGTATGTCTGTCTCTGTGTGTCCTTCTTTTCTCACTCTCTTTCCATCAACATCAGCCTGTACACAACATATCTCATGACTCCTGCTTGAGTGAGAGACTTGTGTGTAGGTGTGTGGGAGAGAGCGCTGTGGGTTTGGTAAAATCATTAACCTCCTCCTACCACGAGTGGAGACTGAGAGTGAATCCATTCATGCTATAGAGTTCAGCTCGGCCTTAAAACTTCAATACATGTTATCGACATGTCTCCAAGTGCCACAAAATCTCCTGAGGACGTTTTTTTCTGTTCATTACGACTGTTGAATCTGACATCTGGCAGCTAATATGCGTCTTCTGTAGGGAAATGTTCCAATGCATCATTACACCAAGTCATCACATCACTTCCTGTTGACACACTTCAAGTGTGACATATGGAAACTGTTAAAAAGTGGAAAGGAGATGTCGGGGTGGGGTGGAGGGGGTTGAAGTTTTCCTTAAGGAAAAGGCGAGAATGAAATTGTTTCCCACGTTTCCTTGCACACGTGCGTTCAGGGGTCGATGGAGCACGGAGGATAAATTCTTGTATAAGTGCGGGGCAGAAAGAGCACGTTCATGCCAGTCAAAAAACAGAAATGAGCTCCAGATAACATCTCCAAAGGCCATGGAAAGGTGTGTGTGTGTGCGCACTCTTTTCAACACACACACACACACGCTCTCTCTCTCTTCCTCGTTTCAGTCACAGTTACCCTATATGTCTGGTGCTGGAGCCGCCAGCTTACCTGACCATAAGCCATCTGCACCAATTTAGCCATTTGCGTTAAGTGGTGGAGAAAAAGGTTTGGGTTAGCTTGAGCCCCCTAATCCTTGGCCAGCACAGACCATGGGTGGTCACACACACACACACACTCACATGCACACGCACACAATCGTAGTGCAGCTGCGAGGGGGTGGGGGGGTTGAGAGAGGCACGGTGGACTGCACAGATTTGTTGTGCAAGAGCTGCATGCCGAACGCTTGCTTCACATCTGTGACTAAGTAGAGTTTAGATGCAGCTGGACAAAATTGGGCTGATTAGTGAAGAAAATAAAGTTTGTCCTGAGGGCGAGATGTTCTTTGGTGACAAACAAAACACAAGAGCAGCATTTTGTATGCAAATGTGTTGAGTATCAAAAGCTGACAGTTGCTGTTTGGATTTTTCTTCTCTAGCAAATTCTTTGATTAGATAATCCTTGATATAACAATTCATCACTAGTGAATGAGTCACAACCAACTCCTGCTGTGCTGTCATTATTTCTCCACATCGTCAGGACTTTATTGAAAATTTTACTGGTTATCCTAAATAGTCAAAGCTGCAAGATATGTTGTGCTTTGACCGTACAAAGTATGTTTAAAAGTAACTCTAATGGAACTTTATTGCAAAAGGGCAACATTGAGTTTGAATTGAGTGTCGTTCAATTTCAGTATCATTTTTGATTGCATCTTAGATTTCATTTTGTGTGTGTCTGAAAGCTAATTAAAAAAAACTTTTATGTTGGACTGGAAATGCAGATTTTAAGTATCAGATGATAGAAAATAAAGCTGAAAAAGGACAAATGAGATGAGACCTCCTGGTGTTGTTTTTCGTCAAAGCTTTTGTTGGAGAGGGTTTCACAGAAAAAACATAGTCCATCAAACCTTTCCTTGTGGTTACTTTATATGTGTTATTTGTACTAGAAAAGTGTATTAAAATGTAAATGCATTGCCCTGCTTCGACCTTTCAACCTTATCACATCATCAAGCATTGAGTTTTCCCTCCGAAAAAATCCACTTGGTCTTCCAAGATCGTTGAATCAAATTAAACCTTCCTGCTGGCAGGAGTCGAATCATTCTTGGAGTGTTTTTATTTGTTTTAAGACCCACTTTAAATCCGCGTCTCGCTGCAGTAATGAGAATAACGACCCTACAGTGGTTAATTATGCAGGCACACATGCTTGGCAGGCCACTCGGCACACACACATGTGTGTAAAGCAAACACATACCTTACCCCCCCTGTGCCCCCACACAGCCCTCTTCCAGTAAATTAGTGGCAGTAAATGAGGCAGCTGACGCTTGTGTGCTGTGCAGCCCTACAGCTCCCAGCGGACACCTGACACGGCCTTCACAACCTCACACTGAGACAACCTGCACTGTGGCATGCCACGGGGAACGCAGGAAAACACGGGGAAGTATGTGAGCATGGTGCTGTGAAAACACTGGTACTCACTGGTACCCATTCATTCACATTCCTGTTGGACTCTGAACTCACATTTATTCCGCTGGTATTGCTATTATGAGGGAAAACAGAGCATTGTGTGGAGGTGAGATTTACACTGTGTGTAAGTGACTTCATGGGTCATTGACAGGAACTCGTGGTGTGCTGTTTACACAATAGGAAGGGCGCACACTGGTCAACTGAAATGTCTTGTTAGTGTTAAGCAGAGAAGTTACCCAGACCTCCCATACTTTCTCCATTAGTCAAGGCTGCACTCTCTGAGAGTTGAAGCAAATTGTTAAGATGCAGGATGTTTTTAAAAAATATTGATTTATATACCCAGACAACCTGGATTACGTTAATTGCTGACAGTAAAAAATTACAGAGCAGTGCCGCAGCTTGTTCTTGACATATATATAAACTCATTTGAATTAAATATTATGAACTTAAAGGGGAATTTTGCGTAAAATTAATTTAGGGTCAAACATACCGTAACACTGAGTTAGATACCCCCTTGTGAGATGACTGTTGCCACAACTTTAGTAACGACCGTACGATAGCAATACACAACGGTCTGAGGAGCCACAAACAAACCTCAACCAAAACACCACTCTATAGCCACAAATAATGCAAAATAAATAAAGCTCAAGGAAGAACATTTATGATAAATCATTACTTTATCATTTTCTTGGAGTAATAACCACCACATATTAATCGTTTTGCACTGCTGAAATGATCATAAATGTTCTTCCTTGAGCTGTGTCACCCCGCTGCAGTCCGTGATGGACTAGCCTGAGGTCTCAATACAAACAAGCGGCTGCTGGAAGAGAGTGGGTGAGTTGTGTTTAGTCTCTTTGCTAAAGAAATCAGGCAAAGTTAAAAAGATGTTTGGTGTCTAGTACTGTGGCTGGGACCCTATATGTACTGTTGATGAAGTTAGGTGCTGTTCTGAGCATTATTTGTGGCTATAGAGTGGCGTTTTGGTTGAGTTTTGCTTATGGCTCCTCAGACCGCTGTGTATTGCTATTATTGTTGTTACTTAAGTTAGTATAACTAGAGAAGCAATCGGTCGGCAACATTCATCTCTTGAGGGAGTGTCTAACTTGGTGTTATGGTGTGTTTGATCCTAAATTAATTTTACGCCAGAATATCCCTTTAAACTGGAGTTAAACCTGATAATTCAAAGTAACCCTAATTTCAGAAATCAACAACAACTAATAAAAACAGAAAGTTGAGAAATTTGCTGCATCTAACAGTTAGCCTGCTGAAATAGTTTATAGTTTATATAGTATATAGTTTCGTATCCAGCCAATAAAAAGGTAGTCGGTGCTGTCTGGACTCCTTTTCACACTGTCTGCACTGTTCTGCACACAAGGGAATGCTACATTGACCCTGTGACGGCTGGGAAAGCAGAGCTAATATTTCTGGAGTCCAACAGCTGAACAGCTCTGAATATAAATCCATCTCTGATTTCACCTCTTTGTTGTTATACTGTTTGTACCCGTGATTTAGTGTCAGAGCAGTGTGTGGGAGACTTCGGCTGCGGCTGCTCCCTTGTGTCTTTTTTAGGTCATTAATTTGCAATGAATTGTAAAGCTATTGGCCCCCGGGGGGAATTTTATCCACTTAGTGTCTGAAATGTGACCAGTGATGTGATTTAATGCTGTTTTTGCCCACACATTTTGCACAAGTCCAAGTTCACCCATTTATAAAGACATAACACGCACCTTTACCAAGAGTTATTCACTTTTTGGCTTTAAAATCAAGTGTTTTTTTTTTTTTTAAAGGACAACTCACCATTGGGACACCAAACAATCGGAGTGAAACAACAAGACCAAGACGACATTTGATCCCTCGTTAATCAGCTAACATGTCCGCAAAACCAACTCATGTATGAGAGCAGATATTGTTCCGACTCCAAGCAGACTGTGCCACGCATGAGCTGCTTTAACATGAGAAAGAGTGCCTGTGATATTTGAGAGGCTGGGTAATAATATCTTTATATAGAAACATGATCAAAACTTGAATATTTACAAGTTAAATACAATTTGGTGGAAATAAAGATGTGTTTTTCACCACAGAGTGCATCAAAAATATTTATTTTTAGAGCTGAAACACTTAGTGATCATGCGTGAAACTTTGTTTGCGGTCATTGTGGACTGGTTCAAGACATTCAAAAGCAACATCCTGAAAGAATCTATATGAAGGTTAATAGGTAGTGTATTGACAAACTAAGTCATTATACTGCTTACAGGGGTATCAGCATGTCTTCAGCACAGAAAAATATTCAGATTATGTATGACAAAGCAAATTTTTAGGACGGTTTATTCGAAGAGAAGCAGGTTGGCAAGATGTCAACCAAAGAGGATAAGGAGGAGGTAAGGAAGAGGATAAAGTAAAAGCGAAGGATAAGATCTAAGAAGAAAGAGTGAAATGTTTCACAGAAATCGTGTTCTCTCTCATCTTTAAACCAGTGAATGACTTTTTATATTTTGCGTATTTAATCCTGCAAATCAAAATCTGTTTTTTTTTTGTCGATTTTGTTATGACTTACCCCTTTCATTACACGTTATACTCGCATACTTAGAATTTGGTTTTTGGAAACAGACGTTTGATCTTACTTGTTTCACTCGGTTTGACATCAAGATTTGACGTCAGTGTAACATTTTGATCATGTCACATGTGCCAATCACCATTTTATTTTTCCCCAGCATGGAAAAAGTCTGACAAACAGTTCCCCAGTACTGGTAGATATGGGTTTTATAATAATTCATGCACATTGGAGATGCTTATCAGGAGATTTTGTGCTAAAGCCAAGGGGCTTCAAGTCAGAGCTAAATATAAAGCAAATATGCGAGGGTGGCTTTAATCTTTTCATCTCAGTGTTGGCAGCGTGTGTGAATTTCCCCAAATGTTGAACTACTCCTTAAATATGATAATTGGCTGGGTTTTGGCTGGGCTGAATTTGCTGTGTAAGTAGGTGCCAAACAGTAAACAGGCTTTAGAGCAGTCACAGCAGGACGCGGCTAAAGCACTTTAATTAGGCCTGAGTAGAGAAAATACACACAGAGGAGGAAGTGTTTCAAAACTCATATAAAATACAATAAAATACCTTAAAAGAAAGTGGCTACTCACTAGATTCTGCATAGTAAAGTTAATGTGGGCAGAAAATTGTACTCAGAGTGCATGTGGTCCAGCCATTCCTATCTGATCTCTTCCAGGGGAGTGTGGATTAAAACGGGTCAGGGTGTGGAGGTCAGCCAAGAAACCTTATAGGTCAAAAGTCAGTCGCAAAAAAAGACCTCTGCATTCCAGCCAACTGCTGCCCACCACATACACACAATGGCAAAACACACACTCACACAACCACGCGCTTAACCGTTGAAATGACACATACCATCCTATTTTTATTGCAGTAGTATTTTCTTTTGAAAACCACAACAAAGCCAAAGAAGGAAATATTAAGCTGCTTGAATGGTGAGAATTTGCTATGGCAACAATAATGTGATTTTATCAGTAAAGTCTAGATGACGTTTGGATCAACGCCGAATCAGAGGAGAATGTGCTGCCCGCTCAGACTTCTCATGTGATATTAGATCATCAACCCCTCGTGGGTCTTTTTAATCTATTTTAACCGTCAATCAGGACATTGACACATCTACAAACTATGTGCTTGTTACAGAATCTGTCTATGTGTGTTCATCATGTGTTTCTACTTTTGGATTTTCTTATCGGTGTGTGTGGCGGCAGATTACCTTGGATTTCTTTTTTTTTTGTAATTTCCTCAGATTGTTATCCAAGTCCTTTGAAGGAGTGTTTGAAATGTTGATAATAGTGCAGGTCTTTGTTTCAAGAATTATTGTAGACACACACACACACACACACGGGCCAACTGACTCAAACAATGTTTTTGTCCTGTTCTGTGGTCTTTTGAGTACCAAAGATCGTGGTTTTCAAGGACAGAAATGGGGAGCAAGGACATACAATAAGAAAAATATATGTATATGTATACTTAAAACTGGGTTGTTTAAGTATAAACATTACATAAACTCATAAACTCTGAGCAACAATCGTGATCAAACAGTGCAAGCATGAGTAAATCCTTTCAAAGTGGCTTACAAGTATTACTTTGTAAAATATTGTTCAAGGACTAACACCAAACTAAAAAAGAGTGTCTCAATGCTCCTGTGAGGAACTCTTGGTTTGTGTCAGCTTTGGTGCCCCTTGTGGACAGTATAGTCTTTGCTTCTATTGTCTTTTAAAAGGTTTAGTAGCGTTTGATGACAGAAAATCTCACCCTGATGACTTTTGACTATTAAGTATATCATGATTGTGGAGTTTGTCAAAAGCAGGGCATTGTCTTCAGTCAGTTGATTGGTACATTTTCAATATCACTCATCACTTACATGGGATTTTGTAAGGTGACCATACGTCCTCTTTTTCCCGGACATGTCCTCTTTTTGGGGAGCTGTCCAAGCACATAGTTCGTCATGTTCAGTGAATGTGTGTGGACTCTTAGGATGGATTATGATTAATTTTTGTCGAATGGGTGACACACTCAGAACTGTAATTTTAAGCATTGCCAAAGCAACAATTAAGCCATTATTTTAGACTATATGTAAGGCACACTCCTTCTTAGTTGTATTATTTACGAATCCCTATTTATTTTGTTATTATTTGTCATAGAAAACACATCAGTTAACTCTGCACAGAAGATAAAGAGATACTTGATCCATGTCAGTGCATCCAAAGTATGATAACTCTTGTTTTTTCTCTTCTTGTTCACAGAGCACATCTACCGTTCCTGAAAACACCAGAGCTGGTAAGTCTGTGCTGTTTTTCTTTAAATCCGCATTTATTAATTTTCAATTCAGCAGACCTTGACGAAAAACAAAAACAGCATCGGGTTGCATTTCTTTTCCATCATGTTGTCAAGTGTGTGTTAGAAAAACAGCGCGTGTCTGCAGTTGATCTGGTCTGTGTCTGCTTTGCTGTCATGTGAAGAGATTTTGAGGTGCAGTTTCTGATTGATGGCCTTGTCTGGTGTTCACAACATGGGGGCAAAGGAGAACGGAGGAAGGGAGGATGGGTTTGAGAGGAGGGGGACAGAATCTGCTGCTATATGAGACACTGGATGTGAGAGGAGATAAGATCCTAGACTCATCTACCGAGCCATCAAACTCTGTCGCCATTCTCAGATAACTACCAGACTGAGCGTCGGGTCTGGTGCCAAAACTATTTCGCTTACCAACTGTTTTTATTTCTCAGTAGGAATGAAAAGGTGCAAAATATGTGAATAAATCCAAAAAGACCCCCTGTATTCATGTATTGTATGTTTAACAGCCTTCACAGTATTGAGCTGTTGTGTCATTACTTAGCGATGCTTTCTGTCGTACACTTGATTAAGAATCGATCCAAAGAAGAAACCCAATCTGTAGTGACTTCCCCCTCCTCTCTGGCTCCGACCTCTCCGTCAGCAGTCTGCCGGTAATGCACGGGGTCATCAGGAAACCACGAATTGACAGACCCACTTTCAGACAGCCGGCAGGGGTGCAGTGTTCATTAAACACCCCCCTGTGTCGTCAGCCTGCTAGTAAACAATACCAGAGAGGTGGTTGGACGTAGGGACGAGGCTTTCATATTGCCCCCTGCTGTCTCCGAGCCCACTGGGAGTCCTCGCTCACTCTCGCTCCGTCTCTCCCTCTAATTACCGCCACTTGCTGAAAACCTTTCATGGGAAATGTTCACTAAGTTGTCACTACGTTTGTTCTCGTGAGTATGAGCGTTTATGAGAGCTACCTTTTGGTTGCACTACAAACATGTTTTACAAGGAGGCCGAAGCTTGCAAATAGAGCCCACTGCCAGCTTCAAAGAGGTCGGACATTCCTGGTCGTTTCTCTTAATTTAAATCATCCAACTTCCTGTGGGTGAGTTATGTAACCTCCATATCTGGGTCTGTGTGATGGAACCCAGGACTCTCAACAAGGGGAGTTGGGGGGGTATGATGGGAGTTGGCAGAGTTTTTGGAGGACTTGATGGAGAACAAAGCTCAGTGTTCATTGTGACACTTCAAAGCCCCCTCTTGATCTGCACCGTCGAAGCCCCTGGGAATGACACATTTGTGACAGTGTTACATCACATGCCATGCCCTAAAGGCTCCTGCTGAACGGCCATGACAGACAGCTCATTCATGGTTAATTTTACTATCTCTGTGACAACGGAAGCACACCAGTGATCAACAAGAAGCTTCCACAGGACACGCTCTATAAAGGCACGGTTGATGAGCTCCCCGCTGAGCTGAGTGTACCTTACTGAGTGGTCAGAGTCATGGCTTCCCCCCCGCGTACAAAGAAGATGTGTCTAAATTCAGCCATTATGGCCGACAGCCTGTTGTTTGTGAGCGCTCTTTATGAGGCCTCTGTGATGCTGCCAAGCTTCTCCTGAGCTTAACATAAATCTGCAAAGGGCTGGTGCACTAGAATGGCTCATGTCGTACTACATACCATCAGGGGACGATAAGGATGGTCCATGACCGTCCTTATCTTAAGGTATGCATGCTGCTGGAAATGGTGCATGTGATGAGATGTTATGATATTTATACTGCGATTTTGGATCTAACTCAAGAGGCACCAAACGGGGTGGAAAGGTAGTCTAAAAGCAATCTTTGTTTTGTCTTTTATAACAATTTTAATACATAAAGCAGTTTATTATATGTGTAAAGAAGGGAAACTAAAACTCGTCCTTACTGAGAAATGTCCTTAATGAGCGTCCATGTTACTATGTCAATAAATGACGAATATTTGAATCACTTCTTTTGATTGACATATTGAGGCTTTGGTTGCTTGAAGCATGCTTGTCCATAATGAGTCAGCAGATTGACCTTGTAGAAGTCAGTTGAGTCAAGTAACAATAGAAGTGCATGATGTTACTCAAAGCGGCTTATTGAAAATCTGTGAGCTTTATCTGGAATATGAGAGTTCACCAGATAACTTATAAAATACCTTTGGCAACATTTCTGCAGATTGATTGTAATATTGTGTGTAAACATGCAGTTATTTGCATCATTTTTGCTCTTAAAGATGAAGTATAATTATTGTAGGGTTTGAAGTATATGACTCAGCTGAATAATGAAGTGTGTTAGTTCTGTAAATGCAGATTTCTCTGTGTAAAGTACATTTTTTTATACCAAAAATAAACTCTTAAGTAATGACTGCTTATCTTCAGACGCAGTTGTTTGGCTCTGTAATCTCACATCCTGGTATCAAGAAAGCCTAAGAGTTAAGTTTAAGAAAACGGAAACCTTTAGAGTCCAAAAGAAAACTTCAAACTTTGACTTTTTTCCATTCACTTATTTTAAATCTTTTAGCTTTGACTAAATGGTCACCTCTGCAGCCCCAAACAATAAGGGCATTGTTTTTTCTCTCCGACTGAACAGGTGAAGGATTGAGGAGGTTGATTGTTGGGGGTAAAGGGGGCTTTGAGACTGGATGAATGGGTCGAAACAGCAGCCTCTGTGAAGTGCTCGACTGTGTCACGCTCTTGTAACCTCGAAACTTTTCTTTTAGTGCTTATATCATCTGGAAATAAAGTCAGTAACATTTCCTTGATATCCATGTTGTAATTGTTGTTGCCTATGGCATTTATAGCGGTAAAACTTTTCAGATGAGGTGCAAAGGTAGTATCTTTTCTTCTTTTACATGAAATGAGATGTCTAATGACTGCCGACTACAAAACTAGATATTTAGTTTTGTCTTATTTCCTGACTGTCCTTATTGACTGATTTTAAACATGGCTACAGCTTGAAAACTTATCTTGACTGCACACGACTCTGCTTTTGCACAAGTGACTGACATGAACGCCTTAACCTTAAATGTGAATGTTGACGACTGAACATGTAACACGGTCACTTCCTCGTTCTTTCTCAGTGTCATTGTCAGAACTTGTCAACACCGCAAAGATCCCTGGTCCTGAATGGTCTATTTTTTCCTTGATTGTTGCTCAGGTTAAAGGCACCATGCTGTACCTTCCTGATCTAAATATAAACCAGTGGAAATTTATAAACAGAACACAATGATGGGCATGCAACCAACAGCAGGGTTAAAGCCTGACCCTTTACCTGCTGGACTCACGGCCTCACAGTCTACACCCAGAGCTGTCGGTGGAGGAGGGGAGAACTGAGGAAAGAGGAAGTGTTTTAGCACCCTCAGTGGTGTCCTGTATGGGAGGGGCACTTGGACTCCAGGGCCAGAGTGGTTCCTGTGATTTACTTGTCTCATCACTTCTGTCTGTCTGGCTCTCTTGATGTTTTCCTCTCTCTCTCTGTTGTCTCTCATTTCCCTTACACTCGCCATTCTTTCCTTCTTGGAACTCAAGTGACGAATCCATGTTACTGGTATTTGGAGCTAAATTTAAAGCCCGCTGTGTTTACAATGCTCCGTTATGTAAACCTATGCCTGACCTGAGTGTTGTCCCCGTCGAGGATCCCAGTATTCATCATTTATTTATCAGTAGTGCATCTGGTTTACATTTGTTTATCTGAAAAAAACACACCACAGTTGAACTAAGAGGATTTCCCCATATGAAGTAACACTCACTGTTTTGTGCTTCATAAGTAGATATTAAACTCTTACACATTAAAAGTTGGAAAAAGGCTAAATCTGTTGTATATTTGATAATTAATATATATATATATATATATATATATATATATATATATATATATATATATATATATATATATATATATATATTATTTAATATAATGTAACGTAATGTTTCCCACAGAGCTCGGTTAATGCATAATTTCATACAATTTTTGCTTTTATATGGTTATCTGTCTCACAGGTTATGGGGTCTGTTCACTCAAGACGCTTAATTCTTCCATTCTCACAAAGCAACATGACAAAAGTTAGTGTATTGTGAAAGAAAATCCTCGAAACATAGTTGGATATTCTTTATATTATGAATTATTTGGGATTACTTGAACGTGTTTAGAAATCTATAGTCCTTCCTGTTAGCTATGGAATCCACAAATCATTAGCTTGGAAAGCCGTAGCATGCCTGAGCACATTTTACCCCCAAAGTCCAGTTTGTTTAACTCGTGTGAGTGCTCTGTACTGTCCCAGACAATGATTTTTCTTTACCAACACATCACGTCATATTGACAAAGGCACAGAGAGAGAGAGAGAGAGAGATAACAGTAGCAGTAACAGAGAAGGACAGTAAAAAGGTGACTCTTGTACTGGCAGACAGAGAGGAATTCAGGATTGAAAAGAGCATCAAATATGTGAGTGAATCAGTAAGGAAAGCAGCATTATGGTCCCCTAATGTTAACCAGGATGAAGTTACTAGGAGTTAACGCCACACTGACTCACAGGGGGAACTCTGCTGTTTTTGCTGGTTTTAAATATATCACACAAACTTTGAAACATGGGTTTCTCTAATACTTTCAACATTTTTCAAGAAGAACTTTATTGACTAATTAACCTAAAATGAAAATGTAATAGCTATTCATTATGTTACCAGTCAGGTTAGCTTTGTCACATTCAGCTATTTCACTGAATAAAAAAAAGGCAAGGATTCCTAAAAGGTCAGACGTTTCTCTAAAAAAAACAAACTGAAATCTGGTTTGTGTGTATCTGACTTGATTACTTGGGGTAAACAATAAACATGTCCTTCCAGCACAGATGGCGCCTGAGAATCCCTGATTATCCTCCGATCTTGTGATTGAGTTTTATGCCTCGAACACAACACATGTCCTCAGAAAGAGCACATTTTCACACAAATTCACCCTCATTTCATTGATAAAGTGGTAAATTAGTTAGCATTCACACCAAATGACGTGCTCCTCTCATTTATGACTCGTGCTACTGTCTCCATGTTTACACCCTGCAGCTACATGCCCTTTGAGGACATTGCTCTCAACTGAGAAGGTGCTTTGACAGACGTAATGAAGCGCCCTCAGCCTGAAGCCAAGTGAATAATAGCTCATGACTGATGGATGTTTCTGTTTCTTGTTCCTGCTCTTTTATTGAGTCTGCCTTATCCTACTTTTTTTTTTTTTTGCCCTCCATACACAGTACAGGAGTTGCTGTGTGTGTGTCTGTGTCTGTGTGTGTGTGCAAGGTCACATTCTTGGCCTCCCCGTCAGTCTACGCCAGCCTCAACACCTTCCCCCAACAGCCCCTCCTCTTCCCTCCTCTTTGACACACTCTCTCCTCAGTTTCCTGTGTGGAGTCTGGTACTGTACTGCTCCACGCTGAAGCTCTTTCCATTTAAATTTCACACCTCTATCTCAGCCGTAAATTCATTCAAAGGTGTGATCTGTTCACTTACGAGGCGACTGATTCCTCTCTTTTGTGCTTACTTGATATTTTCGAAAGATTTAAAGCATGTTTGTGAAAGGTGTATGTTCAACACTTTATTAGCCCTATGATGACGGACAATCCATGTTTTACTTCCTTGTAACACCAATGCACAGCTGTATATATTTAGTGAAAACATGAGATTTTACTCCTTACTCCTTTAGTTCTCCTGACAGGAAACCACGGCATGAAGGGGAATTTACAACAGGATGTCAGCTTGCTGAACTCCCAGAGTTACAACAACAAAAGTCTCTCCTGTACCAAAGATAGACGCCTTCAGAGTCATTTTTCTTATTTCAGCTCTATTTTCAGCATGCTGGTATGTGTCGAATCACCTGCTGTGCATAGGCAAGTAATTTCCTGTACAGAAAATGGGCCATTTCTTTAAATGGAATTCAGTAAATACGTAACTGTACTGAATCTGGGTAACTAGGAGTTTTAACACTTCATGGCAGCAGCTTACTTTCAAACAATAGAAAGGTGCTGTTGAATCATTACAAGTTATATGACTCCAGTTTTAATAACCATCAGCTGTATCCACTGTTGACCATGGAAAATCACGTACTTTACTTCCCTTTTAGTTTCTTTCAGTGAGTTTGTATCAGAATCCCACATTTTCATTTGTACATAAAAATACCATTGCATGAGTCTAAAAAAAACGGGATTTAGTCCATGGTATTTTTCACTGCTGGTCTTTCAAGGACTGTTTTTTTTTTTTTTTTTCACTCTGCATATATAGAAGAATAATGCTACATTCGAGTTACCTTGGAAGTCAGATGTTGGAGCTGAAAATGATGCCTCGCCCGAGTTACCGGCATTTCAGTTACCAAGTTGGAGAAAAGCAAAATCGGAGGCAAAATCCTTGCTTATGTTCGGACAAGGCGAGCGCTACAATAACTTTCTTAAATGTAGCCATCTTGTGTCTGCCTCCGATTTTGCTTTTTTCCGACTTGGTAACTGAAACGCTGAAACGGGTGTGACGTCATTTTCAGCTCCAACATCTGACTTCTGAGGGAACTCGAACGCAGCAACAATAATAAGTGCAACAAAAATGTATTGTGCATTAAAATGAGTGTATCAAAGGCGTAACAGTCAGTGAAAGCAATGACCTGACATGTGGGTAATCTAAGATGATAGTGTAATTATATCTCATGAAAACATGCTACATCTAAATTTTGGCTTGAAAACTGTTCTTATGATGTGATTGTGCAACCCAGTCGGAGGTTAAGATTAGGGGGGATTTAGGTTATGTTGAAATTCAGACTCTACCAGCATGACTGCGATGGGCTACCTAGACTTCCCTCAGCACTTACACACCACATTGATTTCTAGCCATGTGAATGACACACACATTCCTGTTGGACTATTGGATGCCAGCATAAACAGTCATTTATGTTGTGGGGTTGTTGTTGATTGAAAAGATATCTGGGGTTATTTGGCTGCAGTGCACAATACCAGTGTGCCCCTCTTTTAATGTATGAAGCTATCCAAAAGAAAACACTGCACATGTCTGGAAGTAAGATAGCAAACAAAGGGTCTCTCTGCGCAGGTCCATCCCAGTCATTGACCTGAACCCATGCTTCTTCTGAAACGATCCATTAAGAACTTTTGTCCGTAACCAGGGGACTGTAAATCTCACAGTGTGGATGGGGTGAGATGTCTCTGCTGTAATGAATCAGCCCCAGATCAGCAGACTCGATCTCGTTCATTTCTCTCGTCTGGGTGTCACGGGTAGACATCTCCGAGAGCATGCAGGAGGTTGAGATACAGAGAGTCTGTTTAAACCGCATGGCTGTATATATTGTATGATAATATCTTATCTCAAGGTGTCTGGTTTTCTGATATCTTCCCTTAAAGATAATCTGTAGTCCTTGGACGAACCAGCACACACACACAGACAGACACACACAGTGCCTATTTATCAGATAGTCCAAATAGAGTTTTGCAAAAGTAGGGCAGACAGTTAGTATGAGGGAGCGAATGTCTGATAACAGACTGAGACCTCTAGCAGATGGTCACATCAAAGGGACCCACACACAATCACAGTCACACCCGGGCACACCCACACATACATGCTTCAACATACCGACACATTTTTGGCCCTGCTGTGAAGAATAAAGCAAAGAGCATTGTTCTTACTCAGACTATTTGACTATAGACCCTCTACTGTTTATATAGGCTGTTTGAAGTCCACCCAGAAACACCCCCTGCTCACGTTTTTCACCTCCTCTGTCTCTATTTCTGGGTCAGTATGTTGGCAGGTAACCCTCCCCAGACTCAGATGTAGGTGCACACTGCTGGCACGCCGCAAATTTGTTTTACAGGACTGACTTTTGGCAGGACTTTCTTTCCTGAAGCATGAGAACGCCTTTGTTTTCCCCTGTTTACACCCTTTCCTCCACCCTCCAGGATATTTTCCCTCATATCCAGGTTACAGTCTGCTTCTTGGCCCCTTATCGCAGGTACAGCAGAGGCTGGGAGGGAAAAAAAAAAAAAGCACTGATATATCGTTCTGAAATGAATACTGACCCAGATGGTCTGCATTTACATTTCTCACGGCACAGATAAAGTTGCAGGCATGCATAAAATCTTTGATTTGATTCAGATGTCACGTGAGTAAAGCAGGTGGTCGAGGGAGGATAATAAAAACGTGAAACTTTTATAGGATGTTTGTTTTCCTGAAGCCCATCCTAAAGCGCATTTACAATATCGTTAAAGAGGTCATTTCACAATTGCAGGAGCGCAGACTGAAGGGTTGTGAAAAGCAAAGACGCGGGAATCCGGCCTTATCATCAAACCTCATGGGGCCATAAAGTCAATTGAGCGTGATGAGTGCAGTGCTATCTGCAGCCTGCAATAAGCTGATGCACATAACCACCACATGCTGGAGCAATCAGCAGGATGGGCCAACTTTCTCAAGTGTGAACTTGGTGTAACGGACAGTATTGTGAACAGCACTTAACTGTTTACAGCCTCACAAACATGTGAACTCACACTGCCAGGGAGTAATGAGTAACTTTCCATTAACACTGATATATGAGCGCAGGAAGTTCAAAGATTTCACTTTATCTTTGGTACAGTGGAGCAGGTGTTAAAGACAGATTGGCATCATCAACATATAATGATAACTTGAAACAGTAAACAGTTGTGCATTAATTCAGAGCTGATCAGTAGCAGACTTTTACTCGGGTCTGTCCACGTAGTAGTAGGATTTCAAATGTTAACAGCCTGGCGCTTGAAAATGTTTTGGTCAAGTTCTTATCTTTATTAGTGAGGAATAGAACAGATGCTTTTATTGACAATAAAACTGGTTCATGTGGATCTGTGTCCATTAATGCTGTTTTTGTGCTCCCAGTCCTGTTTCCAAGTGTAGTTCAGCAATCTCAGTATCTTCAACACCTGAAGTGTTTCAGCTGATTTTGTCAATCTGTGAAACTAGTTCAACTTTTGAAACACAGTAAAGCAATGAGATGTATGAAGAGGAGGAACTTCTAACAGTGATTTTGACGACAACAATGCTAAGAGCTCATAAAGATAAGAAACTCACTAACCACATGCAGTAATAATCTACTGCCAATTGAAGACTCAGGGTTAGCTAGTGCAATAAAATAATTGAGTAAAATAACAATTACTGTTTCTTCAAATACTATTTCGGCTAAGATCTGTAAATAAAGTCTAAATTAGTAAGAAGGTAATCCCGGATTGAATTTTTTAGGGTATTAAACAGACAAATAGACAAACCTGGTGTCAGCTGCAAACATTGATGTTGATTTTCACTTGAACTACTCTGCTGTGTTTAATATAACTGCTCCTCACTCCTTCCTCGCCAACTTTAAAGAGTTTTACCTGCTTTATAAAAGCTGATTGAGAATTGTTAGATCAACCAGGCAGCAGACAAACATCTCTTTACTGTGTTTCTGTGTGTTCATTTAGAGGAGAATCCACACCTGTCTTAAATACCAGACTGTCTTCATCTCAATGTCCTTCCAGGTGCTCAGCTTCTGTCCTGAAGTCTCATTCAATATGAATAATTTCAACATGAATAATTTCACTCTCTCCACTGCAGCTCTGGATTGCTTCTTCATCCCTCTTCCTGTTTTTTCATTTCACTTCTATGGTATCTTTCACTGTCTGTGGACAAGGACAAGCGGTCTTGGCATTGGGTTATATAACTGGCAGTGATGCGCTCTGTGTCTAGACAGGGTGAGGCAGGTGTAAACACGGTTGATGAGGAGAGGAAGGTGACAGAAAATTAAAGCATAAAAAGATTTTGGATGAAAAAGAAAATGAAAGCATGAGAAAGACGGCAGCTGTGCTTCTAAACCACTCAGATATTCACAGAGAGTGCTGGGGCTTGTGTCAGAAAGCACTTACTCACCCTCACATATGTGCACACACACGCACACACACACTCACACACTGGCAGAATAGAATATGAGATTGCATTGCAGCACTGGCTGGATGTGTCCCAGCAGTTACCGCACTGATGCTCGCTGCAGCAGATGGGAGTGTGCGGTCCAGGCAGGAGCAGAACAGAGTGGGATAGAGGAGTAGGAAGAAATAAAGCAAGTACAGGGGATTGAGCTAAAAACCTAGTCATAGATTCAGTGTTTGCTTAGACATTACAGCAGTGGAAGAGAGTGAGACTGAACAAGCAGGATCAGGAACAGGTGTGGGACTGAAGGTAACGGTAGACAGTAGATGTCGGTGGAAGCTTTCGGCATGTCTCGCTCTATGAGGCTGCTGCTGCTGCAGAGGTCGTTTAGTGACCACATCAGGTCGTCCACATCAAAAGCCCGAGACATACTCAGCAAGACAGCCCAAGAGATCCACTTAGCAGGTGAGTGACGAGTGACGGAGACTGCTGCTGACGTGTTTTGAGCATATGTCCTTTATTGTATGTGCTGTATGTCCCTGTCTGTGACTGTGCGAATTTTTACCTTCACGTCTATACTGAAGTTCAATATGACACAACAAGATTGGAAACTGCATCATGTGTGTCTTAAAGAGAAGGCAGGCTTCTGCACTGTGTGTCAGTGGGCAGTGTTCAGTGGATGTGAGGTAATGCTGCAGATTTGTGAAGTAGGCACCAGCTTCTTCAAATGTTTCTTGAGACATTTTTATCATTTTTTTGCCCAGGAAGTGTCATATTTACAAGCGTGCACAAGAATTTGTTTGTTTCAGGATTCATTTCTCTGAATCTTTACTGTCTAACCCACCCCCTAAAATTGCTAAAACAAATCCAGGTTTTGCCCATGTATAACTAATAAGCTGGCCTTGCACACACACACGCACGGCTGAGTGCATTAGATCCCAGCTCCCTGGCTAGCTCGCTTTTAAATAATACACACAGTAAAAGCAGCAGCAAAGAAAATGGATTTAATGTGGCGGCTCTTGAGAAATGTTGGCTGTAGACGGCTGATATCATCAACTGGCCCTTTCAGAGTGCTTCCAAAAGAGATCTTCAAAGGTTGCAGGATGTTTGGCTGCATCATGTCTGAAATTTCACAGTTGTTGAAGTCAGTACAGGTGCTGCTGCGCTGCTTTTCAAAGGAGGAAACATCATTTTACCTCTGAACCCAGAGGTCAGCGCCCTGTGGCCTAACCCTCCTATTGAAGTAGAGAGCACAGGTGATAAATATCAGCCCACAAACAGTCTTGAGGATGTTTCAGGCTGTTGCCAAATAGCTCACTGTCCCACATGAAAGACTTGAAAAAGTGGGTCAAGGAATTATGACAGGATCTAATTACAGCGCTCTTGTCATGTCATTATTCCCCACTTTTCATCTGCTCTCTTCTCGTCTCCGAGCTGTAAGCGGAGTATTGCAGTTTTGACAGGAAAAGCATGTGTAATTGAACCATTATGACTGAGTGAATTTATGCATGAGCGTTGGAGGCCATAAAATGCAGCAACGCATTACACTGCCCCAAGAGCACTCTGAATATTCTTGAGTCAGCATGTTTGTAGTCATATAAAATTAACCTGATCAAGCTCAAAAGTAAAAGGCTAGCAGTCTGCAAATGTAGTCAAGCTGTTTCATTTCTTTAATATAAGAGTAAGTGTAAAGCCTGTGATAGGGATGTACTCTGCCTCCTGCCTGACAGCGCCCTACGACCCAAATGGGAGAAGTAGTATAGATAATGGATGGATGGCTATCCAACCGTTTCCCTCGCAAATATTACTAGCCAAATGCTGGGATTTGTTGTTATCTGTTGGTAGCCAAAGGGGTAATTAGTGTAATTTAAACTTTAAACAGCGTCCTGTGACAGTCTGGATTCTGAAAGTGGTGAAATTGTGACAAAATAGGAGATTCATTTGAAGGGATATTCTGGCGTAAAATTAATTTAGGGTCAAACACACCATAACACCGAGTTAGACACCCCCTTGAGAGATGTTGCTGACCTCTTGCTTCTCTAGTTTTACCAACTTTAGTAACAACCGCACGATAACAATACACAGCGATCTGAGGAGCCATAAACAAACCTCAACCAAAACACCACTCTATAGCCACAAATAATGCTCAGAACAGCACCTAACTTCATCAACAGTACATATAGGGTCCTAGCCACAGCACAATAACCCCTCATGAACTTAACTTAGTTAATAACCCCTCATGAATCAGACCCCTAAAAGATTACCCAAGGTTGCTTCTACGTACTTAAATACATGACTTTTCTTGTCTGTGTTCCTCAGTGAGGCATGTGCACTAGCTAATGGCCCTCAGAGCGTTCAAGGACTATGCAGCATCACGCATCCTGAAACCCTATAGCCCTGTTGACATTTCCCACCCTTGTCACATCTATGATCACATCGCATATTTAAGCATGTTTACACCTGAAGGGGTAAACATGTCCCTGAGAACACTGACTCAATCCCCGCACTAAAACCAGCTGTCACTCACATTCTTTGTGCACACCAGCTATCGGAGACGTCATCAGAAAGATCACTGCTGCGTCAGGCTTTTGTCCTTGAAAGCCCTTAAATCAACCCCTTCTTTTCAGTATGGAGCTTCTTTTGGTGGTGGAGGTGTATGAATGGAAACCTGAAGGGGCCAAAGCTTCAAGCAGACATACTTTTCTAACAACGTCCTCTGGGCCAAAGGTATGAAATTCCAAAAGAAAACAGTAACAGATACTGTACAACCAAAGCTGTACACAAGAGTGGACTAGCAGCCTTTTCATAAAGTCATGATTAATGGTTCGGAGGACTTCAGTTTGTCCTACAAAGAGTATCTCTCTATCTGGCCTTTGGACTTCACTGGTCCTGTGATAGCACCAAGAACTTAAATGAAGAACAAACTTAGAAAGGATACATAAAATGAACTATTGATGCATGGAGGGTAGGTTTTATGTGAGCATTTGAGCCGACAGAAAAGGCTGGAATGAGTGGCATGCCTTCTGGCTTGTTAAAAATGGCCTAGAAAGGTCAAAGGGCATCTTGATTCAGGGCTGATGGCAAGAAAGAAAGGGGGCAACGACACAATCAGTCATCAGATCCTCCATATTCCCTTTACTTGGTTCACTTGGAGGCCACAAAAATTGTACGTAATTGCTACACAAGCTTGGAGTCAAAACACAGGGCGCAACTGCTGATTGTGGTTGCTTGGAAGATAATATTTCAGTTTTGGATCACTAAAGTACATCTTTCTATCTTTATGGACATCCAAAAACAAGACGGGCTGAACCAAAGTTTCCTGTTACCTTGACTAAACTAATACAAAACAGAACGACACACCACTCATCTTAAAGGGACATAAATTGGACAGTTTTACATCTGACATTCATGCCATTTATGACGCCATTTGTGCCAATTTCAACACAACCAGATATTTTTTCAATTAAATGATTTTAAAAGTCCCGCTAAACAGACATAAAAGAAAGAAAGAAGAAATGTTCTTGGCTTTCTTATGCATGCTTTATTCTGTCATGTTACGCTTTGGCTCAGTTTGAGGAATGTCAAATGGATGAGGACATGCATGCAGCTGCTGCATTTATGTGATTTTGCATTAGTATTCCCATGAAATGTACACTAATTTGCATTTGTTTCCCCACCACTACCATAGTAACCATAACAATGATAAGCAGAATCCCTCCCAACATTTGCTTTTGATTCAGTCACAGGTTTGTCTGGACTTTTGTTAGTTTGATTTTGGGTTGTTTATTGTGCATTTTGACTTTGGCACAAACCTCAAGCGGTCCTCCCTTAAAAGCCTCATTTTAGTTCAATATTTCTTTTAATGTAAAGAGGAAACTGTAATTGTTCGGTAGAGTGGGGACTTTAGGTGAATTTATTCTTTCTGTTCCTCTTTGCTTGTTTGTGAAATTCACTGTCAGTAGCATTAGCTTCTTCACTCATGGTAGATTTTGTTTTGGTGGTGCGGTTCCTCCTCCCCTGGTGCTCTGAGCCTGAACCAACTCAAGCTAAAAACAGCAAAGACTTTGTGTGTCCGAGCCAAGTCCTGGATGAGGCACAGTTAAATGGAAAATGCAATGCTCTACCAAATCTGCTCTTCTACTCTGCCAACTCTGCCTTTTCATCCATCTTGGAAAGCTAAGGATGAATCTTCTTGAAATTATAAAATGACCACTTAAGTGGTCACAGGCAGACAAAAATATATCTTGTGAAATATGCAGCTTTCCTTTTTGGTCCCTTCTTCTGTCCTTCCGTGTTGGCTCATCAGGTCATGGCAGATGGTTCCCCACCAATTAGTCTGGTTAAGATCTCCTCTGGGCATGATTGCAAAGTGCTTGCTCACGGTGGATCAGTGTCAGGTCTCTGTAAATGATGTTTCTGTTTACATTTGACTGACATGAGTTTTAGACTGGAGAAAACAAATTTTAATCCATTGATCGATCAAAATAGGCGATCCACATGCTACCAGCTGGACTAAACCACTGACCAACTGGAAAATCTGGTAGGGCCATCTGCAGAGTCCCAACATGATAAAAACATAATGGATGAGCCCAGTCTTTATCTAAAAGTGTGGCTAAGTACTTCAGGTGACACAGACAGTGCATGAAGTTATAATTACCATTTTAACTCAAAGTTCTCCAGTTTGAGTCTATTCGTGTCATTGTGACCTTACTTGTGCATGAGTGTGTTATTGTTGAGTGGCCACCGGGCTTTTGTATCTGGCTTTAGACCAGGCTGGTAGGAGGTCCATAGACATGTTCCGGTCTGCTCAAGCCCTGCCTACTGTTAAACAACACAGATGTCCTGAGCTCTATTGTGGACCTGCAGGACTCTACAGGGTCCCTGCAGGGCCATTTCACGCCTCAGGAACGCCCAAAGAGGAAGTCAGAAAGGGTGCACTGCTGTGACATCAGTAGAAACATCTTCGAATGAAAGGCAGCCATGTAACAAATTAGCTTCAGTAAGATACTTTCACCCCAAGAACTAAGAGAGCAATTAAATGTTTAAACAGGGGTTAAGCCCCAAAAACATGAATTTGAAATATGTATCTCTTCTTCATGGGCACCAAGCATTTTAACTACTTAAACCAAACTACATGATAAGAGACTTCGCTAACTTTAAACACTCATGTGCTTTGCCGCCCTGTCTGTGGGTTTTAACACATTGTCTCCAGCTGTTGATTGGTTTGTGGCAATGTGCGTTTGTGGTCTTGGAGACAATTAAAGCATTTTTGGTTGCTCTCAACATGTGTTCAATCTTGGTAAGTACTTGTTGTTCTCATACAACATTTCTGTCTTTTGAAAACAGACATTCTGTTATCTACATTGAGATGTCAAAGTAAGCAATCGAGACCACAACACTCCAGTAATTGTTTAATCTTTTCTTGGTGTCTTTCATTTCCCCACAACAGATCTGTTTAGGATGGTTTATCATGTGGTCATTCCGGCGGCTTCGTTCTCTGTGAAAAGGGGCGTTTGATGTTCCTTGTGGCAGCAATTCCCTGGTTTGCGCATCACGTTTCAGTATGCCTTCACATTTAGGTCAAGCCGTTCAATTTGCAGGTTTATAAATAGCACCTCCTGATTATTTTATCAAGGCAGATGAACCGCTCCACTGTCTTCCACTGTGCTGTTATTCCGTTGCAGTCATGAGGATGTGAAAAAGTAGGCCAAGAACAGTATTTCCTGTCATCTTTGTTTGTGCCTGAGATTTTTATTCAAACCCATGTGAGTCTCATGAGAGATGCGTGCCACACTTGAACCACTGAAAGTCGTAAAAACAGCACTTGTGTGTGAGCCTGTGAGTGTTAGTGCATACCTAAAAGCATGCACAGACTTTTATACTGTGTGACTGTGCACGCGTGCCCTATAAGATTACATTCAAGCTTGACCAGACATGACTATGGGAAACATGCCAAGGACATACTGTATTTTCACTCCCTTCCTCAGTGCCTGTCTTTTCCTATCTTTGTGTTTGTTTGGCATTTTTTCTATTTTCTCTATTCTTTTCTTAGCACTCACTCCACAAACAAATCAGTCAAATACAAGTTGTTCTGTTGTTCTCTCAGGAAGCAAGATATTGATATAGCTTGCAACCATACAGACTGTAGATACACGTTTTGGATATGACATTCGTGAAAACGCAATGACATCTTAACAGCATCACAGTCTATTTTTGACTCTGAGTCAAGTGTTTTGACCAACTCAAAAAAGATTTACTGCAGTTTTCTACAGCTCTCTGTTATATGAGACGGTCTCTGAAATGAATTGGTGAAGATGCACATCCAGTTACAGATATTAGATATTTTAATGCTAGAACAAATGGACGTTATTTCCTGACAAAGGGGAAAGTGGTTTGACAAAACATCTCAATTTCCACCGGTGTTTTTATGTATGTTTTGTATTTTGCACAAAGTCGTACACCATCAACCCATTTGTATCAGCTGAATTGTAAATTTTTTATTTATATTGTGACTGAACTCCACTTTTGGTTGGAAGTCTAGATGCGTGATTGAATAGTATTTACTTGCTCCATTCATGCGCCAATGGTAATTTCAATGGTTATCCCAGCCAATTCAACCGATGGGATCAAGCGATAGACAAAGGTTTTTTACGGTTTACCAGGTACCAATGGTGCAATTTACCAGGTAATCTGACCTCCTCACTCACTTGCCTCCAGGTGAGCTCCTTTACATTCCAGTTTCAGTAATTGAAAGAAAAAGTATCATATAATTCGTGGCACTGACACAATCAGTTTGTCCTCTATTTTAGATACCTGTGAACAACCGTCCATTTTCATACAGCAACCTTCGAGCTGATTAGTTATCGGGACGCAAATATCTGCTCAAGTTGAGACATTTCCAGCTCACGCCCAATTTGCGTCACTGCGCCGCTAGAGAAGTAGAAGCGTCTAATCGTGTCTTTGCATTGACTTAACGTAATTCATTTGCGCAAAAGATTTTACTCAAGCTTGGTGTGTGGAAACAGACTTCCTTAGTGATCCAAATCTTCAATTTTTTCCTCATACCACAGAAAGGATCATTTCATCTTCACTCAAATCATACCCATGAACCGTGTCACCCTCTTCGTGTATTAGTGAAGCCAGGTTGTCCTGCTGTTATGTAGCAGCCTGTCGTCTCTTAATGCACTTGTGCCAGTGTGTGAGGGTGAAGACTTTTGAGATATTTATGATTGAGCTGGCGTCCTTCAACCTTGTCCCTGTTCACTGATTTAAAGCCCCCTTGTTTCTGGCCCTGTGCACTCACAAGGCCGCTTGTTTCGAACACTCTGGAATGTTTTGCTAAACCCAGTGACTCCAGCAAGCTCATGCCAAACTTGTTTACTTTGCTCGTTCTGCTGCGTGCTCCCTCGCCTTCGGCCTTTTCTCACTTTCTGTTTTTTAACACATGAACTCACTCAATGTTGCTTTTGACTCTTATTATAAGACCCCTTTCTGTTTTATTGATCCGGCAGTAATTGATCTATTCTGTCTTTAGTAAACACACGTGTTTGATCCAGAAAGCAGATCTGAAGCCATCTCAACTATTTTAAGAATTACAATTCAATAAAATATGAGAACCAGTCTCTCATTAAGAGATGTATTTTATGTTGTCAAGAAGCATAGAATATAGAGAAAAAGATTTGTTTCATTACCATTATGGGTATGTATTTTCAGCCTAAGTCTGCTTTCATGAGTGAAATCGTAATCAACTTTAACTTTGGTTTCTGTTTCTTTTCCCAAATTCGTCTCTCAAGTGGGATGTCTCGCCCTTTTCAACAAAACCACAAGAAGCCCACTTAATGCACACTTTTGACTGCTCATTGTTCCATTCACTGCCCGTGCTTTCACTCCCGCAGATGGAAGCCGATGCAATTGTCCTTCACAGACTTCTGGCAAACACTTGTCTCCCTCACAGACTTGAACATCCAGATTATAACCGACCCGGAACAACGGTTCTGCTATTTCAAGCACCCATTGACATTGTACAAAGATGAAGAGCTACTTCTCACAAACTTCTTCATTTGGCAAAGCTTAGAAAACTCCAAAGTGCTGCGTACAAATATTTGCACACATCGTGGAATTCACTCCTGCCTCTGCATTCGAGAACTTCTGATTTCACACCCCAGACTTTCAACCGGCTCACTCCTACACCTCTCTTTTCTCTGTCAGCAGAAATGGTGCGAGTGCTGCTGTACGCAGTGCTGCTGTGTTGGCAGAGACAGAGCTGTCTTTATTGCTTTGGCTTGTCCCTGGGTGTGTTGGGCCGTTTCCACTTCAATCAAATACTGGGAAGTTGACTGGTGGATCGTCATGTTCTGTCAAATACAGATCCAAGAACAGAATATTGCTCAGAGCGGAGAGAAAAGAGAAACTGTAAAGTTTGATTGACTGTACAGATTAGTAAATGTCTACAAATGATGATTGGTTTCACACAGTAAAGAAAAAAACACTCACTTGGAAAAAGAAAAGATGGTCGGTTTAGTGGGATGACTGATCAGTGGTGTTCAACTATTTAAGGAGTGACGAATCATAGCTCGAGACTGAGTAAGCTAAATTTGGCTCAGTAAGAGTACCTGGAGGGGTGCCACACCTGAAAAAGAGCACACAGTGATAAAAATAGAAATGAAATCAAACACATGTACACGTGATGAGTATGCATTTATCAGACCGCGCACCAACGGAAAGTTGTCTACAGCAGCTTTAGCGAAAAATACTAAGATACAAAAGGCAGGATTTGGTGCATACACCCTTTGAATTCCTGGCTGTTTAGTTAACTACAAGATGAGTGTTAAAGTGTGTGCACATGTACTCATCTTAACCTATGAAGTAAAAGAGCATGATAAGTTCAGAATACAACATCAAAGTAGTGTCAGAGAGATATGGCCGTTTGGATATCTGATTATTAAGGTCAATTTTTGTGGCAGTCACTATCCTAAAAGCTCAGTTAAAGTACCTGCCAAGCCAATGATGCAGAGTCCACCAAAACTTATGATGTGAGACTTGAGGAAGGTGATGGCGTGACGACTCGACTCTGGTCATTAGTTGTAAAACAGCAACATTCCTGAAAAAATCTTTTCCAGATGGGCATTAACAACTAGTTTTAGTGCTCCATTAAAACAGTCTCATCTTTGGAGACTTAACTACCTCTTGGGTTGCCTGATCTCATGGTATGTTGTTTGTTTACTCTCTGCTGGGCCTTCATTTCCTGTGTGTCTGCTGCTTTCTGCAGCCCTCGCAGGTCTCAGTGGGTCATCCCTCTTTAATTTACTCAGTCAATCCACAGGAGGATTTGAGTTAATCCTGTTGTTCTTGTTGGTATTTTCGACCCTTTCGGAGATTTCTATCGGATGGGACAATTAAGTTGTGATGAAATTTTGTGAAACGGCAAAATTAACTGTACAGTCTAAATACCTGTTCACCTGAAAAGCTGTCATTTTCAAAGTGTGTGAGCCATAAACACGCGCAGAATACCATTTCAGTCTTCCTGTTTACCAGATCAACAAGCTGCAGATTAAGAGAATAAAAGGGACCAATAAAAGACATTTTCATTGCTTAGTGTTATCAACAGTCGTTAAATTAAATGAAGTCGTCTCAGAAAACATCTGGTGACAGGATGTGGCATCAATTGTTTTAAACACACAAACTCAGAGACACATTTTCCCCATAACCCTCCAAGATGCTCTGTGATTATTATCATTCAGCTGGTCTGTCAGTATCCCCCCTGATCTGCCACGATATTTAAGCAATTGTATCATTTAATGCGATCACGAGCATGCTCAAGTTTTCTGCAAGAACAGAAAAGTCAAATGTCACTCTAAATTCCCCTGAGGATAAGAATCAATTTGGCAACTGATTCCAAATATTTTATGGAGATTTTTTATCTTTTCCCCAGAAAAGCTGTCTTTGTTATCCAGATCACGAGACAGCACGTGTCTCTGGAGCTCTTTGAAAATGTCATTTTTAGGGCATTTGGGTTGAATAGTTACTGAGGGCTCATGTTATCAGATACATGTACTCAAAGCATACTAGATGTTGCAGGAAAATACATCTAAACTGTCAAAAATGCTGCTGGCTGATGACAACTTTTATAAAGAAAAGTAACTGGTCTTCACTCTGTGTCTTCACCCATTCAACCTCAGCAATAAATACACAAGTTTTGATATTCATGAACTTTTGTTGAGTTCATTGTATAGGAACAATGCCAGTTTGGCATTATGCATCATTGTATTTTTGGGCAAGACAGAGAGGCAGGAAATATGGCGAGATAGAGGAGGATGATGTCGACAATCATACTGGGACCAGGGATCAATCCAACGATTGAGTGCAATGACAACTATAGCTTCTGTAAGAGGGGCGCTCACTCCACCAAATACTCCATTATGCATCAATGCAAGTAGAATGGAATAAACACATTAACAACATTTAATCTCTCTTACCGAAGAAGAGACCTCCAAGACAGAACAAAATTCAACCAGAGGACATATAATGTGACACACTCACGTTTTTACATAGAAAACATATATATTTGTTGCATTTTAGATTATAGATCTACATTTAATGAACTAGTTATAGTACTAATGAGCCCAAAACCAATACATATGTGCTGAGAATATGCCGTGTTTACCATCTTATGCGCTATAGTGACTTTTCACCGACAATCGTTAAAGTTTAGGGAGTGTTAAAGCAAAGAATTGGAAAAATTTAGACAGATTTGATTTCAAATCTGGTTGAAGTGTTGGCGCTTATGTTAAGAGGTGTATTGTACATTCAGAGCTGACCCCTGAAAAGGAATAAATGCTTTAACCATACCCAACAATAATCATAGTAGAGTGACCGACTAACCCTTAAACATTACTGGACATTGGGCAGAATCTGAATCCAAGCAATGTGTGCTATGAATAAATGTACCTAAGAAATTAGCTTAAATAGAGTGTGGTATCTAGTATGGACCTCAGCTCAACACACTTCCTCCAACTCATGGTGACTTGCTTCTTGACTTCTTTATACTAGAAAGCAACTAGTAATTTTATTTATGAGGAGGTTGACAGCCACTTCGGGGCCTCGGGCAAAGACATTTTCCTCTTCCCATCTCCTCATTCTTTCCCATCTGTCATTGTGTTCAGTTGGACTGAAAAATCCCTGACACAGCTGAGATATTATTACAATCAAAGGCAGCAGCTTGCGTTGCCCTTGCAGCATTTGGTTGATATAACAGGGAATTTTGTGATTCTTTTCTTGAGAGGGTTATGGGTTTTGGTTGGTTTTCTCTGAATCCAGTCGTGGTACTGGCTAATTAGATGTAGTTATACCATAAATGTGAGCTGTCCTGGGAAGAGTCTGATTAACACGGAGAAAGAGTTTGTTTAAGCTTTTTCTAAGAAGGAGTTTTTATGAGAATACCAACATGATTGGTATCAAACCCTAATGCTGGGGACCACCACCTCAGAGAAGCTTCTACATAACCTCTCTTAAGACCGATCGCCCTCTTAATGTTCGTTTGTTCATCTGATCGAGAGGTGTGGTAGGTGACCTTTCACCTTGTAGTCACTCAGGGATCGTAACCTCTTTGCCACCATGAATGGGTGAACACAAGGCCACTAGCTGAGTGTTGTCACCCTCCGTGTCCAGGATGACCTCCACTTTAACTCCTGATAATACAAGCGCTGGAGTGCTTGGCATTAGCATGTGGGGTAAGTGACACCCTGACGACTTAATGTCTTTTGTGTGCATGTGGTTGAGGTCAGGGTTAGTTAACATGATGTGGGTCCAGCATTTCATGGACTAAATACACTGACAGGTCCACCACCCGCTCCTTCCAACACAATATTTTCCACTCATTGTTTGTGCAACAAAGCAGCAGGTTTGTAATGTTCTGAACGAGGCATTCAGGGAATGTTTTGAGGACGTGGGTTTGTTCAATTTTGCCTGGAGTGACGTGGGTCCTATAGTGATTTTTCCAACAGATTCCTGCGTTTGCCGCCTGCCCTTTTCCTTTCATTTCATCTGAAACATAATGAATGGTAAACACACACGTTTTTCCCTCGTAGCATGTCTGTCAGCACTGTCAATAAAGGTGTCATGTGAAACACTTGAGTGGATCTTTAAAATATGTTTGCTCTGCAACGTGAGCTCGAAAGCTCGGCTGTCTAAAGACTCGTGAGCATGACAGTTCTTGGGTTTGGGGTTCAAAAGCCAAAACAGAGTGACCCAGCAGCTCTTTCTCTTTAGTTGCTTTTCTTCTGCTGGCCTCATTACCTTTAAGCCTTTGGCACTACAAGTGAGGGAGCAAAGAAAGTGTTTGGTCTTGTTTGGTTTTTCTTGTTGTCTGAAAGAAATCGTTCTCTGTGCAGTGACCTTGTTTGATCTGTCTGTGCTGATGCCACAGACAGATGTCTGAGGTCTCCTGTCCTATAATAAGGCTTATTGTTTGTGAAAGTTGCAGTTTATTTGTCAGGTGATTTTACTTTGACATCAGACACTAATAGATTTGCAGTCGAACAAAGGAAACCTCTTTGCCATTAGAGAAAATGGATATTGCTACTGGATGTTTTGCATGAAGTCTGGTGAGTTGTAATGACTTTATTGATCTTATTTTGGACCAGTCTTAGGTTATCTGCTGATCATTCTCAAAGATAAGGAAACAGCCTTTCCCTCATTCTGGAAAAATACGAGGAGGGAGTAAACAGAGAGGGATCATGAGAGTCCAATCTGTTGGACATATGGCGGTTCTGTCACTGCTGCCAACCTCCAGCTGGACATTATTAGTCTCCCCCCCGATTGTCAGGAGTTGAGCTATCATCCCCGGGGGACTGGTGAGGAGCAGAGGGATAAGGAGGGAGTCACAGATCCTGTTCATCACCCAAAGCTCCCGCCTTCACACACATCAGTGGTGTCCATTAGCTCCTAAAGTAAATAAACCCAGTGAGTCAGTGTGTAGGACAGACGGGGAAAGAGTGTCTGAATGAGGGTTTTAGGTATCAGGGCTGAGTTTTGAAAGGTTATTTAACGATCAGACTAACAGGCATTGATACTCGGCGTCAAACCATCAAAGTTATGAACCACAAACTACAACTAAACTATACATGACGTGATTGGTTCCTTTGTTTTACAGATGTTTTACAGATGTTTGTGATGTCTAAATCTGTGTCAGGGTTTAGGTGAATTTAGGTGGTAAATGTAGTATCCTTTTTTTTTTAGGGTGACCATATTCTGACTTCCCAAAAAGAGGACACGACTACACGAGGGCGGAATGAAGTGAATTTTGAGAGTTTTTCGGGTCAGATTAAGTGTCTTTTACGCGCTTCTAACTCAGTAAGCCCACGTGTCACAAAATCCAAACTCTCGTACAAAACCGCGGACATTTGAAGGATTTTATAAACTTCCGTGGACAGCCCCCCAAAAAAGAGGACATGTCCTGGTAATTTTTTTAGCATTATTCATGGCAGAGATTTCCAATACATGATACATTTTAGTGTTAAAGTAAAACAAGGTGAAAAAGCAGGTCTTACTCATGTACATAAAGATATTTGACGGACTGTTTCGACAAAGAGAGTTTCTCACAGGAGCTCTAAAACAAGAGATTTGGTGAAAAATGTGGAGGCACTCATTTCAGCTAAACTTTGAAGAAGAAGAAGAAGAAGAAGAAGGAGAATTAGGTCATGGGCACATCAAACAAGTCCGCGCAGTACCTACAGGGTTGCCGCCGCTACCTGATACAGCCAGATATATACAACAGCTCCCTCCTGTTTATTTGTACTTGGCTTAAAACGCTAGATTCCTGCTCAGTGGATTTGTGTCAGCTATTCATAAAGACAACATTTAGCTTTTCCAGCTGAAGTAAGGCCCTTCATAATCTTATCAAAAACCGTCTGTGTTGGTTCGCGGAGGGCTACCTTAAAAATATGCCAAGCATGCAAACAAACCCGTGGTTTGCTCAGGCACATAAACATCTATTTACGCTCGAGTATCTTCAGTTCCTACATGTGAAAGGCGCTTGTCTTGTGAGCCTCCTGTCTGATTCTAGTTTAGTAGGTCATGGTTGTCACATGAATAATGAGTTAACGTCCATCGGCTGATGTCTGCCTCCTTCTACAATTTGTCAGCCTGCAGCTGAAGGGCAGAAAATAAGTTGCACACACAGCAAAATGATTGCTCTGCTGTGTTTTACCTGGAGGGGGGACAAGTTCGCGAATAACTGAACGCACACCTGGACTTGTTATGAACGTCAGCATACAAATGTCAGTCACACAAGTTTCTTAATTTGATTAAAAATAGACGTTTTAAGAAAATTACAAGCAGATTATAAGCGACAAGTTTTTTTTGTGTGTGAGAAAAGAGTTAAAAATTGATCTGAGGTGTTGGTCATATTTTTGGTTGTGGTGTCAGGATTCGTCACGGTGCGTCTGCTCTTCATCCCCTCTCTCTTTGATCTGCTGTTGCTCTCTCTCCTATCTATCTTATCTTTAAAAATATGACACGGGACAACAGAAGCTGTAAGAAGTTGGAAGCTGGAAGAAATCACTGAAATCCAGACCTGCTCGGTGCGCTTTTTACAAAAGGAGCCTCTGGATCAGCGATAATCTCCCGGCTGAACCTGGTTTGTGTTTGTCATGACAGCCGGCATGTCTGTATGGTTCGTCACGTGGCTCGCTAAGAGGTGAGGGTTCAAAGGAGGTCACGGGTCAGGGCATGGAAGACTAAAGCATCAACTTCCTGCCTTACTCACTGACTGATTCTTCACAGAGAGAGAATGGACATGTGGTACATTGGAATTCGGTCTTCGCTCTGCTTGTGTAGGACTGCATGACAAAAGTCAAAAACAGGAAAGAAAATAGCAGAAGGGGGGAGAGTCCCGCACTTTCTATTGTCAGAGGTGTTATTGGACACCTCGATGTGGGCGTGCATGTGAAGGACACACAGGCATATACTTAAAAGATCACATACCACATATCAGCAAACACGCACATACATTTCTGCACCTGACATTAAATACCTGTTTATAATACACCCAAGATTCATGGACTCACACCCTTGTTTCATATTTATACACGCTTTACCCTCCACAATTTGGCCGCAGGGCTCAACTCTCATTCCAGATCTTAAATCTTGCACCCAAGGCCCCATGATTCATTGCTGCTGAAAGGAAGCTGGCATATGTTTGACACCCATTCCTACTTCTTCAGACGTACGCCAACTCCATCTGTATCCAGAACAGTTCATCGCTGTGCCAGATGATATCAACAGAGATAACATTCTTAGGGATTGATGCCGTTACATTTCGGTCTAAGAGTGACTGCTTCAGACCTACTAGTGTTTCGGTGAGTCAAAATCCACACCAGAGCAGGGAATGACAAAGAAAACATGTAGTATTCATCAAAGCAGGTAACAAAACAATCTTATCTCACAACTTATCTAGCAGTTTAATTGTGTTTACCACCCTTGTCTCCCTAGTTTTATTCTACAGCCAATGTCTGCTGCTGAAATAGTAGTGGATGACACTCAGGAGGCTTTTACACCTTCATTGTTTGGTCCAGACTTTCGGACTTCTCTGATTGGTCCAAACCAAAATGATAGGTATGAAACCTCCCCAGGACCTTGGTCCAGACCAAACAACCAGACTTTGGTCCAACCAAAGAGGTAGTCTCACTCTGTACCAAACTGAACCACGGTCTTGTTCATGCCCAGGGTGAAAGCATTATTTTGAAAGGTTCGGACCTTCGAACCAAAGACAGGCAATGACGTGAGGAGTAGAATTGTCCGTTATGATGTTGAATGAAGATTGTCCAATAACAGGAAATTATATAGTTACACCTCACTATTGACGGCTTATCTTTTCAAGAGTTTTACTACACATACTTTTCTCTTGAGCCAATGTTGCAATGACTCGCAGGATTGCATACTTTCTTTTCCTTTCCTGTCAATGTCAATAAAGTTGAAGTTCATGAGACTTCCTTGGACCTGCCTCATGTACAGCTCTTCAAGTTGTCACTTTTTGAGATATAAAAAATCAAAAATAGTACGATAGTGGGAATGACGATTTCATCCATGTTGACTGTGCTTTTGAACGTGTTGACGTCAGACTCCCGCCGGCCTAATGACCAATCAATGTGAACTACAGAGACACGCAAAGCATGTAGTTGATGACGATATCACGTAGGTTCGTCATGTAAAGTCTGTTAGTCTATTTGCAATTATGACAGTGTGAAACCGAAACAGACTGAACTAAATGTATATAATGTAACAAAAACATGGACCTTGGTCCGGACTTTCAGGTTTTGAAACACCCTCAGACTACTCAGAGCAGCCGTTTTCCCCCAGACTTGGTATTTTTCTGCAGAATCTGTAACTACAGATATGAAAAACCAGGCAGATAAAATGATACTTCAATTCACTTGGAACGGGAAATTTCCAGGCATTGCACCACAGCTCTCTCTGTGTGTGTGTGTGTGTGTGTGTGTGTGTGTGTGTGTGTGTGTGTGTGTGTGTGTGTGTGTGTGTGTGTGTGTGTGTGTGTGTGTGTATGTGTTTCACAGCCATATGGTTGGCATCATTAACCACTCCCCAAGTGTTCAGCTGGTTTCCCAGGCAGACCTCCACCTCTTGTAATTCTTAGAAAATGTGCTCACACACACACACACACACACACACACACACACGCACACACACACACACACACACACACACACACACACCGACTCTTCTCTTTAGTGTTAAAGCTCACAGAAAATAAATCAGCCCAGCTTGGTTCATTGACTTCAGGCCACTAACATCTGCACTTTACCGTTAAATGTTGTTGTTGGGTCTCAGCTCTGAGATTAACGACAATAATCAGCGCTCGCACAGACACCGCAGCAGAGTTTACAGCATTTTAATGTCGAAAAAGAGGTTTCTACTTTCTCTTAAAGTTGCCTGTGACTGTGAGTAAAAATCATCACCTTATGCTGTTTGTTGTTTTCGGAAAAATTTTAGGTCTTTTGCCCAATCCCCAATTTATTCAGGAAGAAGTTTTGACATGTCCCTTTACTCTTTATCCAGTTTAGCATGGTTATGAATTTTCTACACTCTCATTGGAGCTTTAATGCTCCTCTTTTCTTGTTCCCCAAACTCCAACATTTTCCCCATAGTTGTGCTGGCAGCCTCGAGCAAACCATCACTAATCTGCATGGCTAATAAGTAAAATATGAGCAGTAATCTGGAGCTGTTCTTGTTTGAGCTCTTTATCTTGATCAGAGAGCTGCAGGTCAAAGATTTCCTGTGGATCCAGTTCTGACTATTTTGGTGAACTGTAAATCTAAGGAGAATACTCTGCTGATGATTTAAGGTGTATTAATAATGATTTGTTTTTCCAGCTCCCCAGATTACCCCGATGCGTTTCTGAAGTTGTGTCAGAGTTGGTTTATTTGACTTGTGTTCCTGATTTTAAGAGTACACACAGCACATGTGTACACTCTTACACACTTGTAGTGTCGGCATTTACACATTTGTGTTAGTCTCTGTTGTGTCAAAGCCAAGGTTGCTCAGATGTCACATATGGTTGTACTTAAAAGGAATACAGAGATTTAACACCTTTAAGATGTCAGACATGCTCAAAGATTTACAGTCAACGGAGTGCGAAGAATTTACCTTTCCCAGTTCTGAGTAACCACCGATGGCTCCAGTCACTCACACTATAAAAGTTCAGAGTTTAAAGCCTGATAAAAACACGCTGTTTATGATGTCTGCCAAAGCATTAAATTCTCTTTTTCATCATTTTAAGGATTTTATTTTGTCCCCTGATTAAAAACTAACATTTGTAGGACCTTTTTTTGTGAGCACGTCATTATTCAAGTCTAATCACTCTCTTTAAATTAACACCACCAGAAATAATTAGAGATTTGATAGGGCTGGGTGATATGGCCTCAAATCAATATCACAATATATTAGGCAGTTTACCTCAATAACAATAATGGACGATAACTACTCCATAAGCTGCTCACCCCCTCACACATTAACTTCATCTCCTTCAGCCACCGCTCCAGCCGCTACTACTTTTGAACCGTCCTCCATCTCCTCTCCTGTCTTTCCCTCTTTGTTATGGACTTGATGGGGTGGAGTCATGTCTTTGACGTAGGACAGCATCTTAAAGGGACATGAGACCATAGCCTACCTACACACATCCAAAACCAACTTTTATGTATACTTTTTTTACACTAAAAATATCAATATGGGCAAAATGATGTCGGTTATTGTCATAAATTTCAGTATCTGTAAATTTCCGGTTTATCGCCCAGCCCTAGGATTTAGACCAATCCCAATATTCCCAAGGATGAGTGGTTTACATCAGATCCGCCCCACCTTTACCAAATATGAGAAATTACACACGTTAATGATTAACCAAAGAGATAAAGAATATGTTTCAAACTCATTTAGGTTTTTATTTCTCTGGAAATTTCACACCAGATTATGATCAGAGCTGACAGTCACACTGGATTGGACCACTGAACCAAACTGTTTGTTGGATTTTTTCTGAGAGGACATTAAGACTTAAGAGGCCCTCTTGAGCGCCCTGTAGGACTTCACATATAGATGATACAGATGTCTTGGTTGGAGCTGCAGGATTGATGTTTTTCATGGATTTCATGACAACAGTTTGTTTGTGGAGCAGATGTGTGGATAAAGAATACGTTGGTAATCAGTTTGGTAGGGTTATGTCCATCTTTACCATTATGACCCACTATGCGGTTGGTTCACTATCATATTTCTTCATTCAAGGCTGAATGCTTTTGACACAAAAAGGCCTGAAAAGTCCCAGTGGAAGCCCTCTAAGAACTTGAAATCAAAAAAGAAGTGCTTGAGGGTCGAGCGGCTCTGAGAACCATTAAAAATGTCCTCCTGTCTGGTGATGAACAGATCACACAAATAGTGGCAGCAACATGAGGAACCAGGCAAACCTTCCAATAGCTGAACTTTCATGTAACTCTATATGCCTGAATGTGTTTATGTGATTTAAGAGCCTAAAGAAATAGAATTTGTTGCTAGGTAACAGCTTGTAATGCTCCAATGATCCATGATTGTGCAGCCGAGACTCTTTCCCTCTGATTATGTCATGTGAGTTTGATGTACATGTTATATTTAGCAGATGTGTACAAATAACACATGAAGCATCTGCATAAGTAAAATGGGCGTTTAGTTCCAATTCAAGCAGAAACCCTTATTACTGATGTGGGTAAGCACAAAGTAATAGCTTTCTTTTTTGTCGACTCCAGCACCTGGTTTAAAAAATATGTGGTAGTGTAACACCAATCTATTGTTTCTCTAAGTGTGTGTGTGTGTCAGCCTCTATTGTGATCGTGGTCAGTCCATCAAAGCTTGGAGAGGGTGTTGGCGAAGCATTTGGCCCACTGTCTGCTTCACACTTCCTTTGTTTGTGTGTGCGTTTGTGTGTGTACTGGTCCGAGCCTCTGTCTCCCTGCACTTCCTCCCTACCATTGTGTATGTGTGTTTGTGTGTGTGTGTGTAGAAGTGTATACTGTTTCTCCCTCTCTTTTTCTCTCTCTATCTTTAATCAGACTCTTATTGGGCTGATCCTCCCCTGACCACAGATGAGCTATTTCTGGAGATTCCTGTTATGAACAGATTATTTCCCTCTTCCTCTGTCTCACTCAGCCTCTCTGTCTCGCTCACACACACAGCAGTTATACTCATTATCTCAAACTGCATCAGTGAAACGCAGACACACACATTTGTCATTGGACAGATAAAGGTTTTAGATTCAAGGACAAGGATGGAGGTCTGCATCTAGATGAAATATAACTCCAAATTTAGCACTGGGATTTAACATGAATGCCCCGTTATCACAGTTTTTAATGATTTTATAACCTTGATTGTGAAAACTTTATGCCATTATTATCTGTAATTCTCAGACAAAATGCTAGAACAAAGCTTTCCGGACCCCTACAAGCACATCTTACATGTTCATCTCTACTTCAGCATGTCAACTGTGACCTCTGCAGACCCATAACTTGGTTATCTCTTCTCTGTGCCTTTGTTGACACGGCCTTGGGTGTTTGTGTGTGAGTTAGACTGACACGTCCGTCCGCTGACCCTCACCTGGCCTCCCTGTTTGGGGTTAGGAATGGAAGAAGAGGGGAGCATGTGCCCTCAAGGCGAGCCCAGAGGACGGCGGTAAAAAATTTTAAAAATCAGATATTTTCCTCAGATTTTTTTCTTTTACTGTCTTCTTCTGTCATTTTTTTACCTTTTTGTTGTTGCTTTGTGGAAATTTTTTTGGAAAATGTCTCTTCTTTTTTTTTTTTTTAACCACACTAAAACTGCTTTTTAAGACCCTCCTCCCTCTGTGTGTCAGGGTCAGAGGTGACACTGTAAAGTTTACAACCTACAACAGTAGCTTCACCAAGCAGCAACAGGTTGATGGGGCATTCAGGGCCAGTTTTATTATGAGCTAATGTTTGTGTTTCATTTAGGTTTCATTTGGTTTAGCACCCGTTTTGTTTTGGGTTTTTTTCCCACTTTATTTCAGTAACTGATCCTTTAAGACACACAGCTACAAACTTATAATAATAATAATAATCAATTGTATTTATAACGCCTATTTCACAGGTGCTCAAAGATGCTTTACAAGAAACACAATTCAAAATAAAGATAATTTTGAGTATTAAGATCAGCAATGTAAAAGGTTAAAAAAGACATAATATGAAAAGAACCGTTCACAGGTTAAAAGCCATTTGAAAAAGGTGTGTTTTTAGGAGTTATTTGAAAGAATGTGGATCTGTATAGTCTCGGGTGGGTTTGGGGAGTGAATTCCAGGAAAAAGTCTGAGTCACAAAAAAATCCACAGAAATTTCCCATATGATTTTCTGTGAGGGTAAAGGTGTTTATCTGTGTTCTTCTTCCCAGGAAGAGTTGCATTTAATGCTGCCTTAATCCCTCAGCCTCGGCAGTGATGCATCTCCCAGTTTCCTCTCTTTTGTCCAAAGCCCTCATTATACTCGTGTGCATTTGATCCGTATCTGAATCATAAGCCAAACAAGCGCCTGACTCTGACGGTCTTTGATGAATGAAATTGCAGACACTCTGAAGAGACACTCATTTGGCCCCGGGCAAACTGGCAGCAGCGGCAGTCTGCTCGTCTGATCCCTCACACTTTACAAAAACAGTGTTTTTATGTATTAATCAACTCACAACAACTTTGAGAGTGCGCCGTCCCCCCCCCCTCCTCTGCTCTGTTCTGAGGTTTTTGACCCGTCAGCTGAGGGTAGAGCTAGGTTGGGGTTTTGGGTGCAGTGTCTGGGTGGTCGGGTTTTGTAGCTCAGGGATTTGGCCTTGTTTGGTAATCTTTCTTCATCTCTTCTTCCTCTCTTTGCTTTTTTCTCTCCGTCAATCCCTCTTTCATTTTTCCCTCTTGCGCACACACTGACATTTGTTATTGTTCCCCCTCTCTTTAAGTTGCAGATTTAGAGTAATATTTGCAAAAGATTTCCTCTGTTTATGATCATATATGATTTCTCTTTGTGTGTTATTAATAAATAAATCTCCCACTGATACTGATCTGTCGAGGTAATGCTTTAGCTGCAGTGTGTAGAGTAAATCTCAGTGTAGCTTAAATGCTCGCCGAGGTTTGTCTTTAGTGTCAAGTTTTACACTGAATGCTCCATATAGCTTGGTCATTTCTAATAAAATTACCGCATCCTAGTATCTTAAAGGGATATTCTGGCCTAAAATTAATTTAGATGCAAACACACCATAACACCGAGTTAGACATCCCCAAGGAAGAACATTTATGATCATTACTTTATCATTTCCTTTAAGTAATAATCACCATATTAATCATTTTGCACTGCAGACGCTGTAGTTCTTCTGCCTTAGCGTCTCCATCTGATTGTATTTCCATGAAGTAATGATCATAAATGTTCTTCCTTGAGCTGCGTCACCCCGCTGTAGTCCGTAATGGACTGGCCTGAGGTCTCGCTACAAACAAGCAGCTGCTGGAGGAGAGTAGGTGAGTTGTGTTTAGTCTCTTTGCTAAAGAAATCAGGCAAAGTTAAAAAGATGTCTGATGGCTAGTACTATGGCTGGGACCCTATATGTACTGTTGATGAAGTTAGGTGCTGTTCTGAGCATTATCTGTGGCTATAGTGTTGAGGTTTTTTTGGTTGAGGTTTGTTTATGGCTCCTCAGACTGCTGTGTATTGCTACCGTGCGGTCGTTACTAAAGTTGGTATAACTAGAGAAGCGAGTGGTCAGCAACATTCATCTCTCGAGGGAGTGTCTAACTCGGAGTTACGGTGTGTTTGACCCTAAATTAATTTTACGCAGGAATATCCCTTTAAGCTCTGCAACCATTTTGTTTCAGTGTTTTTATTTAACTTGTCTGATGTACAGACAAAAACAGACAAGCAGATCGGTCATTAAAAAGGAGAGTTTAGTGGCATCAGAAACTCAATTATACAGCAAAGTGAACAAAAGAAAACCCAACAGTGACAGAACAATGACAAAAAAAAGAGATAACTGAGGAGATGTTATGTTGCAAACCAAAAATGGAGAATTATGAAATAAAATCAATGAATACATTAACTACAGATGCCAGTTCTTACAATCCTTTGACTTTCCAAAACTGTCTACCAGAACAGGAAATGCTGATCCATTATGCTTCCAAACAACATGATTTTGTCAGTAAAGTATCTATATTTGTATTAAAATTCTGCTTTTGTCTTCTGCTAAACTTTTAATGAATCTCAAGTGATCCCCACCCATCTCCAGAAAGTACAAACTCCTGATTTTGCTCCCTTCAAGGTCTCTGTTGGGTGAGTCACTTGTGACTTCTCTGTCAGCTGGGAGCGCTATAGCAGCCAGTAACAGGCTGCTCAGTTAGCCAGCCAGGATTTTCTGCATCATCCTCTCCCCCTCTTGGCAGGCCGAGCGGTGGATTACATGTATTTCCCTGCCACATGGTGACTCGTCTGGCTTTGCTTTTAACTGCATCATCTCAGTGCCTTTGTGTTACCATGGTAATAACAGAGGGTTGACTGGTGCCAAAGGCTGAGGTATTTGGAAGTTCTTGGAAAACTGTGCATAAGAGTCTCAAAGAAAGAGGGGAAAACAGGAAAACTAGACAGGCGGTGTTGAAGCGGAGCAATTATAAGTGAGTAATAATTACTCTGCCCAAAAACAGGCACATGGATACATTTAAAGTTAGACACTTAACACTTCTCTTTTGCCAAAAACACAACTTTAATTTGCAGGGGACTGAAAACATAACCTTAGGTGCTCTCCAGCTGTCAAGAAAACAACATTTATCCATCCTGTAAGTGTTTTACTTCTTGATATTGACGTGCTTTTATAAAGTGTGTTGCAATCAGAGTGTTTTCATCACCAGCGTGTCCCCCCATCTGTCTTGCATTTAGTCGATCTGTTGTTATCGAGAAGGTGAGCGTGCGTCACGTGCGCTATGAACAGGGGGCAGGACCAGGGGGCATTACCATACCTGCAATAGTTCTCTATTCACTGAGCCACTTGCGCTTTCAGACTAATCTCGTGTCACAAAAGAGCGTCTCTCAGTCGTCTGCAGTGTGTCCTAATGGTATGCAAACTGGGTACCAGCCTCCAACTCATTTGTTGTCTATTAGGGGAGGTGGGCGAGGCAAGAGTTGAAATAAGACGAGGGGAATCCCGGGGAGCCCACTCAACCACTGTGGCATAAGTTACGCAGCAAAAGTTCTTAGTTTCCGTGATTTAAATCACAGTTAAACCGTGAATTAAACTCTTTCAAGCAGATGATGGTGAGCTGAGGTGATCCTGGATCGGTGTGTGCCTCCAGCTCCTTATCAGGTGGGGAGCAGCGGGTTGGGTGGGTGGTGGGGGGGGTGGAGCCACGGCAGAGTTCCTAAAGCTTGAATCACACCACGCTCCATTCACATTCCTGCTGTGGACCGCTTCATTCAGGGACACACAGTGTTGGGAGGATTTCAACATTGAGGATCGTAGTTATAGCAGCCAATTCAGATTATAACCATGGAACTACTGCTGCGCGCAACGCCAAGAAGACGTTTGCAGACGGTTGTAAAGTGTTGAGTTTTGGTTTTTCTCTGGATTTATCATGCGGGCTTCGCCTTAACAGTGGAGTAGACCTGGACTGGACAGTAACCGGGGGTCGGTTTTCTGCTGAGGCTGGTCGCGACTGAGATACAGAATAATGATTTTAACACGTGAGTCCATTCACTGATTCTTACTCTGAGTGTGTGATCGTGAAAATCTGATGGTTTTACATTCTGCGTCCATGCCGTGAAGCGGTTTCCTGTTTATCTGGGACAAGAATATCCTCACTTGTAGGCGTAATGTGGAGTCTCTAGAGTAAACATTTTTGAGGTACAATTTACATAGAATTTTCTAACTGACTTGCTTTACTGTTGCTTCAACTAGAGAGTGTTTTATGGGCATCTTTAAGGCGCAACGCTGCGGGCTGTCAGATAAGAAATCTCCCAGGTTTGCGCATAACTCCGCGTCTCCTCTGCGCGTACTCATGCACAAACTCTGAAAAAGCTCCAGCTCAAAGTTATCCTCCTCTTCAAAAACCATGTTTACAGTGTTCCCCATACACCGAACTTCTCTCTGTTTCAAATCCCCCTCCTTTTACGCACACATCGAGCCTTTTTAATTGGATCCAACGTTGATCCGTGTTGTGGAAACAAGGTCGTGAACTGGAATGTTCAGGCTAAATCGTATTTAGTGTCTTTTGGGATTATAAGAGGGGAACCAGTCCGCGACGTCTCAGCCTTTACAGTGCCTCCAGTTTGTTCAACTGCCTGTGCCTTTTGCCTGCCTTTCGACCTTTTGCCACAACGGGGGGAGGCTGAGAAGATGTGTTGTTGTGGCTGTATAAAATCCCCGTTTTTTTTCGGTTCTGTGCTGGCAGGCTCCACTTGATTTGTGGGCTCTGGTCTTTTGTCTCAAACTGTTTTAACTGCCTGTTCCAACACATGGCTCCTTATCAGCTACCTCAGGTCTGGAACAGATATGCTCTGCAATGACATTCAGTTGGGCAATAAAACCACCAGGAACGTGCGCAGACACACACACACACACACACACACACACACATGCAAACAGTTAGCTGTTATTTTACAAACTAGGTGGAGAAAACATGATTGTGATAAAAAGTATTAATTTACGATTACAGGAGGAGAAATTCCAGTAACAGAAATAGCAGGAAGTATAATTCCTCCTTCTGAATGTCTCTAAATCTACCCAGGGGTTGGGCTGAATGGGTTAGTAGTTAGTCAGACAGTTCATAGTTGTGATGAGAGAAGAGCAAATAAAGGAAAATCACTTCACCTACACTCCCCATGAAACAGGAAATGAGCTGAAGTCTTATCTAAAAGATTTACACCCAGTTGGCACTTAGTTTCTCAACGTCCTGTGAGGGTCTCATAAGTTCTTTTTCAGGCGTACCCTCCCTTGATAGAAACGATCTAAGATATCCTTGGATCTGCGTATGAATGGGTAGCTGACATGTTGGTTGTCAGCTATGCCAGGTCACCTGATCTCCATCTGGGACCCTCTGTGTAGGGATAAATCTTTCGTCACGGGGTGAGACGGGGGCCCTTTGCGGTCAGCTCCGTGATGATCCATGTGGACCAGCTGTGTTTGAATGCCTAAGTGTCCATGCATCCGTGCTTGTCCTCAACAGTGGTAGATAACTGAAATGGACCATGGTAACCTCATTACATTTTCTTTAGTGTGTGCAAATGGGACATAGCTTGAGGCCGGCCAGAGGGTGGTATTCCTGGCATCGTCTGACTTTGCTTACAGTCGGACCCTCTCAGGGAACACCAGCTGTCTCAGAAAACCTTATACCCATCAGGCGGAAAATCTGTTATCGTCTATCTGTGCATTCCAAGATAGAAGTGGAGAGATTTTAAATCAGTCACGCAAAAAAAAGCAAGTGCCTCCAGCTGTTTAAATACTATTATGATGGTTCCAGCTGTCAAGGACATTGTGATCATACCTGAAGAAAATAAAACAAGTACATGGACTCATCAAGAGTTGAAGGACATACCCAGCAATGGTTTTGCTTGGTCTGTGTTACTGCAGAGACACCAAGTCTGGTCTGGTTTACCAACTCACCTGTCTAGACCAACTTCGCAGCTTCTTCCGAATGACCCACCTAACCCTAAAGTTTATTAAACCTCCTCCCTTTGCCTGACTTTTGTATTGTTTTACAGTCAGCACCTTGAAACCAAGTGATGAACAGCTAATTCCAGATAAGCCGCCTCAATTCACAACAGTTGTTAATCAAGCATTGTCCTCTATCAGCCGACTTCAAAGACCCAGCCCTGGCGATAACTGTATTCAGACTCTTGACCTCCAGTTTGCCATCTATAAGGCTGAGCCTTTGAGGTGGGAAGCAGCATCCTTTGTTTGCTAGTTGCTTACGAACTCCCACTGGAGCTGAACATTACGACTTGGCCGAGCCAGACCCCACTGCCTCCTGCAAGGGAGGGAAATTTTGGTCGGCAATTGTGAGAATTTCCTGCCACAGGAAAGGAGAGGAGAGAAGGGCAGAGCGGAGCTGAAACAAGCAGAGAGAAAAGAGAGAGAGAGAGCAGTGGAGATTAGGTTAAGAGCCGGGAGAGGAAAAGCACAGACTATGATGGATAATTTTAGAAGTTGATACCCCAGAGCAAAGGGTGAGGCTTAACCCCAACAGGCTGCTCAACAATTCAGCTTTGGGCCAGTTCCAGAAGAAAACCCCCTCTGGATCCATATGAAATCTCTATTAGCATCAGCTCAGCTATTTTGCTTTTGTTGTCTGCTGTTAGTTTCTGAAGAGAGAAGTAATGCAGTATTCACATCAGCCAGACTTAATGCTAACTCTTTTTCTCACTGGAAGGATCAGTCTTTGCCGGACAGATTTTTCCTCTATGACTTGTCCCCAAGAGGCTCGATCAGTTGTTGCCGCAAACGCATCTGTTTCTCTGTCCAGCCTGGCGGACATGTTTCAGACATCCTGTGTGGCTCCCTCAGCAAGACCAGAAGTTCTGGTTTGGGCTGTGGTCAGAAGTGAACCTATGCAGATTGTTTCTCAGTCTGTCTCCTAGCCAACAAAACCACAACAAGTGACGTTATTAAGATGACCAAACAGAAGACAGGAAGCAGAAAGTGACCTTATGCAGTCATGAATTACTGTTCATGCACATAAAACTGTTATGTATCGTGAAGTATGTGTGCTCTTTTGCTCTTGCTGCCCCGTCTCCCTATAGGCTCTTTCTATAAAACAGAACTGAAATCCGAAGAGGAATGCGTACAGACTGTGCTGTTCCGAAAATTACACTGCATACTGAAATAAACAGCCGACTGTTGGATAATTAGTTTGCCTGAACAGTATTCTCACTACTGTAGTTGGCCTTGAGTTCGTGCTGTTGGCTGGTTTCCCTTCACATATGTAATCTGTTGTACTCCAGCCAACTTGGCACATGTAGGCAGATATCAGACTCATTACCGGGGTAGTGAAATCCACTTTTCTTTTTCGAGGAGAACTCTGAAATTGACATTTCTTGCTTTAATATTCCAGCCCTGATTGCTTGGTGTATATGTTTGTCCAGCACTGCTTTGGAGCTGTCTTAAACCATGAGGACGTTTGGCTTTTACACACAATCGCCGGAGCCAGTGTTTGTCTTGGCTGCCTCCCCGCCTATTATCTGGCTAGGAACAAACGGAGGCAGGGCCTTACAGCCGGGTGGTCAGCAGCCACCACAGCGCCGCTCAGCTCTTTTCCTGTGTGGGAAGCAGGAAGAGGAAGTGAGGTAGTTCCCTGGCGAGGGCTAAGGAATTGGGTTGGTCACTGAAGGAAGAGAAAAAATGAGAAAAGAAACCATGAACCTGAAGTTATCAAAGTAAACAGAAATGTTAAGGGTTGGACGGGGTGTTGTAGAATGGCCTGAGATACTCATATAAACTTCTTTTTTTAGCTTTGTTAACCCAACCTTATTTTTAATTCCAGATGCCCAGGACGCTATATGTGTGTGCTTCTATTGTTAGATTGTTTGCGCTAGATGCCCTATGCCCTTGTCCACTTCCTGCAGCCAAACAAAAGATGGAAAAAGAATCCTGCTTCAATAAACAACGACACAAATATTATTAAGTTTTACCCATCTGCTGTGGATACTGTTATTTTGTTTCTGAGACACACACCAAGTCCACGTTATGTCACTGTAAAGCCGAATTGACTCACATTCTAGGCCAACGGGGTGTGTCACCAGTGGGTAGCTTCCCTCCACAGGCTCTTAATGAATCCCATCGCCCTCTTTTTGGGGTTTGGGGGGTGGAAAGCTAATCTTGTGTTTGTATGTCTAATTTACATCCCAATAGCTTTACTGTCTTTTGAGTAGTTTGTCCTTAAACATGAGGTTGGTCTTTGCAAACACACACAGACTGGCCTCTGCACACACTGGGACACACAAGTAAACACAGAAAGCTCAGGCTCGATGCAGCGCTTTGGAGAATACTGGTATAATTACCCGTTGGTTTCTGAGCTGCTCTGCGTTCACTTCAGTCTAAAAATACCCATCCCAACACACCCACCATCAGAGACATGTCGTCCACATCTGCAAGGAAAAATGGTCGTTCATTCGTCTGCTAGAATTTGGTTAGAGCATACTTGTTAATGTGTTGTTTGACACTTGGGTGCATGCTAGTGTCAGTGGTTGCTTCAGGAGTGCTGGCCCCTGCAGTGGCAGAGGGGAGACCCCGTCTTGGTCGTGTCACACCTTGTTGTTAGTGGGTTTGTCTGCCGTCTAGGCTTGTTGTTGGTATGTAAATGCTCGTATACGGTTGAGCCCAGACCTTTTGAAACAGAAGTCTTCCTCTGACCTCTGCCTGTCTGTCAGACAGAACTTTATGGTCACCTTTCTTTTGTAACACCTTAGTTACCCAGCTAGCAAAGACTCAGCTGTTTGACATGATCCATTGCATGTTTATTTGCGAGTTTTCTGACAAAACACTGGAGTCCGGCGTCTCTTTTAGGAGCCGCCTGCTCTTTTTCATGCTTCTGGCCATGATCTTCAAACTTAAAAATAACAGACTGATGTTTCACAGATAAAATAAACTAAACTGCATCTCTTCACTGGTTTAGCCCAGTCATGCTAAGCTAAACATAGCACTGTCTAAAAGTGTAAAGGACATAATTATGATGTCCAAGTAAAAGGATTGTTGAAATATAGATGGAAACATCCAACTATCCTTCCTTGATTTCAGGGCCTCACAAACGCTTCTAGAATTGCAGCAGGATGAGCGAGTACCAGGCCTTCGTGTTTAACAGTCATTCCTCATGTTGTCACTTTCATCCCCGGCTGTAAGGTCTCTTTTCTGCACTGGTCTGGTTTACAAGTTTTTCTCAAGGTTGTGCTACATTTGCACGTGCTGTTATTCACCAAAGCAGACATTACAGCTCCTGAAGGCTTGGAGACATGTTTCTGTCTCCTCCATGCAGACTGCTGGCTGTGGGGGTGATGAGGAGGAATCTTGAAGGCTGGGGTGTTTGTAGCCATTTGGCATGTGTCAACTAAGGACTTTCACAGATAATTGGGAGACAGTGCCACGGCTTCTGAAACACCGTGGACCTCAACATTAAGTTTGGACTGAGCATAACACGGCCAGATGGTGCACCCCGAGTATTGTCTCACAGTGTAGGAGATGTGTTTTGATCAGGTTGTTCAGTATTTGTGTCATTAATGGATGCATGAAATATGCATATTTATGTGCACATGGTTGATTAAGAGTTGGTTTACCTTCAGGAATAAAAAGGCGATAGCTAAAACCTTCAATATGACAGAAATTTTACATTTAGATGGATGGATGCAGTTGTGTCATAAGAGTAAAAGGCTAAATTCAGACATTTTCAGACAGAGATCCTTGTGCGAACAATAAAAACCATCACCTCACCTGCATGAAGAGTCAAGTGGCACACACTTGGAGTGTGATGGGGTCGACACAGTTTGCACGAGTGATGCTTTGAGCTCTAGCTTTGGAAGTATGTGAGAGGAGAGTGACCTGAGTATGAGATAGCTAAAAAGGTCAAGGGGTTCACTTTTGATAAGCTGCTATCTTGTTGGAGCCTTCAACTCTAATCTTTATTTTTGTCTTTTAACAAGAAAACAAGATTTTTAAATACATTTTATATGCACCCAAATACTACGATAATGATGATATATTTTCACTTTATCGTAGACTATTTAATATGTTCCTGTTGTAATACCTGCACAGTATTTTCTGCATGTGTAAGTGGAAATATCTCTCCCCCAAATCTCAACATGTCTTGGTTTTCTCCCTCTGTTTCTCCTGCAGAAATCGAAGCCAAAGAAGCCTGTACCTGGCTCCGAGCCGCAGGGTTCCCACAGTATGCACAGCTTTATGAAGGTAAGGGCCCCAGGTGGCTGCAATTAAGATAAGAAGGACCCAAAAGTTGTTAAGTTGTTTTTGTAACAATACTGTAATGTAAATACAACATCAGCGGTAAATCAAGCCATATGTGTGTTATACTTTCACCCAATCTTAATGAGAAATCTGTACATATAGCGCCTGTGAGGAATATATTCCCAACATTGGTAATCTCTCCAGTCACTCTTTGAGGACCAAACCAAAGGTTATTTTTTGCTTTTTTGAATATAACACTAAACATGTCCTCTGTACCCTCTAAAGTTACACATGCACTGACAAATGGTTGAGAAAGAATGCCCCGTAGACTCTTGAGATCTAAATAAACACAAAACATACACGACACATTCTTCACACTCCATAGAGCTACTATATCAGGCATACCTTGGCCACACCAGTTGCTCTTATGTAACTAGAGGGCGATGACAGCTAGACCAAGCAATCATTGTCAGCAGGTCATTGCTTTTTGCCAGTTAACCATAAAGGTTGAGAGCTCTTTGTGTTTGTGCACAGCTGATGATGCTGTCGGGTACATAAATGAACATAATTCAAAGGTGCAGATGGTCGGTCCATCACTCACTGAGAGAGTGAGAATTCTGCCAACGCGAGACGTGTCTTCCCTTCCCTTGTATCCGTGAGACAATCTCCATTGTGTTAGCCGTCAAGACTATAGCCCCACTAAAAATCAGCCCGCTGATGAGGCTGTTTCAGAACAGCAGGCGAAAAGCTGGCCAACAGTGAAAAGCATTTTCTTATCATCATCGCCCCCGAGGATTTGGATGCTGCTTAGATCCCCTTTGTGGGTTTGGTCAACAGATTCCTGAAACATATCCCAAAATCCAGTCATCCTTTATCTATATACGAAACTATAGTATGTATATATATTCTTTATGATTTAAGGCAACCTTTCCATGTTTGGCATTTTTAATTAATGAGTTCGACTTCGACAAAAGACAGAGTAAAGGAAGCAGGACCTCTTAGCCACAGTGGAGTACCTATTGTCATTCTTCAATCAATCCCCTGTTCTCTCCCCCTGCGCTCCACATCCCCCCTGCTTGCCCGCCCTGAAAGCTGCAGCTGTGTTTGTTTGGTCGGCTAAGACACTACTTCCTCTTTTAGCTTTTCATCGGACCTTGTATGGAGGGGGAAGGTGGGACAGAGGAGCCCCGGTGGATGTTTGAGTGGGCGAGTGGGTGTTTTTTTTTTTAGGGGGCCAGTGAGGACATACAGAACGCTTAGGTTCTGAACTCGCTGATCCAATCTGCTGCAGGTAGATGCTCACACTTATCTCTCTGTTTAGACGCCCTGTTTCCCATCGACATCTACTCAGTCACCAGAGACCATGACTTCCTGGATCGGGCCGCGATCGAAGCTCTCTGCAGGTGAGATTAAGACTCATGCTGAACCTTTCATACTTCTGCACTATCTGAACGAGTGCGCATGAGGGCACGACTTCAAAAAGAGGCATGCAAGAAAGACACGATAAGCACCTTGGAGCCTCGGGTGTACCTTTCCATCTCTGCTATTTCGTTTTCTAGGTCCATACCGCCCTCTCTCATTATGTTCCTCTTTCTCTGAGGCTGATAATGTTTACCTCAGCCATCAGAGTCTTTTGTGTTGTCCTGGCAAGCTCATATCTCACTCTGAACTTTCACTTCTGGATGTCACGCAATGCCTTTTGACTTCCAGTCTTCCTTTCTCGCCTCATTTGCTCTAAATTCTGGGGCTTATGTGGAGATTCAGATCCAAAGATGCTGGTTTCTTTGAATGAAAAACACAAAATAATTGTTTGCAGTGATGATGCCGATTACCAATTCCCATACATAGGCGTTGGTATTAGGGATGGGTGATAAATTATCATTCGTTGTTTGATGTCACTAGTTTTCTCCATAACCTACCACCTGAACTTGTATGTTTGTGGCAGAATTAGTCACAAAACATGTATTTGAATTATAATATTTTTTATCGAGACTTTTATCATTATCGCCAGGGTGGAAAAACTTATCGTGATAAATTTTTTTGGCCCTTATCGCCCATCCCTAGTTGGTATAAGCCAATACACAGTGCCCCTCTAATACCAGTGTGATGATAAACAAACATTTTATTGGTGAAAAACGAAGGAATTTGAGCTTTGACCAACATTGCGTTTGTTATTGTAACACATGGTATCTGGGGAGTTTATTGGTCACAGTAGCAGACATTCCCACTGCGATTACGGTAGTATCTGAGGAGGACATTGATACTAGTATTGTATTGAATTTACTCAAGTCAAAGTTTTCTACATCTTGTGTTTTTTTTTGTAAATGAAGTAAATTGGCTGTAAATGAAAAGCAGTGAAGAGGACAGGGTTCGAATACCAGCTGGTGCCGTCATGATTAGCATCTGAGGAGGAGGAGGTTAATGGCTCTTTAATGGAGTCAACTTCTTAATCAAATTCTGACTCTGAGTAATAAACCCCAGCAGGTGTCCCTCCACACATCTGGAAGCTATCATCTCTATGTCTCCTCTCTTGCTGCCCCCTCCTCTTCTCCCACTGCCCCAACTGTCCCCAGGTCCCCATCCCTTCATCTCTCTATTGTTACATGATCTGCTCTAAAAGCTCTCCAGAGAGGGTGGACCCCACCGCCACCACCCACTCACTCCCCTTGTCCAGGTGGCTCGGGGGATAAGCTTTCGCCCCCCCCACTCCCCCTCCCAAAAGATATGTCATCGCCACTCCAGCAGATTTCATTCTGCTCGCTCTCTCCTTTTCTGTCTCCGCTCTCATTCTCTTCCCGCTCAGATGGGGATTATCCTTCAGCAGCTCATTAGCCAGCCTGGCTGCACCCAAGCTCCCCCTCTGTCTTTCTTGTCCTTTTTTTTTTTTCCTACTGTTTCATCCTTTTTTTTTTCCCATCATGCATCCTCTTCTTCATTAGAGGTGCGTCTTAATAAAATAACAAGAGGCAGGGATATTTTAAAGAACTATTCAAATGTAACCTCTTTTGTGTCCGTGTGTTTGCAGGAGACTGAACACCCTCAACAAGTGCGCTCTTATGAGGCTGGAGATCTCACCGCAAAGAAAAAGAGTAAGTGCACGTGCATACACACACACATATATTAACTCCTAGAGAGAAAGCCCCCTTTGCATCTCTCCTTAACCGCAATTAGATTTCCTCACCTCAGCTCTCAGTTCACTCTTGGCCACAGGGCAAAGCTGTGTTTTCTCTCGTCTTGTTTAATGAGAAGGCACCTGTTGGGTTTATTTCTAAATCAAGTGGGCTGTAAGGACCCTAGGGGGAGGGAGGGTAGCTTTAATGTCTAAATGAAGGGGTTGTATTCAACAGAACCTCCCCTTACTTGAGGCAGGCTCCCGTTCTGCCTCAAATATTTCCTTCTCACCAAAAAAACTTGGTGTTTTATTTTATTTTTGTGGAGCTCTTTTTAAACGGTGGCTTTTTATGAAACTTACCCGCTGTCTTCGATTTGGATTTTCTTGGAAATGTCCTTTCCCTGCTTCATGTGTAGCTAGAAAGCTCGAATCAACCCAGCTTCCCTATTAGCTTAAAGCGCTACATAGTAACGTCCTTGTTCTGTGTGTGGTGGTATTCATTAGGGTGACCCTCTCTGTGACACCTTTCATTTCAGAAGTCAACAGAGAAGAGTCAAAGAGGTTATTTGCCATGTTTGTGGGATGACACCCCCTCCCCTCCCCTCACACAGCTTAGGAATGCATTGATCTCCTCATGTCTTCACATTCCCCCCCTCTTTTAAATCTCCATGTGTCTGTTCCTCATTCTTTCGGGTTCGTTCTCTCAGTCTGTCTCCTTGTAATTATGAATACTCTTTATGACGGAGAAGATGCAAAAGCAGACAGCCAGTTGCACTGAATGTTTCGGTGTTCTCATGGTTTGACGATATCTTATCTGCAGAAGGTTAAGCAATGGTTGACGGTGTATCAGCCAGTCAGTTCTTGATACACAATGAAAAACATGTTCGTCTTATCTCACAATCCAGCCTGCAGAACTAAAGGAGAAAGCTCTAGTGGATGCACAAATGTCACTGAGACTTTACCCGTCCTTTTTGGGTATTTCACTCAAGTGTAAGCTGGGGGTGGGAATCACTAGTGGCCTCATGATACGATATTATCACAATACTTGGGCCACGATACTACATTATTGCGATTTTTAACATTTATTCAACTGTTTAGCTAATTTAGCATTTGCCTTTCCCTTATGTTTGTCTTATTTACAGAGTATTTTGTTTTCATGTGCAAACCTTAGATTGTTGTACTAACTTTCTCCTGCTCTATTATGTCACCTCTGCCAACCTCACTGGACAAACAGTTGATTTTACTTTTCCATTATCATAGATTTGACTTTGTATTAGCGATTAATTTGAAAAAATCGATACTCGGTAAATGAGACGATACGATATATCACCGGACAAAATATCATGATACTCTGCTGTATCGATTTTTTTCTCTTGCCCCTAACGTAAGCCCTGTCCCAGCAGTACCAGGTTGTACTTATGCCCACTTTTCATTCAATGTCCATCAAATTTTCACAGCAAAATATAAAATTAATTCTGTCGTACTGTAAAGATCCTTTTTAAGTGTGAAGAATCCTCTTTGTTTTTCTGTGTGACTGTGTTTATATGTTGGTTTGAAGGAGTTTGTATACAACTCTCATGGATAAGAAATGAGGCTGAACAGAAGCTTTGTGTGTGTGTGTGTGTGTGTGTGTGTGTGTGTGTGTGTGTGTGTGTGTGTGTGTGTGTGTGTGTGTGTGTGTGTGTGTGTGTGGCACATGCATGCATACAGACAGACGGGGTGGGGGATGAAGACAGTAGGGGGGGAGTGACCCCAGTCTGGCTGGCTGCATTGGGAGCTATGGGGGTCATAATGGAATTTCCTGAACTCCCTCCAGGGCCTGAGACAGATTAACCAAACTTGTGTGCGTTTTGTGAAGGTGCTGGTGCTCTATTTGTAACTCAGTAATGGTCCCACTCGCTCAAGTTAGGAGGGAGCTGAATCATGCTTTACTGGATTAATGTGAATATCTTTGTGTCATCAAGTCTTTGTTTAACCACAACACTTCAGTTTAAGAGGTGTTATGCAGAAACATCTTTTACGTCATTAAACTAATCGCTGTAATGACTGAACAGCAGCTGGTACGAATTTAAAAAAAGGTTCAACGGTTTTAAAATTGGTTTACCGGAAAGTTTCCTGGAATAAGGTGAGGAATGTTGGAGACAAAAAGGGAAACATAGAGGCCTACAATGTCCTAACTGTTCCTTTGCTTTCCTCTCTCTTTTTCCATCTCCTCTTGCTATTTCTTCTTTCACCCCCTCCCTATCCGCTCTCTTCCTCATTTCCAGAGCGAGGACTCTGATGAAGACGAGCCGTGCGCCATCAGTGGACGATGGACCTTCCAGAGAGACAGCAAGCGCTGGTCCCGTATGGATGAGCTGGAGGTTTTTTCCTCGCTGTCTCCAGATGCTGCTCCGTCCAATTTGACGAAGGACCAAGGCGCCCAGAAGGGGAAACCGGCTTTGCGTGAAGGCAACAGCTCAGAGAGCGTGCTGACTGACCTCAGCGAGCAGCCGGAAGTGGGATCCATCCACAGTAATGGGAGTGGAGGACGAGGCGAAGAGAAGAGCCATGGAGCCTCCCTCACAAGTGAAACTGCGCCTGTTGGTGCCACCCGTGCTAGCTCTGTAGCAAGCATGTGTTCCTCCTCCGGCACTGGCGGATCAGGGTGTGCCAACGAGGACTCATTGTCAGACGGGATGCCGCCATCACCCCTCGAAACACTCGAGCATTTCACCTTTGATGTGAAAAGTGGGATGGGTGGACTAGGCGGGAGTCTGGACAGAGGGGGCGGGAGTGGCAAAAGCACGCGCTCACGAGCGAAGAGTTTCCTGAAGAGGATGGAGAGTCTGCGGCTGCGCAGTGGCACCACCTCCAAGAGAAAGAAGAAGGGGAGCACAGGTGGAGGGAAGATAGAGATCAGCGGCCCTGTCATCAAAGAGGGTCTGGATGACGACAAGCTGAGGAGGCTCAACTGTGTGGACATCTCCAGTATCAACCTGAACCAGAACCTCAATCACCACCGCAATCCCACTCAAACCATGACACTTAACCGGAAGCGCTCCGTTTCTTATTCCACTCAGACCAGCAACGGCAGCACTGGGAGCACTGGGAGCAGTCAGTCTGAAGCAAGCAGCGGGAGTGCAGTCAGCACGCCAAGCCCGGTGACTCGCGCCCGCAGTCACAGCACGGCAGCCGGCTCCAGTAAGAGAGGAGGGATGTACTTGGAGGGTTTCGACCCCTTCAGCATCCTCCAACAAGCTTCAGATCGACAGCAAGCACCCCCACCCAAATCTGCCCCTCCCATCCCTTCCCAAGCAGGGATGACCGTCGACGAGCAGAACCGAAGGAACAACTGCAGTGTTCGGGGCAGCAGACAAGCAGAAGAAGAAGAGGAAGAGGAGGGCATGATCTTCTTCTATCTACCAGAGGGCCACAAACCGGGAACCTTCCCCAAAGCCTTGCAGGATGGGAGTTCACGCAACAACAACGGAAACGATAACGGGAACTCAGTGATCCTCCGGGGACGGCAAAGCAGGCGCCAGCGTCGCATGTCCTCAGGGTCTGTCGACAGCCGACTCAGTTTTTACGACAACGTCCCCTACACTGAGAGGGAGGAGGAGGGGGAGGAAGAAGAGGGGGATGAACGCAAACTGGAGGAAGTGCTAAAGCACGTCAGCGGACTGCAGCGGTATGTTAACGCCTGGTCAGAGGCCGTGGCTGGGGAAGAGGAGGAAGAGGAGGAGGACGAAGAAGAGGAAGGGGACTCCGACTCGGCGCTGGACTCGGCCTCCCCCTGCCCGTCGTCTCCTTTGCAGAATCGATTGGAGGAAACGGAGAACGGAAGCGACCAGGACAGCACAGGAAACCCCCTGGGCGAGGGAGAGGAAGGGATGAGAGAGAGGAGAGACTCTGGCGTCGGGGCATCTCTGACCAGAACCAGCAGGTCAGTAAAGAAATCTCAAGAGTCTCTTTTTTCTTAATGCCACAAAAATTAAAGGGCAAGTTCGTCAAAATTTGTAAAAAAGGTGAATTTAATTGTGTTTGTAAAAAGTTGTTTTTATTCTAACACACTTTTTTATAAACTTCTTCTACTTTTCCCCTGCATTCAAAAGTGAAAACAGTAACTCAGCCCTCTGCCTCTAAACAGGCTCGGGCTTATGGGTATCCTTGTGTAAAACCAAACCAAACATTAGCATGAAGCATGAAAAGCCCTCGGACAACAACACAATAGAAAGACAAATACCGAGGTACCAACAGAAAAAAAGTTTTCCATAGAAAGTGACAGCAGAGGATAAACACGGGGACGCGCTCAGACTCTTCTCCTTACGTAATTCTGCTGAATACACTGGAATGCTGCTTGGTCCCCATGGCGACTGTTGCTGTTCCCTCAGGAATCCACAGACAGAGTTACATTCGAGGGGCGTGGGGTGTTTTAGTCTCTAAGCTGTCTCTTGATTGATGTGTACATAAACCCCTCTAATCCTTAACCTGATTGCTTGGCACAACAAACTACAAAAACCAATTTTGTGTGCACACAAAGGCATGACGCACTTTTAAGGACTTAAAGTGCAATTTTTTTTCTATCATCGTTCTTCTTTTCGCGTCTCAATTTCTGCTTTTCCCCCCTTTTCTTTCCCTCCTCACCCCCAGACCGCAGAAACTTCGCTGGCCAAGCTTCCAGAACTCCCACCGGCCCAGCTTGGCGTCGGCCCAGCTCCAGATTAGCTGCCAGTCTGTGCTACAGATGAATCTGCTGCAGAAGCTCTCCATGCTGCAGCTCACCGCTCTGCTAGAGAAACACACCCCGACAAACAAACACGGTTTCAGCTGGTGAGTGGACAGAGTGCTAGAGACAGCTTTTTTTTTGAGTGTGATCATGTGAAACGTCCACACGATTGTTACCCTTCCCATCACAGCCCATGTCCCAGTGCCCTCGGTCTGCAGGTTGTTGTGTAGCGTGATGACGGCTGTCCACAGAGGTTGGGTTTCACATTCTTTTCCCAGGCCCATAATTGCTGGGAAGGGGGTGTACATTGTCTTTTTCTCAACGGGGCAATCATGGCGCTTCACACGCATGGTGTTACAAGAGCTGCAGGCTTGACAGATCAGACCCCAATAATTACCCCTCCACCACTACACCCACGAACAGGACCAGGCTACTGCTCTGACATCACTTTTCCTCTGTTATCGATTATCCCATTATACCTAATTTAACACTCTGTAGTGACACTTTGTAGTGTTGACTTACAAATTTTCTTTTTTTTTTACTTCTATTTTTCTGAATGAAAGGTGAAACTTTGGTTTCTCAATAGAAAAGATTAAAACACGTCTTATGCTGCATTCGAGTTACCTTGGAAGTCAGATGTCCGAGTTGGGAATGACGTCACACCAGAGTTCCCAGCGTCTCGGAAAAAAAGCAAAATTTGAGGTGGAAACTAGATGGCTACATCTACGAAAGGGGATGCTAAAAAAACTTAGAATAATTGAAATAACAAACGCTAAAATAACTTTCACAGATCTTGTTTCCGCCTCCGATTTTGCTTTTTCTGACTTGTTAACTGAAACGCTGGTAACTCGGGTGCGACGTCACTCCCAGCTCGGACATCTGACTTCACTCGAACGCTGCATTAATCTAGCCTGGCTGGGCCATCCTGTTGCGGGAATCACTTGATGTTCCTTCCCACAACAGTTTGAACTTCGGCCCATTGGAAGCCCTGAAAGTGAGAGGGAGTACTTTCCTTGATAGACAGACTACTGTAACCAATCACCGTAACCAAGCATCTGACATCATCACAGATGCTTGGTTATGGTGATTGGTTACAGTAGTACATGGACCAATCAGGGGCTGCCTTTCCCTGTTGTCCGGGTAACAGTGAAAACACAGTCACTGATTGGCCCGGTTATTTTCTGATCGGGAATACACGCTCCCAATGGGCCGAAGTCCAGACTGTTGTGGGAAGGAACGTCAAGTGATTCACGCAACAGGATGGCCCAGCCAGGCTAAAATTAATCCAGATCAAAGTAAATGTGTTATAGATTTTAAATCATTGCGAAACTTTTACATTATGATTATTTTTCATTATTACACAGTACAACCTTTTCCCACAACGTGACCATTTCATGATAGTTTGCAATTTCCGGTGACAGAAATGACCGGGTGAAAAATCGAATCATATTCTTGTATTTTTCCACTCTCCACTGTCCGTTCTTCCTCGGGCAGAAATAGAAAACGTTATGTCTCTGGCTTGTCTTATGACAGACTGGCGCTTACTGAAAGACAGAGGCCACTTGTTGGCTGCTGGAGGCCCACACATATTCAGAATTCCGTCCCAGGATCATAATATGCTCCTTTTCCACTTTTTTCCCCAAAGTGTGGTTCTGAGGAGCGCTCCGGGTCTTATGAACGCTCGCTCTCACAAAGACGAGTTTGTCCTGAGTCACGCATTGCGTCTCTGTGCTAAACACACTCAAACCCGTGGAGGGAGATGCACGGCTATAAATCTGTGGGCGCACGCCCATGAAACAGTCAGATTTGCGTGTTTGAGCTCTGAAGTCGTGGCTGTGTAGACTTTGTGTTCCCTTGCATTGAAGTGCACACACACACACACACACACACACACACACTTACACAGAGGGTAACAAACAGTAAAAAAGACACTTTGCATGGATGTATGAGGAGGTGGGATCCTCTTTTTTTTTTTGACACCACAGCACATATCCCCCTTCCCCTCCCTCGTTGATCCTCCCCCCTCATAAACCTGGAGACAGGCTTCTGTGGAGGCTTGGTTTCCTCCTTACACACACACTCACACACACACACACAAAAACACACACTGACGTATCCAGACCCACAATTTTAAGTTTATTCAGAGTCGCAGTTTGACGATGTCTTTAAACTTTTAACTGAACTGACAAGTATCTGAAACTTGTCCCACATGATTCTAGAAATTCTTGATCACTTTGTCTTTTTCAGAGTTTTTCAACCTTGATTTTTTTAAGATCTGTTTAACAAGAATAAATTCCCCACATACCTTTAAATTAAGCCAAATTTTGAAGCTGCCCACCCTACACGGTATAAATGTTGATTTCACATCAGCTCAGATGAACCTGTAACCGTTACTGATTGGTTTTCCACTCTTGTGTGTTGCAGGGCCGTGCCAAAGTTTATGAAGCGCATCAAGGTGCGGGACTACAAAGACAGGAATGTGTTCGGTGTGCCACTGCAAGTCATCATCCAGCGGACAGGACAGCCCCTCCCCCAGGGAATTCAACAGGCCATGCGCTATTTACGCAACCAGTGCCTGGACCAGGTAAAACATTAAAAGGCGCACATAGCGACAGGGTTACACGGTGTAAATGTAACCCTGTATTGTAATTACAGTATGAACTCATCATCAAAATCCCTTTCAGACAGTAATGCGGCTTTTAAGTACCATTTGCAGTTTCCAAACATGAGAAGCGAAACTTCGCTGCAAGGTTCTGGGGTTATGTAATATGTGAATTTAAGGACATCTGCAATCAGTTAAAAATGTTCATCCTTGAGTTTTTCACTTGAATGTTACATAAGATGGAGCAATGAGAAAAAAAATACTGATACCCGCCTTTTCAAGTAAGCATGTGTGTGAATGTGTGCGTGCCGAATCTGCCTGTCCCTCTCTTTTTTCCCCCTCTCTGTCACACACTCACTGGAGCGTGAGGCCTGGAGATAGTCAAAGTGTGCAGCTGTCAAGTCCCCCTGTGTCTGTGTGCTCGTTTTGAAGACGTTATAAAAGATTTATCTCTGCGTGTGAGTGAGCGTGTGTGTGTGTGTGTGAGTGCACACATTCATAATGGAAAGAAAGGAAAGATGGAGAAAATAGCCATTAATGGATGGCAAAGGAGTGATGGTGTTCTCGTCCACGCAGGACAAGGCGCCTCTGTTTTCGAGCAGTGAAAGCTCATGGAAAATATTCAGGCTGGGCAGGCCGGTGGACTTTCACTTCTTTCCTCCCAAGCTTTTGCCCTTTCATACAGCCTTACATGGCTACTGATGAAGTCCAACACAAGATTGAGTATTCAGCGAAATGCCCTCGAGCTGTTATGGAGCTTCTTGTAAATACAGACAACAGGATATCTGATGTGATGTAACCGTATTGACTGTAAGCTCCGGATTTGGGCAAAAGTCGGGAATATTTCTAATGGAAACAACCTCAAGATGGTTTTTGTGAGCGCTCTGAGCAGATAATTCAGTTTTTGAAACGGCTTAATAAGAGGATCAAACTAAACTAACAAGGGAGTTAGAGTTCAAAGCTGACTTAATCAGGTTTATATGATGTAACTCTTTTTTTTTTTTACCTTTACTCTGTTTCCAGGTGGGTCTTTTCAGGAAATCTGGAGTCAAATCACGCATCCAAGCCCTTCGTCAGATGAATGAGGCGAGCGGCGCGGATGGAGGCGGAGTCAACTACGAGGGCCAGTCGGCGTATGACGTGGCGGACATGCTGAAGCAGTACTTCAGAGATTTACCAGAACCCCTGCTCACCAGCAAACTGTCGGAGACCTTCCTCCAGATTTATCAGTGTAAGAATACAGACACAGATTGTAAACATCCACATGTTGTCACACACGCCTTAACTCCACAGTCACACACCTGTTATGCATATTGCTTTAGAGCGCAGATGTTTGCCTGCAATGAAGCAAGAACTTGTGAAATCAAGAACACAAACAGGATAAGTGAGGAAATACCTGCTGTCAGCTTTTTTTTTACCTGTTCACTGTTGCTGCTGCTGTCGGTTCTATTTATATAACCCGAAACAAAACCAGTCATGTGTGAAGTATGAAGTGTACGTGTAGACACACATATAGGCTTATATAATACACTTATGTCAACACAGGGCCCATCATAGCTCGCTCTTGGCAGGCAAATACAGACACTCAACCAACCTCTTCACTTCACCAGTGACACAAAAGGATGAAATGATTGATAGTAAACAAGTTTTCCTGCGTAGAAAAGTAAAAGTTTGATTCCTCTCCTCTAGACATGCCCAAGGAGCTCCGCCTGCAGGCCGTACGCGCCGCCGTGCTTCTGCTGCCCGACGAGAACCGTGAGGCGCTGCGGACCCTGCTGTGTCTGCTGAGCGACGTGACGGCCAGCGTGGCTGAGAACCAGATGACCCCCACCAACCTGGCTGTCTGTCTGGCCCCCTCTTTGTTTCACCTCAACACCCTGCGCCGCAAGGAGAGCTCCTCACCGAGGTGTGTGCTTGTCTCTGCATCAGTCAGTATGTTTCCATGACACTCGAGAAAACTGAATTATTGCCGTACTCCGATTAAGACTGGACAACTGAAGTGCATGTAAACACCTTAATCTGACTATAATCGGAGTTTGAGAGTTGGAGAAGTCTGATTAAGACACGCCTCGCCCCCGCAACCCCGGAACAAAAACCCCAGAGAAGAGGAGTAGCGTTCATCTCATCTGCAGAAAAAGTAGGGTGTACATCATGTACGTCAATAACAACGCTGTATGATGCTCCATTTTCTTGCGCGAAAATGCCCAGCAGCAGTTGTAGCCACTTCTGATGTCTGGCACGGACCTGTTGTTGTTGTCGACAGCACAATAATTCGATTTTTTTCAGCTGCACGTATACGCGGACAAGGAGAGAAGTCCAATTCGGCGAGAAAAAACAAATTAAGAGCTTAGTCCGATTAAGCTGCGCATGTAAACGCACTGACTGCGATTTCCGTCACAATGATTGTCTTATCAGCTTACATAACACGGACATGTCAGTACATTCTGATAACAGGAAAGGATCCCACTCGTAGCAAAAGAGCAGGATACTGTAGAGAAGAAAAAATGAAGACAGGAAAGGGGAGAGGCAGAGGAAATAGAAGGGTTACATCAACATCTTGGCTGGAGTAAGAAACACATATTTTGCTTTATATTTAGAAGAAGAGGGTTTAACTTGTTCTCTCCTCTTTACCAACTTTTCCCTCCGTCCTCTCTTGCATTGACTGGCTAAAGCTCAGATACGGCTGCTGTGTCTTAAACTGTCGTCTTTTTCCTCTCAGGGTGATGAACAGGAAGCAGACACTGGGAAAGCCGGACCAGAAAGACCTGAATGAGAACCTGGCTGCCACTCACGGCCTGGCACACATGATCCAGGAGTGCAGGAAACTCTTTCGGGTCAGTCGTTTGGTACCACTTATTACGAGTCTGCTAACTTTGCACACACCTTCAGACATTACATGTAGATGTGAGGGACAAACTGACAGATTAAGGGATGAAGATGTGTTTGCTGACACCGTAACGTGACCCCATCAGAGCCTGAGCTCCCCTGAGTTTGTCCTGTAAACAAACATAATCCTCGTTATATAACTTGTTAATCCAATTCACGCTACAACCTGCCCAAACAGTGTTGTGATTACTTAAGGCAAAGGTGCCACCTGTCCTCGTGTTTGACTTTATTTTTCGAACGACTGAAAGTCCCAAATCTACAAATCCACTTTATTTGAGATTCTGAGTCCACACGGAGAGCACTTGACCAGACAGACAGGAAACAATCAGAAAGCGACACTATTACCAATCCGATTTCACCCCAAAAATCCGCCCTTGTGCAGTGAGACCTAATAGGCTGCGTAATGCGGGTCATCACGGTTAAAAAGTTTTATTAGATTGCGGGAGAGCTTCCTGGCTTCCTGTCATGGGCGCATCACACAACCCGGAAACTCGATTATCTCTGGAATTATTTTCTCATAATTAGATTTCAGCCTGCCCCGTGGAAAGCCATAAAAAAAGACGACGAGTTATGAAATGACTGTCTAGAAATTATAGGGAGCCCTTTTGTTATCTAATTAAAATCCTTTTCTTAGACCGTAATGATGTTAAGCCTTCAATTAAACGGGGATGATGGCAGGTAGACAGAGACAGAGGGAGTTATGATGAGCTGAGAAAACAGGGAGATGGAAAAAGGATGTCCTCGATTTCACTTTGTGCATCGTAGTCAAAGTTTCAAGTAACAGACTTATAATCAGGTTCTCAGTGAAGTTTCTCTCCTGTGTGCCTTTGTGTTCCAGTGAGAACTCATTAAACTGCCATCCTATTAAACAGTCAAATTAAAATATGTTTCCTGGCACTCACTCTCTTCTCTCTCCTCATTCCCTGCAGATCCCAGAGGAGATGAATCGCTGCAGGAACTCGTATGTAGAGCAGGCACTGCTGCCGCGCCGCTTCGAGGAACTGACAGGTGAAAACGCCGGACAGGGAGGTTACAGAGTGTACCTACGAGACAGCCTAGACGCCCTCCTTAAGGAAGCCAAGGACAAGTTTAAAGGATACGACAGCTGTTCGACTCCTGAACACGCAGAGCTGGCCTGTAGGAAGGTATGAAGACATTTTCATCAACATCTATCATCGTCATTAACTGATCGGTCCCAAAGCGGCTTTCATGACGGAGGCTGAATGTAAACAAGCCACAACTCATGAGACACACACTCTTGTCTGTTTATCTCTGATTCCTCTCTTCCTCCCTGCCCTCAGCTGCTCCACAAATTGCCTCATGGAAAACCAGCAGTTAGGGTTTCCTGTATAGAAACACATCCGTGTGAAACTAGCCTGGCCTTTGCCTTCTCGTTCCCATCCGTACACTGGACCGTCTCCCAGAATGACATCAGTCTGACATCAACACACACACACACACATATATACGTACACAACTTCTGCCATTATCCCAGGCCTACATTTCCGGAGTCTAGTGAGCAAAGGCCTCAGCGTGTGTGTGTGAGGTTATCTTTCCTCATGTTGGAGAGTCACAAGGCGCAGAGTGTGTGTGTGTTCTGTATCATCTGATGGCAGAGCGGGCCGAGCAGCTGACTTGGCTGAAGGGCACAGGGAGGTTTAGAAACACAGACGGGCTGTTGTGAATTAAAGCTGGATTTCTAATTTCTGTAAATATGACTAATACGATTGGAAAACCATGTGGAACACTTGCATAAGACGCTCAAAGTTCTTATATATTTTCCGCCTGTTATCGTCCGGTTCTCGTTTCCGGACATCTTGTTTTGGACTCTGTAAACTTCCACACCTCCTCTTTTAAACCAGACCGGCTGTTTGTTCAAAAGTAAACGGTATATACTAGCTCCACCCAGGAAGTCAAATCTTGGAGGTTAAACTAAACTAATACGACTCTCCTCCTGATCTTCCAGGTTCATGACGGCTTCCCTCTGCGGCTGTGGAAGGTGACTGTGGAGTTGCCTGCGAGTCCTGAAGAGGTTCTGAACAGGGTGTTAAGGGAGCAGGGCCACTGGGATGAGGACTTGCTGGAGAGCCGTGTGGTGGAGACCCTGGATGAGAGAACAGAGGTCTACCAGTATGTTAGGAACACCATGGCTCCACATCCAACCAGAGACCACCTGGTGCTCAGGTAGACAGACCCCGCTGCCCTTTCCTTTGGTAATCCAGGGTTTTTTCTGATCTTATGAAGTTTTTTAATCCTTATTATTCTTTGTCTTCATCAGAACATGGGTGACAGACCTGCCAAAGGGAGCATGTGCAATTGTGTGTACATCTGTCGACCACGAAGGCGCACCTGTCGTAGGTGTGCGGGCAAACGTCCTCACCTCACGCTACTACATTGAGCCCTGTGGGACCAACAAATCCAGACTCACACATATTTCCAGGATCGACTGCAGGTGAGGAGCAGAGATCTAAACTCTGTGATCTTTATTATTTGTCTGTTTGGTGATGGAAACATGAGCTAACAACACGTTTTTGTTTGTTTGTTTCTCAGGGGTCGTTTCCCAGAGTGGTACAATAAACTGCACGGACACTTGTGTGCAGCAGAGGTGGCGAGGATACGCGATTCGTTCACCGTTTCCATGGAGAAATAATTTAGCCAACTGCGTCATCATACGGTGGACTTACGGACCAGGATCTGGATCCTACAGAAGACTTGACATGACACGTTTAGCCCATCCATGCAGAGATTTAGACTGAGTCCAAGCCTCTGTATTCTCACACTTAAGGACAAATCCTGAATCCTGGATTGAAGGACTTCTTTTGCTCTGATTTAGCCACAACAGCCTGGTGTTACTGTTAGAAAAAAAGACCTGCTCTGTTGGGCTCTGAGTGTGCTGCTTCACTTCGTACAAACATTTATCTGGGCCAAAGGTTTATCCAAAAGGGTGCTATTGCTTCTGAGAAGCAACAGAGGACTCAACGAGCGTGTGTGTGTGAGCGCGTGTATGTGACGTCGAAGCAAACAAGCGGTTAATGAATATATTCCTCACACTGGTTTCCAGTGGCAGCATAAAGTGTACATACAGTATTCTGGTCGCAGTGAGGGTTTGTGTCTGTACTGTTACCTCTGTTTTTTTTTTCTGTTACAGTTAAATACACGAGGAGTCTGGGAGGAGATAATATTATGCTCAGCTGATTGATGAATCCATTGGTGCAGAAAGATGTGAATGTGTTGACTTTAAGGAGACAATAGACAGGATATAGTGAGAGGAAATATGATCAGTGGTGTAGAAGGTTTCAGTGTTGTAGTGCAGGAAGGTAGAAAGAGGAGAGAAACGGTGGCTGGCTCACCAAAAGAGGAGAGGAGTACAATCCTGTAAACCTCGATATGTCATTAGTTTGATCCAAAATGCTTTCTTCTTTGTAAAAAAAATGGACATAATTGGTGTTACTAATTTACTAAAGGACATTTAATCAACAGCAGAGTTTTAAAGGCAGAATTAAACACCGACGGATCCACGTGAAAGGACCAAATTTGAGAATAGTTGTAAAAGAGACAGCACCCCCTTTCTAAGCTTTTCCTCACCTGATAAAAAAAAAGAAGAGTTATTGTTGTAAAAAGCACCGTCAATCCCTTTTTCCTGTTGTTGTAGGCCAGGTATCACTTCTATACATATGAGAATAAGAGTATTGATATCACACTGATTTTGATGTACGTAAAAACAGAAAAAAAATGTGCAAATTCTAGACTATGTAAGATAAGAGGAAAGCAGAGAAAACAATGGTCCTTTTATAAAGGTGGAGATTTTACAGGTTTTACTGTAAAGGAGAGGGCAGAATGAATGTTTGTGTGATTCAAAGGAAGGAAAAAAAAAACTTCTCGTAGTGTAAGCTTCTTTCTCTGTGCCATCATATCAGTGTTTTTAAAAAGAAGTATAAGATTCAAGTCCTCATAACAAAAGTTGACCTTTAATCGTAACGCTCACGCTTCAATCTGAAGACTCGCAATTGTTCGTCATGTGGAGCTGTATGATTAATACACTAAGCCATTGTTCATTATTGTAACGTCTGTATCTTTAACTGTGTTCCTGCCAAATAATAGCGCATGACAGTGACAGTTAATTTAAACCAATATATTTATACCTCAGATATCTTGTTTGTTTTGTATCATACCAGTTTATGTTATTTTATTGTAAATGTTCAGCCTTGTGTTACAGAAATGGACAAATGTTTTATCTTTTTTATTAATATTATTTCTGTACAGGTTAATCAAAAGTGCACTATTAAATGTATTAAACTAAAACAAACTCTGTGCTGTGTCTTATGTAATAGTAAGTAAACCACACCAGAGAGCAGTTCAAATCCCTCGTAATCTCCTCAATCATTTGTTTTCACTACACTTTGTCCCTCTCAGATCTACACGAACTCGAGGTTTAACCCTCACTGTCCCTGAACACCTCATACACCCCCTCCTTTCTGCTTTTATTCCACGCCATTTAGTCTGTGATTTAGGTGGAGAGGAGGGGGTGCTGTGTGCAGTGGGGTATCAACTGGCCCTGTAGATGGTGATCTCACCCTTTGTTTCTTACATAACAGTTTCATATAGCAGGAAACAATGGGGGCCGTTGTGCCACAGCTGGCTCAGTCTGGAACTGGCGGTCTCAGCCAGAACGTGGGCAGTCACACAGAAAAATAGGGGGTCTAAGGGTCAAAGTAGGGGCTAACGCAAACCCTTTATGTCTGTAAGTACTTGACTGAACAACGGTTTACTATACCATGTAAAAGTTGCAACTATATGCTTATTTTCATGAACACCATGCTCTTATAATTATCATTGTATTTACAGAACTCAAGGGTTGGGTATTTTCCTCATGCTTGTGTTTACACTCTACAGCAAAAACAAGTGATGGCTTAAAGGGATATTCCGGCATAAAATTAATTTAGGGTCAAACACACCGTAAAACCGAGTTAGACACCCCCTCAAGAGATGAATGTTGGCGACCGCTTGCTCCTCTAGTTATACCAGCTTTAGTAACGACCGCAGGACAGGAATACACAACGGTCTGAGGAGCCATAAACAAACCTCAACCAAAACGCCACTCTATAGACACAAATAATGCTCAGAACAGCACCTAACTGCATCAACAGTATATATAGGGTCCCAGCCACAGCACTAGCCACCAAACATCTTTTTAGCTTTGCCTGATTTCTTTAGCAAAGAGACTAAACACAACTCACCTACTCTCTTCCAGCAGCCACTTGTTTTTTGCGAGACCTGAGGCCAGTCCATTACGAACTACAGCGGGGTGACGCAGCTCAAGGAAGAACATTTATGATCATTTCTTCATGGAAATGCAATCAGACTGAGACGCTAAGGCAGAAGAACTACCGCGTCTGCAGTGCAAAATTATTATTATGATGATTATTACTTCAAGGAAATTATAAAGTAATGATCATAAATGTTCTTCCTTGAGCTGCGTCACCCCGCAGTAGTTCATAATAGACTGGCCCGAGGTCTCGCTACAAACAAGTGGCAGCTGGAAGAGAGTGGGTGAGTTGTGTTTAGTCTCTTTGCTAAAGAAATTAGACAAAGCTAAAAAGATGTTTGGTGGCTAATACTATAGCTGGGACCCTATATGTCCTGTTGATGAAGTTAGGTGCTGTTCTGAGCATTATTTGTGGCTATAGAGTGGTGTTTTGGTTGAGGTTTGTTTATGGCTCCTCAGGCCTGTGTATTGCTATCTTGTGGTCGTTACTAAAGTTGGTATAACTAGAGAAGCAAGTAGTCGGCAACATTCATCTCTCGAGGGGGTGTCTAACTCGGTGTTATGGTGTGTTTGACCCTAAATCAGTTTTACACCGGATTATTCCTTTAATGGTGGGGTCCCACAGCCAAGACTATACATTATACACTCTCAATGAGTCTCTGCTGGACTGCAACACAAAGACAAGAGACTAACCAGAGCCTCTGAAATACACACACACACGTAACCCCTGAAATACAGTATGCATGTTCCTGCCTTTGTAATGTACACTCAGGGAATTTATCTCCTCTTGTTTGAGTAACAAAAACCTCTGTTAGCAAATTCTCTCTCTATCTATTTATTTTCTTCTATGTGTGAGTTCTGGTATGTTTTCGCGCCGTACAAGTGTACGTGTTTTAGTTAAGAACCCAAACACCTCTGGGAGATTATGCAGGGTTAGATAAGCCAGAGTGAGAGTCAGCACCAGGGCTGCATTCCTGCATCACTGAGAATCTGGCGCAGAAAGTTTCCCACATTGATAAATGAACTTAAACAAGTGACTGCATGTTTTCATGTATGTGCAGAAGGATCTACGAAAAACGTTGCGCTCGTTCTACAATCAAAAAGATGGGAGGATATTGCTAGAAGACTGCATGAGGCCTCAGCAGGCCCAAAGGAAATGATGCCAGCCTATTGGTTTCTACAAGTAAAGCCAAAAACAGTCAACCCCACTAGTGCTGACCTGCCTGTTGCACATTGACAGACAGTGAGTGGTCGTGTTTGGTCACAAGAATTGAGGCGTGCCAAATGTCTGACAGGATTCCTGGGACACATATGTGGGCTGGAATGCTCTGATGATGGATAAGTTGCGGTATTGTTATGGCAACAGGAGCGGTATGTCATCATGATAACACTGTGTTTTAAGAGACAACATGCCAAAGGAGGACGGAGAGTTTAGTCACAACATTTCTACGGCTGACCTCATATCATCTCTCATCCAGCTTGATGTTTCAGAGGATTCGAACAGCTGCAAGTTTAAGTGTTGACAAAGAAATACAGTTGATTTCTCACTCACAGAAACATAATTCAGCTGCAGTAATCAACTGAATACACACTGTTCCTACAGTCTCATCACATGACCTAAAAGGGGCATGAGTGACAATCCAGAGAAATTGGCAGAAACATCAAATTCAAGTATTCTTCATGAACCTGGTCAAGCCTGAAGTTCTTAAAAAAGAATATGATAATAGAAATAGTTCTCTATTTTTCTGAGTTGCCTATTTTCCTGAATGATACCAGCTGTTGAGCAAACTCCCACCTTTATCTGTCTTAGCCTAGTCTCACACAGTCAGCCTTTACCATAATGAAGCATCTACGATCAACCACAAGGGGTCACTGGAGGACCAAGTAACAATCAACTAATGGAAATAGATTTACAGTTCAACAGCGCCCTCTGGTGGCTGTTAGGATGTTGCATTGATATAGGACTCCTCTCCCTCTGAGAGGTCACCTTTTAGGATCTGTTTTTCCTTTACTTTCTTTTTTTTCACTCCATACATTTAGCTCGTGCTCAGCTTAGCAGTGATGAAGTCATTTTTTGCGACGAAAAACAGAAAAAAAGAGTAACCGAGTTGATCTGCTTCATATGTTTAACTTAAACAGAATGATGTGCAGGTTAGAAAAGGCTTGATCGATGTAGATTTATGTGTTTCTTTTAACAAAGCACTGTTGGTGTCAATTTTTATTTTTTTGTTTATATTTTTTTGTTGACTTCGATGGTTCTGAATCTCCTGTCACATTCATTTTTACATAATTTTTGCACCCATAAACTGACAGCTGAGGTTCAGAAAAAGATATGAATATACATAGATATGAATATACATAGATTTTTACTAAAAAAAAAAAGACAAAAAAAAAAAAAAAAGAAAAAAATAGGTGGACCAAAAGAAGTGAAATATAGCTGGAAGTTCTAAGGGTTAACTATCATAGGAGATTTCATAGGAGATTGTGGCTGAGAGTTATTTGCTTGAAGTCCATATATATATATATATATATATATATATATATATATATATATATATATATATATACTGTATATATATATATATATACTATCAATATACTTGTACTATCAAGAAACTTCATTTGATGAAAGCACATATAGCATATGCTATATGTGCTTTCATCAAATGAAGTTTCTTGATAGATTTGCTCTGACATTTGGAAGTGTCAATCAGGTGTCTGTTCATTTGTGTTGTCTGTGATGTTACTTACCTTGGCGGGGTTTCAAATGATGAGCGCTGGCCTGATCAGTCTTCTGTAACACACCGACAGACCAGCATGTTTTTAATTTGTTCTGGATTTATACAAACAGCATTACAACTAAACACACACAAACACAAACTGTGGTGAGGGGAATGAAATATGGGGATGGTTAAGCATCAAATCTGTCGTTACCAGTGGTGGCCAATAGAGGGGGCTGGTGATTGTGAATGACGTATAAATCCACTTGCTGTGGAGAGTTTTGCTTCTACTCGTTAACATGTCAGAGTTTTTGTTGTCAACCAGTTTAACTAGTGAGAAATTCAGTGTTTTGTGTAGTGCTGTCAGAGATTTAACAGGTGCAGGACAATAACAGTTGATAATAAAGATATCTATAAAATGATAAAACAGATTTCTATTAATATAATGGGGGAAACTTGTATCTTAGCTCAGAATACTTTACAAGTACCTGGCAAAACACAGGTCACCCTTCACATCTAGTTTAAGAGATTAAAAAAAAGAACCATGGTCATTTTAGAAGAACCATCATTCATTTTAGCGAATGTTCTTTACTAAAATATTAAAGTGACTGCAAATGAAAGCCTTCAAAGTTTAATGAGCTTCTCAATACTGCTAAGTTGAACTTCCCCTTGGAGATAAAGTCTTTATCTTTTCTTAGTTTTGAAGTTTATGTAGTCACAAAAGTTTCAATTTTGCAGACCTTTCTGACACAAGAAAGACACATGGGCTACTTGGTGAATTTTTTTCTAGTTCAGTATGTAACAATGTACTTTTTTTTTATTGGAAAGAAACTTCATTATCATAAATGATCTGCCTGTATCCTTCGGCTACAATAGAAAACGTTGACCTCTAGAGGGCAGTATCACCCCAAAAGATAAATTGCAGCATCACCTCCGTCACGTTTGATCTTAAACAACCTTACCTACATTTTGCAGTTGTGTAATACTCATGTCTGTAACATAAAGCTCCTTTTTCAGAAAGAAATAAAACCCTATTTTTCATACCTTCTTATTCAACATTTTGGATTTTTTTATATTTTAATGGTTTAACCCTTCCTAAAGCTATGCAAATATTTAAAGCAAAGATGTGGTCCTACATTCAGTTAAAATGCAGAACTGGACAATAAAGACAGATGTGTGAATATGTTTGCAAAGACATAAGAACAACATTTTATATGATTAAGCTGAAAAACAAAGCAAATTCAACCTGTGAAGACTGATTTATTATTGTACTTTCTCCATTATTAGTGTAAACAGATACAGCTAATATTAATGTTTTCTGTGCATTAACGTGGTAAGAAAAGTGAAACCATACTACACAAGAAATGAGATATTTTTTGAAACAATAGAGAATTTCGAATAAACACAGGTCATTTTTATTTGTGATTGATAATTCACATAGAACACAATCATTCCTTATTCACAGATTTGAAAGGGTTGAATTTGTGGATAGGCTGATATTTTTTAGTGACAGAGGAGCATCCATAGTCAGTAAAAAATAAAATTAAAAATGTATAGAAAATGTACCAAAAGCTGACTACAGATTTGAGTAACCAGATAAATAGATTTTGAGCTCAGTGGTTCTTTATGCATGTGGTCATATACAGCCAAATGTACCTAAAGTTATCTTTCTATGTACATGAAGAACCTTAAAAAAGCTATTACATTGTAATTTATGTGCTTGCATACTTTACAGATAAAGTTATTTTTTCTTTATCTACCCCTCTTTGGTTTACTGGCATGCCACACCAAAGACTGATTGTTCTGAATTTGCTCTAGTTAAATTCATGCAATGCTTGTCACTTTATCTTTTTGATATCAATTTGATAAAAATAAAAGGGTCATTGATTGCACATCATGAGTTTCCATGAGACCGTGGCTGGATATAATTGTGCAGTGCAATATCTGAAATAATTACATTATGCATATTGTCATTATTAATAAAATCACTTTTAAGAATGTTTAAAGGTGTGTACATTATCTAAACGTTTTAAAAAAAAAAAGGTTTTACTTAATTTTCTTCTCTGGCTGTACAGCTACGAGGGCAATGTTTAGGGTCATGGGTTACACAAACTCCATGGGAAATAGGTGGTAATGTCAGGTGACACAGCAAATCAGAACAGCTCCACATAACACCACATCGTTATGCCTTAACTTGGCCATTTAGAGATCCAGGGGGCCTCACCTCATAGGAGCATAAAGGAGGGACAACAATTGCTTAATGAACAATACATTTTCTTTTTAATTTGTCAAAATAGCCGATACATTTTAAACAGTGATGCACAATTCAGTAAATTAAAACATAATAATTTGTCTCCACATGTTAGGTTATGTTCACATCTCAGGTCCAAAGGTGTTTGGGGGCCTCGTCGATTGTCTCCTATGTTATGGGAAATTGAATTATCGGAAGAGTTACATGACACAGCCAGTCAACTTCACTACGTCTATTCCGTAGTTATGAAACTTTCGAGCGAAGGTTTTGTAACCACGACGTCCTGACCAATCACAGCGGGACTTGGCCGCTCACGTGACGGTGTTTTTTTTTTTTATGTAACAACAGGGTGTCTGTAGGGGAAAGTCGGTGAAGTATACCGTTAATGACCGCGGCAGCTATAGAAATGCATAGACACACTCACAGAAGAAAAGCTTATTTCACATAACGAAGCTTTTTTGTCTTTTCGGGGGACGCTACAATGTCTCTCCAACCGCAGGTGGAGGACGCAGCGGAGGAGAGGAGCGCCTTCTTCATCGGAGCTGCTGAGTCGGACAGCGGCTTGTTCGAGGAGAACCATTATCAACTTATACTGCAGAAAGCTAACGCGTTAGCATCCGATAACTGCCTCAAAGAGGCAATTGACTGTTTCACAGTGGCTATGCAGTACGGCCCTGTCCGACCAGAACAACTTAGCACTTTCGTCGACTGCATCCTCCGCAACTTCAAGAGTAAAGCGGCCGAGTCGGACACACTCTCTGACCGGAGTCGGGACGTAGGGAACCGGGACGATTTATTCGACTGTCCTAACTGTCGTAGCTTTTTAGGTGAACCTGTGACCCTAGCGTGCGGACATACATATTGTAAATGTTGTTTACAACGACGGCTGCTTCCTAAATGTAAACTGTGTACGGAGGGCGTGAGGGGAGAGGAGAAGGCGAATGTGATTCTGAGTGGACTTTTAGAGAAATGGTTTCCCGAGGAGTTCAGCAGGTCGAAAATGATCTGTGAAGTGGACACGCTGTGTAGGAAAAAGCGTTTTCAAGAAGCTGTGTCACTGGCCACAGATGTCATCCAGCATGGTGAGTGTTATTAACATAACCTTACATGTGTTTCAAGAAGAGGGAGGTGTTTCCTAGTACTGTATGCTGCGCACTCTCAGTGAAGACCAGTGAATTTAACGTCAAAAAAATCAACCTTTCTCTTCATCTAACAGAACTATGTGTACCCATGCTGACTGGACTCTACTGACCAACATTTTGAAAGCTGTTACTCATACCACCATGTGTTGTACGTGTTCCTCGTACACATTATTGGCTGTCGTACACCCTGGTATGCGCTGCTTACGAAATTTCCACAAGCTGCGCATGCGCGTCCAGTGCACATTGCATAAGGCAGGTCATGACACATATTGGGGCAGGTTTTGTAACTTACAAAGGGGGAGGGCACATGCATTTTGTAATTGTTGCGGATGGTCTAAGCATCTTTTATGGCTAGATATGGAGACAAAGAGAGGAGGCTTTCTTAAAGGTTATGCAAATCTGAAAATACTAAAGCTAGATAGTTAATTGGTAAAACACTGACCCAATCAGTGCTGTGGTTATGAGTAAAGCTTTGAATGATCTTACATTATAACCTATCATTGTACAACACAATGGCTCATGGGCCTTCCTGCAAAGCATCAGAGGTCCTTTCAAGTTCACCTGTATTAACATAGCTCAGTCCCCTCTGTCACTATCTTGCTTTATCTATTTTTGGGAGCTATGTTTCCCCATAAAATGTACACTGAAATGGTGTTATGCAAACTCATTAAATCAGGTGTCCAAAACAATCTGCTATTAATTTCAAAAACATCCCGAATTAATCAAAAAAATAACCCCCCTGATGACTGTTTTTCTCTTTTGAAAATATAATCTGTATTTGGAGAGTGTCTTGTCTTTACATGGCATTGCATTGTTACATCATCTATATTGCAGCAGTTCAGAGTTGAATAATCTGACGTCCCACACCTAGCTTTATGGTATATAGTCTGGAGTAGTGATCTGAACCCCCACCTGCTTGAGCTTACGAAAACTTCAGCAGTATTTGGGTCAAATGATATAACACATAACCTTGTTATGTCTCTGCTGACCTCTGTACTGCCTGCAGGAAGTTTGGAAGAAAGTGCACCATACTCTGAGAACCCCCTAGGACAAGTAAAGGTGTTTACTTATGTAAAGCCAGGACACAACTGGATGCATGTCGAACCACTAATGAAATGTTGACGCTTTTTTGATGTATTGCTTTGCAATTTATTTAAGTTAGGACATGTGGACTATGGAAACACTATAAAGAATAAGAAGTCCTCCCTCAATTTGTGGATGCACTTCCAGATATGCTCCCATATTCAGACAGACTTGCTTAACCATGTAACCAAAATTTACCTGCATGAACAACGTGGACATGAAGTTGAATGTTGTTTTCCATCTCCCTAAATTTTATTTCAAAACCAAACATACTGAAAATGCAGGGAAAGCAAAGTTTAATCAAAGCTCATGAGCAGACTGTCTTTAGAGGGACACATTTCTTCAAGACCTTTTGGTGACATTAAGTTGAAGATGCAGATGTCACTGGTTCTGTGACGCAGTCTGGCCTGCTTTTCTATACTGCAGATACAGAACAGAAACTTCTAGATATTCAGGTTGGCTGCCCAGATGGAATGATGTCTAGACAGACCACCCTGGGCATGCTCATGTTTGCATCAGTCATGTATCCGGAGAGTTACCCTCAACCTGAAATGTCTCCAGTAGATCAAGTAATCACATGGATTGATAAGGTGTCATGTATGACAAATCATGTCTCATGCAAAGGGGGAAACAAATCTTCAGGAATGTGTGATGAAATGCTGCTAAAAATTCATCCACCTACACAGAAGTCATCAGTCAGCGAGGGCAGCAGCATGACAGAGAGTCTCCAGTGGTTTCGACTTGTTTTCACATGATGGCAGAGATAAATTAGATGACTGTAAATTTAATGAGTTTATTACATTCACAGTTCTCACATTGGAAGTCAGATGTCATCCTAAATACCAATGCTGTCGCTCCCTTTTTAAGTGCATTCGCAAGTTTTCATGCAGCTCTTATGTCCCTTTTTATGCAGCCTGCTAACAGAACAGATTTCCCTGATAATGCATTACTTTTATCAAATGTTCTCTCTCTTTTAGAGAGATTCTGATTCTTTTTTAAATGAATTAAAATTACCGGTCTGTCTTTATGTCTTCTTTCAGATCCAGAGACCACAGTAATGGCCCGTCTGTCTCGGGCTGAGGCGTACATGGCTCTCAAACAGTACCGCCTGGCCTTGGAGGACACAGAATTTTGTCTGGAGTCCAGTTGTTTCGCTGAAGTAGGTCATTCCCTTATACTGCAGTGCTTCTTTTTTCCAATGACATAGAAACTTAATTTTGGTATGGACACTTTTTTCCACTGAAGCATGTGACATAGTTAGTTATATAATTAATGACAGCAAAGATGGTGGCCATGCCGGGGTGAGTGAACATACTCACTCTGTTACCTTTGCCCGCTTGAGTCTGGCGTGGACTCAATCAGGTGTATCAGTCAGCTGACTGTTTCCAAGAAGAGGTGTATTTTAGGAAAGCTGCGGCTAAAGCCACAGACAGAGAGCCCTAAATGTGTCTTGTCAATGGATTATAGCAGCAAGTTCATGTAGGCTATTACACTGATGCCACAGATACATAAAAACGTTCATTCATTCATGCTATAATCTGACATTTAAATACTTCCTGGAGAGTTTAATTAGGGATTTAAAGCTTTGCTTATTTTCTGACTTACTGTTAAAAGAGATATACTCTATTATTTTGTTGTTTTGACATTGTTTCTATGTTGACAGATTGTACTATTGACTTAGTGTTATTTTTAGTCATGCCTAAAAAGCCTTCACCTCAGGTAGACTAGTTATAAAAGAGTGTCATGACCAGAAAAGGGTTTCTGGATCACAACAGAGAGTGATTTAGGTCAAAACCATTAAAAAACTATTACATCAGGAGCAGGAGACTCCATGTCTGGGCTGGGGCCATGGATATTTGTGTAATTTGTGACTTAAGTAAATCGTGTAACACCACTTCCTTTTGTAGGTTAAGTCGTGAAACTCATAAACATTTGTAAAAACACTCTGCACTGTCAGAGAACTGACAGACCGACCAAAACTGTCCTCAGGGCCCCCTAAGGCTAAATGAATGTCTGTCTGTTCAGGTTGATCAACCAAAGCAAACCTGCAATAGCTATAGAGATGGACCGGTGATGTGCACACTGTATATCATGTAGACTGAGCATTATAATGAGAATACCAAGTGCACAAAAACACAGAATCATGTGTATATAACCCTTCTATCCTTTCATTGTGCTCTGTCAGGCATTTTTTAGGAAAGCTATGGTGCTGCATGAAATGGGAGAAGTGGATGAATCTCTACAAGCCTTCCTCCAATGCATGGCTGTGGATGAGGACTTCCCTACTGCAAAAAGACAAGTGGAGAAGGTGAGAGAAAGTAGTTATGATGAATCTGCTGGCTATGTGGGAAGAGAAGAGTTGGTTGTCATCCAGTCTAGCACTTCACTGAAATGAGGTCACACTGCCTGAATAATGTTATCAATCAGTGTTGGGGAGAAAGAGGAGAAAAGCCTGCAGTTGCCGTTTGTTCTTTTGCCTTTCAATCAAAGTTTCGCTTGTACCTTAACTTGATGGAGTCAAGTGCCAACACTTTGACTCATCAGTCTTGGATGTGATACAGGAACCTGTTTGTTATGGTGCTATAAAAGCATTGCTTCTATGATGCAATGATTTAATAGACTCTCCACCATCCACTGCAGGGATAATTAAAAATCCCAACAAAGCTTCTGCGTATATTCAACTGTAACTCAAGACGAAGAAAAGAGGAATGCCTTTTTATATGAACATCTTGATGACCGCTCCCTTTGCATTGCTTTGTTTTTTTTCTTCATGCATCATTTCTAATGCTTAAAAAGGGCGCTGAAAGCACACTCAGAAATTGATAACAGTCAAAACAATATTTCAATCATTAAAACTTAGCAAAGTCAGTTTAAATTAACTGAAAATAGACTCAAATTTCTGTTAAATCTTCTGGTGTTGAAATGAGTTGAGCAAACTTTGTTTTTTTGGGTTATGCTGCTGAAGCTTCATCGATCTGTTGCGGGATTAATGTTTCTCTCTGTGATGCAACTGTAGGTTGAGTTCACATATCAGTTATGCTAAGTAATCTGAATCACATGAAAATAAATCAAATTATTTACTTCCGCCTTTTGGGCAACACAGATCTTCAATTATTTCTACTTGGGTCATCAGTCATGAAATTGCATAACTTGTTGGCAGGTCAGGTCTTGTGACTGCCTGTAATGACATTAGTACCACATAATAGACATAACACAGTTTTGGCGTTACATAAGACGCACACAGATGACTCATGCTTGCAGCGCTGCTCCAAATTTCATAAGAACTTAACAATTTATTGCCACCATGTGATAAAAACTTTTTACTTCACTTTCAGTTGATAATGCCTCTGAAGCCTTGTGTCATCCTTGCTGAGTCACCATTGTATAAGGAAGCGTACATAATCATATTAGTCATATCCAGCTTTAACTTGGTATGTGTGTGGAAATGATTGGACCTGTGGTTAAGGAGCGCTGCTTGTATTGATGTTGTATCAGAACTCTTTCCTTTCTGGTCCTTAAAGTGTAACTGCAGGGCTCAAAATCAATCTGCAACAGTGTGGAGGCTGGACAGCATGCATTAGTTCAGTGTCAAATCAAGTTTGTTTAGCCTCCAGTCATACTTTTGGTCTCCATGGCCTGCCCAATACACATCTACTGACACAGATTAATGGAAAAGAAACGGAAACTCCCATCCTTGTGCTCTTTGAGTGATGGCAAGGCTTTGGTGACACACTGAGGACTACAGATACAAAAACTGAAAACTTAACAGAATCTGTTTCTGACATTTTAAGGGTTATTACTCTGACCTTTATCGCGTTTACACAAGATTTACATAAGCCAAAATCTGATAGGGAATGCAAACTTACGAGAAAAGGAAAGAGTGTTTGTGCTGATAATCTGTAGGTGAGAGAGGAGAGAGGTCAGGTTTTGAACTTGGCTGACGAAGATTAGTGGTCTTTGCTTTGAGTTCAAACCGAGGTCAGGCCGATGTCTGCTTTGTGAAAAACACAAGGCGACTGTGTGGAGAAAGTTGGAAATATGAATGAGCTTTTTCTCATTACAAAAAAGTTGTTTTTAATTTTAGCCACAATATTTCAGCCCTTTTTTAGTGTCTCTTTCTCTACCATCTGTTCTCTTAGTTTATAAAAGAGCTGGAATAAAATCTTATGAAATCACCACAACTAGTACAAACATTATCCTCTTGATTCTCCCCATGTGCTTCTTACCTCTGTTATAATCATATTTATTTTCTCATGACTTGTTGATCATCTCGGTTGAAACCTGCCTCTAAAGATAAATGAACTCTTGTCTTACAGATCCTGTGTGACCTGCTCTCCCCTAACGATGAGAACGTTAAAGTTGGCCTGAGGGAAACAGCACAGAACACACTGCCTCACCTGCGCAGTAAAACCCTTTTAGCAGAAGCTCCGAGCCAGCGGCTGAGCCCGGTCCACAGACAAGCCCAACATCAGGCCCGCGCTGTTTCGGCTCACCATCATCTGGATAACCAGGAGGTACCAGAACATGACACAGTGGTACATTAGTATTATTAAATCATTTCGATGTTTTTCTGGTCTTTTAAGAAGGACACTCATAACATTTATCATCCACTGTTTTCCAGAAACGCTGGGAAAGCCTGGAGCGGCCTTGTCTGAGTAGAGCTCATTCACTGAGAGTTCATGGCTCTGGTTGCGGTGAGGAAGGCTTGAAGAGGGTTTGTTCTGCTCCCCAACTTGGTGACCAGGAGAAGGGAAGCCTGCTGAAGAGGAAGTTATCAGTGTCGGACACAGAACCATGTTTAGTGGACAGTGGAAGTAGCAAACATAAGAAACAAGGTCAGTGACCAATACTTCCCATGTTTTGCTTTCTCTTCTAGTTAAGAATGTGAATTTCCGATCATTTCAGTTTCACTAGAGATGTGCAGTCAATAATTTAAGTTTAAGACTAGAGAGACAAGTACTGTTACTTAGTGTCACTGATGTTAAAGACATTCTCTTTGTTTGATTTAAGGTATGACGAAAGGCTCCAAACAACAAGCTGCCAAAGTTAAAACCTGTAGAAGTGTTCCCTCGGACCAGCTGGACCTGAATGACTTTGAGTGCTCTCTTTGTATGAGGTACAGGCACATGCACATATTAACCCTGCAGTCTTTATGTTGCAAACTCTGTACACATGTAAACAGCCGAATGAAGAGTGAACGCTTACATGTTGCATCCCTGTGTTTGAAACAGGTTGTTTTATGAGCCTGCAACAACACCATGTGGCCACACCTTCTGCAAAAACTGTCTGGAACGCTGTTTGGACCACACACCTCAATGTCCTCTCTGTAAAGAGAGTTTAAAAGAGGTAACCAGTCTGTTCACACATCAATGTTGATATCCTCTCACTCAGATAGCACGTGTTTTGTTTCATGCTTTATTGTAAAACATGCATGTTCTTTTCTCTTTAGTATCTAGCATGTAGGAAGTACAATGTCTCGACGGTCTTGGACTCTCTAATCAAGCAGTATTTCAGCCAGGAACACTCAGAAAGGTCTAAAATTCACCTGGAGGAGGAGAAGGAGCTATCAGAGTAAGCATTTCTGTTCCTGGTGTGATGGATTCTTATACTGCATCAGCTGAAAATAAAGTTCAAAGAGTCTAATTTTTTATCTTTCTCTCCCCTGTGCAGTCTCACAAAAAACGTGCCTATTTTTGTGTGTACCATGGCTTACCCCACCGTGCCTTGTCCCTTGCATGTCTTTGAGCCACGATACCGCCTCATGATTCGCCGCTGCATGGACACAGGCACGCGGCAGTTTGGAATGTGCATAAACGATCCTCAAAAAGGGTAAGCTCACATCATTGAGCATCATCACTTGGAGAAATTTACTAGGTTATCTTATCATTTTGGTCTCATCGTCCAGTTAATCCTTGAAACGAACTCTAAACTGTGGATTACTTCCATGCAGGTTTGTAGATTATGGCTGCATGCTGAATATCAGGAGCGTCCATTTTCTACCTGATGGGCGATCAGTCGTAGACACAATAGGAGGAAAACGCTTCCGTGTCCTGTCTCGAGGAATGAAGGATGGTTACAGTACTGCTGACATCGAGTACTTAGAAGATACAAGGGTAAGATGCACATTGATCAACACCTCATTATCACACACAATCAAGATTTTCAAGGTTGATCTTTTTGCTTCCAACATTTTAATTAGAAGGGGAAACATCCGAAATTTACTGACAGGTTTGTTTCCCTTTTTCATACAGGTGGAGGATAGTGATGAGCTCCAGCATCTTCAAGAGCTGCACGATGAAGTGTATGAGCAAGCCTGTGTCTGGTTCCAAAATCTCAAGATCCGCTTCCACAACCAGATCCTGCAGCACTTTGGACCGATGCCTGCACGGGAGTCTGACATCCAGGTAAAAATCCATAACAATGTCTTCTTCATCGGCTTTTCTTTGTCTCTTTCAGTTGTCAGTTTTAGGAGCAGGGATATAGATGCCTGGATCAGAATAAAAGGCAATGTTTGCAGCTTAAGGCCAAGTTTGTAGCCTAGCTTGTAGCCTAACATTGCCAGTATAGTAGAAGTAGCAGGTAAAATAGGAACTATTCAGCTCTCGGACACTAATAATGTCTCTGGCGACATGATGAAAGTTAATATCATAATTAGCTTTCTTACGAGCTTGCAATCCGCAGACGCACAAGCTTGTTCCGCAATTGTCCTCTCTATTTTCTCTGAGTCTGGCCTGCTAAGGGGGCGGAGCTTGGATTTGTGATGTAGGAAATCTCACTGTGTCTGAGCCTGCCATTTGGGTCTGCCAGAGATTCACAGCAGTTTGAATGCAGAAATACTTATTTACTCGTGCTGTGTCCTGTACCATCAGAAAATGCCATATGAACATGTAGACAACGAAAAAAACATGATTTTTATTGGAGTTGGTATTTCAGGTGCAGTCTATGGTTATTTGAGGCTATTAGCAGGACCTACTTGTTAGAAGTGGAGGGTAAAATTCATCTGAATTAATACAAAGCTGCATCTTGTGTGAAAGAATTTGTCTTGATATAAGTTTTGTAAGGTTAAAACTTGACAAATGAAGGTTCACGGCTGCTTTTTCAGTGCTTCACCAAGGGGAGAGATGGGCGAGGGAGCATTTCAGTGTAGAACCTGAGCAAGATCAAGTTAAACATTGTCATTTCTACTAATTGTCTCTCTGAAATTGTGAATGCTGGATGTAATAAAGGACTAGTGAACTGGAAAGCTATACCTCGGGGTAAATTTAATAATTTTGAAATAAGCTTGATAGATATTTCTAAAGATAAAGGTATTGGCATTTTGAAATCTAAGCTTAGCGGTAGGTGATGTGGTCTGCAAGATCAAGACATCATTTCTATAATTGCTTACCCCCGCTTCATGTGATCACTATGAGTTTGATAAACAAAGGAACACCAGAGTCCCTGAGAAGCTGCAGTTTCCTTTAAAACACAGATAACTTGATGACTTTTTTGATAATTTTATCTGACAAAGTACTTCTTGTTCCAAAATTAGACCATCTCATGACGCACTTGACTTGAGGTGGAACCCACTCTATGGTCCTTTCACCTGACGCTAAGGCCTAATGACTTGAACACTGATAGTCTGAGTTCAGCTCAGGCTCAAAGCCGGCTGCACTCAGAGGGATTACAGCTCCACTGTAAGGACAACCAAGGGGCGGAGTCTATCGACAATATAGGCTAAAGAGCTTTATGAACGCCTCATACCTAATCCCAGCAGCTCTGTTGCGTCACAAGAGTGTCAAGAAGAGAATACCCAACAAAACCATGTGGTTACAGACTAAAACAGCAAAAGCAATAACAGGAATTTGTGGATGTCTGCTTGGGTTTTCCAGGAATTGGTAATTCTTTTTTTTTATCTGCCAGTATGAAATGTAGAACAAACCAAGGAAAGATAATTCACTTTAAATTCTCAAGTGTTAAGTACATTTTGTAACTGGCTCAGCCTTTCAAAGAAAAGGTTATTTTTCAGCATTGACGTAAGTGCAGACCCCTTTTTCAGATTACTGTAAAAGGTCATATTAGTGTCAGGGTCATCTCAGGGCCGTGGGTAAAAATGTTACACAAGTGTCATAAAAAACAATTCTCATGTTATGGGTGTTTCAGTTGTACATAGATAATGCAGAATTGAAATCTCTCAGTCCTTGAGAGGTGTGATAACTACAGGAGAATGATGGGAAAGTTTTTGTCATTGCTAATATTTTAATCTTTTCTTCTTTTCCTATTAGGCAACTCCTAATGGTCCAGCCTGCTGCTGGTGGCTCTTGGCTGTTCTGCCCATTGACCCACGGTACCAGCTGTCTGTCCTCTCCATGACCAGCCTCAAGGAACGCTTGGAGAAGATCCAGCACATCCTCACATATCTGCAGAGCATCCCCAACAACTAGAGCTTCCTCTTCTCTTTTCATCACCCGACATCCTTCAGACTTTAAAAAAAAAAACATCTAACATACTCTGAATCAGCATCTCAACAACCTTTTTTGTTTTGTTATACCACCTGCTCCATACCCTCTGTTTTTTTTCCTATAACAAGAATCCTCTTAAACAACATTAGATCAGAGCAAAGCAGAGACATCCTTGAATTGTGGATCACCTAAACCAGAGATATGGCCAAACCACATCAGGGAAACTTCCACTGACACATTGTTTGAGTAAGACTGTCAGCAAAAATTATTTAAAAGAGAGAGACGTCTGACAGCCACTGTTTTCATCTGCTAACTTTCAGAATGCAGTACTTTTTCATTTGATGATTAAAATGTTACAGGGGACTGAGAGTAGAATATGTAACAATCAGCTTTTAGTGTTTCCTAAAGTACTTTTGGAGCAGCGCTGAAGAGAGTATTTTCTCCTTTCTGTTGTAAGATTTCTTTAAAAAGAACAGGCTGGAACAAAACCCTGAAAATTCTGAAAGTCAATACGTTATATCTAGACATGGTTTAAAGAAACCACTCTGAAAAAAACACCACAAATGTTACCAAAGGTCTGTGTGTCTCAGACAAATGAAAGTATTAGATTATCTCTTCCAAGCGACCTCTTTCTGTTTTTCAAACTTTTCCAACAGGCTAACCGCGCACAACTTCCATCGCTGCCTCTGAGTCGTGGTAGAGAACCTTCTCGCTGGAATAACGAGACGATCATGGCTGCTTTTCATCTTTCTCAGCTTTCTAACATTTGATCCTCCTTTGGCATCAAATCAAAAAGCGTATGTTCTTGAAATTCTAATTCTATGCTCTTGATCCGCTTTTCTTCCTCTCCCTGTTAAAGTGCAGATGGATAAACACGCTTCCAGACATTTTGTTTCTTTGTTTTGACTTTCTGGCAGTCCAGCCATGAGTGTTAAGATTTTACTGAGGTGTTTTAGAAATGGAGTGGTTCTGTACTAATATTGTGTCTCTCCTCCAAACCAAAAGATGCTGTTACCCATTAAATTAACTTAAAGCTAAATTAATTTGTATGTAAAATTATATTTGTACATTTTAGGCAATATGTTTGTAGAAGAAGATCTTATGGGGTCATGCAATATTATGACAAATCAAAATGGGACGACCAACAGCATGTCATGAGCCAATGGGTTGAATTTATCCTTCATTGAAAAGCTGCTCTTTCTGCTTGGAGGGGAGAGGACGGTACCTGCAGTGCTTCAGTCGAGACTGCATCTGCCTTACACCATTTTGCATTGAGACTGAAAAACCCAATGCATTAGCTTGGCTACCATTCCCTTATTTTGCCATAGTATGAAGTATGTTTTAACCGTATTTTTTTTTTTTTTCCACTTAGTTTGAGGCACCTTTTCTTCACAATGTGTACAAATATTCTTTGAAAAAAAGGAAAGTCCATTTCAGGCTCTTATGTGTAAATCATCTGTAAAAAGGCTTTTTGAACAGATCTTGCTTTTTGCTCAAATGTTTTAAGTTATCAATTTGAATAATAAAAGCACTTCTTTTTCAAACTCAGCCTCCTTGTTTCCCTTTTTACAAAATAACTGGATGAAATTGTTAGATTTTATTCAGTAGGGGTTGGAAGGTATGATATTATCAGCATAGATTTTGTTTTGTAAAACAAAGTCATGAACGTACTTTATTTATCTATAAGTATCAGGTACATCTAAATGAGTTGCAAGGAAGCTTGGTGTGGGTACTTATTATTTAAAGGGAAGGAGTGGGAGTTCATAAGTTATTCTCACTCCTTTTGGAATATGTATTTTTATGTTTTAATGTTTTGCCTTTTGTTTTATTCTTTATATTTTTGGTTTGCATATTCGAAATAAACTTCAATCAATCAATAATCAGCACATAAAATTTTTAAATTATCAGTAAGAGCAGGCATGCAAACATTTCTGACACATATAGATGACAAAATGATGCATTTATGTTCTAAAAATAATGACACCTCGCACCCCAACAGCTGGTCTTGACAAGTCAGCAGTACAACAGTAAGCAAAATAAACGCTTCATCACAGATAATAGGAGGAAAAGCCAACAGACCCTGCTATATCACCACCAATTTAAATGTGTATCTCATAAAGTTAGCATGTAGAGCTTCTGAAAAGTCAATTATGAGTCCCAGCAGTCTCTAGTTTAATCATCAACAAAGCAATGAAACAGTAGTTACCATGTCACTGTGTGTCTGTTGAAGTGAATTGATATTACTACAGGTATCGGAATATATGTTTTCTGGGACACATCATATAAAGTCACACACATACACATACATTTATGTATATACTCAAGTCTTCAAAGGGTTATGGAAAAAAATCTTCAGTCTGTATGATACTACATTTCCACACACCCTGAACCACAAGGGGGTGACAGTGGTGCACCAATGTAATACAAGCTATACTGTTTCACAACTCACCCTTTACCCTCTGCTCTGCGCCTCAACTCATCTCATCTCTTGGCTATATCCTAAAAACCCAGACACATATCTCCGTTTTTACTCCGTTTTTTACATTGTGACATTTGATAAACACAGCGTCAACAAACAGCAGGGAGAAGATAGTGTTCATGAGCTGTGTTGTTTGCCCAATCTTCTTCCATCAGAGGTCACTGTGCAGAAAGCATCATAACAAATTCTGCAGAGGGAGACAGAGAAGAGACAGCAACAGATCCCCTGATAAGAACTAATGACAGCCTGATATTATAAAAGGACAGCATTGGATACAGCCACATCATTGTCAGCTCACAGAAGAAACCTAACAGGACTCAGGAGTAACATTCTGAATGGGGCTCGGCTGATGAAATCCTGTTTGACAAATTAAAGAGTGAATTAATAAACACAGAGAAATTGAAGCTGAGGAGCAACGGGTAATAAATGTTCCTGGTGTTAAATCAAAGAAGTGCAGAGCAGTTTGTCAAAACAGGGAATATAAACACCACAAATATTGTTGTTTCCTCAGGCTCAGGCTTCATCCCCACTTGTTACAGCTCGCTGTATCTATTATTGTGGATTCACTTGTCAATCTTGACGACTATTGGTATTTGTTGTATATAAAACCCAGCTCCTGATAGCTTGTGGCAGGTTTCACTAAATCCAACCAATCAATCATGTCTACCATTGACTTCTTGATGTGCTCCGCTTCAAAGGCGTCTGATTGTAGGTGAGAATCTATTGATTGACTGAGTGCTAAAGCTTAATTCCAGATTAACCCACTAACATTATCTCCTGAGGTACTCCTTTAACCATTTTCTATAAAAAGAAGTAAACTGAGTGGAACAGCAGCTCAGTCTGAGACGTCCCAACACCTCAGATTGATCTGTCACCCCGATATTCACAACAATCCTCTCTGCTGCTGTGTGTGCCTTTTCTGCCCACGTGGCTTAACTGGACACATTATTTCAAACTCTATCCTGGGACCTAGTTGATGATAATGAGGAGCACCTGCTTATTGATCCTCTCTGAGACTGACATGTCTATTCATATGTTGCCAATAATTGTAATTGATTGGAATGCTGAAACAAGACAAACAGGATCACACTTTTTAGCCCTCTGTGCTCTGCAGCCTATAATCGCACCATAATGGGTGCATGTGTGTACCAGCATGTGTGTTTTTGTGTGCCCTATCGTATGGCTTGTGAAGTAACACACGGTAATGACATTTCAGCAAAAGTCCTTGAGCTGTCCACTAGAGTGTATGTTCTTTGTGTGACATGTGACAGGTGTGCAGGAATGGGCATTGATTGGCTTAATGCACTTCTGATTAGATTGGATTGGCCCTTCTAACCAAACCCACCACCCCTTAACCATGCCCCCTTTCCCATTCCACCCTCTTTCCCATTTGGTTTGTGTCTTGTTTTCTTCCTTCCTCTGCTATGTCCTTTGTTGCTTTGTATCGGATCGTTTTATATTTAGTATCATATCATCTTGTGCTGGAAAACTTATAGTATCATATGTTATTAATTTCAATTTTCAATTTCAATAGGCTTTATTTGCACGACTGTTTGTCTGATATTGCCAAAGCATTACAATATTAAAAACAACAACAATAATAATGATGATGATGATGATAATAATAATAATAATAATAATAATAATAATAATAATAGTAATAATAATGATGATGATGATGACGATAATATTGATAATAATAATAAAATAATAATAATAATAATGATGATGACGATAATAATAATAATAATAACAGAAAAAAAATAATAAAAATGATGATGAAATATAAAAAAATATATAATAGTGTCAGTATCATGTTTGCAGTTAAAAATTCATGTTTGCAGCTGTTCAGGTTATTTTGAGCAGCTCTTCTTCTCTTTCCTTATTATATCATATTGTGTCATACTGCACTGTCTCATAGCATATCATTCCTTGCTGTAATATATTGTACCATAACTTATTGTATTGTATCTCATATTGCATCCAATTGTATCATTTTACATGCAAATGTGTTGTACTATATTATATTAATTTTTTCTGAACTTTAACAATTACTTTAAACAATTTACAACTTGAACCTTTTTAAAATTTTCATTCATTTAACCACAAAGTTGATCGACTTTATTTAACTATTTTTGCTCTCTATCTTATTGTGATCGTATAAACTCCCCTGCTTGGCTTGCTGTTCTCTATACTAAACTCAAACTGGCTTCTAACTCCTATCATGTAGTGGAAATCCTGTTTAGTTTTAATAACTTCTTGAACGTAATAATGAAATATTTCTGTTTTTTTATAAGATAAACATCATAGTTGAACTTGTTCTTTTGCTCTTGCACTCTCAAAACTGCAGCAGTCTCCCATGCCTACCTTTACCATTGTTCTCTTGTTAATTGTTTTTATGCCCTTGCAAACCTTGCCTGGAGTGTATCCCCTCCCCTCGACACATTTATCCCCCAAAGACCCCAACTGCTCACCGTCAAAGTCGATGTTGCCATCTTTGTTGAGGTCAATGTCAGAGAGGATCTCCTCCAGTTCACCTTTCTTCAGCTTCTCCCCAAGGAGGGTCTTCATGCCCTCTTTCAGCTCATCCAATGTGATCTTCCCATCGCCATCACAGTCAAACTTCAATGTGAATGGTTAGTAGAGAGCAGGGAGGTGGAGACGTGAACATGTGGTACATCAGAGAAGGAAGGAAAAATGTTACATGTTTCTGGGCTAATGAGGAGCCTAATGAGGAGGGACTGCAGACAGAATGATGTAATGAGCAGAGACTTGGAAACAAAGTGAGGGAGGCAAGAAACTGTCTTTTACAGTCAGGAAATGAGGTTGTAATGTCATTTCATTAAAAAAGTATCCAAACACAGCTACCAAAATTCAGTTTCACACCTCAAAGTTACAAAGTGGCTGCATCCCCTTGGAGTCTGAAAATCAGCTTGAGAGTTTAAACAGGGTCCTGCTGACTCCTGAGGTGTTGGAACTGAAGTGGAGCATAAACAAGGCGGACATGAAAATGTATCCTCATGAGCTTAACGGGTTGATCTGATGAATTTTCTGATCAGAGGTTGACTTTAACTTTGTTATTCAACTATTATCACATAGGTAAATGTGACGACCTGACTAAGGCCATGACAATCACAACAACAACAACAATGACAGATAACAATAAAACCTTGAATTATTAGAGTTGTCACTCAAAATGTGATATGTGTGAAAAGAGAAGCACTCCTTTTTCAAATTTTAATGCAGGGGGATTTCACTTTTACCCGTTACCATGTTTCTATAAAGTTTTCAAAGGCAGTGCAGCTCAAGACTAATCAAGGATTGGTTATCTAGGTAACAAAATTAACTTTTATAGCTCCAGTGTTGTATTTGAGGGTGAAGGATAATACATTGAATAATATTTCCATCTGAAAACATTTTACAAAAATTCCCAAACCAACATCTGAATAGCTTACACCAATGTCCCTCTTCTTGTAGGAGTGCATGTGGCTAAAATGTTCAGAAAAACAACATAATCGTGACACCGCTGCTGTTTCAGTTGTATTCATTAAGAGCAACGTTGGCTGTTTTGTAGTAATCATTAGAAACCTATCATGTTGTGATGCCTTAAATAAATGAACCCAGGTGTGTGAAGCTGTGCTTATGAATTGCACGATCAGCTCGTCTGTTTTGCTTGGTCAGAAAACACGTCACACTGAAGCTTCGCTCGGGGGAACAATCAATTTAGAGCCTGTGTACCTGCCACTGTATCGACACCAGGAGAGCAAGTCTATGTCTGGTGACTTTCCTTAAATCGATGAGGCACAAAAATACCAGAGAGTTCCAAGTTTGCTTATATTAACAAATGAGGGAAATATTTTTTGAGGATGACTCCATGAAGCACCATTAGCATGCATACTTCCCTGTCTCTCAAAACCCTTTAATTGAATTCTTATCCAGCCTCAACCTCCCTCCCTGTTCCAACAGACTTGTTTACAAGTAAGAGCCGTACACTCCTGCACTCTCCAGGGAGAGGTCCTGTTGCACACTTCACAACACTGTCATCGTACTAGACCCCTTTTCAAATGCTTGAAGTCACACTTCTAAAGAGTTTTTCAGGCTGGAAACCTCTTACCTGTTTGAAGGCACAGCGGAGCTCCTTCAGCCCCACCATATGAGCCGTCTCAGCCAGCATCCTCGGCCCCATTAACTCACAAAAATCATCAAAGTCTACATGACCGCCCCCTGCAGGAGTAAACAGATAAAAAAATGGGTTTACTTCCTAGTAATAAGTCGTATGCATGCCTTGCTGTACCTACCTCATCTTTACAGATTCATGCATTAAGCAGAAAGGTGGAGGAGGATATCTGGATACTCAATAAGCTGATGCTGTTATAGTGTTCATAGAAGTACATTAATCTAACGTACAGAGACACTTTAAATGGACTTTTTCAACATTTTAGTTATACTTAAATAATGTCCGTTAACACTTTGCAACCATTGTGTTAGAGTGTTGCTTATTATTACCACTCCTTTTGTGTTTGTATTGATCTCCATCATCTTCTGAGCAGGATGTGTAATACTAAATGATGGATTAGCCATGTTGGATAATGTTGGACAAGTCATGTGCAGAGAGTTGTATGCAAGATGTATGTATTTGTATGCAAACCCTCATGTGACTGAGAGAGAGATGGAGGAGTTGTTTATAGAGTTTAGCAGGTTCGTTAATGAATGAATGGCACCTTCAACATTAGGCTCCATGTAACGATTTGATCCGTGTTAGTATGCAAGTAAAATACCAAAAGGAAAGTTTTAAGAAGAATTAGCAATTACAGCAATCCATCAGTTAGATCAAAGCCTTAGAAAATGTCACATCCAAAAGTTCTAGATGAGATCATGGTTGTATCGAAGGAATGGCAAAGTCCATGTCCCCCATAGGTGAGAGCAGGGCCAAGTGCAAGACTTTGCTCTAGACAGACATTGTGACATTGCTGGCCATTGCCTGCAAATCAAAACCATTATAACAGCTATCTCTTCTTCATGACAGTCAGCGTTTTAGTCTTACCTTGACTGTGTCTATTTGATGAGGCTGCCAACACTTTGGTAGTCTTGCATGGTAAGCAGGAAACATGTGAAAATATTGCTTCATTATACATCAGCACAGCGTTGGCTGACATATCAGCTCTCCATAGACCTCATTATTAGACAAATTAAATGTATTCGCCCGTATTTCCCACCTTATCTCAGACATATAAATAAATTGCCACTTAGGTAACTGAAGCTGTCAAATAGATTTAAAGTAAAGGTTTTTTTTTTCACATTCAAGATATAAGTTTCTTTGCTCTGTCTTCAGCGGTCAAAGGAGAAAAAGTTTACTGCAGTGCTTAAGTTGTAGTTATGTTTTTCTTGCCTCAATAGCAGGCATGAGAAGTTTTGTTAATGTCCCCAGGGTATTAAGATTGAAATGGTGTAAACAGATATGTGCTCATAGGGCTTCTTGAAACCCACTCAGAGCCAGCCTTTTTAGTTTGATCCCCATGGCAATTATCAAAACAGTGCTATGGGAAGGCCTGTTTTATTACTTGAACAAAAGACAGGCTTAATTGATTGTGTCTACCAATGTTCTCAGCCTGTTTTCATTATCAGAGCCTGGGTGATTGTGAAAGGGGACTTCAATAAAGCCATGTGGTCATTTTCTGGTTCTGATACCAAGCAATGTTGAGGACTATCTTTTGCAAACTGTGCTTGCGTGAAAAGCTTTTATTCTAATGGTGATGAGGCGTGCCACTAATGTTCATAATGTCATGGTTTAGCTGCAGCTGCAGGATTCTGCAGTGAAAGACTACTCACTTTATGTTTTCTGACAACTTTCACACTTCCCCCAAGGTACGGTTTATTTTTTGGCTGGCTGGCTTTACCCTTGTGGAGAAATAGTCAGTGGGGGATTCCTGTCATTGCCTTGAATAATTTCTGTGCTATAACTGGGTCAGTCTATAATCATGGAGTTGTAAAATTCTCACTAAAGTCTAAGAAGATTATTATTACTTTTTAATTGATTGTGTTATGCAAGTTATATATTAAAAAGAGTGAATTTTATGGTATTCATGGCTCAGTAGGGATTATGCTCAAGGGATTAAGTTTGAAATGTCTTTAGCCTTTTGTTCCTTATGGGTCAAATTAAAATATTGATGAAGGATGAATAATTTATATCAATAATAATATAAAATAAGTATCATGAATTAAGCATGATGGTAAGAATACTTCAATTCCAGTTTTCCTCCAACTTATATATTGAAGGTTAGCTGCTTCTGCAGGACAAACACTATACCTGGCATTAATATATTTGACTCAATTTACAATTTCTTCATGTGAAGCTAATTTAAGATTCTCTCTTGAGGTAAAAAAAAATAAAGACAAACAAAACCTCACATATTCCCCAAATACAAACATAAATGACATAGACAGCAATTTGATATAATAAAAAAAGCCTATCAAACTTGGCATACCACAGCACCATAGGTTAAGATAAATAGGGTACTTAGTAATGTCGAAACCTCGCTCTTTGAGGGACAGATAACAGTCAGTCTTAGCTGCTGTGCAAGCTTCATTTGAGGGCTCCTATCCATGTAAATTTCATTATCAGCTCAAGTTTCTGTTGCATTCCTGCATCAAAGTTATTTCAAGTGGCTTGCAGCTTCGTGGAATACAGAAACCCGTGGTAATGATATCACAATGGGCCGAGTTTACTTAGTTATGGATAAGAAACTTGGCGAGGCGGAAAGATATCAGTTACAACCTGGAGGATGGTAACCTGGGGGAGACAATAGATGCGTTTATATGGGCACAAATAATCGGAATAAATGCCCGATCGGAATACGAATGTGTCATGTAGACGTGTCGATCGGAAGATTTTGATCCACTTCCGCTCAATCGGAAAGAAACAGAAATGATCGAGAGGGGTGGTTTATGCCGATCGTAACTCAGAAACGCGTCCATGTAAACACTTATTCCGGTTGTGACTCTCGTACCTGACTCGATCTTTGCTCCTTATCCTTTGGCTTATTGTTGAGATCAGTGCAGGAGGTTTCATAAAACTGGCATAACGCACAACCGCGGGTGCCGTGTCTGCTGTTCCGGTAACATAACAAGGCTTACATGCGGCGTAATGATGTCACATCTGCACGCACAGTGCAGCCTTAGACAGAGCAGTAAAATAAATTCGCAAGGGCGCCATCTTGTGACAACATTTGACAGAGGGGACACTTTTGAATTAAATTGGATGGAGTGAGCCACTACTCTTCTTCTGCGGTTGTTTTAGCGAAATTAGACAGCTCTGCGCATGTCCAAATGCTTATAATTTGATAGTTTAGCGCATGTATGGTCGGATTATTTGATTTCGCACCCATATAAACAGTGGATTCAGATTATCCGATCCCTCAAAATTTTAACCGGATCAAGAAACTTTGCACATGTAAACATGGCGACTGTGCTGCCAGATTTGGGAAATAACCAGACTACCAAATCGGATCAAGGAAGAAGTGGACGTCCGAACCAGCTGTACCTGAAACTGTGAGTCACTTTTTGCTTAAATTTCTGTTTGAGTTACTTTTTCATCATGAAGTGCTGTTAGCTACACCTGACAGGAGGCAGCTACCCGCTTGCTAAAAGTTAGCCGTGCTGCTCTCAGACAGAACATGAATCTGTTTTTAATGTTGAGTTTTAAGGTCTTTGCTCACGCAGTGTTATTCCACGGATGTTTTTGTGGTGACAAATCTTGTTTGTATGCTGTATGCGCTCATGAATAATGTCCAAAACTTAACAGTTGTACTGGCAAAGGATAATGAGTGATTTGCATATCAGTCATTTTTCAAGGAAGCTGGGCCAATTTTTTGGTAGTTTTATTATTTACCACTGCTCTGTTTCTCAGTGTAATTAGAACCTGCTGCAAGCGATCCAGATCCCCCACAGGCCACAACTCCAGGATACTGCTACTGATTTAAAGGCTTACAAACCCCCCCAAAGTGACAAAATGTTCAGAAGTAACCAAACCTTTTTAAAACAACATCCCCACACTGTTTCAGACAAAGAGTCAATCAAACCAAACCTGTCTGCAAGGCCTAAAACCAATAAGAAATGTGGTGACAATCATTTAAAAACCATTATAATGTTAAATATTAATGTTTTGAAGTGGAAGAGTTTAGATTGTGTTTGTGGATCAGAAGTTTGCATTGAACATCCCTTGAGTTAGTTGTTTTAGTTTGACAAACAGATGCAAAACAAGAAATGTATGTATGTCATGAAAATGGCTTTAAAGGTGCAGTCTGCAGTATTTAACAACATTAGCAGAAAGACCTAGTAGAAGTGGAATATGATGTATGTAGATATGTTTGAATCTGCGTATAACCGGTTACATATAAAAATCATTATGTTTTTGTTAACTTGTAAGTCATCCCTCTTCTTCAGGAACTGCCACCTTGCTTCACTCTGTCTCTAAATGGCACAGAATGAACAAACTCGTAACATATGTGTGGCTGCATGAAATGCACTGATGGGAAGACATTGAAGAGAGTGTTTGTTTTGTGAATTTGAGCTGATAGTCATTTGAGATGGTAAATTCACCATCGAATCGTAACACTGACCAAAATAAATGTATGAGAGTTGAGAAAGGACAGTAAAGATGATCAGCTGTGCAAGTAAGGTGTTAAATCCCAGCTAAACACTCTTTTGGATGGAGAGTCACACTCATGCACCCCTGCACCTGCAGAAAAAGGGCCATTAATCAGTAGGCTAGAATACCTCAAATGTCCCCATTTTCAAAGGCAAACATCGGGCCAACATGGAATTGTATCTGAACCCAACAATACATGTTTGTGCAAACCACAAAGACCTATTACTCAAATGCTCACACCTCACTTCAGTCCAATCAATCATTCTCACATGCTCTAACCACAGGGGGGAAGAAATGAAAACAACACGAACACATAACCAAATGGATAGATACACACATTTCATCTTGATTTGCTGAATGATCTCGATGAGCTCCATCTCTGTAGGCATGTAGCCCATGGTCCTCATGCAGTCTGCGATGTCTTTGTAATGGATGAAGCCATCTGCGTCATAGTCAAATTCTTTAAAGGCCTCCTGCAGCTCTGACCAAAACACAAACAAATTACAGCAAACCGTTAAGTAGGGTACGCAGTCCTTTTTTCCCTGAGAGTCAGTCGCACAGAATCAGATACTGGTAGTTTCTTTGAACAAATTTTGTTTAATCCAACAGAGAACCAAAGCCAGCTCCTAGGGACAGCAAGCAGTGTAAGTAAATTGATTTTATAGCTGGGAGTCATTGGTAAACAACATTTCAATGCAGTCTAATGCCTGACATCAATGTCTGACATGAGTCATGAAGAGCTGCAAGCTAATGAGAAAAAATATCAATGCAATTGATGAAGCTGTGCAACGAATTTGTAATTTATGTTTTTGCAGTTTGATAAAAAAAACTTCTTACCGTCTAATTCCCCTGACATCAGATCTCGCTCCTTTTCAGAATGAAATAAAACAAAAGAAAAAATAGTCATCATTACAAGACAGCAACACAAGACAGGATGTAAAATCAATGTGACTTTGAAACAGGAAATTCTCCTGAGAAACAACCCTGTGATTATCCATTTTTTGACTCCCAAATTAGAATAACATGCATATCATGTCAATACTGCTGCATGCTGACAGTCAACCCTAATGGGATTTCATCCAGCAACATGTCTTTCTAATTTGCAAGATGACACAATAGCACACACTCCTTTGTGGACACACACACTAACATGCTCTACATCTGCAGCATCCTCAGGGATACACAGCAGTCTGTGAGTATACCCACCACCCACTGCTGTGTCAGTGAGCTGCTCAAACCTCACACTTTTAGAAACACAAATGCATGTAAACCAAGACACAAATACTCACACCGCTGCCTAGAAAGATACAGACACATAATTTGCATATATCCTTGTGTGTGAACACTCAGTATTCTCTGCCTTGTTTTGACATTTGCACAGAGAGTGATCTTTCCTTCTCCCTGTTCCTCTTCCTCCCCCATTTTGAAGTGCTTTCAGGAAAGTTGAGGCAGAGATGAGAGCTTGGAACAAATTCTCAACACTGACAGTCAAGAGAGGAAATGGTGTGAAGTGAAATTGAAGCATGTTAAGACATCCAAATAGTTAAATTATTGCAAAGGCAAATGGCAGAGGATGGAAAAACTTTAAAAGAGGTTATGTTTTGGTCAATTGCAAAGCATATCCTTGTGTTAAAAAGTAATTAAAAAGTAAGAAAAATATGAATCTAGAGATATCAACTCTGTCTCATCATGCTGGCACTAAATGAGCTCATATTTTAGCAAGACAAATCAACAGAAGTATCATCTGCATCAGTCCTTGGAACAATTATCTAATTAGCATAATTGAGTACAAATTTGCGTTTTAATAAATTAGATATTGACAGAAGTTATCCTTTAAAAGCAGTTTGTCTGTCAAAGGCAAAACGCCTTCCCTAAAATCCCTCTTATGCCAGCTACATCTTGACTCAAGGGCTTACTAACAACGTGCTGCTCTTCTGCAGAAACATTATCACACCCTCAAGGGAAGCAAGAAACATGCAAACTCAGTCAGCTTGGTGCAGAGCAGCTTAGCCTGACATATGGAGATATCGCTTAGCAAAAAGACATTCAAAGTCTATAAATTCAAAGAAACAAGACTGATCTGGATGTCTGTGAAAACTCTGAGTTAAATTAACCACATGCTCTGTCTTTCTTGCTTGTTTTATTGCAGCAATAAAAAAATACTGAGAATCAGCAACAGAGAATATGACACGCTTGCAAAGGTGGAACATGTCTTCAAATCAGTCTCTGTGAGATTGGCAATCTACTATGAAATTTCTTTAGTGTCAGACACTGACGTGATTTGTGGGGAGAACACGGGGGACACATCCCCCCCGCTTCAAAAGCCCGTTTTGGTCCCCCTGCAGTTTTAACCGTCTGAAAACAATGTTACTATACGCTATAGCAAACCAATAGGACCAAATGGCCGCTCAAGTAGAAAACTGGTGTCCCTCAGTTTGGACCGCACACAAGGTCCTTGATTGGTTCTGCCGCAGGGATGCTTTTTGTGTGTGATTGGCTATCCCTGCTGTCAGTCACTCCTTGCCCGCCGGACTAGTGTTTTGCAAGTTGCCCGTAAGAGTCAGTCCGTGAACATCGCTTTTTGCTCATGTAAGTTTACAGGAGGGCGGCGTTAATTTTCCCTCCGTAACGTCACATTCATCAGAGGTTTCATTTACATCCCTGTATTTGGTGCGTACTTCCATCCACCCCCTGGCCGTATTGCCTCCTCTGTTACTGTGTGTGCTAGATGTGCTGTTTGCTAGGCTATATGTCTCAAGGGTACTCAACAGTACCCAAGTCACATGTGTTCCCCCCCCACCTTTGAAATCAAAATTTTTTCCATGGCGTCAGACATTTTTTATCGAAATCTTTTAAAGGATCATCTAAGTTCTGTTTCAACAACAGGCAAAATGGTAGGTAAATGCCAAGTTGCAGGTGGCTTTAAGATGCCATCTGCAGCCTGTGCTTGTTTACATCAACTCAACTCAACTCAACTTTATTTGTGAAGCACTTTAAAACAACCACAGCTGAACAAAGTGCTGTACATAACTAGACAAAACAACAAGATGAAAAACAATCAAAAAACACTTAAAACAATGGATAAAATAAAAGCAGAATTAAAAGTACATACAGATAGTAAAGCACTGTAACATTATGGCAGGAAGCAACAGCCCTGTTATTAATAGGTGGTTGTACTGCATCTTAGAGACAACATATGACCAGTATCTCAGGCCTGCAATAACAAAATATTATTAATTATTTTGATTAACTTGTAATTCTGGTAGCTGAGCATTAGTGAATAGTTGAGTATCATTTTTAAGACGTTAGAAAAACTAAAGTATGAAAATGTTAAAGTTTTCATACATTGCTTTTTATCAAGTGTCTTCTGTTTGTACATCTTTGCCACTTCAATAAGAGAGCGGGGATTTTCAACCTTCAGCATTTTTTCTAACTCTAAACCTGACTTGAAAAATCAGAGCAGCAGTGGAACTGAAATTCAAAGCGGTGTGCAATGTTTTCCTCTGAATACAAGCTGGCACTTACGGTGGTTAATACATAAATCATACAAGGTCATCCTGTTCAAGTGCACAATGGCTTAAGGGAGAAGAAGAAGCCCCGTGGCTTATTTGGAAAGTGCTCGGTATGGCAGACGTTCAAATGATTATTCACTGTATGATATTGCCAACACGGTTGCAGCACAGATTCAACGCCAGGACCCAACTGCATCAAGAGCTCTCACTCTTACGTGTACTTCGCGTAAATAACGGAAACACTTCTGATGTTTAAATATGTCTGAAGTTCTAATATATTACTCAAAAAGCTGAAGCAAAACCAAACTAAGATGTTTCTAAAATGGTGTTTACCCAGCACAGGATATGCTGGCTACAAGGACATATTTATGAAGCAAGGTCAAAGCATTAATTGGATTTTTTTCTTCATCCATGAAGGATTAGACAGCAATGCGTACAGTCGCTCAATTCCTTCTACCGAACAAGCCCATTAACAGTTAATTTCATTCTGTCTGCCTTCACATGGCCCATTGGGTAGTCTGCTGCTTTGTAAGCATGATGCGTAAACATACATGTGAGGAGTGCTCATCACAGCAAAAACACCGTAACACACAGTTGCAGTATGTACTGTATCTTGCTCATCGATGCGTTTCAGGCCTTTCAAGTTCACATCCGTCTTCCTCCCTGACATGTAAATGCACCAATTGTTTTTCGAGGGCTGTTTGTCTGTCCCAGCCTCTTCTCCGTAAGTTGGATGTAATGAGGGGTGACAGTGAACCTTGCTGAGGGGGTTATTAATACTTGCGTCGAGGCAGGGATTAGGCCCTCTGCAAGATGGATGGTCTCCCGGCCTCAGTGTCAGGGCAGTAACCTAAACAGAGTGTCGTCTGTCCCGTGGTCATGACTCAAAGGCTCCACCCAGATACCAGTAAATTTAAACCAGGGTGTCACGGTAAGGTAAAGCAGATCTGTCCTGGCAGGTGTGGTAGTAACTCAGGGATTAATGTGGAGGCACGAAAACATCCCAGCCCAAGGACGCTGCTTCCCAATTCCCATAAATTGCTCAAAAACAATGAAACAGTCCTATCTGATCATGAAGTGTTGTTAAAACATTCATAGGCACACAGCTCCCACTCGTGTAGGTTTCTCTGTTATCTTTTACATAAGTCCCTCTCCTGTAATGAAGGCATTTATGACAAAGCCTCAGGCTGTGCTTTGTAATTGGGTCTTACATAGTCCCATATCGGTTCAGTGATTAAAAGGATCTTATGGCATCAACATTAAAACAGCAATTACTGTATTTTAGCTGGGTCCAAGCAGGTTGAAAGCATGCAGAAGCGTCTCATGTTTATTTATAGTTTCAAAGTCTTGAGAATTTTTACAAAAATTTTTTAAACTGAAATACATAACGAGTAAAAAAATGGCCATATTACACTCAGCAAACAGGGTAAACGGACTTGACTTATTCTGCATTCATACACTGATGGTAGAGGCTGGTTTGGTAGCGGACTCTCAGTACCATCGTCTGTTCAGCTTATACTGTATAGGCTTGCACTAGTGTAAACCTTCAGAGTGACATTGGGAAGACAGCACAGGTGAGCAGATGACATCTTACATTTCAACATGCTTGGCTTATATTTTAATGATGTAGCTTTTTATTTAGAAATGTTTCTCAAAAATTCTCAATTCTTGACATTCCAACTTTTAATTTAATCTTCCTTCTGAAATTATTTTTCCCTCTACCTGCAATATTCAGCTTAGTTTGTCTTGTTTTTTCTGCCCTGAAGCTTTTTATGTAGAAATTTACTAATTATAATTCTCACTAAAAACGACTCTTCAGCAGCACTGACCTGTTAGTCAATGTGTCTTTTTTAAAAGTACCCTATGTAAAAAATATCTGAAAAACACATTACTGCTGCACTGACTTCTGTGAGTAAACAGCTGTGATGTCCTGAATGTGATGCTGTAGCTTTAAAATTTTAGTTGCAAAATAAATCATTGCTATTACCATCCAATTACCACCATTAATTTTAATGTTCATTAGTCATTCTAGGTTCCTCTGTGGTTTTCAGTCAGTCTCATTAACACCCTGGATTTTGTCCACATCCATTTTCTCTATACAATACATAAACATGAACCAACAATTTGTCCACTCTGGCTCCTGTCAACTCAAGCAACTAAAAGATCTATCTTTAGAAACTGAAGTGAACACCTACACCGACCCATTGTTCCTTTTAGAGTATTTGTGAAATGAACAAGCTATCATTGAGCTCCATGTTTATTAACCAGGATAAAGCTTTAATAGATCTGGACAGAGTATTCATTCAGGCAAGTCCAATTTTTAAGCTATCTGTTGACTGTTGGGATAACTGCCCAGGGTCCTGATTGGAAGGTTCCATATTTGAATGACTTAAGAGGTGGGTAATCATTCTTGCTTTCTATTCTCATTTGTCCAATATCTTATGTAACAGCAATTAGCAGTTTGCAAGCGGCACCCACATTTTCAGATAGTTACTGTTAACTGCAGATCATTACAACCACTGTTGAATTTTCTATCAATAGTTACCACTTGGACTCTGCTGAACAAATAGATCCATTTACCAGCTCTGTTCTGTGTAACCTTAAAGTCAATATAATGCCTTTTCTTTCAGCTGTGAGTCAGTCTATAACCTGCTCTTAATGAACCTTTACTTTGTCAGGCTCTTATTTCTGTCTCTCTTATTTCCCATGGCCTGTGAGACTGTTGCTTGATTGTAAGCAAAAATCAAACTCGAGTTTTAAAACCAACTTCTTTTTTGAAACAGTATCTAGCAGCTTCATTTTAGGCAGACTTTAGAAAACAGCTTCTTTGGTCATAATCGATGAATCAAGCCAGATGACATAACTATCTCTAATCTGTTTTCCTTGATTGAAAGAAAACAATGTTATGAAAACAAAAAAGCAATAGAAGTCAAAGTATTAACTGGGAAAAAGTGGTATTTGAACCATTAAGACAATTGATTAGAACAGGGCTCAGGGGATTGATCGTCTTGTTTATGTTTTCAATCAAGATTTTTGCCTCAGACTGTAATGACAAGATAATCAAGACAAGAGCACAAAGACTCCAAAAGCACAAACACAATCACACTGATTCAGGCAGACACTGGAGGGTTACATCTTCTGAATGCTACAGAGAAAGTAAGTCATCAGTCTGAGAACATGTAACGGTAGCAAAATTATAGCTCTACATGGCACGAATCAAATTTACTTCCTGTGACCAGCACCCATTAGCCACAACATCATGACCACCCTCTTGATACTGTGGACTCCCAGTCCCCCTGGTCAGGTCAGGGCTGCCTTGTAAGTTCAATGGTGGCACCTTCAAGGATCATTCTTGGTTGGTCAGCACATCCTACAGATGCTTGATTGTTTTGATTAAGATCTGAGAAGTTTGGAAACCATACCACTATGAACGTGTTTCTCTGGACCACCTTCTCCCACTTGCCCTCTTTTGCTCTTTAATAGTGCTTTCATTGATTGACAGGACTCTGACAGGTCTACAGCTACTCAGCCCCATACAATACTCAACAAATTGCAATGCGCAATATATTTTGACACTTTTCTGTGAGAACCAGCATTATTATCATTATTATTATTTCTTGCAGTCTAAGCTCTGTTGAACCAGACCATACAGGCCAGGTTTCACTTTTCATGTCCATCAAATAACCTTGGCCATGCAGGACCTTGTCACCAGCTCATTGGTTTTGCTTTTAGTACCACTTCAGGCAGGTGCAAACCATTGCTGACCAGTAACATTAATACTCTGACATCCTCTGATTAGGGATGGGTGATATAGGCTAAAAAATGTATCCTGATAAGTTTTGCCATTCTGCCAATGACGATAAAAACCTTGATAAAAAATATTAAAATTCCTATCGATGTTTTTGACTCATTCTGTCTTGAGAACACCACAATCATTGTTCTTGGATCGCACTTACCAGTTGGCATAGTCAAACAAGATACTTAACTACAAGTTGAAGTCGTAGGTTATAGAGAAAACGAGTGACATCAAACAAGTCTGAAATGTGTGAACACTTTCAACATTTATTGAAAACTCTAATTGCACAGCGTGAGCAGATCTACTGTCTGATGTCAGGCATACTTGATTGCACTCGTCTAAACCCCAATCCTTGTTTAGCAACGAGCTGCTCAGAGATGTCTTCTTCACCACCTTCGGCCATGTTTGTTTGTTATTCTGCTCTGTGTGGTCTACGGCTGCGAGTCTGTCGCTCGCACTTACGTCATCAACTTGCATTTATCGCGTTTATCGTAAGATGGCAAATATTTATCATGGAGGAGTTTTCTGATGATAAATCATGAACAATAATTTAACTCCTATCCCTAACTCTGACATATCTTTAGCCATCACAAGTAGGGTCTTGTCAGAGTTACATCCCTATAGCCTCACCCATTTTTTATGGTCCCAACATATCAGCTTCAGGGACAAAATGTTTACTTGGTGTCTAACATATCCCACTCAATGACAGGTGCTACTATACAGAGATGATCAATGATATCCACCTGTCAGTACGCATAATGTTTTGGCTTATGGGTGCATATGCAATTGTAAAAGTCCCTTTCAGAGGACTACTGAGTAGTTAATTAATTTTCACTCTGAAAGGCAATGCTGTCTTCGTTACTGTTGCTGTTTTCTCTGCCAATCCTCCCACTCTCTTACACCCCAAAGCCACATCCTCATCCATAATCTGAGTGAAATCTAGTGGATGCATCATCACTCTTAGCTCGCTTGTGGCATGAATAATTACACTTGAGCCAAGATAACAGAGTAGTGGAGTGTCTGTTATTGAATAAACTAATCATGATTATGTTGTTCATGTTCTTGAGAGATTCTGTATAATATAAACCATGGCTGACTCACAGTAGGAAATGCAAGACAAGCAGCAGACTCCAATAACCAAGTGAGATATTTATTGACCCATCTATCCACCCTGACCTCCCCTTTCTGTAAACTCGGTCCCTCTCTGATTTCAGCTCCTTTGTTTCAGTCAGAGTCAAATGACTGTCTGTTAGGATGATTTGTTGCTTGGATGCGCGTCACTCTCTAGCACTTTCTAAAAAAAAGCTGATGCTGACGTTTTCTCTCAACCCCGCAAGAAAAGATTTTTCAATCAGCCACAATTTACACAATGCTGAGATCATTTGATGTTTATTAGTATTGATCATTCGAGCAGTCATAGCCTGTGACATCATCTGCTTAATAGCTGAAATCAGCTGGCTCACCTGCTATTTATAAATCCTTTTTTTCCTGACACCTGCGACTAAAGGATGCCTTTTTTATAGGGATGAGCGATACGGCCTCAAATTAATATCACGATTTATTGAGCAGTTTACCTCGATAATGATAATTGGACGATAACTACTCCACAAGATGCTCACCCCCTCCCACATTAACTTCTTCTACTCCAGCCGCTACAACTTTGAAACCGTCCTCCATCTCCTCACCTGTCTCACACCGCCACTGCTAAATTACATGCACCGCTACTGAAATTTCACATGATCATTAATATTAATACGCTACTTATAATTTCTAATCGCACTTTATAAGCACAAAAACACACAACGTTATTTATGGCTTGTATTAAGTCATCAACGAGCGCATCAAATCCTGTCGAACCCTCTTCTATCAACGTGAAAGGTAACGTTCAAGCTGATACACAGTTTATATAGCGAGTAGCATCAATAGCATTAGTAGCATTAATATCAATGCACCACCAATGATTTCTACTTGCACTGTGTGAGCACAACAACACACCTTATTTTCGACTTGTTTTGAGTCTTAAACAAGCGCATCAAATCCTGTCGGACCCTCTTCCATTAATGTGAATGGTAACGTTAAGTTTATACACGGTCTAGTGCGGGGGACATAATGTAGCAAAAGCGTAGCGCAATGAGCGTCAAGAGAGTGGGGGTAACAGCGAAACCTCCCCCCCAAAAAAATAAAATAAAATTACGTTAGTTGTTTTCGTAAATTTTGGTTCGGTAAATTTTTGCGTTATCACCCAGCCCTATTATTTCATGAAAAGGAAGCTTAATACTGCAATCATGACTGTGAGCAACTACATATGTGGTTGCATGCAGAAAGTCACATAATAACCCCCTAAAAATTCAACCAATCACTGAACAATGAGAATGCCTTTTTTTTTAAATCACTACAACTTCTCTTGTTTTCATCAATCTTAAAAGTCCACTCAAGAGGGGAGTCATGCAATTTTTATATTTCCTCTCTGATACCCTTTAATAGTTTAATGTGAGTTTCAGATCAAAAAAAGCCTCAAATTTCTCACAGTGGTGTAATAAAATATCACGATTTTAGCCTTTGTCTGAAATGCGCCATTTTAGCTGCTGTCTCTCTAAGGCCCCCCCCTTACACGAGCCTACTTCCTTCTGATTGGCCACATCTTTGGAGGCTTTGACTGCATGCAACATGCGAGTATGAGCAGTTATGTGCTGTCGGACTGACCTGTCCAAAGAGTTTATTGAGGTAGGAGATGTAGGCAGCTGCCACTGCCGAGCTGTTGCTGGACCTCTTGCGAGTCTGCCCCTCTTTAGAGCCCTTCCCCTCGGCTGCTGGGGACTTGGACTTGGAGCTGTAAAATGTGCATCGAAATGCCAAATGTTGAGAACTGCCACCACCAAAGCCAAGTTTTTGTTTTATTGTCGCCTCTTTTCTGCGGTACTCAACACAAATCACATAATCACATTAGTCACATAATAAATCACATTAGAGAGATGTTTACCTCCATCTGCCTTCATATCATGATTGCTCAGCTTAAGTAAGATGATTGAAAAATGTTGGTAGTGCCATCAGCTGACTTTGGAGGCTATATTGGCTTCCACATAAAAGAAAGAAAGTCGGGAGGTGTTTCTCACAAGCACAAGTTTGGGATTCTAGGGGTTTGTTTTGCAGCAGATGTACCAATCAATGACACTAATTGGGTGCACAAGTCTACACAACCTATTGCCCCTTGTCCTAATCAATGTCGATTAGACACAGAGAATGATAATAACCAGAATTTCTTGGATAAGCTGAGCTGGAGAGCCTTGTTCTTGAATCTCCCAGAGACGGGTGATCTGCCAGCTGCCGAACTCCTGCCGCTTCTTGGAGAAAGGCTGAAAGACAGAAAACAAAATTAATTTAAAGTGATTTCTATACCAACTGAAATGAATAATTTCCCAATAACCAGTGTTCGACACAGAATGTCCAACTATTTCCCCCCCCCTCATAGATGGACTGTCATGCAGGGAAGTAAAGACTGCTGATGGACAGCAGCGCTAATGAAAGAAAATTGTTTGAATTTCTTATATTCGACACAGATGTCGAAACCAGTGGAAATTATTTATAAGCAGACCAGCAACACTCTGTCCAAAAGAGCCACTCACTTGTAGATGAAAGCATTACTTCTTTGTTGTTGTTAGAGCCGCACATCGTAACTTAGACTGACTCAAATTTGCGAAAGTGCACAACCTCGCCACTTGATTGAACATTTAATTAAATTCTTAATTAGATTTTAAAAGTGTGTTCATTTCTTATTCATTTTCTCGAGCACTTTTCATTGAATCTCACTGACCTGGTTGCAGAGGACGGTCTACTATCGGCTCCCCCCTTTGCAGTTCTCACAGACATCCTGGCTGTAGGAGAGAGATAAATGTAGAAAGAGATTTGTTCTTTTGGGAAAAGACAGAAAATCTACTTGGAAAGTGAAAATTGACAACAAAGAAAGCAAGTTTCCCAGGGGCATACACATTTTTAACCAAAACCCAAGATGCTAAAGTCGCTGAAATAACTCAAAACCTCATCATGTGGCTGTACTTAAGAAAATGTGTTTGCAAACCAATTTAGGCCAAAACATCCATTGGACAAGCAGTCATTAGAAATTCACAGTCAGAATTGTGGGTGATGCCCTAATGGATGGATTGGCATTCTTCTGTTATTCCACCCAGTATATGTAGATTCACGGTCAAGTCAAGCTATGTCCATAGCTGGATTAAGACCTTTTACTGGGGTACAGTCCTTGTCCCAGTTTATAAGAATTAAATTACTGACAGAAGCATGTCTGCCAATAAGTGGTGACACAAGCTTCTACATCACATACCAATGGTCAAAGTGTGAGCAAGTGATTAACGGGATGTACATCAAACTATGAAAACACCATCACTTCTACAGCTCTTTACCTATTTCATACTACAGCTTTTTTTTTTTTTACACCCTTTTTTCTCCTGTTGAGGTTAAGTACCTGGATTAGCACTGCATTAATGCTTTTAAGCCTCTGGTCAAAATGTGCAAACTCTTGAGCATGTGCTAAATGCTCTTGCCAGTTTCTGTCCAAATGAGTGTGTACACACAAAAAAATGACCTCAAACCTCATTATCTAGATGTGCTAGTCCAATTATGAGAAGTTTAACTTAGTGGGATTGCAGTCAGACTAACCCTCAACATATAAAGTTCCAATCAGACTTATGACAGCAAAACCTTTGTTTGACCAATATTTAAAATATACTGGCTATAGCTCTTGCTAGCATGTAGCTTTTCAGTTTGTTAAACCCAAGTTGTGAACTTTGTGCCATTTAGTTCCACACAGTTGTAGAAAGTGACTTCTAAAACAGTAGAATAAAATGATGATCAGTAAACTAAAACAACAAGCTGAACGTCACATAAAAATGTACAGAGTATAAAGACAGAGCTGTAAAGCAAAGTCATAGATTCAGGATGCTGCTGCTTACACATATGACCATTACATGTTGGCAGAGGTGGAGGATTAATACTTTGACTCCAATTCAGAGAAAATGATTCATGAAATAAAACACTCATCCAAAGAGTAACATAAAAATGATATACTAAGTCAGATTAAATGGAAAGTTGGAGTCAAACAAATGAGCCAAATGTGCTTAAAAAGAGAGATGGTGTGAAAACACTTTCTGTTTTTCACCATGAGATGCAAGCCTGTGATAAAAGAGAATGGAAAGGACATAGATGATGAAAGAGGGTGTGAATGATACATGTTTAGGACCTGCACTTGAGGAGAAAAAGGAGAAGGAGTAAGGTTATTGCTGACTGTTTGAGAGACACATTAATGTTCTGTCATGGACCTCTGCCGCTCTGGTTATCAGCTACTTGTGATAAACCGTTGCATTTTGCATCATTGCATTAGAAATGCATCACCTTACTCCACCATTTAGTATTCAGCCAAGACAGATACCAAAGATCTACCTCTGAAGACGCAATACCTTTAGCCGTGTAGACCACAAGGGCTATAATGAAAAGAGACATGAAGACCCGAGTCCTCTAAATTACACCTGACCGTTTCATGTGCCTCCGCCAAACGTGCCGCATTTCCAGCTCCCACTGGGCCGAACAGAACGTGCCGTGACTGAGTAGCTATTGCCTGTCTGTGACGATTTCATGCAATCAGTGTGTAAATGACACATGCTGATTACAACACACTTAGTGCATGTTAAGTTGTACTGTGGGATGAAGGAGGGGAGTCCTCCCTTAATGATGTTTGTGAAAGTCCTTGTCAAGGGGACAGGATTTCGAGGTGCTTTCTATATGTTGCTGTGCTCTTTTTTCTCTTGCTGGTAAAAGTCTGTTTATGTAGATATATACTGAGCTTAACACCTGATATATGTGGGGGATATTTTATCATGCTTTACCCAAGCTGAAACCTCAGTGGGTCAAGGACAACAATGAAACAACAATGGAAATGCCCAGATCTGCGGTTCATGCACAGTGTCTGAGTAAACGCCAGAAGCAATTCAAGCCCCATGTGGTTCAATACCTAAAGATCTAAGCTGACAGCAGGATAAATTCTACAGCCTTGTATAAAAACAGATGTGGTCTGTGTGTATTAATACAAGGTTATATTACAGCTTAAAGTGTGCCATTATTAGCAGAGTTTTCCTTGTCAAGAGGATGTTGCTGCTGGTCAGCTAATTCAGTCGCAGAGGACGATACCTTTCCAAGGTGTTAACATTGTTGGTGCTTTTTTGGAGTAATCCCATGCGGTTATATAAAGTATGGCCAGTTGTATAACAATTAGGAATGGACATTTAAAGATATTCCCTTTATCGATTAATCATATAACAATCAATCATTAATTTGATCTTTTTTTATGCAAATGGAAGAAAAAAATGCACAAAACCAGTTTTTTCCTCATTGAAATACACCCTCCCACCCCCCTGACTGCGTGCTACATGCTTACTCACGCTTCCTACCTGCCCGGCTGCCATAATAACGGTTGTTTTTTCTCATTCATGAAACGCTAAAATTGGGGACATTTCTGGGGACAACTTTAGCTGAGGACAGGTCATCCAAAACGGGGAATGTCCCCTGAAATCGGCGACATCTGTTCCCCCTACAGATCCTCCTTGCTAGCAAGGAGCTGATGGTAGGTTGAGACTGAGAACGTTCGGAGGATTCATTTAGCTCAGTCAGATGTATGTGGTCCAAGTGGTCCATCAATGGGGTCATTGTCGTGTTGTACTTGTACACAACATTGCAGTGTTTGCAGCAAACCTCATCATATTTCTTGCTTTCTTCGTTTTTTTGTTGTTTTTTTACCTCTATGGAAGCTTGCTGACGCTATATTGACCCCCTTGTAAAATGTCAAAATCATTCAGCACGGTGATAGTCACTGCATTGCTTCAACACAAATACACTGACTGGACAAAGAGGATATCCCTCCCGATCAGCAGAGGTTGATCTTTGCTGGAGGATGGATGCATGCTATCAGCCCTTTTTTGTTAACGTTGGATCGATTGAAATTTTCTGTGATCGAGGTCATTTTCAATGAATTGATCATTGATTAATCATGCCCATTCCTAATAACAATTATAACTTTATCTGGCAGTTGATGAAGAGGCAAAAAGCTCAATGATAAGAAGGGATTTTTTGAAGAAATTTAAAGAGGACATTGAGTTCACCTTTGTGGCATCCTCATGCACAGGAGTTCCTGAGCCGGAGATGCTGAATGATATGTCAGGATGTGTCTGTGTGGTGCACAATGTTGGCCAAACATGCATGTAACTACTGCTGCCGCTGCCAGGGATAAACTTGAAACATCAATCCTAAAATTCACAGGTAGCCACTAAAGGGCAGCAAAGACTTTTGTATGATCACTGCTTTCACTTTGAGTTAAATGTTTCATGGTTTTTGTTGTGTTGTATGACATGGCCAGCATGGAAGTCTCTAAACAAGGACTTAAACTGAGGGGGATTCAGAAGTGTGTACTCCATACCTGGCTTGTTAGCTTAGAGTTAGTGTTGTGTTTGTTATACATTGATTTATCTGTGTTGGCCCCACTAAGAGTGTCAGGATCATTGTCTGTTCCCTGCAGAGATAATTGTGGACAGTGCTGATGTGTCTTTGTTTAATTGATTGATTGTCATATGAGGGATAACCAGCATGCTCACCAGCAAATGCATTACCCAAAGATGTAGATGGTTTAGCTTTGATAAGCCAACGTGCTTCGCTCCAGATTTCTCTTCGCTTCAAATATGGCTGAAGGAAACTAATGTGGCAGCTAGGAGCACAAAATAGGCTGTCAACAAACCAATGAGTGATGACACAGTGGCTGTGTGTGTCATTTATCCAGTCTATGGCTTTGCCGAAATGTTAAGTTCGTAATGTTTACCAAATCTTGCTGATATGCCAGCCCAAACACACAAACACACATCTGTTTGCCAAATACTCACAGCGCCTGTGTGGGTAAAGTGAGATATCTGGACTTTCTCTTGTGTTTGGGCCCACATTGTTTGCCTGAAGAATTGCTCTCATCTTCAGTGAGCAGAACTCCCATCAGGGTAAACAAACACACACCCCACCTCTTCCCGAAGCACACACAGACTGTACACATGCGCTTTTCACTGCACAAGCCATTGAGCAGCACTGTGCGTGTCTGCAGCTCTCCTCCCTAAGTGGCCAATTGCTGTCAATCACCGAGCCGACACAAGCAATTTTAGATCCTAATCAGGCTAATTGAAGTAATGAAATGGAGGGCCAGGTGGACCGGGGCTAAAACAAACACAACTAGCCTAGCTGGTAATGAAGAGGAGGGCTGCACAGTGCACACAAGAGCGGCGGGGGTTTTCTGGTGGGGGGCATTAAGGGTTAAATGCTAAATGGATATTCTAAATGTATTTCACAAGCCCCACTGGAGTAAAGGGCCCTGAGATTCTTTGTACACGTCACATTAACAAGAACAAAATACACACACACACACAATGACACAAAGCTGACAGAAAATAGAGGCACTCAAGCTCATTACTCCACCAAGGCTGCACCATCTCTCTCTGCATCTCCTCATTATTCTTAAGGCACAGAATTGGAGTAGATTGCCTGATATGTTCCACAATAATGGTTAAAGGTTAAAATGATTTATATTGGGTGATACTCGACTGCTTATTATGCTTATTATGTTCCAGTACCATTTCTAAACTATATATGGTGGTTTCAAGTTTATTTACTTGGAATTTTTTCATTATGGACTACGACATAGTTTTCACTGCAGATGGTACCTCAGTTCCTCAAATCATGTTGATCAATTTTCTTTTCAATTTGTTTTATTTTATATCACTGTGAACAACTGGAATAACTCAGATACAGATATACGGTAAAATTGTATGCATCTAAGATGAATCACTATCACACATGCAATGAACAATTATGAAAATTAGGTGATGACGTCATCGAGCGACTTGTAGGACAGCAACCAGTGACTTTCCTTCCAACTGAGGAGTTGGCAACACTGATGCTGAGCAAGCTGCTTATGGTCTGACATCTCTCTGTGTCAAGATGCCAAATAATATGTGTAAAAGTGGAATGCAGCTAAACTCCAGGAGACACAGGGTTATTGTTGCAGTGACGGGCCAAAATTGTATAGTTGCAGCATGGCTTGAAATTCCGAAATCCCAAATGCAAAATTTCAACCTCCCTCCCAGCAACCTGGTGGGAGCAGGACTTTCTTTTTAAGCACTAAGCACTATGAGCAACTGGCAGTTTATGGTTTTTCTAAATTCCACATCTGACAGTTGGCTCAGTTGCCTTTTGATCTGTATGAAAGTAAATTTTCTCATGTGTCACATACGATCCATAAATTATTTTTGTGCAACATGAATTAGAAATGATTGATAAAAAAGAGCAGCACAATACATTGGAAAGGCGTCATGTCTGATCTGTTGTAGTTAGAAAAGAGCAACTAAAGGTTGCAAAGTTTGAATAGCTTTTCAAACTGAAACATTTGAGTTCTTCGATCTGACAGCCCTGTAATCAGCACAGCGGTTAAGTGCCTTTAAGACATGTTTACCACCTCTGTGATTAAAGATTCTTCCAAACACTTGAAAGTAATCAAAGTTAGTGAAGGTTAGACCTTCTGCTGAAGCTTCACTTAGACAGACGAGCCACGGATGACATTACCAACACGTCCTTCTAAGTTTTGATGAAAAACATAAGGCAGCTATGATGTTGTTGTTTATTTCTTTATTACAGGGCTGGGCGATATGGCCTCAAATCAATATCACGATTTATTGAGCAGTTCACCTCGATAACAATAAATGAACGATAACTATTCCACAAGCTGCTCACCCCCTCCTACATTAACTTTGTGTACTTTAGCCGCCACCTCAGCCGCTACAACTTTTTAACCATTCTCTATCTCCTCATCTGTCTTTATCTCTTTGTTACGGACTGGATTGGGGGGTCTCTGACAGACAGCTTCTTAAAGGGACATAAAACCATAGCCTAATATCCAAAACCAACCAACTTTTATTTATTTTTGACACTGAATATATTGACATGGTAAATTTTCGGTTTATCGCCCAGCCCTACTTTATCATATCATGGTTACAAGTTGTCAGAAAATGGTCGGCAAATTGAAAACAAGTCAAGTAATTGAAAAGCCCAGTCTAAATACTGGTGGAAACTTGAAGGAAACACAAATGGCAGAAAATCATTGAAGGGGATCATGAGTATGACCTTTTTTGATCAATTTGTCTTGTCAATGAATGAAAGTTTTACAGACTGTTTTATTGAAAGTGACAACAATGTTACTGAAATACTTATTCAGTCAATTGAGATTACACTCTTATAACACTGTAAAATGTCCATTAACCAGATTCTTGCTGTTTTCTCTGGAGCCACCAGTAACAGTTTCATACAGTTTTTTTCACCCATTTATCAGTGTGCCCCATTACCTGTAAACACATGTAGATCAGTACCTTTAAATCTCCTTTAATCATTTCATGTTGGTTTTAGAAAATATAGTCTTAAAAACATTGATCACATAGTTCATGTGAGACACTCATCTGTTGGATGAAGTTGTCAAAAGATGATGCAAACAGACAATTATACAGGAACAATATTACCCCCGGTGGATTTTAAAAATAAATATGAAACCACAAAGAAAAACAGAAAGACCTCCACTCAGATTGACTTTGACTTCAGGGCAGGCTTCCATCGTCTTGTCCTTTATCACCATTTTCTTTGTTTTTTACCTTTATCTTTCCATTCGCCTGCTGTCCAGTCAGAAGACAATCAATCCCAGAGGGGCCAAAGCGGCCTGTGTCCGATCCATAAACAACCAATAGTAAAGCAATCGAGTCTGGCACTCCATCTTATCTTCACCTATTTCAACACTTCTCCAACACTTCCTCCACCTCAACACCCCCTCCTTCCTTCTCCACTCCCTCTCCAGCACTGAATTCATGTTGCGGCTGTGAAACCACACTGTTGCCTTCAGTGTTGATGAAAGAGGAGGGCCAGAATCCTCCTCACAGGCATCTTTCCGGGCTCTTAATTCCGGACTAAACCCACACTGATGCTGTGTTTAATTTGTCTCATTACCACCTCTTCCTGTTTGTTTTTCTGGAGACCAGCCTGATAACCACTGAGATGCTGGTTTTATTGAGTCTGTTGATGTGATTGTAGCAAGCAACAGGGCCACAAATATTGAACCAAATCGTTGGCTGGCCATCTGTTGGCGAAGACAGCAAAATCGACTCAAGATTCAGAAAATTAAATTCCATAAAGCAGAGAAGCAGATGTCTGTCAGAGTGTGAGCAGCATCCTTAAATATGCTCTGTGCTCACTACAAGTGAGTCAAACTTGACTCCACTTTGATGTAAGACATACAACATTGCAGGGGTAAACAAGCTGGCTCTCTACTACAAATAATTAGTACAGCAAAATATACTTGTACAGAAGCTTACCTTCACCAGACCCCAAAAGAAAATAAATGAAAAAGATTTTATCAAATGTTTATCCTATTGAATCTGATTGCTCTCCCTGTTTGCTCTGGTTGATAAATGGGACTGAGGTGTATCTCTGCTGCATGAAGCCCTACCTAACAGAAGGATTATATCATGCAGGGTGATTATCCAGCTAAATATGTTGGGATTAGAGATGTAGCCAGCTGCCCCCAAGAACAAAAAGGGTAATGATATTGTTCTACTGCGTATGTATTGAGGGAACAGATCAGCAATTACATGAAGCCAAGCTTATTCATGTTTTTATTCAAGCTACTTTGGTCCGAGAGGTTTTAATACAGATCAGTTTTAATCCTTATTAACTGAAGTGTAGAGCCGTTATTACAGGTGCTTGCCAATAAATTAAGAAAAGTATAAAAAGTCATTTTTGAAGGCAAAAAGTGAAAATGTTCATTATTTAATTATGACAACTGTGGTCTAAAACTAGGAAAACATATTTTAAAATACATAATTCAAGCAATGTAAGTAAATAAAGACCTGGTATTTCTTGGACTAATTCACTACACACAACTACAATCGGGGGCTGTCACACCTACGTCGTTTGGTCCAGACTGTCTGACTTTTTTGTTTAGTCAGAAAATGTTAGGTATGAAACCTCCCCAGGACCTTGGTCTGGACCAAACAGCAGGACCTTGGTCTAATCAAAAGAGGTGGTCTTGGTCCCGACCAAACTGAACCATCGTCTGGTTCATGCCCAGTGTGAAAGCATTATTTTGAAAGGTTCGGACCTTCCTACCAAAGACAGGAAATTACGCAAGTAGTAGAGATGTCCATTATTATGTTGAATGAAGATTGTCCAATAACAGGAAATTTTATAATATTGTAGATAAAGTTATACCTCACTATTGACGGCTTATCTTTTCAAGAGTTTTACTACTCGTACTTTTCACCTGAGCCAATGTTGCAATGACTCGCAGGATTGCATACTTTCTTTTCCTTTCCTGTCGATGTCGATAAAGATGTCGTCTAATGATCAAATTCATGAGACTTCCTTGGGCCTGACTTATTTACAGCTCTTCAAGTTGTCGCTGTTGGAGGTAGAAAATCAAAAATAGTACGATGGTGGGAATGAAGATTTCATCCATGTTTGCAGACCTGCACTTTTCAACATGTTGACGTCAGACTCCCGCCAGCCTAATGACCAATCAATGTGAACTACAGAGACACGCAAAGCATGTAGTTGATGACAATATCATGTAGGTTCGTCTGATAGTCTGTTTCCAATAATGGCAGTGTGAAACTCAAACAGACCAAACCAAATGTGAAAAATGTAACAAAAGCACCGACCTTGGTTCAGACCTTGGTCTGCTTACTGGACAGTTCTCCAGCAGACGATCATAAACACCCTCTACAGGGTAAACCGCAGAAGGCCAATGACCGGAATGGAAATTTGACCAGAATGGAAAGTGAGGAAGGAAAAAGTTTCCAAGCAACAAGGATTATAGCCTTAGGAAGACCGTGGAGAAAAGTTGTTTCAAGAAATATGGAGAGCTTGGGGCGGTTGTTGGAACATCAAGAGTCACCACTCACAGACATAGAGAAAAGGGCTATAGCCGCCATATTTCTAACATCAAGCTGCTCCTGAACCAGAGACTATTTCAGAAGTGTGTCATCTGGTCTAAGGAGAAAAAGAACTGGATTTAAGTGAAAGCACCATTCTATCTATCTGTGGGTATTGGAGCACTACATGCTTACTGACAAGCTTTAGGAAGTTACTGATTTCTGATCACTGATTCGCTGACCATACTGTGTTTGACTTGGAGAGCCAGCTTGCGTGATTTGAGTCACGGGGAAAAAATAGGAATCGTCTTTAGATCAATACTTAGTGTCAGCTTGGTTGCACATATAGTGGGAAGCCAGGTAATAAGACCTGGTCCCTCAATGGCTACAAATCTATAAACTATGTTTTCAGAGTTTCCTTATTTCTACCAGTAATCTGTTGATTGGCCCACCTCATAAACTGAGATTAGGAAGTTCATTTTAATGAAAATCATTAAATACCATAACCTTTAAGGAATAAGATTTCCAATAAGCCTGGACCTTTGCAGATAAAATGTCATGGCTTCACTAGAGAAAGCAGTCTATGGGCGAGTAAAGGGGTTAGCTCAGACTTACTAGTCATAACCGATCACGTGTAGAGGGGGAATGGTATAGTCTTCTACATATCTTTTATACTTTATATTTATAGACTTTCAAAGTGTGAACAGCTTAACAATGAGGGAGGAACAGATTTCCTTTGATACTGGAAAATAAACCTGGAGTGTTATTTTTAATCACAAAGTAAACACTTTTCAATTCCAATTTCTGCTTTTTGTCTCAGAATATTTAAAGAAAACTTAAAATAAATTAATTAATAACAAAAATAGCTGATAGGGCTGGGCAATAAACAGAAAATTTACCGACACCAAATTTCCGACAGTAACCAATGTCATTTTGCCCATATCGGTATATTCTTTGTCAAAAAAAAGAAAAAATAAAAGTTGTTTTTAGATGTGTGTAGGTAGGCTATGGGCTCATGTCCCTTTGAGACGCTGTCCAACATCAGAGACATGACTCCAACAAAGGGGGAAAGACAGGTGAGGAGATGGAGGACGGTTCAAAAGTTGGATTGGCTGGAACGGCGGCTAAAGTAGACAAAGTTAATGTGGGAGGGGGTGAGCAGCTTGTGGAGTAATTATCATCCATTTATCGTTATTGAGGTGAACTGCTCAATATATCGTGGCATTGATTCGAGGCCATATCGCCCAGCCCTACTAGCCGCTTTTTTCTGGTGAACAGATATGAGAAAAGTCACATGGGGACACAACTGCAGTCCAGCAGACAGAAATAAAGAGAAGTCTCCTCTCATAAATAATGTTCCTGTGATAAAGAAAACAAAGTATCAGTGTAGGAGGAAGAACATCTTAACTTCTGAACATGAAAAACTGTTTCGGGGTCATAGATAAGGAAATCATATTTTTGAAATAGGTTATACATGTGTGCAGTTGTGCCCTTGACATTGAAAAACATTTATAATGTCGACTAATGTTTCTGCTTTTCACCTTTTATATCATCAGACATTCGTGGAATATTAACTAGAGTTTCAGAGCCAGCGGATGAGCACTGTATACCATAATGCTATAAGAGCAGAATTTAACCCACCAGACACACGGACGTTATGAGAGTGGGAATTATAAGTTCACAAGGTTAATTAACATACAAACAAAGTCGTATCAGTTTAAGTCTGAGATGATGAGTCCATAAGCAGACACATGGAAGGTTTAATGTTGAAGGAAAATGATACTTTCTGAGGTTTAAGCTAAAGATGCTTTGTCAAGCTATCTCAGCAGAGTGTCACTGGAAGTGTGACTGGAAGTGCGTACAGAAGTGCGTGTGTGGGTGTGTGTGTGCTATACAGTATACAGTATACAGTCCATAGCTTTCCTGATAATCTTCTCCTCTTGGAACAGTCCATTCTTTCAACACTGAACATTTCCTCCACTCTTTACAGATTGACTGCTGTTTGCTAGTGAAGTCGGCCGAAGCATGTAGAGTATCATGTTCCCTGAGGCTCTTTTTATCGAACACCACTCTGTTCATTCACAGTGGACTAATCCCAAACATGCACACGATTCTTTCTGGAGGGACACCTCAAGTTTAACCTGTGAATAAGGTCAGAGAAGTCGATTTATCTCGGTGCAGAAATCAGGTCTATTTCTCTCTGTGAAGGTAACATAACTGACACATCTTCAACCCCCCCCGGCCACCAAAGAGGTGTAACTGTCCATACAGATTCTGTTGTTTGTCTCCATGGCATTTCGCTCTGCTGTACAGTGGTCAGTGTTTTGAACTTTGTCTCACTTCAATGGACAAACCAGCCGCGTGACCCACGACTCTTTCAAATGTCACACTTCACTTTGAAATGTGAAAGAAATGCAAAATCTGTAAATCGTCACCGCCTTACTACTCCGGAGAAGAAATATGCTCTACTTTTACCGACTCAGGACTTCCAAGTTCTGACGAAAGTATTAATGCAACTGTATTTTGAATAGATAGATGATAGTCCAGCAAGCAGGGCAAAAAAAAAACAGTTTTGTGCTGATGAGAAAACAAAAACTGCAGGTAAGGCATAATCTAATTTTTATGGCCTCTCCTAGTTTCTCTCTTCTTCCCTCTCTCTCCTCCTTTTCTCTGCTCAGTGAGGCACAGCTGTGCGGGGAAACTGTTGAGGAACTTATTCCCCTGTGTGATCAACCCCTTGCCACGCTCAAATATGCTTAGTGTGCCCAACCAAAGCCCTTATTTAGCGCTTCGACTTTTTTTTGAAGAAAGGGAAACCTATTTCAACCCTTACCTTCACAAAAAAAAGACAACAGAGTGCAATAATGTCACATTTCATGCACCAGTCAGCTCCCAATGGAGGCTAAAGCTTTGAATTGTTTCTTTAAGTGGAAATCAACTTCTGTTTTTTGCATGGCGTGGTTTAGCGGAGAGTAATGATGCAGTTTTCCGCAACATGGCGCTGAAGTTTGTAGTTATATGCAAGGCATGTGACACAGCAGATATTTGTCTGAAACCGACCTCAGTGTCCAGTCAGCAGTTTTTATGTTTCATTTTTGTATAGTCACCTCTTCTCTCCCTTTCCAGATATGCTTCCCTCTTGGCCCGCTATGTTTTTTCGGCTGTGCCACTGCGATCAGTTTCACCTGTCTTCCTAGTTTCACATGTCTCCCCTCACCCTTCCTCTCCTTGTCCTTGTGCTCTCCTTGTCCGTTGTCAGTTTGTCTTAGCTCTTTGTGGTCAGTGTTCCTGTCGTAGTGTGAATTTCTAAAGTCATTTAGACTCTGTGTCTTTCTTGTTTCCTTTTGCCTCATATTTGACTTCTGTACTTGCTGCAAAAAATAATGTATGGATGTCAGTCATATTTTTCACAGATTTTTGGGTTCGTGTAATTGATATGCCTTCAGGGTGATGGGTTTTATTTAAAAGAAATTCATAATATTTCTCCAAATTTAATAACCATGTAAAAGTCTTCAAACTTATTGATCAAAGCAGAACTTAAATAACACATTTATGTAATTTGTAGGGGTGGGAGAAAAAATCGATACAGCATGGTAGCGTGATATTTTGTCCGATGATATATCGTATCATCTCATCCACCAGGTATCGATTTTTTTCAAATTAATCGCAATATGAAGTCAAGTCTATGATAATGGAAAAATAAAATCAGTTGTTTGTCCAGTGATGTTTGCAGAGGTGACATCATAGAGCAGGAGAAAGTTAGTATGACAAACAGCACCTGAGGAGGGACATTAGCAATGCAAACAGGGCACAAATGAGATGGATATGACATATGAGGTTTGCAAGATGTGCTACATGGAAACACAATATCGCGTCAATAAGACAAACATAAAGGAAAGACAAATGCTGAATCAGCTAAGCAGTTGAAAAAATTGTACAAATTGCCAGATACTGTATCGCAAAATGTTAAAAATCGCAATAATATCGAAGTAAAGTAATAATATCACATTGTAGGACCACTTGTGATTCCCACCCCTAGTAATTTGTGTATTAGTCATACATACATATGCAGTTCTGCAGGCTCTTATAAAATGGATTCCTCAACATCTATAAGGTTTTACTTTCCCCTCATCAGGTTTGACAGCAGCAGGTCCCTGTCTGCGTCTACATCTCACTGCTGGAGTTCATTTCTGCGTAGCAGTGTAGCGCATTTCATGAGTCATCAGCAATTCCTGCAGTATAAAAGTAAGCTGAAAACAGTTTTCTGCTACTTTGTAGGGCATTCATCCGTTATATATCAAAGAACATGATCTTTTAATTAGACGACTTCACTTCCAAGGTCCATTTTCAATTTTGCTGACTTCTCCCCCCTTTTATTGAGAAAACCTGACTCCTCCGTTACTTCAGTGGCAATCTGAAAAGCCAGAAGAGAACGCCTACTCACAATAAACTAGGACTGTAACACTGCATTCATCATCATGATACCATTCAGGATTCAGGATATAACTTATTCACAGCTTCTTTTATGGTGAAAGAGATCCAGTTTATGTTCAAGCTTTAGAGGGGGGATGCCCCTATCTCACTCAGTGTAACTGGAAGTGTGACTGGAAATGCATTCAGTGTGTGTGGGTGTGTGCTATACAGTACATAGCTTTCCTGATAATCTTCTCCTCTTTGAACAGTCCAAAGAAAGCCGCCTTTGTTCCTGTCTAAATGACTTCATTTGTTTTGACAACAGGCACACTTTTACTTCCAAAACATGCAAATTTACTTCTGCTAGATTGTAAAGGGAGTGAATAAAAATGGCTAAGGATGGAAGGATGATCAACAGGATGCTCTTATGGTATCTGTTATGCCTCTTTCTCTCTTGCTGAGGTGCTAAACTATGAAGCAAGCTCTGGATACCCCAGGTATGTTGGTCATCTGGTTGAACATACCCTCACGATTAAGATCAGACTGAACGGCTTCATTACGCTGGCTATCAACCTGATAGATTTCTAGTGACTCAAGCTAAAACATGGTTGTTGTATTCTTTTTAAGAGAGAACTTTAACTCTCCGTCGGGTGTTAATATTTAGTTTGTCTGATATCACATTAGAGCTGACTGCTGTACATGCAGAGTCTATGTATCACTTGTGTAAACCTGCACAGGAAACTGTCACCATCACAACACTGCCAGGATGATAATTGAGGCAGATGCTCCGTGTAGGGCTGTCCCAGTATATCAGTATTGATGATATCTGTGTTTTTGGACCAATGAAACATTGATTTGGTGCTACAAAACAAAAAACTGTTTTGTTGCAGTTGCTGCTGGTGAGTTAGCTGTAGCATTAATCTGAGTGATGATTACACACTTCTAAATACTGGAATTTGAAGACATACCGTGAAACCAAAAACAATGTTAGAGCTTGTGTGTCTTCAGGTTCACCAATTCAACATTTATTCTTTCTTTTCTGTGTTTTGATTCAGACCTGCTTGAAGAAGCTTATATTGCAAAATAGGGCTGGGCGATAAACCGAATATTTACAGATACCGAAATTTACGACAATAACGTGACTCTCCACCCCATCCAGACCATAACAAAGAGGGATGGACAGGTGAGGAGATGGAGGACGGTTCAAAAGTTGGATCGGCTGGAACGGTGGCTGAAGTAGACGAAGTTAATGTGGGAGGGGGTGAGCAGCTTGTGGAGTAGTTATCATCCATTTATCGTTATCGAGGTGAACTGCTCAATGTAGCGTGATATTGATTTGAAGGCCATATCGCCCAGCCCTACTTCCGGAAATAAGGCAACCTAAACAAAAGACAGAAAAATACTTTTTTTAAAAAGTGAGGTGATGTCTTCTCCAAACAAGTTTCAGTAACAGGGATAAAACTTGTTTGATTTGGCGAGATATTGATTAGAGATACTGTCACGAGGTTAGTAATGCAGTTGGTACATACATTTGAACATTAAGTGAAATTGTTGATTACATAACTTTCTTAGAAACTTACAAAAGAAACAGATTTACCGTAGGGGGAAAATGGAAGATTAATCACATATGTGGCAACTGATTAACTAACCATATGAGCCTGTTAGTCTAATGCATTTAGATTATTTTCACACATACATGTCCCTTTCTGTGCGAGCATGAAGCAGGAGGGGTAGAGGCCATGAGGGGTCCTGCGGTTAATGATGCGTTCAGTTATTGGTGACTGATAATGTCATATCAGGAACTAATTGCCCGCACTGTTGCCTCATTAAGCACAGCATGACGTCCTGCCACGGGGCACTGGATGCACACCTCGCTGCAATCACTGCTCCTTCAATACATCCTCCGTTTTTTTACTCTTTCACCCCCTGCCTTGCTATTCATCCATCCTCCTGTCATGTTTTGCTTTTACGGTGTCTTTTATGGGGCCAAAGTAGAGGCAGTTTTTCCTCAAATTTATAAAAGGATTGGATGACTGAGGTTTAGGTATTTCACTTTCTGCTGGGTGATTCTTTATGACATCCTCAATCCCCCTCTTTCTTTATTTCTCCTTTCAATTTATTAGCTTCCCCGGCATTTTAAATTCATGTCTCTTTCTGCCTGTATGTATTCATCCATTTGGTAGGGCTTTTTTATTTTTTTGTGCTCTCTCAAGTAATTGGTCAGTTTCTGCTTTTCTGACATTTGCATTTCACTTTCATTGCATCTCTATCTCTCCCTGCCTTCCTCTTTGCGGTAACCTTCACACCCCTGATCTGGAGCAGTTGGCTTGTCTCCCCCGTTCCCTCTCCATCTATTCACCCTCTGTTTTGCACATGCCCACTACCCTGCCTCTGGGCCACACGTTTCCTTCTCTCCCCCTCCTCTCTGCTTCCCCCCCTAACCTCTCCCCCTCTTTTATTTATGAGAATATGCTGATGGGGCATACCCAGGTAAAGAAAGAATTTTTTCCACCTGAGTTCGAAATAGAGATTGAGATAAAAGAAAGCTGCGAGATTGCCAGAAGAGAGAGAGCACACAATTAATCACGAATCTGCCATTTGTCCTAAAAAGCAAAGCCATTCATCAAAAGCAGCGCAAAAAAGAGAGGATGAAAGGATGAACCAGGGAAGAAGAAAGGGGAGGAAAATACAGTATGTATGACATGAACTATGCAGGATCTAACTGGGTCAATGGCAAATAATGTTCCTCTGTTAGTGCTGAGCTGAGCTCTGCCGCAGAGTTGGAGAAGCAGGCTGGTTTGAGATCAGCGGCAGAACGGGAGAGTGATTCAATCTCAAGCCTTCAAATCCAATTGCATGTTTCTAACACAAGATGTAGTCCTGCAAGAGTGCACAAGAAAGATGCTTAGCCATTTTTTTTCCCCTCTGTGTAGTATTCAGAGTGCACACTGGTTGCCGCATTGACATCAAAAGTGCCTTGTCAGATACATGTTTAGAGAGCTATCTCTGTATGCAGTACAACTTTACCTGGATGCTGACGATGGTTTGTTTCATTGATTTCATATACTTTCTTGTGCCGCTCTAAAAATGCTGCATACAAACCATGAGGGGGAAAAAAAGAGCAGTACAATTCTGCAGAGGAAATTGCATGTCAAAAAAGGATCTTTGTGCCTTGTGGGGAAGCATTTTCTCAGCAGAGAAAATTTGGTTGCTGTTAAAGAAATATATTTTCTCACTGACACTTCTCAACACTCCAGCTCAGCTATCACTAGAGGGTTTGTACTCTCCATATGGTGAAAACTGACAGTACAAGAAAAGAGCTTTACAAAAGCACAGTAGCTGCATGTTGTGGACTTTGTTGAACACAATGGAAATCATCAGATGGGAAGACAGAACCTTTTTCTCCACTACTTGTCAGAGTCTAGGCTGAACACAAGCCAGTTTAAAGGGATATTCAGGCGTAAAATTGATTTAGGGTCAAACACACCGTAACACCGAGTGAGACACCCCCTCCAGAGATGAATGTTGCCGAACACTTGCTTCTCTAGTTTTACCAACTTTAGTAACGACCGCAGGGTAGCAATATACAGCGGTCTAAGGAGCCATAAACAAACCTCAACCAAAACGCCACTCTATAGCCACAAATAATGCTCAGGGCGGCAGTAGCTCAGGAGGTAGAGTGGTTGTCCAATAACTGGAAGGTTGGCGGTTCGATTCCCCCCTATCCCAAGTCTGTCCGTTGTGTCCTTGGGCAAGACACTTAACCCACCTTGCTCCCAGTGTGGGTCCTCCACTGGTGCATGATTGTGAGTGTTGTCTGGTGGTTGGAGAGGCCGTAGGCGCAAACTGGCAGCCACGTTTCCGTCAGTCTGCCCCAGGGCAGCTGTGGATACAAAGGTAGTTTACCACCACCAAGGTGTGACTGTGTGAGTGAATGAATGATGTATCCAATGTAAAGCGCTTTGAGGGTCTCTAATAAAGTGCTATATGAAATCTGATGCATTATTATTATTAGAACAGCACCTAACTTCATCAACAGTACATATAGGGTCCTAGCCACCAAACATCTTTTTAACTTTGCCTGATTCCTTTTGCAAAGATACTAAACACAACTCACCTACTCTCTTCCAGCAGCTGCTTGATTGTAGTGAGACCTCGGGCCAGTCCATTATGGACTACAGCGGGGTGATGCAGCTCAAGGAAGAACATTTATGATCATTACTTCATGAAAATGCAATCAGACTGAGACGCTAAGGTAGAAGAAATTCTGCGTCTGCAGTGCAAAATGATTATTATGATGATTATTACTTCAAGGAAATGATAAAGAAATGATCATAAATGTTCTTCCTTGAGCTGCGTCACCCCACTGCAGTCCATAATAGACTGGCCCGAGGTCTGGAAGAGAGTAGGTGAGTTGTGTTTAGTCTCTTTGCTAAAGAAATCAGGCAAAGTTAAATAGATGTTTGGTGGCTCATGCTATGGCTAGGACCCTATATGTACTGTTGATGAAGTTAGGTGCTGTTCTGAGCATTATTTGTGGCTATAGAGGTTTGCTTTTGGCTCCTGACACTGCTTTGTATTGCTATCTGTCGCTGTTACTAAAGCTGGTATAACTAGAGAAGCGAGCATTCGGCAACATTCATCTCTCGATGGGGTGTTTAACTCGGTGTTACGATGTGTTACGATAATTTTACGCTGAAATATCCCTTTAAAACAACCCTAAAGACAAAGCAGGACCAAAAAAAAGGAGGGGTGGAGATGTTGGTGGTGTGTGATAGAGAGAATAGGTGGAGCTGTGAGAGAGATGGTTAAAGGGAGCTGAGACCAGGTGCCATGCGGGGCAGAAGTTTGGGACGTGGCGTGCACTGAGAAGAATAATGCGCCCTGACAGATCAGCACTCTCTGCCAACACGACCAATGATTCCCCCTAAACCACAGTGATGTGCAGCGCAACAGCACCTGTGACACCAACTGCCACCCTGGGGAAACGTCAACAACTGGCCACCTGTTAAAAACTGCACTCACCAACATCAAACCGCATATTTAATCCATTCAATATGTTCTGATTGACGTCACATGGATATGCAACAAGCTCCTCTGAATTCAAATGCGACTCAGACGCTCAGGGAAAATTAGCGTTATTCACATTTTGCTCTTGTCTGGATGGATCCTGTAGCTGCTGATTGAGATGTAGTTACTCCTCTTGTACTTTTGAAAAGAGAAATATCATGTTCTCCCTCTCGCTAATAAAAAGCTGAATTCATTAGGAATGAAATGCCTCTTTCACTACCCTCACACTTTCTCTTGTTGAAGTGTTATGTGGTTGTTGATGACTAATCTCTATTTACAGATTCCCCTTGAAAAGGTGGGATCTGAAGCCAAGGTCTGGCATTTTGTATAGATAGTTTTCTGCTTTCTATTTGTAATATGTTTGTAGTCTGAGAAGTATTAACCGATCCAGCATTAGCAGGTGTTTGCGTACGTAGAAAAAAAAACAGGAGAACAAAAGAAGTCAGAATTTAATGTGCCACAACAACATCCCTGCTGCTGCTGCTGCTGCTGTCAGTGTTAATCTGACAACAGTTTATTTATCCCTACAAAAAGATGCCAGCATGCAAATTTACTAAACATTGTTTTTCTTCATCAAAAACTTCAACTTGGATGACGAATCTGCTTATTGCTGTGTTTTCGACAACCAGTCAACACCAGATGCATCAGAAATGATTGATACAACTACAAATCAAGAAACATCAAAACTGTCAAGTTCTTATTCCTTCTCCTCAAAATTGACAAGACTGAATTTGTACGTTTGATAAGTCTGTATTAACTGTGTCATGATTTTAGTAAACTTAAAACCTGATTTTAAATGCCAGCTCAAGACCTACCTCTACCTCAGTCTGGCTTTTAACTACATTTTTATCATCAACTTTTATCTCTCTGTAGTTGTCATCCCAGAATTCTCTTTTAGTATTTTTATTTTTAAATTTAAGATGGCATCTCCTCAGTGCGCATATTCCTGCCTTTACAAAATAGACTTTATAACCAGGTTTGAGCTCGTACAGCTCTCTCGTCTGAACACTCAGTGCTAGGGCTGGGTGCTATGGGGAAAAAGTTTATCATGATATATTTTTTCCATATCAGGCAATATCGATAAATATCACGATACAAAAAAATCACTGGTCAATCCTAAATGTTCCCTGTTACTCTTAAATGAAATTTAACAGTGCTTATTGGTAGCATGTCTTCTGCAATACAATAAGCTACTGCACCTGTGAGGTCGTAAGGCGTTTCACTAGAGGAAGCGGACTGAATGGTCAGTTCAGTGCGGCATGGACTCGGACTCCCTTTTTTATTGGCTATTCGTATCTCTACCAATACATGGCACAATGCCGACTATCGAAAAGCATATTGATCATGTTTCATATCAGTTTTGAGGGAAATTATTTTTTTATGTTATCATTATCGTTTTGTTGCCCAGCCCTACTCAATGCACTTTTTAACTTCCCACTGTTGTGTTTAGATTGCGGGGTTGGGATGAGGGGTTAGGGATCGGGTAGAGTTGGGAATTCTTTCTTTCTTTTGTATTCATCTGTTTGTAAAGCACTTTGTGCTACTGCATTGTATGAAACGTACTATACATATAAAGTTTGATTGACTGATTGATTGATTAAAACCTGTTAATTGCAAGCAAATAAGTGAACAGGTGCCTTTATTGACCTAGTGGCTTATATCTCTACCAGATGGGTTCCAATATGATCCAAAAAGTCAGCACTTGGTACATTACTTTCCCTGTTTCTCAGGCGTTTCCTGCATGCACTGATCTCTGCCTTATTTAAAATTAAAAAAAAAAAAATCACTCAGCAATTCAAGATATGTCTGCAACCGGTATCAAGGGATGAACTGCTTCTTTGATCTTTATCAGAAAATCAATGCGATTCCTCGTCTTGTGTGGCGCCAAATGTTGAAAAATTCATCATGTGGCAGAGCTACAGTATGTAAATGGAGGTTTACTTAATCTCACAGCTAATGGCTGGCTGAGAGACTGGGGAGGCTGTGGTCAGACACTTAATGGAAAACCTGCACTGCTTTGTGCTGTCGTAATGGGAGGAGATTATCTTGCCATGCAGAGGGAGTGGATGAATGCTCCTCCACAAATTGGTCGTACCCTGTCCCTCCTTCCAGCCAATCTCTCTCTCATTATGGATGTTTATTATTTATATTAAACTCACGAGTCACATTTTATTCTTGCCATGGCGACGTGGAGGCTGAGGGACATATGGCAGCTAGGTGAATCTAATGTTTGTTCATGCATTTAAATTCTCCTCAACTTTCTTTTCATTGTTTCTCATGAGGTACGTTGTTTGTATGTGTTTTGTGTATTTTGAATTTTTCCATCTGTATCTCTTTCTTCATTACCATATTGCACTCTTCTGATTTGAATCTCCCATCCTTGTATTTTTGGAGTCTTCTGACTATTATTTACTTCTGTCAGGTCATGGGCAACACCACAGTTTGAAATATCCATCTGTCAGGCTACCGTGTGTTTACCCCTGAGAAAGATCAATAGTGCTGTGCCATAGCCCAGACTTCATTTTTCAAGCACAATTAATTGTGTTTCTTCCTCAAAACCGTCCCGGACACGCTAGACGAGGCAAATCCTTGTGGTTTGGTGTCACAGTGAGTGGTGTCAATTAAGCCCATGCCGGTCTGATTTAATGATTACCTCGCTCACCGCATTGTCAAAGAGTGCTTATGATGTTGTCACCTTTCTGTTTGGATATAACATTGATTGTGTGAGTCATTGAGGTCATGTCTGAGTCCCCACTCAGCTAAATTAAGACATAACCTGCAACATCATCTCCTTGCCCACGTATTAGCATTTTCCTTATTCATACTTGTTGATTTAAACAGGACTTAAAGGTTGATGGCAGGATCTGAGGAAGTGCCAGTCTTTGGGAGGGGTAGTGTTTACATTCAAGGTTTCTCCCAACCAGTTTTCCCCTCAGCTCCTCCTCTCCCCTCCCTCTCTGCCCCAGCAAGCCCCGCCCACAAACAGATGCTCCTGCTCGGTCGTATAGTTTCGATTAAATTCAGATATAATGCAGATAAATACTTTAGATAATTACAAATGGGGCCCAGTCAACGTGAAAGTAAAAAGCATTGGTGCTACTGTAGATGCCAACAGACTACCAGCAAACACAATGTTTGCAGGACTTCTTCAACTAGGATAAAGTGACATAGTCCAGGACCCGAGGTAAACAGTTTAATGGCGCTACAACATGCAGCAGGTCCAGTTTGACAAGAAACTCTTCTGTTACAGACACTCGGCTTATTTTGTTAAAGCGGTTTACCTGTCCAGCAGAAAGGTTACAGGGTCCGTAAGATCCCGAAGCGTCTCCATCGTTTATGTTGACCCGGCCTCTTTGCTCTTGTCCGGTCTACCTCCTTTTTAATCACCCGTTATTCCGCCAGAGTCTCTGGTATTTATTTTGTTTTATTGCTTGTGTTTTCCGTACTTTCTGGTTGGTTTCTACTGTCTGATCTTGTAGTACGCTAACTTTGTTTGGGCTCGTGAACGTTACAGGAGGACGTGGAGCGTGCCTCACAACAAGAGGGAGCAGCGTCTGCCTCGCAACTAATCAGGTTGGGGGAGGCGGAGAATGGCTTTGTTTACAATTAGAGAGAGCGGGCCACCAAAAAAATTTTAAATGTTGACTACACAGACATTATAAAACACAGCAATATTGTTATTTTACCAAATGCCATCAATAACTAATAGCTATTGACTGATATTAAAAGCTTTTTGTTTATACACCTCAAAAAAAGGTGCTTCTGCCTATCCCACCTTTAACTTGGGTGAGACTGCCATCCAAATATGCAAAAAGTCCAGATAAGCTGATGTCTGAACGCAGTAGGAAATACGTTTTGTTGTCATGCTGGCAGTGCGAACCTGGAGGAATAATATTCAACAGGGTGAATAAAAACATTTGAGGCTGAAAGAGAGACGACATTTCAGGACAAGATCAGCAAAGCAAACAGTTTGTGTTGCTTCATTTAAAAAAATCCTTCTCTGTAAGCCAGCCATGGCTTTAACATGTTGAGACAAGGGCTCTCCTTGTAAAGTACTGTGTGTCCTTTGGATGCTCAGCTGCACTGAGAGTGTCTGAGAGTTTCACTGGTCAGCAGGTCGGCTCGGAGAGCTCTGCTGCTGCTGTATGATAGCAGCTGCTGCTGTTATGGGTCGAGGAAGTTCCAACTCTTGCACGTACGCTTTAACACATTTTTACTTTTTTTTTTTTTTTTGTTCTATCCCCAAAAATGAACAGCTGTGTACAGACCAACAGCATGAAACCCATTAAAAGGGCTCTGTCATCTTCCAACAAGGACAGAGGTGCACTTTAGCAGCACTCCTGCATCAATTTTAAGCCACTTAAAGCATGTAGCCCTGTGAGTATAAAGCACCTATTTATAGATGGATAGTTCAGCATTGGTGGACTGAGCATTCATTTATCTCATTTCAATTCATTAAGTGCTCGTGTTCCCTTTGCAAATTAATGAATATACAGGGTAATGGTCTGTTAACACAATATTGATGATGTGATGCTGATAGTTAAGAGATGCCCAAAGTAAATCAAAGTGCTTGTAGATAGACGAGCACATGCATTTGCACTTGGAAACTCCCCTCCTTCCTGAGGCTGACCATTAATTTAATAGACCAGGGTTGTTGTTCATCTGTTACACTTCAACCGTGGAGAATTATATTGCTACCAATTAGTGCTCTGATGGTTTTCCAGACAGTAATATGTCACTGAAATGTTATGCAACCTCCTCCATCATGAGCTGTAAATAAAAGAGCCCTCCTGCTGTATTTGACAATTTGTAGCTCATTTTCATTCTGCTTGTTTTATTTATTATTTTTGCTTTGTTTACCGTCATTTCAATTAGATTTTCTCAATCATCCATCTACATTTCTGCAGAGTTCATTTTAATTTAAATCACTTAAGAAGAGGTTTTTTTTAGATATTGTTAACCGCAGTTATTTTACTAAACCCTGCAAGCGCTTGATATCACCACTGATCTCCTGAAATGATTTAATTTCACTTCCAAAATTCTCAATTCCCTTTGTTAAGAAAGCAGACGAAGAATTAGAATGGTGTGTGTTGTTCCAGCTGCCATGATAGTAAAAGCCCGTTGTCTGCGCACTATACCAGAACTTCTGCACTAAAACCATTTAGTACAAAAAACTGTACCTTTACACCCCTAATCGACAGGGTCAACCTAGCTTGTTTGAAGAACCTCCAACCCAAATGTCAAAGCTTCTGAGGAGCTGTTCAGTATGTGTTGATTTCAGCACCACCTGTGGACAATGTAGTCTTTATTTGTCACATCCTCTACATGCTAAAAAGTAATGTTTTCTGACTAAAAATCTCATCCTGCTTTCTTTTGGAAGTCAAATGTACCATTATTCTTGATATCTAATGTAGAAATGGAAAGAAAACAGGCTGTTTCTGCATCTGCAGGGCTACCACCTAACCCTCACACTAATTTCAGACATAAATAATCGAGATGTAAAAATAACGAGTGTGTATAGGCAAGGACCTCATAATACGATATGTATCACGATAAATGTGTCACGTTACGATATGATGCAATAGGGTGTGTACTGGCAAGGACGTCACGCTGCAACATGTATCACAATAAAGTAATGTTGCACTACATCCCAGTATTTTACATAGTTAACCTAGTCAAAAATAAAAATTGCCGTACCTATACATCAAACGGTACTGTTCCAAGAACAGGCTGAGTCAAAACCTTTTTCAAACAACAGTCACATTTATTTGATCGCAAAACGAGGAATGATGGCTGCCTCTATGCTAATATCTTAGTGTGGTGTCTTGTTAGATGAGTTCGTAAGTTGTTCATATTCCCACAGTACTTCACAGCAGCGGAACAAATCTCACAAACAGCATTTTCTTTCAGAGTTGTTGTTCTTACTCCCACTTTTATCCTGGAAGCCAAAGTGCTTCCAAATGTTGGCTTTGAATTGTGACAGCGCGTTTTTTTTTCTGTCCGTCATGTCAGCCCCAGCTTTCCTTGGCTTCTACCACTGCCAGAAATGAAGCAGCACCTCACTGCGAAGTTGTTCTTCCGCGCCATCTCCTGGACTGGAGGTACAGAAGTCATATTTTATTCACAACCCAGTGAAAGCATTGATACTTTTTTTCTCTCAAAAATCAATATCAGCCGGTTGCGCACTTGGCCGAGTGGGTTAGCACAGCGTAACCACGGTCCTTGAAGTGGTCGCGGGCTCGAATCCGGCCCCGACCATGTGCTGCATGTCCTCCCCCCTCTCTCTCTATCTCCTCACACTTCACCCTGTCCTGTCAATAAAAGGCTAAAATCATCCCCAAAAAAATTTGATATTAGGAGTTGACAAATCCCCTAATATTCCGGATCGATCATTTTTCACACCCCTAGTAAAATGGCTTTTCTTGTCACTGATGGTCTTGTCTGCATTTAGGAATCATGAAAAGACACCAAAATGAAGTTCAGTCGATTTCATAAATGTGAAAATAAAACCTCATAAGATCATTGTGTGCATCGTACTCTGTCCTTTCCTGTGAAAGGAATATAATATGATCATATTGTCATTGAAATATAGAGATTTCAATACATTGTTGGTGTTATCACTGAAAAACGTCTTTGAAAGACTTAAAGGTTACAGTACTTTATTCTGTTATGCTGCTGCTTATGTTTGGGATAAATTACACACCAAATAGGTATAAATCCCCGTAAAACCTCTTATAAGAAATATGCAAATGGAGTATTAAGGATTTGCGATCTGTATGCTTTGCGAAAGGCTGCCTAAGGACCAATTACAGACGATGTATGAAGTCCTTATCCTGGTTGTATGATTTCGACATTGCCTTGATTCATCATCACCGTGTCCATCAGCTCTTTATTGCAGTGTCACCCATCACATTTCCACATTATTGATGTGTTTGTTTCATTTTATCACTCAGGCAGCCGTTACTATGAAGGCTGCCACAGTTGGATGCGTGCAGACAAAACACACACACACACATATACACACACACACACACACAGCACTTGGCTGATATTGTCCATAGTCATAGCCAACACAAAGTGATCTAGCTGTGTGATTGTATGGCTGGCTGTGTTCAGCTCAGTCAACACATTGAATTTAATTTCCTCTCTCTGTCCTTCGGCTCCGGGATTTCTGTTTTCATCCCAGGGAGATATTTCCATTTGTTTGTGTTCAGTTTCCTCACGCCTGTTTTTCTCTATATATTCTAATTTTATTTATACGCATGCTCACCTGTCCATGCTTTGTTTGCATTGTACTGTTTTGAGCTGGTGCCTTTGTGATTGTATGTTTGTTTGATTCATGTCAATTTTCTTCCTCATCTGTCTGTCTGTCTTTCTCTGCTTGTCTGTCTGTCACTTTCTCTCTCTCTCTCTCTCTCTTACACACACACCACCACCTGCAAAATCATCAAACACACACACACACACACACACATACACACGCTCATCTGTTTCTCACAGGTTTTCCTTAAATCTCCCCACTCCTGTGAAAATGTGAGTGACAGCTCGACATGCACAGTCCGCAACCAACTGATGGGGATTTTAACCAGATACGTCACAAGTAGAGGGAAAGGGGGCGAGGGAGGGAGGGAGGGAAGGAGAGGAGTGGAGGAGAGCAAACGAAGAGACAGAGAGAGAGAGAGAGAGAGAGAGAGTGTGTGTACAGAGGGATATATTGACTCAAAGCTGGTCTGCATGCTCCTCAGTGTGTGAGAAACAGAGGACATGAGAGCAGGCAAGATGGAGTGCTGGCACAGATGAAGACTGTCCCCGGGTACGTTTTTTTTTCCTCTCCTTTCTTTAGATGTGTGTGTGCGCACATGTGGCAGCGTGTGTGAGTGTCTGCATGCCAGATCCAGTGTAGGCGATCTGAGTTTGAGAGCAACATGCTGCAAGTGATCATCCTTGCGCAGGGGAAACAAGCGTTGAGCGTTAAGGTTGAAGCCGAACATCCGAGTAAATGAATGGAGGTTACTAAAATGGAACAAGCTGATTGGGGTCTGTATCCGTGTGTATCGTGTACCGCACATGTGTGTGTGATGAGGACAGAGTCTGAGCACCGTAACTCAGTGGACCGAGGAGGGAGGCATGTACGGTAATGCAAGTTTGGAGCTGAGTTCAGTCTCACTCTGTTTTGATATGACTGAAAGCTTGAGCATGTTCAGTATGTAAACATGTATGAGAAGGAAGCCGTCAGTATGGATCACATTCTCATAGAGGTCGGTAGTGATGGGAACAAAGTGTGTCCGCCGAAATTAGGGAGGTAGCGCATCACTTTTTGTGCTCTGTGATTCTGCCGTGCCATCGACAAACAGACACTTAACCAAGAGGATTCACCTTTTTTCTAAACCTGTCCTCCCACAGGTTTGACTGCATTTTTCGTCTCCAAATATGAGTAGAAAAATCTAGAGTGAAAACACTAAAAGTCATTAGCTGGTTGGTTTAGACATTTGCTACTATTTTCCAGAGCATCCAACTATTTTTCCTGCAAATGTAACTTATACCCTGTTTCAAGCCTCAGACATGGCAGGTTGTTAAACGTTTAATCTTTTAAACTGTCACTGTCAAAGCATCTTAAGTAAATCAGATAGGTCCCAGGAAAGATACAGAAAATCAGCATTTTTTTCTCTGACAAGTAATACCCAAACAATAAATCATCTTACCGAGAAAAGGAACAGATTGAGCGATAATGAAAATATCATCCTAATTAGTTTAGCCCTGGAGTCAAGACTTTGATTTATGAGTTTTCAAAGCAACACAAGAAAAATAACAGGAAACTGAATAAGCTATTTATTTGTGACTCCATAACAGATGCATTAATCAAAAGCTGGAAGAGCGACATTATTTCACTCGGGACGTAGAGTAGGCTTAAAATCAAAATCTTACCTGAAGTTACAGAGAAGCACAGAGAAATTACCCACAGTAAGGTGACTCTAAGTGACTTGCATCCTTAAATGACCTGTCTATGTTTGTATTGGTAATATAGTTGTGTCATGTAGTCAAAGGCAGAATAAGTAGGATTGGGGGTTGCAGTCTGTAAACAAAACTAATATATGACTCCTTTTGTTTGGGTCAGTGTTTACAGCCTCTGCATGGATGTGTCACTATAGCTAGTCCCCTGTGTATTTATGGATCAATATAAGGGGATTATGACGGGGTTTAGGTGCATTATTCTTCTTTATGAATTGGTAATAAAATTCCTTTCACTGTGCATTATCTGGCTTGTTACACTCGTACTTACAAACGTCTGTTGCTTTTTCATTATGAAGGGTTTAATGTACTCTCAGCTGGTTATCAGTGCCCATGTGTTTCCTTCTGCACTGGTCTTCATCCCTTGGCTGTTAGACTACCACTGAAAAAGACATCAATAAATTGACACTGAATACTGATTTGGAATTGATTTTTCATTTCAACAGTTTAACAGTTTTCTGCCTTTCACTAAAAATGTATTTATTTATTTTAATGTTTATTTTACAGGGACAATACATACAACATTGCCACAAGAAATGGAAAATGTGATGCATATAAGACGACTAGCTTCAGCTAATGATCGATTGGATCTTACAGGTTGTACTGGGTGTGTTCAAATTTTCCAACTAAGAAGTCCAAATGTTAAAAAACACCCAGAAATAGGTAGAAAATAAGTCTAACAGGTAAAGAGCATCATGCTATTTTGCAGAATGTAGCTAACAATAGCAGAGCTAGCACCTCCTTTGGCCCTCTTTGCAAGTTAACTGGTTTATCTGGTCAAGCGGCTCTGTGCCAGTGTAACCAGACAAAAGTTTTATTCTCTATTTTCTAGATCAAATTACCGCCAAGCAGCTTTGCACTATGTGATACCATCTGTCGTCTTGTCTGAATCTGGGTTACTGCCCTGGGAAGTGGCGGGTGGCTGCACTACAGCTTAGATACAACATATGACCGGCATTTCAGGCCAGCAGTAATAAAAATAAATTGTCCACCCAACTGCTTGCTCTGCTGCCCGTTAGCAAGGATGACGATTAATAGTATAGTCGATAAGAAACGTTCATCACTAGTTGGGCCGCCTCAGTAGAAAGTAAATATTGTTGGCTCCTTAAAGTGAGACGACTTTGCTGATATAACGCACAATAAACCAATTTTCAGGGTGGTTTTTTTTTTCCCTTTTCAGTTGGCTCTGAAGTTAGACAAGGTAAACAAGAGTGCATGAATCAGTACAGAACCTTAGAACGACACTATGACTGTCTACCTTTAACCAGAATGGGTCCTGCTTTGGTTCTTAAACTCAGTCTTGTGCTTCAAGCTGTTTTCTATTCTTTCCTACCACTCATAAAGCGTATTCACCACTCCTTACAACCACCCATTCACACTCTAATCATACACTGATTACTAAAGGATACTAACAGGGGACCATACGTACGAACAAATCACAGTTGCTGACTCTATGACTGGGAGTAAATTGGGACCCATGGTGTCCATCTCAGAGTTGTTTTTGCGTATGATTGTGGGAGCTTGAATCAAACCACCAACCACTGATTGAGAGACCACTGACCACTGATTTGCTTTGCAGAAATAGTAGACCTCAGATTATTGATCATTACTGTACTATAAATGACTCAAACAACCTAACACCCACTTCCAAGAGGTTGGTGTGAGGAGTCCCCGAAAAGAACAAAATGTGAAATACAGGCCGAATTCGTCAGTGTCTTATTGCCTCGCTGTATGTGTTAGGCGAAGATTCTTTAATTTGACTTTAATAGTTAAATCTGGGACAGCACCAGCAAACAAATTGAAACACCGCCGTGTCCCAGTTTGAAGTTCGTTCCTGTGATCACTGAAATCAAACTAGAACGTAATAAAACGGTACAGCGGCAGCGTGGGAGTGCGTAAGAGGAAATCTGTTTTCTATCTCTCATGATGGCTGCAGGGGGAAACGGAAGGATAGGGTTTGGCTTAACGTGGTGAGAGTTTGGTTACAGTTATTACACTTGGTTTGACAAATATGGTAAAGAGGCTTCCAGGAGCATTGTGTAAATATCGCTCAGGGGGGGTTTGCAGATGTGAGAGGGAAGAGTGAAAGCAAGAGATAAGAGAAGGATTAGAGAGAAGTGCAGATACACAATTGACATCACTTGTTCATACTTTACTGCACTGCATTTGAATATTAATTTGGTGTGCTGACTCGATGTGTGAGTCACACTTGAAGTGCCAAGGGTTCTGGCAAATTCTATTTGGGCTTTTTGAAAAGTCAGGTTTGCATCAGCTGATGGGAGCAGGCGCATATTTCAGTTTTCTCCAGGAGGTTTCAGATGTGCCGTGAATTTTAACGTATTTTAACTAGAGCTGACCCCTGCTGCTGCTGCTGCTGCTGCTGCTGCGAGAGCGAACAAAGAGGGAGATTTAGAAACTCAGGATGTGACTGTTGTTCTGTTTTTCTTCTCCAGTTCTGAGCCTCTTGTTCCCCCCCTCTGCTATGTTCCCAGCTTCTCTTTGTCCTTCCTTATTTATTTATTTCTCTCTTCGTCTCACCCCTTCATTTCCATCCTACAGCCCTGTTCGACAGTCCACATGAGCGTCTCAAAACCCCCTCCGCCCCCCTCCACCTCCCACCTCGCCATCCCTCCCTCCTCCACCTCTACCTCTTCCTCGTCCGCCTCCTCCCCTTCAGCAACGGCCCACTCCACCACCCTCCCCCCTCCCTCACCGGTCAAGATCTCTATGCAGGAGCACTTTGCCATCAACGTGTGCCCAGGCCCCATCCTCCCCATCCCGCAGATCTCAGACTTTTTCCCGCGTTTCCACGACTACCCTTGCACCCCTCCGCCTCCGAGGGAGAAGAAGATCCTGAAAGAGGAGACATTCAACGGGGAGACAGTTGGAGGATACAAGGATGGAGAGAGGAGGGAGAGCCAAGATGGAGAGAGGGACGAGGCTGTCGACTCTGATGATGATGACAGTAAGTGAAGGACAAAAAAAAAAGGGAACAAATTTAAAGGTGGAAAAGTTGTGTTCAGCTTCACCTTCTGTGTTTATTCATTTGAGAGTTACAAGTCAGTGCGGCAGAAAAACAACCCATCCAATCTTGAAAAACTTTCCTCGTCATCTCTTTCTACCTAACTCAAAATGAGATTCTGCACTTTTCCCCCCCCAGAAGCACGACATATGCTCGCAGAGTAAATGTAGAGTCAAGCAGTTTGCCAAAAAGTGTGTGTCACTCCGACTTTGTGTGACACAGTGCCTCTGATGATTTATTGGACATTGTTGCAAAAAGCGGGGCCTGGCCAGCAAGTTTCTGCTCATTCTCCCAAACAGTAATCAAACAGGACAGATCAATTCATATTAGGCACCGGCATGTTTTTTTAAGAGGCCATCTGCTACAAATATGACTCAGAGCTTTTGAGCGTGTGTGTGTTTGCAGTGGGGTGAGTTGGTCCTTTCACTGACAGCAATTACAATTGTTTGTTGTTGTTTTTCTTTCGTCTTCAGCCTACCTGGGAACGTTGGAGTTCACTCTACTCTTTGATCAGGAGAACAACTGTCTTCATTGTACTATTCACAAGGCAAAGGTATGTATCATTTCAATCTCTCTTTCATTAAAAAAAGAGCTTTTCTATTCGTCTCTGCGTTCGCTCGTACGTGCGGTTGCGTAATCCTCCTCGCAGGCCCAATAAAAACAACTCTCTTGTAATGCTTTTAACTTTGCACAAGACATCAGACAGCTTTTTCCTAAAGTAACGCATCCGACCGCACACCCTCAGCAAGCTTGTCAATTCAAGACAAATCATCTCATTGCTCTTCGAAATGTTGGGGGGTGTTGCTTCCACAGATGCATTTGTTATGTCCGTTGCACAAGGACACCAGCCTTGCATTACACATTGTGTATTGTCACATGATGTTAATTATGTAAAGCTCGTCTAATGGTTCCCCTGAGGACAACACAAAGGAGTCGAGAAGGGGGAAAAAACAGCAGGAAGGCAAGAAACACCCAGAGGCACTTTACAGTCATAACTACAGTAGAAGAAGTCTGTGTCTTTTGCCAACCCTGTCAGCTGTGTGAAGTGTTTGAGGCCACAATGATGTCACTTTTAGCACATTGTGTGAGTGTGTATCTTTGTGTGTTTCTTCTTGTGTCTACAGGGACTGAAAGCCATGGACTCCAATGGGCTGGCAGATCCATACGTCAAGCTTCATCTTCTCCCTGGGGCTAGCAAGGTCATTACTCCAACCTTACCTCACTGGCAATTAATGTAACATGCTACCACACTGGGCTGTCCCACACACTCATTCTGCCTCAGGAAAGTCCCACAGCACATAGAAACTGCGAGCGCAATTAACAGAAAATGGGAAACATTTCATGCATTATTCAGCTAAAGAAATAGTAGTAAAATAGTTGTTAATAGTCGCCTCAGGTTCTTGAGCTATGTCTGTTGAAGAGAATGAAAAAAATCAATAGCTCTCACAAAAATTAGGGATCCTTTTGAGACATTTTGCAATGCACATTGCAGTTGGTTACTGCTTTATTTCATCTCATTTTGACAAGGGTGCCAAACAGCCCCATTTAAAGAGATATTCGGGCGTAAGATTAAGTTAGGATCCGTAATACTGAGTTAGACACCCCGTCAAGAGATGAATTTTGCAGACCGCTTGCTTCTCTAGCTATACCAATTTTAGTAACAGCTGCACGATAGCAATACAGAGAGCCATGCGCTCAACCAAAACGCCACTCTATAGCCACAAATAATGCTCAGAACAGCACCTAACTTCATCAACAGGACATAAAGGGTCCTAGTCATAGTAGTAGTCACCAAACATCTTTCTCGCTTTGCCTAATTTCTTTAGCAAAGAGACTAAACACAACTCACCTACTCTCTTCCAGCAGCTACTTGTTTGCACAGTGACCTCCGGGCGAGTCCATCGACTTTTTGATAACTATATTTTGGATATATTAAATCTTTTGTTTCAAATAAATCTAAAAAACTGTTTTCTTTAGAGACAGCTGACATCAGCATCAGCATGAAAAGAGGCAGAAGGAAGTAAAAACCAGATCCTGTCCTGACAATATCAGATAATTCAGATTTTTGCTTTTACTTTTGTATTTTTACCCTTTTTGTCCACTTCAACTTTAGGTATTTATTACTGATCAAATGATGTGATTCTAAAATCATTTCAAGTTCATCGTAATGTCATATAACCACATCTCCTCATAACTGTTGAATAGTAAACAGAGTCTACTCATACAGTTATTTTCTTCTGAATAGTCCTGACCCTCCTCTCTACAACCATTCACATCGCATTTGTACATTGCTGGCATCAAGTGCCCAGCAGTATTAATTAATCTCATTCATACGCATTGACATTGACACACCACTTGATTTGCTACCTGAAGTAATACAAGCGTATATTAAGAGCTTGGATTGAACTGCCAACCCCTGGTTGACTACCACTGAGCCACACTCGCCCTGTTGGTTATATCTAATCGTAGTAGAACTAGTACAAAATAAACCTCAGTATTTCCACTTTTTTATCCTTCATATGATCATCTTACCTTCGTTATGGGATGATGAGGGTTATCATTCATGTTTTGATGACCAGACAAGTTTTGAAACATAATTGTTTGATTTTATTGATTAGATAAATAAAAGCCAACAAGACAGACTCAGGAGATATCCATATATGGAGATTTACAAAATTTAGTTAAGTCTTGGTTAATATTTTTAATGAGATATAACAAACAATAATCCTGGTGCACCATGCACCAAGCTTTATTCAAATAAGAAGCATTTGGACATGCACAGACTCGTCAAATTTTTGCTAAAACAACCACAGAAGAAGAGTTGTATTTCCGCCTGTGCTGTCAACAAACCAACAAAGGCGGTAGTGACTTACTCCATCCGGGACAGAATTTTCCCCTCCGCTCAGAATGGACCTCAGCCAGGTTCTGAGAGCGGCTGTATTACTCCTAGCATACTTGATCATTAAGTGAATCCTGCATTACATGAGGAGACTGTATCCAGCAAGAAAGTTGTGTCAGACACAGACCAGCTGCTCTTGGATCCTGCCTTGTTTACATCTTGTCACAAACGGCGGTAATGTGTCACGTTGACGTCGGACACACACGCGCAGTTGGAGTAGTTTTGCCCCAACAGAGAGTCACGATTTGAATAAGTGTTTATGTGGACGCGTTTCGGAATAACGATCGACATAAACCGCTCCTCTTGGAATGCAACTTCTTTCTGATTGAGCTGAAACGGATCAGAATCTTCTGATCGACGTGTTTACATGACGCATTTTTATTCTGATATGGCCTTTATTCTGCTTATTTCTGCCCATGTAAACGCAGCTGTTGTGTCAGAAATTAAACCTACTTCTCCTCAGAAAAGACCCAATACTCCTGTTATTTTATCTCAGTCTGCTAATTTGGGCCAGCATCAGCCTGGGGCCGAACACCCACCTCTTGGGGTTGGCGCCAAGAAATGTCCAGAACATAAGATAAGTAAGAAAACACAGAATGAGGGATCTGGATGTTTTCTATGTCTCCTGCCTCTAAGAAACTTTTAAATAAGGTGAATATCCTCGTCTCTCTCAAACACAAAAAAAGTCCAAAACTCTTATATGAACTGTGTGTCGTTTCGAGCTGTTGAGCAGGGCACGCTGTGGCTGGTTAGTGTTTAATGTGGTCCGTCCATCGCTCTTGCTTTATTGAGCACAAACATGTTCTGGTCTGCTGCACCACTCTTGTCTTGTTTTTTAGCAGCAGAGGAAGATAAGCCTCATCTCAGTGTTGCAACCCCAAGCTCTGCCAGAATGCAACCTGTTGTCAGCCATTTTGGCTCAAGGTTGAAATAAAACAAGGTTATGATAAGTGCGGTGAGGGCGCCGCACCAGGATAGGGTTGAATGAGGCAACTGTCTGAGGTCTAAGGTGCTCACAATAGCAGTGTCTGGATTTTTTTATGTCCTCCAGCCTTCCCTCTCTGTCTGTCTTCCTCTCCCATTGTTATCGCTCTCCTTTCCCCAATTTCTGCCCGTATCTCAGTCTATATCTCACATCCGCCTGTGACCCTCTTTGACCTTGAAATACCAACAGTGTCAGGAGGAGGAAGGGAGACAACTGAGAGGGAGGAAAGAGGGGAGAGAACGATAGAGAGAGAGAGAGGAGGAGTTTGGAGAGAAAGAGAAAGGGAGGGAGGGAGAGACAGATGAGGGGAAGACAGCAGCAGGTGGTTGTCATGGAAACAGGGAGGATTGTTACACGGCTCACGTCAACAGGCGAGTGTTGATGGGGGGGAGGAGGGGGGGGGCAGAGGTGGTGGCGGTGGTGGTGGTGGGGACGCAGAGAAAGCGTCAATAAGTAGGTAAGTACCGATGAACAGCCGCGTGTTAAATACCCACCAGACTGGGACCGCCACACTTGAAAAAGTGGGGGGAGCGCACGCATGTAGAAGTGCGGATGGCGGGACACACAGTCACACACCGACTCTTGTCCGCATTCAGGCTCAGCATGCGAGCATTGCAATGAATAATCCAGGACACAAAAGGTTTCAGTTTCTGCAAGATTGAGTTGTCAAAATACAGAGAGCAGATGCGCACAATACAGTCTCCACTCGTTCCCCTTTACTCCGGCATCCCTCAGTACACGCTCTCGAACCAGAACGCAGGCTGGCACGCTGTCTTGTGATGTCAAACACACACATGCAGCGTATGACCTTGCAGACACATGCTAAGGCTTTAGTCACAGTCACACAGTGATGCTCACGTCATCCGCCTCTCCCTCTCTCTCTCTCTCTCACTCTCTCTCTGTATCGCTATCTATCTCGCTCTCACACACAAACAGGCATGGCTACAATAGTTGCTGGTGTCTTTTTTTTTGTGTGTGTGTCCATTGTTATTTTTTCTTCATCCACTCCTAATCGAGATGTTTGGGAGATTCACTCAGTCAGACTTCCTCATTCACAGCTCTGGGAAAAAGGGATCAAGAGAAAGGAAGTGTGAAATGCATAAGATCCATGTAGACAGATGGAGAAAATGGAGGGAGAGTGTGATGGACAGATGGAGGGCTAGAGATAAAACATTTAGAAACAGATGCAAAAGCGCAAGTGTAGAGGGAAAATAGAGCCAGGGAGTGACAGGGGGCAGGCGGAGGGAACTGGTGTTTAAGTGTTTATAGATGTAGCATGAAAGAAATCAACCCAGTTCAGTCAAAGAGAGCTGATGAGCAGTTGTGAAATAGTTGCTTGATCAAGTAGAGCTGGCACAAACAGATCTGTCGTGACTGAGTCTGTACATGGAGCTCCACCTGCACTTTAATGAACCAAAGAAAAAACGGCATGAATCGAAAATCGGTTCTTGCTTTCGTCTGGGGGAGCGAGCTCTTAGGGGCTGATTCTTGAAAATATGCCAAAAAGTTCCCAGAAGAAAATGTAGATTAAAAACTGGACAGTGATGGGAGCGAAGGGTAGCAGAGGAAAAAAAAAAACAGTACAGGCAGAAGAACAATGGGATGTGGGGACAAAAACAGACCGAGGTAAGAAGATGGAAAGGACGGTTCAGGATCAGGCCCTGAGGCGGTAGCAAGAGACTGACTGTGGCAGGAAGGGGAAAAAAAAGAAAGAGATGAAGTGTTTATCTGCAAAGCGTCAGACTCCACCAGGACTATTTGAAAAGGAAAAACATACATACTTTCTTTACAAGCTGCAAATACACGCTCTCTCTTCATAATTATGCATAACCAACAGCGGTGGAAGATCCTTCACTCAAATGAATTAAAGCAGAAGTACCACAGTGTTACATAAAAGTACTCAGCTGCAAGGAGAAGTCTGTGTATGAAATGTACTTACTGAAAATATCAAATAAAAAGTAATCACTATGCAGGGGGAATGGCTCTGTGTCAGCCTTATATTATGAAATTTATAAATGGTGCATTACTTCTCCCTGATGCTGAAGAGAGGGACGTCTACACTACCTTGCGCCAGCTGCCCAGACAAATAAATGGATGGGTTGATGCATGAAAATGTGTGCAGCATTTCAATGTTACCGGCAAAGATGGAGATGGAGCGCTCTAGATGCAGCTGAAATTTTAGAAGATCAGACTGATGAAACATCTATTTTTCTTATTGTCAACAAATCCAATGAAGAGACTCAAATGAACAGTATTTTAGTCCTCCTCCTTCAGTCCTCTCAGACTTCTGTGTGCCAATCTGTGGCACACAGCCTTGAGCAGATTTATTCCTACAAAAGATGTAAATCTTTAAAAATGGGTCAGTCGTTTAAAAAAAGATAGAGAACTCCCTTAAAGAACCAGCGTGAGGACTCGGAGATCTATTGGAAGAAACAAAATAAAATATTCATCGGGGAGTTTCTGCTCGTGTAGAACAACCTAAAATCTGAAACGCTTTTCTTTCACTATAGGATAAGCTCACCAACCCAGAGGCTCCAAAGACAGTCTTTTTCATTCCTTCCTTACTTCACACCAACTGTATGTTTTATTAATATGAATGGTGAAGAGACACTTAAACCCTCTAACCACATCACTGGCTGTCACTAAATCCTAAAAGCCGGTTTTTGAAGCAGGAAGCTATCATTTCCTCAAGACAAATATTGCCAAATATTTTAGACTTCTTTTGAGGAATACATTTTCTGTTTTCCACATAATGCCATCTACATTTTGGACAGTTGATACAGCTTTCTGTGACAAACTATTTATCTATAGTCAAGCTTCCCACTGAGCATTTTTGGGTCTAAAAGAGGTCTAATAGACGTCTAAATGTAGCCTAGATGACTGGTCTAAAAACAGGCTACCACAGGTCTAAAAATTAAAGTTTTTTAGACTAACTTTTACTAAATTTAGACCAAGTTTAGACTAGCCGGCTAACAGAGGTCTACACTGTATATTGCTCAACGGCTATCATAATTATTTTGTTAAAGTAGTTGGAGGTCAGTTCTGCAACTCACAGTTGCTTTTTTAAACAAATAATTATCGAATAATGGCTTAAAGTGCAACGTCTAAATTGCGTCTAAAAATACACAGAAACTAGATAAACTAGACGTCTAATAGCTGTCTATTACTCAGTGGGTATTTGACAAGGGAAATTCTTGGCCTTCTGATCTAGCATTACGTGGCTTGTTTGGGTAATTTGAGGATTGAACTAGCTAGTTTACCGGCCAATCAGCAGCTTTGGAAACCAACGTGGTGGCAGCTGATTGGCTTCATATGCAGAAAAGGGAAACTAAAGGACAGCATCTGGGGAATGAACCCTTACTTATACAGTCTTTAGACCAGTACGTTTGTTTTCAGGGATACTTGGGTTTGGCCCAAGTCTCATGGACGGCATACTCCCTCTAGGGGTCATCAAGAAACACTCACCATAACCTGGAAGATGCAACTCAACTGTCAGTCATTCCTCACATTTGTCCTTGGGGATTACTGTGGGCAGTTGTCATTGTCATGTTGTGTTTCTCAGATGTGGCCTGTGATTTCTCTGTGTCTTATTTCTGAGGATAAGTCTGTAATGTGACATGAGTGCCACTATCTTCTGGCTCTCGTCTAGAACAGCATTTTTGCTGCAGCTCACATCAATACGCTTTACATCCCATTATTCACTCTCCACATACTTCAGTCTTCTGGGACAAGTTCAGGAATGAGAGTATTATTTAACTAAAGCTCTAAATATCTATTAAAGGGACACATATCTGTAAGGAGGTCAACACCACTTACACTGGAGTGGGGAGCTTTTCTCATGAAGGGATCCCTCGAAGAACGGAAGTTTCACACCAGTGCTATCTTCCTCCATAACAACTCTTCCCACTAGAGACAACTTTGACTTTAGCAACAGTGAACTGATGGCCCTGAAGTAGAGGAGGCACTGGGGACTCAGTTATAAGTCTGGATGAACATATATAAATCTTGACTTTGGTTCTGAGGGCACATCTATCAGTGGATATCCACATACCTGTAATACCAGTTTATTACACATTGAACATTCAGCATTTTGTGTTTGTTTGTCACTTGTTACTGAAGTTCAGAGTAGGTACCTCAAAACTTAAAGGGATATTCCAGCGTAAAATGAAGATAGGGCCAAACACACCATAACACCGAGTTAGACACCCCCCTCCAGAGATGAATGTTGCCGACCGCTTGCTTCTTTAGTTATACTAGGGTGACCATATTCTGACTTCCCAAACAGAGGACACAACTATGCGGGGGCGGAGTCACAGAGTCACACGAAGGTAATTTTGAGAGTTTTTCGGTTCGGATTGAGTGTCTCTTATGCACTTCTAAATCACTAAGTCCACGTGACACAAAATGAAAACTCTCTGCAAAACAAAACTGCGGACATTGAAGGATTTTGTAAAAAGCCGGACAAACCCGGAGAGCCCAGACAGCCCCCACAAAAGCCCCCAATAAAGAGGACATGTCCGGGTAAAAGAGGACGTGTGGTCACCATAGTTGTACCAACTAGAGGATGACATTTTTCGGGAATTCCTGTGGGTCACGCGGTAATCTGACGGGATGGGAGGCATTTTTTAATTAATCCCGTGATCGGCTGAAAATGATCATCTACTAATGTTGTTCCCACTCCTGCCCGCTGCCGTTGCTTTTTTCCCGTCCCGTCCCGATCACGGGATTAATTAAAAAATGACTCCCATGACCCACGGGAATTCCTGAAAAATGTCATCCTCTAGTACCAACTTCAGCAATGACCGCACGATAGCAATACACAGCAGTCTACGTCTCCACGCACAAACCTCAACCAAAACGCCAATGCTCAGAACAGCACCTAACTTCATCAACAGCACATATAGCGTCCCAGCCATAGCACTAGCCACCAAATATCTTTTTAGCTTTGCCTGATTTCTTTAGCAAAGAGACTAAACTTACCCGCTCTCCTCTAGCAGCCGCTTGTTCGTGGGGGAGCCCTGACGAGTCGATCACCGAGTGCAGCGGAGTTTTGCAGCTCAAGGAAGAACATTTATGATTATTACTTCATGGAAATACAATCAGACCGAGACACTAAGGCAGAAAAACTACCGCGTCTGCAGTACAAAATGATTATTATTCAGTACGGTGTTACGATGTGTTTGACCATAACTTGAATTTACGCCTTTAACTATCTTCTCCAGCCTTAAAACAGACAATCAGCTTTGACTTTGGCTCGGGTAGATTTCATTACTTCATATTATTTGAGGAGGATGTGTGTACAGGACTTCAGGGTTTGAGCCTAAGGTTTGGTTTTGAAAATGTTTAGTGCAGGAATTTATATATTTGTGTAGTCAGTAAAAAAAATCATTCGATTGACTGCAAACCTAATATCTTGAAGGGTTTTAATACACATTACAAAACAAGAAAATTCAAATTAAACCCAGGCAAAATGAACAACTCCTCAAGGTAACTGGAAAATGAGGCAGCAAGTGGCTGCAAACTTTATTTATGGATGATGAAGCTATTCAGGGCTCATGGGCATCTCTTCTCTTAGAAAGCTTAAATTTTTCATGCTGAGTGTGTTGTGCAGTTTAATTGGCTGCTGTGTTGTGTTGTGTTTGAGACACAGTGCTTGTTTTTGAGGTCTGGCTCGTACTAATGTGCTGTCTTATCAAGTTGAGGAGCAGACAGACGGACAGGTGAGGCGAGAGAAGCCTTGCGTCCTCTCGCTCTCCTCTACAAAGTAGGCAGCAGATGTCTGCTATTTCCTGAGGGACAGAGATAAATGATGTTTCTCCACTCCTTCTCCCTCTCTTTTCTCTCTCTCTCTCGCTCTCTCTGATCTTTTGGTGTCGTTCATTTTGCTACTTTTTCATGATCTTTCATTCCCTTTCTCTCGTTCTGATCTGACGAGCTTGCTCCCTCACCCTTAAAACATTGCCCATTCTTTTTTCCGTCTTTTGATCCGTCCCTCTCTATAATTTTCTTGTCATTTCTCTTCTTTTTTTACTTCTTCAGGCAAACAAGCTACGCACAAAAACCTTGAAGAATACGCTGAACCCAGTGTGGAATGAGACGTTAGTGTATCATGGCATCACGGCAGCCGACATGACCACCAAAACGCTCAGGTAGGTGTTCAGCTCCCATTGTGACCATCAATTAGACAGCACGACCAGTTTATTATGTGGATGATGAAGATCCATGATTCATAACTCTCAAGTGAACCGCCAGCAGCGGTCTATGCTTCCCAGTGGGCTTTTCCAGGTAATTCATTATTACAGCCAGACGACGCCAGCCAACTGTTCCACTTGCTGTTGCTGCGGTAACTCGCTCAGGTGCTGGCGGCGCCGGTGAGTCCCCTCCTTCTATACAAAGTGATTGAGGTCAAGCGTAGCCATCTTGGCCCAAAAAGCTGTGACACACTTGTGTCATCCTGCATGTGAGTCAGTCCAGAGGCAGAAACGTACTTGTTTTGTTTTGTAAATGCGTGCGCCGATTACAGTAAGTGTCAGTTTTCTCAGTGGATTCATAATAAGGTCGGATGTGATTGTTTATCCTGAGGAAACAAAAGCCCATAGGCGCCGGGATGTTTACGCCCACATACAAACAAACACACAGAGAAATCCATGTAGACTCGCACCTGAATCTCATCTACATCATTTATACAAATGCGGGCAGTCATGTGTGTGCTTATTCTCCTGTGTTGGTGTCAAGGACAATAACAAGCAGGAAAGAACATGCAAGGCCCCTCCTCTGGATGTAGAAACAACACACACACACTCACATATGCGCACATGTAAGCAACACACGTCCTTGAGCTCTTGAAATCACACTCATTAGGAGAGAACATTTATTTTCCTTCTCTAAACATGTGCGTTACCGCAGACAAACGGCAGCTTGAAGAGAGACCCTTCAAATTAGCGGAAAACCCACCTGACCTCTGTCCAAGGACATAGCCGACAGACACGAACCAGCACGGGGGCTCTGGGAAGCCAAAAAACGAGGAGGAGTGCGACCAGCGTCGCGCCAGAGATGAAGAGAGGGAGAGAAAGGGAGAAGTGACTGCCAAGATCAACAAAGAGAGCAAGAGGGAGAGCGTGAATGATGTCAAGTGACAGATAAGGCAGCGTGGAAGAGGAGAATAGTGAGCTCGAGATTGAGGAGGACGAGAGAAAAAGGGGATGGAGAGGATCCAAGGGTCAACTGAAAGAGAGAGAGAAAGTGTGGTAAAATGGATCAAGTGATGAATGAGACAATTCACTTAGCTGAGAGAAAGAGGAGCAAGTGACGGGGAGGAGTTTGCTTAAAGAGGAGCCAAAAAATGAAGTATTGAGAGGAGTGAAAAAACGTGGTGGCGAGTGAATGAAACTGTGTCGGAGATAGCAAAATACAGACAAGAGGAAGAAAATATGCTCAAACTCTCTGTAGATGTGTTCAGGCGCCAGCATGATACTTCAGCCAATAGACAGACTTTGTTCCCATTACTCAACGGAAAGTGGCGAACAGACAGAGGATGGAGAAAACACTGAGGAATCCCTGGAGAGATGTTTACTCACTCCGTTTCTGCCCTGCTGCACGCTGCTCTGCCGCTCCTAGCATGGCGCAGAGGAGGAGATACTGTAGTCTTTGATCCCTGAGTTCATTGCACCATGAGATGGGACGACTTCTTCCAGACACGGCGTCCCTATAGACCCGCCAGAGGGCCGTGACAATGCAGTATTAACACTATAGCCATACTGCAGTGAAGGCAGTTCCACTCCGGTTAACATTAACAGGTTGGATGTAAGAGGATGAGGCTTTTTAGATGGATTTCACCACACCACCACAAGTGTTGATGCAGATTTGAGACGCTATATTTCCTGTTCAATATTTCCTTGACTGTTTGTCTGGCAGGAAACTTGACACACAAATAATGAAGTTGTAGTCTAGAGAAAAAATCCATATTTGGCTCAGTGGTTGAGTCGGTTGTCTCACAGTCAGACAGTTGGCAGTCTGTTCCCAGCTCTGCTGATGGGCGCTTGTTGTTGCAGGCAGCCTCTCCCATCAGTATGTGAATGGATGAATGTGGCATGTAGTGTAAAGAGATTTGATTGGTCAGAGGACGAGCATAGGGATGATATTATTACAGAGCAACCAAACAAACTCTTCTTCTCCTCCTCTGAACATCGTTGTTTTGCAGGCACATGATTGTGGTCTGTCATCAAACGCCTTTATCATGAAGTATCACTAACTATATAACTCTGACATTGAATAAAGAGTGACACATAAACTATTTGGATGATATTTACTTCACAATATACACATGAATTATAATTGCACAAAACTCGTTTCGTAATAACACTTTATACCATGCCTACTGTGAAACTAGGGCTGAGCGATAAAACAATAACAAAATTTATCGAAACTTAATTTCCCTCAATATCAATATAAAACATGGTCAATATGCTTTTCGATAGTCAGCCATGTTTTGGTTGACTATACGAATAGCCAATGAAAAGGAGAGTTGCTCCGGGTCCACTTTACACTGAACCAATCGTGCTGAACTAGAACCAAGTAGCAAAAAACTGCACAGTAGCAGGCTGTAGCTACAGGCAACCATAGCACTTTAACACGTGAAGCTGACAGCACTGTGGGTGAGAAAAACAGAAAATTAGTGCTAAATTAGAATTAACTAGAAATGCAGATGAAGGCTCAACAGATGACGACATCGTCGACAACACTGGCACTAAAACATTGGTGGTGTGGAGGTATTTTGGTTTTTTTTTAGGTCAGACATGAAGCAGAGTAATGTGCACTGCAAATTATGTCGAGTTCATGTTCTCTCAAAGTCGGGGAATACCTCAAATCTTTTTCACCACCTGAAGCAGCGCCACGCGGCAGAGCACGCACATGCAAAATGTTACAAACCCCGAGCGGAGGAAGGAGCTCATGGCGCCTCTGCAACCGAAACAGCCGACCATTCAGTTCGCTTCCTCTGGCGCAACGCCTCGTGACAAAACGTCAAAGAGACCTAAGGACCTCACAGATGCAGTAGTTTATTCTACTGCAAAAGACATGCTACCAATAAGCACTGTTAAATTTCATTTTTTATATCACTGATATAAAAAAAATATGAAAAAAAATATCATGATGAAGTTTCTTTTTCATAAGTGATGACAAATGCTGTTAAAAGGACATGCAGTGTGAGAGAAGAAGTTGGTTTTCTAATAATTTAGTCATTCTTCGCCATGCTGCTGCCCATTAGCAGCATCATTAATTACATAAAGCCATTATGCCATGACAAAATGTACCTAAACTGTGCCGCTTATTGAAAATTGGTTATGAAGTGTTTTTTTCAGTGTACAAGCTTTATCTCAGAGGCCCATTCGAGGTCCAGCCTGCTATTACGAACGGGCCAGTTGAGTAAACTAATAACTTTGCTCCTTAATGCAGACTTCATGGTTGGTTTCATACCACCTAATCCTGCAATTGGTGTAGCAAGGCTGCCGGAGGTGTTTAGGTTTGGAGTGAAAAGCCAATGGACTTGGAATAGACTGCAAAGAAACCCCATCCTGACAGGTTATTTAATCTGTTATTGAATCTCAGTATTTTAATTATTTCAGTGAAATGGAACTCTTTACCCAACTACAGTTTGCTCGTTTAATTACCACCGTTATGAGCGGTTTTAATTTCTAGTAAACACTCTCATCATTAGAGAACTGCTCTTTGAACAAAGGGTTTATCAATCTCCTTTGAAGTAGAAAGATTAGGCCAGTTGAGTCACCCTCCAGATTGTTTTATTGCAGTAAGGTCGACATCGTTTGAGTGTACGCCCAAATTCATCACGAGTGTCAGCAGTCTTCCTCTGCCTTTTGGCAAGTTTATAATTATTAAGCAAGCAGTGAAGATGATAATGTGGCGCCCCGATTCTTCTTTATGTTTAGATGACACTGCATATTTTAGTGCTTATTACACCAGCGAAGGATATTGTTTTTCTTTAACTTTGTGGCTTTTATGACAGAAAAGGAATATCATGCAGCAAGTTAACAGAGAGGAGATGGAGCGTGCAGAGGTGTTGTGATGAGAGGTGGCATATTGAGTGAGTATGTGTGTGTGTGTATGTGTGTTAAAGGACTACCAACATGATGTCAGTGCCCGGTCTAGTCACACTCAATTTCTCTCTTGTATCTCTCTGTCCTTCTGTCAGGCTTTGTAATAGACTGTCCTGAGCTGTGGGGAGATACGGACAAATCTAGGACTTGATTTGGTATTGGATGGAGGGTAAGGCTGAGATTGGCTACAGGATGCATCCGGTGGTGAGATGAATGGTCGGGTGCTGATACGGTCAAAATGTAATCTTTCATTAGGTGTTAGATGTCAGGGTGAGATTGATATTTTTGATTGGGCTGCTTTTTTCCCATGGTAGTGGTATTGTTGTATGGATGGAAATATGAGTCAGGTGGCTGTTAAACTGTTTTTCAGGAATGAAATATGATGAAAACCTCAACATATCTGAACGGCTGCCCATGAATTCTTCCTAGATATCTGTGGTCTCCATAGGATGGCCCTTCATGACTTACTTAATACTTGTATTTTTAGTGAATCATTATTATTTAGCAAGTAATCTTTAAAATTTTTTATACAACCATTCCAGTCCCCCAAGGCTCCATTATCAAGATTATCAAGTACAATTTTCTGATCCATCCCTAAAGCTCAAATATGTCAAAAACGAATCACATTCCCATCAGCCCTACAGCGTCATTGAGTTTTTAGTAGGGATGGGGGATATGGGCTCAAAAATTAATCACGATTAGATTTGCCATTCTGGCGATAACGATAAAAGTCCCGATAAAATATATTATAATTTCAATCTATGTTTTTGACTCATTTTGTCTTGAGAACACCAGTTGGAGGAGTCAAATAAGATACTTAACCACACATTTGAGTAGAAGGTTATGGTGAAAACTAATGATGATAATTCTAATGATTAATAATTCTGCTTTGTGTGGGCTATGGCTGCGAGTCCACCACTCGCGCTTACGTCATCAACTCACATTGATCTTATTTATCATGAAATGGCGAATATTTATCATGGAAGATTTTTCTGATGATATATCGTGAACAATGATTTATCGCCCATCCCTAGGGTTTAGCACCAACAAGCATACTGATCAGGAGAGTTAAGCTGATAAATATGTCACCTGTTTAGTTTAGCACATTTTCAGTGTGTACTACTTTGTCACATTTCCTCATAAAGGTGCAAGCATGATGGTTGATTGTAGGTCTTAAACTAAGCTCACAGTCTGTGTTCAACAAAATACTTCTTTCCCTCTTTTATAGTCATGTCCCAAATTTCTCTAACAACAACATTGTTTCATATATTCCTTGAAAAGTTAATAAACTTACCATGCATTGTATCCTCTTCATTTAAATATGTTTCCTCTGATATTTAATGTTCATTCGACATTTGTGAAGCTGAGATATTCCCAAAATCTGAAAAAAAATCCTCTCATAATGCAAATTTCCAGAGCATAAAATAAGCAGGTCAAGAGATCAGATTAATTTTGGCACCCTAGCTGGACAAAGTGGCAGCCCCTTCATTTTCACTGGTGTTGCACTGTTTGTGTGCATGTGGTGTTTTCTGCAGTACTTCTTTCACAACACAGATGCAAATACTTCACTGTATCACACCAGCCAAAAAAAAATGCATCTGTTCTTCACCATGCTCCTGCCAATTTCCCATCAGGCTATAGAAAATAAACAGTATTTTTTATGGTGCAAAGAAGTCATCAGCAATGCAGACGAGTAAACTCCACTTCCCTCCTGCTAATGAGACCAACATGGACAGGAGAGGACAGTGGCTGTATGGTGAAAAAACAGAGCTGTAAATGGTCTTGTCTGACACATACCCCCTACAGGCGTTAAAGGTCAAGAAAGGTCATCTTCCTTCTAAGACGCATGAACAATAGCAAATAATTTGTTGTGAAGTGAGAATAGAGGTCTATTAATCTTTTCTGTGGACTCGCTTCATTTAAGGCAAACGGCCAAAGTTAACAAAGGCTGAAATTTGCAATGATAGTTTTTGGACAAAGATGACAACTCCTGTGATTTTAAGGTATATCAAGATGTCATCAAGTAGGGCTGGGCAATAAACTGAAAATTTACTGATTCCAAAACTTACGACACTAACCGACGTCGTTTTGCCCACATCAGTATATTCAGTGTCAAATAAATAAATGAATAAATGTTGGTTTTAGATGTGTGTAGGTAGGCTATGGTCTCATGTCCCTTTAAGATGCTGTCCTACATCGGAGACGTGACTCCACCCCATCCAGTCTGTAACAAAGAGGGAAAGACGAGTGAGGAGATGGAGGACGGTTCAAAAGTTGGAGCAGCAGCTGAAGTAGACAAAGTTAATGTGGGAGGGGGTGAGCAGCTTGTGGAGTAGTTATCGTTCATTTATTGTTATCGAGGTGAACTGCTCAATATATCATGATATTGATTTGAGGCCATATCGCCCAGCCCTATCATCTAGCTACTTTGTTAGCCTCTAACTGAGAAACTCCTTGAATTAAAACTTTAATACCAAGCATATAAGGGGAGATAGTTTGATCTGCAGTAAACACCATATGGCGTGGTAAGAAATCTTCTGAACCTGTAGAAAAGGTCCTCAGTGTTTCAGTTTTTTCTGTCAGAACTCCTCAAACGCGTGCTACCTTTGACCCTGAAAGAGCTGATATTAAGAGTACAGACTTTAACAAACTACTGCAACTCAGATTTTTGTCACGCGTAACTTTGGCACCTTGAGTTGAACAGATTCCACGAGCATCTGCTTGGATAAAAAAGGGTTCCTAAGGCCAGGGAGAAAGCGTTTGCAAAGAAGAGGAATAAGCAGCAGTCAAAAGTTTCTGTCGAACTGGTGTCAGATTTCTCAGCTTTCCCCGTCTCATCACAGACACCCTACATGTATGACAGAGCAAAGACATATAAATCATCTGACAGCCGTGGTCATGAGTCAGAGTCATTCTGAAGCTTCTACTACAGATACTCATCCGTTCTGACTAAAAGGCTGCAACCGGCATGTCAAACGTCCAAATGTTAGACGGAGGGAAAGAGAAGAGGACGACAAGGAAGGTGCGCTGGTGTCTCTGCGTGTGTGTGTGTGTGTGGAGAGAGAGAGAGCGAAATGTAAGGTTGAAAGAAGAGAGTGAAGAGCAGGGAGAAAATCAAGAGCAGTGACAGTCCGTGTGGGAATATTTGAACACAGAGGGAATATTGTAGCAGGTGATGAGCTGTGAAGTCTGTACTGTAGCTGATGGAATATTCACTCTCTATCAGGCATCTCCATCAGCTCAAATAAGAGAGTCCTACAGAGGAAATGGTTTGACACAGCAAGAGAATTTTAGAAGAACATCATAATTCAGTCATTCTTTTAGAATCTGAGGATAGAAACAAAACGGATAAGAAAAAGGACACAGCAGAAGAAAAACAGAGTTTGTTTCAGAAGCAGTGTCAAACCAATGCTTTAGAATACTTTTGACTTTCACTTTCGGGCCATCATGAGGTTTTCCATACATGCTCCTTCTCTGCACCATCAAACATCCTACAGCTTCCACACCCTGTGCTAGCTCATGACACACGGCTGCACTAAATCCATCAACACCCCAACCTCTGGTCAATGCTTCATCAATATTAAATCAAGGATGCAAGACAACCTCCTTTAAGTAAACTGTGATAAATCAGATATCATCTTCATCATCAGCCCCACAGCCCATCAACAACTGCGATTCGTCTACCTCATTGATCTGTGAGTCATTTTTCAACAGCAGCTTCTCCTTTGAACAACACATCAATCAGTTCACCAGACCTGCTTTTTTTATCTTAAGATTACAGCTCGTTTTTCCGTCTGTGATTCTTCCTTTCTGCTGCCAGAACTTTGATCCATACCTTCATTACTTCAAGAACCGACCGCTGCTTTTCCCTTAACTGATCCGGTTTTCAGATCTTCTCATAACAAATGGACAGTTTGACTCCCTCTAACCACTCTGAGCTATTTAACTTAGCATGTTCTTTAGCTAACCTTTCTTTCTCTCAGAACTTTGTGTCAGAGTAGTGGTTCATAAAAATCCTGAGTTATTTACTGCTATTGCATGTTATGATTTAGGGCATTTATTTTCCATTACCATTAAAACTGTGTGAAATGTCCTTATGTATAAATTACAATACCCAAATACATCAAAAAGGAACAACATTTCCATCTGCTTCAGCTGTACCTTGAGTTCGATGGTGATCAGGAAACATTACTTTGTCAGACTGAGAAATATTCTAAAAGGAAAAATGTCTGAGTTGTTATCATCTCAACTTTGTAAAACATTTGAAACACAAATTATGAATCAAACTTACTAGCAAAACCAAAGGTGTCATACTCAGAAAACAGAGCACAGTTGCTGGTTTTGCTAGTTGTGCTAATGTTAGCCACACCTGCTAAACCAATTTTATATTTTCTACCTATAGTCTGTGATCTTAACTTTCTGCAGAGAATATAAAATAGGTTTGGCAAGTGTGGCTAACATAAGCACAACTAGCTAAACCAGCCCTGTTCGCTAATTTTTTTTTTGTAGGATGGTACAATCACCTCTGATTGGCTGGAAGTGCTGGTCTCCGATTGGTTATTCCTTATGGCTGTGAAATGTCATCATCTGTCAGGTTAGGTTTAGGGTAAGGGTTAGGATAAGGATTAGGGTTAGGACTAGGTTGAGGGTTAGGGTTAGGAGATTCAGGAGTGCGATATTGTTCTGTAATGTTCTGTGCGACGTACAGAGCAGACAGCCCACGTTTGGCTTGAGCGTGTGATGACGTTTCCAGCTTTTCTAGTCAATCAGAGGCGGGGGAGGCGGGACTTTCTCCTACCATCCTACAAAAAATGATCGCCTCCTGTACTGCTTATTGCTGAAACCAAGTGCAGTTTAACCAGACACAGCTTACATACAACACTATCTCCATTTTCTGGTTCAAAATCCCACCAAACTATCCCGGACTTCCAGATACCATCTGTCATCTGAACTTGTGTACATCCAGGTATTTTAGTGTCACCCCAGTGTTGAGTCTCTGTGTGTTATAGTCAGTTGTTGTCCTTTGTAGAGAATAAAACGTTAATTCCAGGACCCTCTTGTAAGACATTTTGTAATTCTGTGAAAATATTCCAGTGAGGAATAAATGTAAAACGGAGAAACTTTTGTTTTGTGCTGATTCTGGCGCCCCCTTGTGGACAATATGTCAACTCTGTAGCTATGCTTTCTTTCAACAATGAAATGTATCACTGTGAGTCTTTGCTGTTGGAACTGTGAATTAATGTTGTTCCTGCAGACTTCTATAGACCAATTTGTCTGATGTCTATTCCCCTGGCAGTGATTACAAGCATCAAAATACATTTTATAGAAGTTATCCTCTTTGTTGATTTGCTGGTTTTAGGTTATAGACTAGATAAATCAGCTTTAATTCGTCTGTTTTATTACCAGCAACAAACTCCTACAGGAGCTTTTGAATACTGGAGAGACCCCTGCTTGTATCAAAGATCTATTAGAGCTTTACAAACCCAGCAGGACTCTGAGGTCTTTTAATCAGGGTTTGTTGGTTGCTCTGCGCTCCAGGACCAGAGATTTTACAGTTGTAGCTCCAACTCATCTGAACTCTTTACTGCTGGGTTTAAGATCAGTGAATGCTCTGACCCTTTAACAAGCCACATAAAACCCATTATCGATCTGTTGTTACTACCATCGTTCTCTTTGTTGTAAGTGTTATTTCTTTACCCCAGTTATCGAGTATCAGATGCACCCATTTATTATAAATATAATATACACCCTTTTATAACGAACTTGTGCATAAAATCTGTGCTGTAAACGGCCACTTCAAAGCTTATAACAAAAATTAAAAAACTGTTGACACGGCCAGAATGGCGACGGTTCTATTTCATGTTAATATGGTAGATTATAGTGGATTATTTTTGTACTTTAGTGTGTTAGTAATTGTAAATTATAATATTCTTCTCCCCTCATGTATAACTGAGCTGTAAATAACATGAATAAATTTCGGTCCAGTCCAGTTGAACTTAAAATGAGCACTGTGGCCTTGTTGATAAAACTATAAACCAGTAGCTAAATTCATGTCTTTTTCCACTGTCAGTTCAAACTGTTTCTCTTTCAGGAAGGAAGGCGCAATTCACTGCAGAACTGACGTAATGGGTCACATTAAATTGTACAATATGCTAATGAAGAGGCTGTCGAGAGTATGTGACATAATTTATGCTGATGAATTTATACAAGCCTCTTTAATTCATTTTATCAGTATAAGACATGTAATCTTGGCCTCTACATCAGCCAAGTACAGATGGAAACTGATTACCCGTTTTGAGCAATGTCTCATCTTTTAAGTGTTTCAATCAGGGCAAATAAGCATCTGATTTAGCAACAGCCAAGAAAGGAGGAGGTGGGTGAAATCCTTTATGAAGTCTCTCCTTCTTTAGCAATCACTCCTTGCACTCAACACCCATGTGGCTGCTTGTGTGAACCCGCAGAGAACTTGTCATGTGTTGCAGCTGGGAGAGCTGATTGATTGTTCAGATGCACTTTAGATATATTTGGTGCAGTCGCAGCCGTCTTTTCAATAATGAGCAGCAGTAGGGTTCATCTGCAAGTTATCACTGACTCACCGGCTTCTTTTCTTCTCTGCTGCTGCATGTGTGTGTGTGTCTATTTGTGTCTGTGTGAAGGCTGTGTGTGTGTGACATGGACAGACTTGGAAGAAATGAATTTATCGGAGAGGTGAGGGTGGCTCTGAAGAAACTAAGAGAGGGGGAGAACAAGCGCTACAATATGGGGCTGGAGAGAATCGCACAGGTACATGCATTTTGTGTGTGTGTATGTTTCTACATGTGTGTGTGTGTGTGCATGTGCGCAGACTACTCACATAAATACCAAATTGGTTTCTGTGGACATATATATCAAGATGTGTCCTATTTCCATTGTGCATGTTTGCCTGGAGGCTATCGCACATCAATTTCAAAAGCAGCGCTATAAAGTGTAATAGATATTCACCTGGAGGCTCTGTAGGCTATAACCATCATCGTCATCATCATCTCTCTCTCTCTCTCTGTCTCTCTGTCTCTCTCTCTCTCTCGTTTCAGAATAAGGAGACTAACAATCAAACGGTGGAGCAGGGAGCGCTTGTTGCAGAGGAGGAGGTACAACTATCACCAGCTTTTATCATCAACAATCTTATCATTTCTCAACCGAAACATGGCTCACTATAATTTCCCATTATTCTGCAATATTGGATAGATTTTCTTATCTTTCCAGGAATACTAATCTCTAGCCTCTATTTTCACGTTCTCTAAAGTAAGAAGAAAGTTTGATTAGATGTTTTTAATCAGTATAAACACTAATTTATTAACTCTTCTGGGACCGGTGTGAAAGACATACCCACAGGATTTCTTGTTATAGCAACATGTTGCAATGACTCTGCAGCTGCAGGTGTTTTTCTCCTCTGCGGTCTTTATCTAAGGTCGCATTTGATTTTAGAGACAGGGGGCTAATAGCTTTTGGTCTCTGATTAGACTCAGTTTATGGTTCAACCTGCAGATTAAAAGAAGAAGGGAGCAGTGCCACTTTTCAAGGCACAGATAAGGCCTTTAATTACAAGCTTTAATTTGAATATCGCTAGTGCTAAAACGGACACAAACTATCTGAGCTCCAGAAAATGTCACGGCTTATAAACGCACAAGCATCCAGTCTTTTCTGTAGTCTTTTAAACAATCTAAGTTTGTGAGGCAAAGGTGCAGGGAAGCCTATTGTGTATTCACCAAGAAAGGAAACATCAGGTTGAAAACAGGTGCTGTTTCTGACAGACTGTTGTTTCCTGTGTCCCCAGCGTGGTCGCATCCTGGTGTCACTGTGCTATAACACGGAGAAAGGCTGCCTGCTGGTTGGAATCATACGCTGCGCCCATCTGGCCGCCATGGACTCAAACGGCTACTCTGACCCCTTTGTCAAAATGTAAGTCGAGTCAGATATTCCTGAACAAACCTGCTCTCTTACAAATTATGCTCATACTCAGGTTTACCATATTATAAATTTACATTTGATTATCTCATATTACAGGGTGAGTCACTTGTCAGTCTGGGTTCAACAAAAGTTTAAATGAGGTCAGAATTAAAGGAAAGTCCCTGTTTGGTTTTCTGTGTTATTTCCCGTTAACATGACTAAAAAGATGTCTTTGAGCGAGCTTCCCTCAAAATTGGATTTTGTCTTGAATTGTGAATTTAAAGGGATGTTCCGGTGTAAATTTAAGTCATGGTCAAACACACTGTAACACTGAGTTAGACACCCCCTCGAGAGATGAATATGGCGACCGCTTGCTTCTCTAGTGATACCAACTTTAGTAACGACCGCACGATAGCAATACACAGCGGTCTATAACTCCATGTGCACACTTCAACCAAAACGCCACTCTATAGCCACAAATAATGCTCAGAACAGCACCTAACTTCATCAACAGGACATATAGGGTCCCAGCCATAGCACTAGCCACCAAACATCTTTTTAACTTTGCCTAATTTCTTTAGCAAAGAGACTAAACACAACTCACTCTTCCACCATCTGCTTATTTGTGGGGGAGCCCTGACAAGTCAATTACCGAGTGCAGCGGAGTTTCGCAGCTCAAGGAAGAACATTTATGATTATTACTTCATGGAAATGCAATCAGCCTGAGACGATAAAGCAGAAGAACTACCATGGTCACTGTGCAAAATGATGATTATCACTTCATGAAAATGATCCGCTGCACTCGGCAACATTAATCTCTCGAGGGGGTGTGTAACACGGTGTTATGGTGTGTTTGACCATAACTAAAAATTATGCTGGAATATCCCTTTAACAACCAAAAGCTAAACACAAAAATGTCATGTGAAATTAACATTCTGACTCGCTGCAAAGGGATCTCTGTTGTTTTTGCGTCAGCCCTCTTTTGCCTGAATATCTGTTGTGACCAAAAGAGCCCGAATGATCAGATTAACGGGAAATACACCAATTTGAAATAAAACAGAATTTTCCTCTGATGTCATGTTCCTTTACAACAGTCCTGGTTGTCATTTTTATAAGAGATCAATAAAAATGAGCTTATGCAGTTAAGTTAAGTTGAGTGAGTGTGCTGCTGTGATCTGTTTCCGGTCTTATCTAAATCTCTTTGCTGACCATCAATGACCATTTCAGGACCATGGGATTAAACTGTGTTTATAGAAGTTCTTATGAGAAAGTTTTGTCTGGTTTATAATACGCTGAAAAATACTCACCCAGAGTATTTTGCAAGTTAAGATGGATTCAACAACCTAACCCTACAGAAACTATCAAGTTTCCAGACCCAAACCTTAGCTTCACACAAACCATGTCAAGAAGCAGCGAGAAACAAGCCGAGTCAAACTTTTGTATGTGTCATTAGTGAATGTGCTTAGAATCACAGTTTAGTGTAGACCCAGCGAGAATACACAGCACTGACACACCCATCTCACAAAGTGTTTAACCTTTGTTCCGGTCCGTAACGCACTTCACCCCTCAACCAGCTTGACAGGACTGAGGGGGCGAAGCCACCAGATGCCCTGCTCTGACACCAGCATGGCACGACACCCACAGACTCGGAGAATGTGAACGCGTAGGCGACCAAATGTAAAGTGTCTTAAAGACTGATCGATCTCATAAAGTAAAACACAGACTCAGAGAGTGGGTGATGATAGATAATCCTCCAGACACATGATGGTGTCCGATACGGACGCTGCCTGTTATTACCTGACACTGGAAAAGTTCAAATGTAAAATGTCACAGCCATCGAGCAGAGATTTACTGTGGCCCCAATCATGAGGCAGAAATATAGGTTAATGTGGATTGGTTACAGTGTAAATAAGATGGCTGTTATTAACATTTTAACTGGAAGGAAATTAATCATGCACACATTTTCAAATGTTGAACTTTTTCACTGCAAAGCGAATTTCTTTGTCATTTCGGGACACCATGGTGTTATTTTTAACTTAGAGAAACTGTGTCATGCATACATCACAGCCGTTAGACAATGAATGGATAAACTGATATTTGAAAGGCGGTGATTGAAAGTGATTTTTTCGTGTTTTGCGTCACGCTGTTAAACTGAGCTCCTCTCTCGGTACTGCGGGTGTTTTCAAAGTGTGAAACACAGAGCTGATGGAAAGCAAAGTGTCTGACACAGTGCACCTGAGCCAACCTGCCTGTAAGGCATGGATGGTGACAGATAAAACCCACACAGCTCTATCTCTGATCTGCTCGGTGCACTTGAATACCAACAGTGCAGGGGTGGGAGAGCTCCCACACACACAGGACAACAAACCCTGTGACCAGTGCAGCCTCCGACTGTGGGAGGACTCAAAGAAGAAGCGGCAGCAGGTTGCTGAAAGGAAGCTTTTGTGGTTTTGAAAAAGTTTTTAACGTCTGCAGGTAGTTCGGCTGTGATCCAGAATGGTGTGATTAGTCTGTGGACAAGATCATGTTTGATCATGATGGTAAAAGATGCAGAGAAAGAGATGCAGCAAGATTGATGTCTCACCGTCTCGTTCATTTGATCATTTATTAATCTGTTCATTGTTAAAGGTGCGGTAGGCAGAATAATTCTTTTATGATTTTGCAAAAATCCCACAATAATCTTTCAGCGTGTTGAATTTGAAGTGATCTGAGAGAAGATCACACTTCTGCCTCTCCTCCTGTCTTTGTAAACAGGCTTGAGAAAATCTGTACCGTGACGGGGGGTGTCAGCCAAACACGGGCCAGTTGAGAAAGTCTATAAGTAAACGCTGATGCGTGTTCGCGAAGAAACCCAGGACGCAATGGCGGATAGTTAGAGAGGAAAAGTGTTGTGTTGAAAAACGCATGCCTGTCGAGAATTGCATGGACCCCGCGGGAACGTGCTCATAGTACAGCGGTCCAAGGCAATGTACAGTTTAAACTGATACAATTCATATATGTGGAGCTTAACCATCAACCTCACCTTATTTTCTAACCATCATGGATAACTCTGTGTAGATGTTGCCTTTTTAACACCAATTTTTAAGCCTTTCCATGCATATGTGCATATGTGTATTCACATGAACAGACAGCAGCCACAACACTGACTCAGAAATATTCCTATCAGATGCTGCAGAGAGTTGTATCAGTCTTAAATACTTGGCTGAACTCACATCAGCTCTCACAGAAACAAACCCAAAGGGAAACTTGTGTCTAAAAACTTGTGCCTTAAACCTTTTTTCTCGCCGGGACACAGCAGTGGATATTTTTCTTTTGTTCTCTCTAAGCTATTGATTTGTTCCACTGCTTTAGAAGTGACACATTTTTCTTTATTGGACTATTTTGCGGCACATTGTTTTCGAGTTCACCAGAAAAATACAAAAACACATGCTCCCGGAGAAAACAGTGTCCTTTTATTCTTGTCACTCTTTTCTCCTCCTCAACTATATTGCTTTTTTTTAGGGGGGGGGCTGTGTCTTTCTTTCATGTTCTTTGTATTGGCTCCTTCTCCTTATAAAGAAAACAAGTTGATGTGATTTGTTAAAGCCAGTGTCTGATTTGATTCTTTTTTCTGGCACTCCAGTCGTTTAAATCATTTTCCCGTCTGCCAGAGTTTCCTTTTGTTCTCTTTTGCATCAGGAAAACAAAAAAGTTTTACTCTGAAGTTTTAAAGAAATTAATGCCGCTCTTAAATAAGGGTCAGGTGTTTGGATTGGGTGCGATGCTTGGCCGACATGGGTGGACTGCATCTCTAGAGTGGAGTAATCAATAACTCTGACATGGGAGTAAAGAATTAATGCGCTTAGCCAGCTTTCTGACTCGCGTCACTGTCAGGGCGATGATGTCCTGCAGCTGTAACACCAGCAGTCTTCTCTAAGAACTTGTAACTAAAGCTGATCTCGATGCCAGTCTTTCTTTATCCATTATGTGTGTGTTTGTGTGTCTGTGTGAGTGCGAGTCCGTGCAATTTTCCAGAGGGCTTTCCAATCGCTCTCCCCTCTCTGTGACTCTCAATCCGCTTTTTGAAGCCGTTCAAGTGAGACAAGGTCAGAATTATCACAGAACTAATTTGTCTTCCAATTGAAAGGACAAATTAGCATTTACAGACTAAATGAGTTTACATCCTCCAGAAGGACCCGCACTCCTCTCCCCATCTCTCCGCACATTACCTGAAAGATTGCAAGAATAAATTACTGTGTCAGAAAAAAAAGACATGTGAAGGCAGGAAAAGAGCAAAACATGTCAGATATTTTCTGCTGACCATGCACACATGCCGTGCTTTACAGTTTCGCTCTTTCCTCTTTCCCTTTTTACCCCTAAAGCGTGTGAAGTGTAAGTCATGAATCCTCACTGCAGCAGACGTATATATTTAGCTCCTCTCCCCCATTTTCACACATTTCTATGGCACATTTTTAGGTTATTTTTACTTCACTGTGTCATAACTTCGCACCCTCTCTTCTACCACCTCACGTTCCCTCATTTACCCCTTATGTCTGTATTTCTTTTATCTATTTCTCTCGCTTTTTTTCACGTGTTTTTCCCTTCCTAGCTTATTATTGCTGTCAGGATGGTTTTAGGCACCAGTTTCTCATGACCTCGGAATTTCCATGTGACTGAGTCATGAGGGTCCAATGACATAAAGGTCAACAGAGGACCAGGGAGGGAATAATGTAAATTCATACTCACCATACTGGTGATGTGTGACTTAAGTCATTCAGCTCTGTGTAACCCTGGCCATCTAAATTTTTACAAATCAAGAAAGTGGTATGAAATTCACATGAGAGCTCTGAAATGAAATAAAGTTTATATAATGTCACTGCACATTGTACAACCAACTTTCTATTGATCTAAAAATCTACTATCCTTGGACCACATGCATCCAACCTTAAGCCCATTCTCATACGCAGCAATAAAGAGACATAAAGAAAAAAAATGCACATGCATCTTATATTTGTATCACATATAATGGCATAAATGATATTGCACATCAGGTTTTAGAATATACTAATAAACAGTATTGCACATTTTTGCCTTATTTGTACTTTATAGGGCAAACAGAGGTAGCATGGTAACATGTTTTTATTAAACTTTTCTTGCAAAGCAGAGACAACATAAAACATAATAGCACTGGCAACAGTGTACAGAATACAGAAACTTAAACCTGACAGGGGAAGATAAATAAGATTTAAAAAAAATAAATGCAATACAAATAAATTGGTAAAAATAATAGTAAAAGTAATGTGAAAAGATAATAACAGAGACAAGTTTTCAGGGAGTAGAATGGTTGTAAAATTGAAAGATCTGCCCTTGATTTGTCTAACTCAGACTGCTTAACCCCCATATTTGCTTTGAACGGGGACTTTGGATTTCGTCCCCTATGTTTTCCGAGAAACTCTTCCCTTCTTTATTGTACTTGGCAGAAGAACAAGAAAAGGATCAAGAGAGAGAGAGTGGAGAAAACAGAACAAAAAAGCGGGTTTGAATGTTTAATAAGAATACGACTCGAGATCAGGAGTAGGATACTGTACATACAGTACGACGGAGAAGCATACAGTTTCTTTTTTTGGCTCCCGCTGCACGACTTGCGTGTTTGTTGTGTTTGCGGTGAATGGGCAGAGGACAAACTCTATGTCAGATAAACCCTGGTGGCCATGCCAGTGTGGCAATCATAAATTGAGGTTTTGCAGTGAGGCCAAATAAAAGATCTCTGTATCCAGTCTGTATGATACATGAATAATTTGACAGAAAGAGGTGACTACAGAGTCAAAGGGTGACTAACAGACAACCAACAACATGCCCCGCAAAAGTGTTGCCTCGAGAAATCTAGTAAGTGTTATAAATGTGATGTTTTCATGGGATGTTTTCAAAGCTGTTGAGGTATTTCTGCATCACCATCCTTATTAAGAGGAACAGCTGTCAGTCCCTGTTAGCTTTATCAGTCAGCGGCGGTTTGTGATACATGGCCGAAATAGTTTAAGTGTGCGGCACAGAAATGTATTATCACTTAGCTCTTTGTATTTAGCGGAGAACAACCTACTTTTTGAGGGAACAGCTAACAAAAACAGAGGGGATAATCCTCCCTATCTCGACAGACCAGCCTCCCCCTGGTATGAATGATTCTCCACATTGAATTTTCCATGGTAATTCCAGCACTGTTTGGTTTCAGCGGTGAATATTTTTAGTTATGCTATCATCATTATTATTAATGTGGCTGTCAAATGACGTTTTGTCTCTCTGGAAATTGGAGTCCCCCCCTCTCAAATTCCTCGCAGCCACATGTTAAATGTGTCTCTGCAGAGCTCACACTCAGACGTCCCCCCTAGCTTTCACTTCAGCCTCTCACACACGGCTGTTTTTGGCATCCACTTTCAATTGATTTTCCTCCTATATGTTCTTTTATATAAATAGATTAAAACATGCAGCAGTTTTATGAGCATAAATGCTGATTGTCTTATAAGAAAAGTGCAACATGCAGGTAACAAAAACAAATGTAACAGAGGTGATTTTCAGGTGTATCGGGGCATTATTCCGATTTTTTCTGAGGGCATTTCCACCTGATGAGTAGAAGAACAAATAAAATTCAGATTTTCATCTTGCAACATTTTCACAAATTCAACCTCTGAACAATTTGAGCTTTTTACAACAAACAAAAACAATACCAAGCATATGTGAGCCCTAAGCCAGCGAGCAGATCGACATCCAAAGCTGTTTTTTGTCCCTCTCAATTTGAATATTTCACACTCCTGTTTGTGCAACACTGTTTGACATCTCAGGTGTATTTCTTTTTGTCTCTCTCTGTTTATTTAGTCTGTGCTTGTGCTGCCTGCCAAATTACACCCTGCTGCCACTGAACACCGAGTCCTAAAGTTGTTGACACACCACAGTATTTATAAAATGGTGAAATTTCACTGTGGGGGAAAAAAAACTCATCCCAAAAATCATTGGGTTAACTGTGGGTTTTCAGCAAAGCAAACATATCCTGTTTCTGCTGAGCTAAGCTGATAGTTTAGGAAATGACAATAAGAGAGTTTGCTAGCACAAAGAGGGCTTCAGTAACTTCCTCAGGAGTCATTTAATCACATGGTGTGTCAAGGTAAAGTTAAACTATAAAAGAAATCTGAACTGTAGAGAGTAGCAGGTGTGACTAAGCTAATGGTTATGTAGCTCAGCAACAACTTTAGTTCACAACCGGCTCTGCGAGCGTTTGACACCCACCTGCTTTTCATGAGCGTCACTTTGTGCCGTGACCACAGAACCTTTTTATCCTGCCATTTTCTAAAAGTACATCGTGTAGGATTCAGCTGCATTTTCTGATGAAAGGATTATGTTTAAATGAGTTTATGTTAAATGGAATATTATGATTGTTTTTGAATCGTAAGAGTCGACTATAAGGTGACGCCACACTAACAACTCATGTCTTTTCTATGACAGCAACACCACTTGTTGTCCTTTAAAGCTCCTATGAGGAGTTTTTTGATATTTATGAAATAGACTGAGATTTACGTTGATGTCTTTTAATGATATGCAGAAGCAATCAAGTTCATCAGAAACGACACTGAAGAGTTTTACATCCTTATTTATATTGTATGAAACTGGTGTGAGGGGGTCGTTCCGAGTCTTGACGCTGAAGAAAAATATTCACAATTAAGCATACCTGTGACTTTCAAAACATTCAGCAGGGTTAGATTTCTCATCATATATTTACTTTAGCCTGTAGATGAAAACAGAAGCAAATATTGCTTTGTCCACTGGGGGCAGCAAAACTGACACAAACAAAAAGTTCCTTACAGGAGCTTTAATCAAGTACAGTTCACAGAGTTTTACCACATTTAGTCACATCTCAGCTTTTTGCAGTCTTTTCAGAGTCCTGATACTTGGATCAATGTGGTGCTGAGGAGCCAAAACAATAGAGACATATTGAATATTACATTCCTCATTTTGGCACAGGCAGCTGGTTACTCACCTTGAACCAAAACTATGACTTTATCACCATGATGACTTTATTCTGGTAATACTAATTAATTTTTTTGTGCCAATGTGACTCAAATTTCACAACTTTCTGACTTCATTTACTCGTTGCTTTATTCTCGTTATATGTATATATTATGAGATATGACATATATTTTGAGTTATGTACATAATATGACTTATGTACGTATCTTTTTTAACTCCAAGTTTCTTTATCCTTTAATTTCTCTTTTTGTATCTGTTCTATGCTGCTGTAATTTTGGAATTTCCCCCGTGGATCTATGAAAGGAATATCTTATCTTATCTTATGTAACCTTTATCAGTGTAATTTGTTAATGTGTTACTAGAACGGTAACAAAAATTCATAATTGATGTCTCAGAAATGAGCTATAAACTAATATTAAACAGATAAGATAACCAAAAGCATCGCCACCTCATCCCTCTGAAACAGTTGAATTACTTGCGTCTGCTGTGGACGATTCCATCTTTGTCACATAAATTGCTTCTGTTGTCTAAGTGACAGGAGAGGTCAGCAAAGAAGTGTTTGCTTTTACAATTTTACCGAAAGATTTCACTAAATATTCTCATTCCACGGACTTTACCTTTCATACCTAAGAATCTTGGATTTATTTTCAACCATTTTTTACTCAATGGAAGTCGAGTAGCTACTCTGTTTTGTGTGCAGTGTTTGATTTACTGTGATGGAAAGTGAAAGAAAAAACATTTCTTCATTCCAAATGGTCGAGGCTATCAATGTTAAAATTAACCACAGCCTTTTTGAAAACCCTCATTCGATTTAGTTTTGAGATTTAGTTTTGGTGCCACTTGAGGAATTTTAAACTCTACATCACTAATGGGTTACCAGGAAGTTCCCATTTTCTGTCCCCCTGGATTTTAACAGCAGATTGAGATTTTCACAATGTACGTGCACCAGCTGACAAGACCAGACACCTCCCACCTATGTACAGATTTGTAGGTACCCACATATCACAGCATCATCTGCAAATTAACATGTTCTAACAAATTCATTTTAGCCCAAAGCGTCATATTTATTATAGGAAATAGCTTTGCATGTAGTGCTCCAGTCTCGCAGCCCTCTTTGTACAAAGTGATTTTAAGCCTTAGAGAGGGTCAAACTCGTGGTATTTTTTACACGACTGATATTTTCTGAGCAGTTAATAGACCAGGTTAATCTTTTTTAGTAAGTAGAGGACTGAAATGTCTCGTATCTACAACCTCATGGTAAAAATGACATTTTTAGCTCTGACAACATACGGTGCTCAAGTTTTTTGCTTTCTATCCATTCCTCCTCCTGCATCCTTCACTCACTCTGATTCTGGCTCGGCAGTGACAACCTCAAGCTCATCTCATGCATCAGCTGTCAAGGCAGGATTCGTCACTGGTGGGGAGGAGGCTGAAAGAGTGCGATATCTCAGCGCCTGAACATCTTGACTTGGAATTTATGCTGATGATGACTCCCGTTGCCCTCTGGCACTCCTTCTGTCGCCTCTTCGCCGGAGCGTACAGTCCTCCAACATCACGGCGTGATTATGATCTTGCTGTGGTCTACTGTCTCTCTCCAATTCTGTTTCCATCCTGCTCTCCTCGTGTCCTTGCTTTTGTTCAAAAGACTTCTAGGTCAAAATTATCTCAGAGAAAATTTCAGCAAACTTCCTTTCCCTTTGTTTCTGCCATTCAGCAAAGTTTACTGTCACGTCAGGGTATGGATTAGAAAGTAATGGATTCATCAATTTGATCTGAGGAACAATGGTTGTTGGGGCTTTGCTTGAAAGGTAAAATAAATTGGAGCATCTCTTTTGTTCAGTCCCTTTTGTCCTGTGATTGTAGTTTGAGATTTTGTGGTAAATGCTCGATCACTTTTTTGTTAAAAGTTGAGAGGTTCAATACCTTCCCCTCATCTACAGACACGCTGCACTCAATAGCTGACTAATGCAGCATCTCATAACAAGTGGAAAAGAGGGAAACAACAAGCTAGTTGTTTATTTTGACATTATTTTACGACTCACAAGATAGTAAGTTGTAAAATATTGTCAGAATATTCCTTTAAAGTCCCTCTCTGATCGTTTTTTTACTACTTAAAGTGTTCTTAGTGGTCTTTAAATTGTGATTATGAAGTTTTTACCAAAAATCGTGTTACCTGTCTCATTTTCAAGGGCTTTTCTTCTCATTAACAATTCACCTCTGAGTCGCGGGCGGAGACAGCGCTGCTCCGCACACTTGTCTTCACGCTAGCTTGCAGCCTAACGTTGCCGGTGTCGTAGTATCGTCGTAATATCACAATTAACTTTCTTACGAGCATTGCAATCCGCTAACGTACCTGCTTGTTCTGCAACGTCCTCTGTACTTTTCTTGAATTGGTTACATATGAAATCAAACTGTTTCTGAACCTGCTGCTTGGGTCACATTGATTTGATTAAAGAAAAACTCAGAAAAGCAATTTCGCATTTAGTTTTCTCATAATATGTCCTGCAGCATCAGAAGAATGCCCTATAAACATATTAAAAAAGAAAGACATGATTTTCATCGGAGTGGATCTTAAAGCTGAAAAATGTGTCATTCTGAGTTTTGGCACAAATTCTGAGGAACATTCAGGGTCCCAGGGTTTTAATGTCCTCTTAAGCCTCTGCTCTCCTTTTTCTCCTCTTCCTCAGAATCCTGCAGCCAGATATGGGGAAGAAGTCCAAGTACAAGACTTCAGTGAAGAAAAAGACTCTCAACCCGGAATTCAATGAGGTACAACCAGTTCCCTACTCCAGAAATAACCATGGCTCATCAAGCCACGACTTTACAGCGCTCCAAATGACGGGCTGTACTCTATGTAATGTTTAAAGCAGCATGGCGTCTCAAGGCACCCTTCTTTAAATGACTACATATTTCCTTGAGTGCGAGAATTCACTGAATTACACGTTCACTTCCTCTCCTGGTGTGTATGAATCATTGATATAAATATCCTCTTGTGTTCTGCACCTGCACAGGAGTTTTCATACGAAGTAACCTTGGACCAGCTGGCGAAGAAAACCCTGGAGATCTCCGTGTGGGACTACGACTTGGGAATGAGCAACGACTTCATAGGTAGGCTTGAAGAAAAACAAGGAGGTGTGGAGGGGAGGAGCGGAAAAAGAAAGCGGCAGTGGGAAAGTAGATGACTGTACAAGAGTGTCCGAATGAAAGTGACGCAATTTCTGAAGGAATAAAAAAAACCAGAGGCTTAGTGTGGGCTGAGAGAAGAGTGGAGAAGAAAATGGGGGGAGATGAGGGGTAATTACGGGGGATGCAGTAGAAAGACTGAGAGTTGGAGTGGAAAAGGAAACGGGAGGGCTTAAGATATCAAAAGAAGGACTTTCTCTCTGGATCTCCATCTTTCATGGACTTGGCACATCAGATAGCCGGTGCTTCATCAGGCTGCAGAACAGCTTTAGCATGGCGTAGTAGTGTGTACACAGCAATATGCACACGTGGGAGTTCAGGGAGTGATGGGGGAGTAGAGGGGAGGAACAGTGAGAACGGATTACCACCCTGTGAGCTTGAAGGCCTTCAGATCAAAGGATTTTACTCCATCAAATGTACGTGTGTGTGAGAGGCAGTGGGTGGGAGGCACCCAGTGTTTAGATAAGCCCAGTGAGTTATTAGACCTGCTGGGAGAAAGGCCATCAGTCTCACATACAGCTTCTCAGATAACAGCCGTTCCCCTGACCATTATCATTACAGGTTTAGCCACGTCAACCTCCCAGCTAATTGGCGCTGAGAGAAAAATGACACGGAGAACCAAGAAGAATGGAGAAAACGGAGTTGATAAAGAGGCCGAGTGGACAGAGGAGCGGTGCGCTATTGTAAGAGTGAGAGCAATAACAAGCAGGCTAATAGGCTTAGCAGAAGATATAGAGGATGTCACACAGTAAAAGGTGAAATTTCAGGGATACGCGGAGGAGAAAACTGAACGGTGAGAGAATAAATGTGAAGGCCAAAGTACACGGAAAAAAGACAGGCGATCAATCAAGAGGATGACTTGTTGGAGGAATCGATACAAAAGGAGTGATGGGAAATTTCATCTTCATCTAGAACTAAATCTACACAACAGGTATAAAAATGTTGCGTCGTACATTATCGATGTCTATATCGCCGTACAGAAAGACTATAATTTTTTCAGAAGGTTCGACACATCTGCCAGAGAAAGAAACGCGCACGAGGCTCCAAAAGCGTGGAAACAAATGGCTCCAATATCAAATAAGAGGTGATCCAATACATCAGACCTTTGAAACTCTCGATACTGAGGCGCTGTCGTACTTAAACTTTCAACACTTCATACATAATCCTTTTGAAATTCAGTGATGGGGTTTAAATTATGCTCATTCAGTTACAGTGGAGTTGATAGTTTCACAGCCTTTTCCAGTCGTTTGCTGTTGTCTTTAGAGATGTTCGTCAGGGAGGATCTTTTGAGGCTCGTGTTTAATTTTATTCAGGAATTCAAGTATCCGCCTCAGAAACACCTCAGTTTTAAAATTAAACTCTTATCATATTGGTGCTTTGTGTTTATAAACAGCTAAGATTTTAACTGAAGCAAGCAGTTTTAGGTCCTGCTTCTTTAAAGCTCCAGTGAGGAACTTTCTGTCAGTGTTGAATTTGGCGCTCCTTGTGGACAAAGTGATATTTCTTATCTACTGTTACTGCAACAAGATATGTTTTCAGATCTTGTCTTTTAACTCATTCAGTGCCAGGTTCATGTATGCAATTTTCACCCAGTGCCACCATTGACCACAATAGAAATTTCCGTATCTTTCAGGACCCACAGAATATCCTGAGCTTGGACTAGAATTAAGTGCAATATCTCAAAAAAAAGGGGTGATTCTCTTCTTTCACCCAAAAAAAAAAAGTTAATCTCTAACCCACTCCTGTGTTCATATTATCTTTGCCGATCTGAAAAAATAAATCTGGGAAAAACACATTTTTATGACGGAGAGACTTTCAAGCAGAAGTCTGATCGTCTATTTTATTTCACTTTAAACTACTTTACCGGTGGCATCAAGATCATTCCTCCTCGGACACTGCTCCTCATCACTCTCGAGATCCGATTGTGATAGGTCACTTTGTGATAGCTGAGAGTCGTATTGGCCTCTTGAGAACCTGACGCCGGGACTTCTTGCGCCGTCGTCGCCAGGACTGTCGCTGAATTCCAGCTCAGTCTTGCTCACCAGTACCGGCACCGGCAGCATAACGACACACCGGAAAATTATTTCTTTGATTGCCTCCTGATGATGTGAGGGTCCGGTACTGAAATCTCCACTGGATACAGAGACGGTAGCACCGCGCCCATGGGAACCAATGCGCCCAGACCGTTAGCTCTTGGCTAATGACACTTGATGGCACGCTTCTCACTGGCGAGTACTTGTTTTTGTTATTGTAACATGGTTATGATGTATTTGTCGGCTTTCCTGCGTTCAGAACGACCCCAAACTTAGTCCCATGTTGGGAGGGAGCGCCCTCTGGTGGAAAACAAAAAAACTGAAAAATCTGTCAAAATCAGACAATGGCACTGAATGAGTTAACAGTCAAGTTTTTTTTTTGTTTTTTTTTTTTGTAATTTGCTAAAAACTTTTACCTAACTTGTACCTTTACCCCTACACAGTGATTGCAACCATTCAAATTTCCAGCAAGGAAATCTAAATTTTTTTATTTTTTTTTGATAGCTTTGTAGTTCATTAAAAGGCATCATGGTTTAATAACCAGATAAAAATTCCTCACAGGAGCTTTAAATGATCCAGAAAGCTCTCAAAGTTCTCATCAGCCTGTTCACTGAAAGCCCAACAAAGGGGCAGCAGCAGCAGCATCAGGCGACTGTTTACCTCCTTAACTTCTGTGAGCTCTGCTTGGACTAGAAACTTGAAAGTATTCTTGAGAAAACATATTTAAAACCTCTCAGACATATTGAGCACACTGCGTTCTGCTGTGCCTGCAGACGAGGACTTCAGAAAGACGTCCAAGACCAGCAGAAAGAAGAATAAATGAAAACCTCGTATTCAAATCAGTCTAAACCCTGAGCCTCTGAAGCATGAGGTTTCAGTACAGTATACGACGTTCACCGTGTGTAAAACTCTGGCTTCATATCAAAACATCAGAACAGGTTGTGACTAGTATTTTAGCGTATTTGGCGCCTTTTTGAAATCATTTTGATTACATTGAAGATAGTGGAGAGGCTCCGGTGCTGTTTGGTTGCTGAGGGAGCTCTTTCTGTCAAACATACTGAGTCCTCTTGTTCTACAATGCAGCTGAATACCTGATAAATAAAAACAACCTTTTTTTTCTCTCTGTGAAGCAGAGGACAATCTCATAAAGGATTAAAATAAGATGATCAAACGCCTGCAACTATTTGTGTCTAGCCAGCATCCACGTCAGGCATGTCCTCATCTGTGTCTCCTTCCTCGGCTCTACTTCCTTACCTTCTTCCTTTCCTTCCTCCTTTCACATGTCAGGGTGGCAGACTGTTTATTCGTCACTGACAGCTCACAGGCTCAGAGAACACGCCATCGATCACCATTTCGGAGGTGATGGGGGTTTTGTGGGGGCGGGAGTCGAGGTGACTAAGTGTTGCGCGTGATTATCCTATCGGAACTGGTTTTAACCTGCACATTCAGCTGTGTGTGTGTGTGTGTGTCTGTGTGTGAGAGGAAAGAGAATGAGCGTACAGGGTAGAAATCACTCACAGGCAGCTCCTCCTTTCCCGGCAGCAGCATCTCAGGCGGCGTTCGATGCCGAGCGCTGATGAGACGCAGATCAACAATCAAGCCTTGTTTTCCTTGCGGCTGTCATTTTGCAAGGCGCTGATATAAGGCAGCATTGCCAAAAGTCTGTGTTTAAAACTTCACGCTCCATTGACTGTGCAATCACGGCCAAGAGAATGGCTCTGTAATAACCTCGGCGTGACGACTGCCCGCATCTCTCTATCGTACAGTCTCCACCAAAGCCTCCATCACCTCAGCTCACTTTCACCTGAGTCATTTCCTGCTTTTCTGCATATTTATTCTCTCCTTGCCCTTTCAATAAATCTCGCCTTATCTTAATCTCTCTTTCTTGTAATTCCCCCGCTGCTTGTCTATTTCTTTTCCTCCCTGCCTGGAGGAGTGTGTCTCAAATATCTGGCGGCTTCCTTTGGTGCCTGTCTGTCTGCCAGTCAAGAAATTATCATCTTTACTTGCCTGAATTTTGATGCAAGTTATTATTTTGGCTCTGTTAAATGTCTGTTAATATCACATTTAAGCAAACTAAGTGTCTGCATAACAATCTTTGTTACTTTGTCTCTTGCAACTCATGTATCAGTCAGCTTTATTCAGATTTTCAGCATTTTTTTTAACATGAAATCCTGCTCAAAACTTTTGCGAGTCACAAAACATTTTAGTTTTTTCCCCCTCACCTAATTTTGTGCAACAGCTTTTGTTACTAGTTGTACATCCGGAGGAGACCGCACTTCTCTAGCGTGTAAAACCAAATGAAAGTGGGTCCCGTTCAGCACCGAACAGCAGATAAACACAATGAAGGGCTGTAGCTGAGGAAAGTGGTGAAGCATTCAGCTGCTGAAGAGCCAAATATTTCCTCTGAGAGTTTGTAGCAATCAAAAACAGTGCTTAAAGAGAGCGACTAATGGACTCACATTCGTCAGGTTTTCACAGATGGGACTCTAACTGAATGGCAATGTTGTTCCACAACTGCTTGATATGCAAACTACCTTTCGACTAGTTTAAAGGCTGTTTTGTGCTCCCAAGTGATCGAAAAATCGAATTATTCTTGTTTGAGGAGCCAAAAAGGCATAAGTAATCCATTCAAAATGTTGAAATGCATCACTCAGAGAGACTTCTACAAGAGCAGCTAAAAAAGGAAATGTCCTGAAAAAGTTCATTTTTCCTAATAACTTTCTAAAAACCAAGCCTTTTTTGCTGGAAATGCATGTAAAATGAGGACATCTATGTAACTACAAGGTCTACTAGAGGAAATGTACAACCATGTTTTGGCCAAGCAGTGTCTGTGTTTGCTGGACTTTGGTTGTTTTTGGCTTCTTTCTCTGCCATGCTTCTGTGTAGCCGTGGATGCTTTGTATCTTGACATGAGCAGCAGCTGATGCGTTTTGGATGATGTAAAGTTGTATACGAGCCAGAAATGTGGCGACTGGGTCCACACAGAGGTGCTTCATAAAGTTTGATGTTTAGTTGTTTATTTGAGTAGTGTCAGGACTGTGTTTTGGTCATATAAACATGTTTTTTACACGTTGTAGGCCAGCTTCTGCTGTTTAATTTGACATATTACATGAGTATTACATATTCTTTCAGAAATAGCACAGTGGTAGCTCTGCGATTTTTCTGCATTAGCTAGGGTCCCCTGATTTTAGAAGGATAAGTGAATACAAAGAGTGAAACCTCCATATATTCTAGATTCATCCCACACAAAGACGTTTTCAGTTTGAATCCTCATGAGTACTGCTTACAGTTCAAGAAAATCAAGTATCCAGTATCTCAAAACATTTGAGTATTGTGGAAAAGTCCAGTCACCTCACAGCAAGAGGGTCCTCGGTTCAAATCCGGGTCTGGGCGTTTCTGTGTGGAGTTTGCATGTACTCTTTGTGTCTGCGTGGGTTTACTCTGGGTACTCCGGTTTCCTCCCACATCCCAAAAACACGCCTAAGTGAGGTTAGGTTAATTGGCCGCTTTCAAATTGCCCGTAGGTGTGAATGTGAGTGTGGATGGTTGTTCGTCTCTATATGTCAGCCCTGCGATGAACTGGCGACTTGTCCAGGGTGTCACCTGCCTTCGCCCAAAGATGCTGGGATAGGCTACAGAATATATTACACAGAATATAAATTTTTCTCCCCCCTGCCTGCGATGTTGACATGTAGTAACTGTAAGACTGGTTTGTGCTCAAGTCTTCTTTTTTCCGTACAGCTCCATTTTTAAAAGTTATTAGGGAGTTCATGTTTTCTATGATTGACACTTGATACAGCCAATGGGTGTACGAAGATTGCGTAGCTCACCTGGGGATACGCTGTTTGAGCCAAGAGTCATGACAGCGACTCTCCTGCCAAATGCGTACAACGCTACTGCACATTGTTGGTTTCAGGAAGTGGAGAAAAATTGCGTAAATACGAATAAGAACTTTTTGGCTTCAAATCTGTATACTGGCGGGAGGCGGAACCAAGTTGTCCACAGTATATACAGTCTATCAAAACAACCTGGACCTCCATTAACACCCTAGCAGAGCCACAGACTGATTTCCTCCACGCAACATTATATTGATGCAGTAATTCATGCAAAAGGAGCTCAGACCAAGTACTCAAGGCATAAATTAGCATAATATCCCATAAAGTTGACATTTTGGTGTTATAAATCTTTTTTTTCTTTTTTTATTGAGTGAGATTTTGTGAGCAGTAAGTTGTAATCGCCAAGATTCAAACAAAAGAAATAGACTATACGGAAATTTCACTTTTTAAATTGAATTACAGGGGAAATAAATGAACTTTTTGGGGACATTCAGATTTTTTAAGCTGCACTTGTATTTTCTTTTCATTGCTACCATGAATTAAACATCTGTCTCATTTACCTCTCTCCTATATCACTTTCTTACTCCTCTTTCTTTTCGCCTTCCCTGTCTGTTTGCAGGCGGAGTTGAGCTGGGCATCAATGCGAGCGGACAGAGACTCAAACACTGGTTCGAGTGTCTCAAAAACAAAGGGAAGAAAGTGGAGTTCTGGCATACGCTCACACAGCAAGGAGCCCCGAGCAGTGACAAACCGGACTAGATAACACTAGCCGCTCATGCATAGAAACACACACAAACAACACACTTGTCTAACTGAAGGTTGGTTGACAAAAGAGATCAAACAAGGCCAGGATTTAAAAATGCAATAATAATGATGTTTAAAAAAAAAACGACGTCCCTCATTGACACCAATACAAGTATTAGTATATGATATTCATACTAATATTAGTGATGGTAATAATGTGTAAGCTGAATACATTTTTTAAAATGTATTTTTTTCTAAAGGTGAACCAAATTGTGACTATGTCCTCATTAAAGTGTTGACGTAACGAAACAGTACTCACGAAAATTGTGCTTTAGACCTCACTGTATTGTGGAAGTGGCTCATACTCTGTCGTTCAAATTTACCCTCGACGAAGGCATTTGAGATTAATGTCCTCAAATTTATTCAGCGAAAGGGGCCAAAAGTGTGTGTGCATAAGTACAAGTGACTCATGATGTGGTGTATAGTTACAGAAATGAGGGTGATTGTGTTGTAAGAAGTCTCTAACTTAGTGGTTGTTAATCTGATGCAAAACAACACACCGTCTTATAAAGCACAAAAGATCCATTTGGTGGATTTGTACCTTTACCGTTTCAGTGTTCTTGTTCTTATGTCTCATTGTCTTTCAGTGACAGTGGCTTTCTACACACCTCCATATCAAACATTGAAATGTTAGTGTGCCTGTGTGTGTGTGTTTATGTGTGTGTGAGGGCTATGAGAATGAGTGCCTACATTTTCTGTCTGTTTTGTGTCTGTATGTCCGTCTGGATTTACGCCATGTCCCATTCGGAATGTTTCCGTCAAACTGCAGAAGCACAGAGGTGTGAAGAAATGATAACAAAGGACAAGAGAGACCAAAACTGGAGAGAAATCCTCCTCAGTCTCCACCACAGACAACACCGCAGGGGTGTGGGTGTTCCCGACTGCAGGACTCTGTGAAGCTGTCAATTGTACGTCCCAGACCTTTACCACCTTTCTCCCTCAGAGCCAGAAACTTCCAGAATTGAATACATCCTGCTAAATAACCCCTGACCACTCTTTTTGACTCTCCCTGATGAAAAAGTTGTGTTGGCGGCAGGCAGATCGGATATTACTTTTTCGAGATTCTGCTTGTACCTTTACCCTCCGAGCAGTTTTTTTTTCTTCTTTTGTGGCTCCAATTCGTCCTCAGCAGAGTCATCAATGATGCAATGGTCCTCCCTGTGGAGCAATATCAAAGCAGTTTTGGATGCTGCAGCGTTCGATTGGTCCTGCTGTCTGATTTAGAGACCTAGGCTAGAGCATGTTAATCTCCCCTAACTCACTTTACTCACTCCTTCAGACATGTTAAAAAGAAAACACTTCCACAGTTTGATAAGGCCACACAGGGATCAGGATCTATTCACGTAACCTGGTTAAAATCATATGTAAAGTTGTTGTAGGTTAACAGCAGCTCACAGAGAGGGATGCTAAAGTAATCCTATTCAAACAGTGGCCATGTTTAGACGGTACAACGCTCTAATGTTATTTGGAAGTCTTATGAATGTAGTGTATTTGACAATTATTATTGTGTCATTAGCCACTAATGAGCAACTGAAAAGAAAGACGATGTGTAATGGGAATGAAGAGCGAGATCTGCCCGTGTTTCAAAGTAAACAACCCTTTAGCTTCCACAGCTACAACAGCTCAAGATTGTATTCACACATTTCCTAGCTTACAGCTTGTTTACATTCAGTTACAGAGTAAAATTATGTGTTTATAGGAATTGATTCCTTTCCTGATATATTTTGTGACACAGCCAAAGACTAAAATTTGGGCTCAGTTACTTCCTAGTTCGCTGTAATTTTGGTTTTACTTCAGCTAAACAGCCAGTTTAAAATCGCAGCATTTCATTTAAATCATTTCTGCCTAATGACCGTTCAGTTCCTGACCACTGTCGAAGTCGATAACTGTATTAAACTGTCAGATAGCTATTTTACAGAAAACTAGAACAGTCATGGGTTTTTCTCCTTTTTATGCACTTTTATCTCCTGATAACGACAACAAAGATAGTATTTTCATGATAACAAATTATTTTATTTTCATTATCTCGACATTACAAAGATCATATTCTCGTGATAACAAATTAATTTATAATGTGTCCGCCATAGTTACTGTTGTTGTCCAATTCGCACATGACAGTTAAATGTTCCCACGTCGTAATGCGCTTGCGCAAAGTGCAGCGTGACGTCAGCGTTTTCATTGAAAACCCTGCTAGAACGCCATTTCTGTTATCACAAGAAAACAATCTTTATGCTGAAATAACAAAATTACTGGTTCTCACGAGAAAACAGTGCATAAAAAAAGAAAAATCTACGTCTGTTCTCGTCTCCTGTACTATTTGTCTGTATTTCGGAATTTTAAAAAATATGATTACCGATTTTTTCCAACCCCTCCATTGATGAAAGTTTGTCAGCACTCAGTATTATGTCAGATAAAGAGTTGTAATTTTTATATGTCTTGTAATGATAACTTATAGTAATTTTGGCTCCTGTCCACTCACTAGTTTACAGTAATATCTATGAGTAAGTGGCTGAGCGCTAATATTGGCTGTTCTCTGACCACAGCGACAAAAACAATAAGGGGAAAATGGCCACTGCATGAATATGATAAATGTAAAGCACCTGTCTGCTCTGTCCTCAGGAGGTACAAAGGGGGTTACACCCTGCATGTAGAAAAGTGACCGCAGGCGCAGTGAATAATAACTAGAGGCCAGGATCCAGTCAACATAAAAACCTTCACTACATTGTAAACGTAATCTGCATGTGTCAGTTGTGCACATCTCTACATGTTGAAGATGATCATAGCTAAGACTTTCACTGAGTTGTCTAAATAACAGCCAGGATATCAGTTTTAATCGGCCATTAATTCCTCACTCTGGTACTGGCAGCGTGTAGGTACATGCGAGCACACCCACAGTCAGTCAGTCAGTCAGTAGCCTCTGGGAGTTTTCTAACTGTTGAATCGATCTGGCTGCTCATATTCTTGGTGTCCTTCAACAACCTTGTGTCTCATCATTGACTGCAAAAAATGGATCCTTCAGTGGTGAATTAGGTTACAAATAAAAAGGGCTTGAGCATTATCAGAGTTGGGACTAATTGTTGTGCAATGACAGGAAACTTCAAACACATTTTCAGTTTGATTTTTTTTTTTTTTTTTTTTAAAGGATGCTGATATTATTCTGTACTTTTTCTATGCACATTGAAACACCCAGTGCGTCAGCAGCCAGATAATCAAACCAAAACAAAAACATGATTGTGTTATCCCAGCATTATAGATGCATTTCTGGGAATACTCAGTACTTTGATTGGGGCTGTGCTGGGTGACAGTGATCTAATAGAGTTCACATTCTTGGCTTGAGGGTTGCTTATTCCCGTCTGTGGGTCTGTTGGTTCTGTTTACAGTCACTAAATTTTCTGACTATTGTCTAATGATCCCACTTTGCTTGTGTAATTCTTTATCTGCACTATAGCTGCATGTTTAGCAAACACAAGCAATCACTATCAGCTTGTGTAACAGAGCGCCTTAGCAAGTTGTTCTGAATGTGGATGTGTTTACAGTCTATGCCATCCATTCAGTCTTAGTGTATATTGTTTGAGAATACAAAAATTCAGGGTACTTTTTGCTTAATCGCTTCGCTTGACCAAGTAGGCTGTTGATTTCTAAAAAGCAAAACCTTTACTGTTACGGACTTTGACACTCGTCTTCCTACAGTGATATGGCTGGTAATGATGCAGGAGGGCAGGGACGAATGAGATGGGAAGTCATTACTGCAGTTCCTGTGTATTCACTGTCGATGTCAATCATACAGTATGGCTGCCATCCTGTGGTGGGTTTGTGTAATTACTTCAAAAAATAAACTGAAGTTATTTCAGTGGATGTCTGTCGTCCTTTGCATGAGATCCACATTTTGCTTTATTTTTTAAAATATTAGGCAACAAATGTGTAGGTTCATATGTGTTTATTCATACCCATTCAGAGCTGTATACATATGTTTCTGTGAGCCTCACTAGCTACTTTGACTCATACTGGGAAAAAAAACAGTCGGACTCCTGCTTTGATTCTATCAGATAGCCCTGAGTTACTCCTGTTTCTTTCTTTCTCCTCTATGGGTCAGTCACTCTACCGATAAAGAGAGGCACATTGGCCTGGTCACTCCACAGCAGCATGATGAAAGGCCGCAGGGCAGAGAAGGACGGGAAAGTGCGAGAGAACGTCATGCTGGTGACAGCTCCGGCCTCGACCCCGTGTTCAGTGAGAGTGAGGAAGGCTCTGTGTCTCGCATCATCAAGGAGCAGCTTCTCTTCCCGGTTCAAGCCACAGAGATTGGCGTCTTCAAAAAGGGTTGACAGGCCTGTTTTGAGGGAAAAGTGACAGAAAATTGCAGATGGAGGAAAATGTGAGAGAAAAGTGAAACCAGACCTGATGCATAGACATCAAAGAGCAATGAGACCTAATAGCTGTCTATTTGAAGTGATTTGCTCTCAAATCATGGATGGTATTTATGTTTTAGATCCGCTGACTTTGAGTCTGACAGAAAAATGAAGGTAAGCAAACCTAATTTTTTTATCAGTGTGATCATGTCTGGTTGGACATCCAGTCTGATCATGGGCAGAGTGACCTCCGCACGCTGAGTAGAGACCGTCGTCATTTGATCTATCATTTGTTGAACAGCAGTGTCCGTCATCTTCTCCTCCAACGCCTGTAGGTCAGCCAATGTGCCAGTGAGAGGCAGCAGGATGTAAAGACTGGTTTCACCAGTGAGACCAAATCTTGCCACCTGTTGGCCAAAGTTAAATTCCTGGTGTTAATGCATGGGTTCTCAAAAAATGTCTAAATTTCTATCAGTGTGGAGGGCAAATGCACAATCACTAAGTTATTCCACAAATATTCGCAGCGGGTTGTTCATTCATATTTTGGCAAAAGACACACTTAGCTGTATGATAAATTAGCTATTTGCATCTTCAATGTACAAAACCCAATTCCAATGAAGTTGGGAAGATTTGTAAATCGTAAATAAAAACAGGATACAATGATTTGCAAATCATTTTCAACCTATATTTGATTGAATTCACTACAAAGACGAGATATCTAATGTTCAAACTCATAAACTTTTTTTTATTTTTTGCAAATAATAATTAACTATAGAATTTGATGGCAGCAACACGTGACAAAGAGGTTGGGAAAGGTGGCAAAAAATACTGAGAAATTTAAGGAATGCTTATTAAACACCTATTTGGATCATCCCACAGGTGAGCAGGCTCATTGGGAACAGGTGGGTTCCATGATTGGGTATAAAAGCAGCTTCCCCAAAAATTCTCAGTCATCCACAAGCAAGGATGGGTCGAGGTTCACCACTTTGTGAACAACTGCGTGAGCAAATAGTCAAACAGTTTAAGAACGTTTCTCCACGGCAATAGCAAAGAATTTAAGGATTTCAACATCTACAGTCCATAATATCATCAAAAGGTTCAGAGAATCTGGAGAAATAACTGCACATAAGCAGCACGGCCAGAAACCAACATTGAATGCCCGTGACCTTCGATCCCTCAGGTGGCACTGTATCAAGAACCGACATCAATGTGTAAAGGATATCACCACATGGGCTCAGGAACATTTCAGAAAACCACTGTCAGTAAATACAGTTCGTCGCTACATCTGTAAGTACAAGTTAAAACTCTACTTTGCAGAGCGAAAGCCATTTATCAACAACATCCAGAAACGCCGCCGGCTTCTCTGGGCCAAAGCTCATCTAAGATGGACTGATGCAAAGTGGAAAAGTGTTCTGTGGTCTGATGAGTCCACGTTTCAAACTGTTTTTGGGAATAGTGGACATCATGTCCTCCGGGCCAAAGAGGAAAAGAACCATCCGGACTGTTATCGATGTAAAGTTCAAAAGCCAGCATCTGTGATGGTATGGGGGTGCATTAGTGCCCAAGGCATGGGTAACTTACACATCTGTGAAGGCAACATTAATGCTGAAAGGTACATACAGGTTTTGGAGCAACATATGCTGCCATCCAAGCAACATCTTTTTCATGGACGCCCCTTCTGCTTATTTCAGCAAGACAACGCCAAGCCACATTCTGCACGTGTCACAACAACGTGGCTTCATAGTAAAAGAGTGTGGGTACTCAACTGGCCTGCCTGCAGTCCAGACCTGTCTCCCAAATGTGTGGCGCATTATGAAGCGCAAAATATGACAACGGAGACCCCGGACTGTTGAACAACTGAAGCTGTACATCAAGCAAGAATAGGAAAGAATTCCACCTTCAAAGCTTCAACAATTATTCTCCTCAGTTCCCAAACGTTTATTGAGTGTTGTTAAAAGGAAAGGTGATGTAACACGGTGGTAAACATGCCCCTGTCCTAACTACTTTGGCACGTGTTGCAGCCATGAAATTCTGAGTTAATTATTATGTGCAAAAAAAATAAAGTTTATGAGTTTGAACATTAAATATCTTGTCTTTGTAGTGTATTCAACTGAATATAGGTTAAAAGGGATTTACAAATCATTGAATTCTGTTTTTATTTACATTTATCAGTTTCCCAACTTCAGTGGAATTGGGTTTTGTAAACAAAGACAAATATCAAACGTCTGTCTCTTTCATAAACCTTTTATCTTGTGCTCCTAGTCCTACATGAAATCATAATCGGTTTCCATTTTATGCCAGTTGCAGCTATTTGGCACAAATAATAAATTTAAAAAAAAACCTAAACCGCATTTCTGCTCACCCATATCATAACCTTAATCCACCTCCACTGCTGAATATGTCTGTAAAGATGGGTTTTTGCCTGTCTTTACCTGTGCTCCCAGCTCAGTGTTGTAGGTCATAGCCACGACGTAGTTCTGGTGGAAGAGGACGGGCACCTTTACCAGATCACCATTCAGTTTAGTGAAAAGCCCTTTCCTTGGTTTCGCATTAAACTTGACTGTCCATTGACCTGAGGAGGACACACAGTTCATTATGACACGAATGTTTCACACACTTACCAATACGCACACAAACTTGTATTCACACACTTCACTAACCACTAAAGGAGACAGCATTGAGCAGCATCAGTTGGGTATTGGGTGATACAGAATCAATCAAGTCTGTGATTCTGTTGTTGGTCTTATTTGCCACCCAGGTGTTGATCATCTCAGTGTTGTTCTCGCTGTCTTCCAGCAGTCTGGTTGGCTCTGCCTCATAGTACTGAACAGACTGGTTAGCGAAGGATTCACTTAGTTTCATTCCTGAGAAAGAGAGCAGAGGCAAGGTTGGGAGCCTTAAAACGTGGTGTGCACAGTGACACAACAACTCTGTACAGAGTAACTATGTGTGAAGGTGAGAAATACCGGAGCTGTAGTAGATCTGAGATGCCATCTGCAAAGAGCCTTCCAACTTCTCTTTCAGCTTCCTCATCTGGAAGTGAACGCAGTGGAAATCATGTGACACAAAGAGAGCCCTTTCAATGGCTCTGCGGGTGTCACCCCTGGAACCTGAAGGTAACAAGAAGGAAAGAACATTATGAAGAAAAATTGACATTTCTTGGAAAACTACATTTGCAGGTAATTATAACTTGCACTCGGCAGAATTGTTCTGTGTTCTGTGATTTCTTAGTTTCAACAAATCCTATTTTGGAACTACAATGTACATTTTCAGAGATGGCATATTGGAGGAGCAGACTTCCTCTTCTGAAAGATGTTTGGCTTTGAACTTTTGTAGTAGTCGTGGATCTGCACTAGGAAACACGATGATCCCATTGTGCGTCTGGCCCTAGAGCACTAAAGATACAACAATGTCAATCACCAGGAGTGCTTCTCGTACACCCAGCTAACCACAACCTGATGGTTAGATCAATTAGACTGGAGGGGGGGCAGACCTGGAAGACTGAGACCTGTGTTTGCAAGGTGTCAACTCACAACTCCAAATGAATTATTTTCCTTTGTCCAGGGAGATCTTGCCCACACACATGGCAGATGTTGTCAAGGTAGTCAAGAGGCGCCACAGTGGCAGAGTGACAGGTGTGAATGATACAAAAGCTGAGGCGTTAAAAGGCTCAGGTCATCGATCAGCTGTCTTGTCGGACTTGCCTTTTCATGTCAAAAGCAGTAATGTAGTTTTCACCTTGAAAGTGATACTGTGGACCAGCTGTTTACAAAGTTATGGGCTTTGAGGCAAGTGCTGGACCCACAAGGCCCTCCTGTCCTTAATAAACCAAAGTGAGAGCTGTGTCCTAGTCCTCAGCACAGTCAGATATTTTCCCAGTACCTGTTGGCCTTCCTATCAGGGTTGTCTTTTGTCACAGCTAGTTATGACTTTAAAAGTGCAGATGAAAGAAGGAGCATGTGGTGACCTCAGAATTGCATTTCTGCTGTGTGCAATTCCACCGTTCGAGGGTTGTTATCAGAGTTTGTTGCCAATAAGAGAAAAACACTTATGAACACTTCATGAACGGATTATTAAACCTGAAACTTGCTTTTGTTTTCATACCTAGCAACAAATGCGACAGTGCCCCAGCGATACTGATCGGAGAGAAGAGCAAGTTGCGGGAGGGTTGTGACTGCCTGAGGTGAGAATACGCCTTCATTGAAAACTCTGCCAATGATTCCCGCAACATCGGTCCCCCTGTTCGGCTGTTTTCATCCAGGCAGGGCTCCCATGATTCGCTGAAACCACTGCATGAGTATGGAACCTCAGTGGGAGCAGCTGAAAGTTGTTAAAATGAGGGGTTAGTAACATACATGAAAGCTGTTACTGCATTGTGTCGTTATGATTCAAAAGGGTTGGCAGACACAATCTTTATAACTCATACAGGTCTGTCTTCTCCTTTCATTATCAATTGTTCTAAACTATACAGATACTGCATCAACTCAGCAGCTTTATGGAAAAGAATGACAGACTTACCTTCAATAAAGGTGTATACGGTGCTCAGTGTCTCCCCTTCTGCAGATACACATTTGTAAATTCCTGTATCTGTCACAACAGCGTTTCTGAGTATGATGGTCTGATCCTGATCAAATGGATAAAGCTGTTCTATCCTCATGTCACCGTCTGATGAGCGGTCTTCAAGATTCAGCTCTGTTTCCTGGTTCTCGGTCTTTTTGACCCAAACCGCATTAGCTGAGACTCGGCTGAAAGGTGGGAAAAAGCACGGGAGATGACCGCTCTGGCCTTCCATTATCTTCATGGTGAAGACGTTTGCAACTGTCAGGAAAGACACACTCTCTTTTGATCAAAGCTCTCAAATTCGTACATTCGCACACATTTTAAGTTAAAATGTTGGACTGATAGAATAATGTGTTTTAATTTTTGATGTCACCTACCAACAACAAAAATGTCATACGTCAAACTCATTTCCATGTTGTTCTCACTGACTGAACACTCATACGTGCCGTTGTGAGCAACAGTGACGGGGGAGAGAATTAAGCCTTTCTTCTTCAGTCTAGTCGAGCCAGATGACTGAGGTGTGAGGTGATCCATGACTTCACCTGCATTGAGGAAAAGATAAAACTTGAGAATATATGCCACTGATTTATTTCTTTTTAGAACAAATTCAGGTCATAGCAGCGGTAGTTTGAGTGGTATAATAATGTGACCGTTGAATTTCCAGGTGACAGGTCCGGTGAAATCGGTTAGAAGTGTGAAACAAGGCAGCTCCAGTGTTGAACCAGGGGTCACCTGAAGCTTTATGCATGATGAGAGCTAAACAAAAATGACAAGAAAGTGAGGCTACAGCTGCTTTTCTCTGAAGAAGAAAAAAAACACAAGAAAGGCATATAGTCATGGAAGATACTGGTGAACAATGTGTTTGAGAGTTAATTTGTCATTTATATGGTAGTTTTACCTCAAAATTGAGCAGCAGGGCAAAGCAAAGTAAGGCCAGTAGTCTCATCTAAAGCAGAATACAGAAAAAAGTGAGAGACTGATGGAGTAGTTTTGCTTGATAAGAGGGTTAAAATGTAAACAGAAGTAATCAACCATGAGAAGGAACGCTTGTGGAGCATTTACATTATCATTACCCGATTAGGGCTTTGATAGGTACATCCTTGAATTTAATCTTGACAAGCCATCGTTTGTGCACAGCAATAAAACATAATATCAAGCAAAATGATATTGGTAAAATTCTGTTAAAACTTACATTTCTTCTTTTTCCAGATAAATCCAGAATCTGACTCCTGTTTGCATCCAGCTCCTGTTCTCCTCTATCTAAAACCTGCGACTGTCTACTCTCCTAAACTGAAACCTAAAATGGCTTATCTATGATTGTTAGCTTAGACGTGTTTGTTTACACAGATCTACCGACTTGCTGGAAATCACATGATTTCACTTGCTGGCAAAGAAATACAGTGGGATGTTAATATTGCTTTTTTGCACTAGCACACATACTTTTTATCAGCAAAAATGCAATATTTAAATATTTATATCGTTCCTCATCAGCCTTGACAAGTGAAACACAAGTGGTTGTGGATGGACACAGTTTTTGTTATTTATGTAAAGTTTTTTTGCCTGGAGTGTTTACATGATTTGACTTTGCCAAGTGTTTCTTCAGCAGACAAGCACCTGGCTGAGGACCAACAGAAACAGAGTTTGTGCTTCTTCATAGAAAAAAATAAAGTTTGTGGAAAAGACTCCAAAATGAGGTACACAATGATGGAGGTAATTTATCAACAAGTGTTCGTATGAAAAAAAAATCTTAATTGCACTTCACTCTGTTTTATCTGGCAAGCAGCAAAAAGGACATGCGTGTTAAATATCATTGCTGTTTGTAGATTTACATGAAAAAATGTTAAAACAAATGCAGTTGTGTTAAAGTTTATCCATATTATATAGGGGAGAGTGGGGTAAGATGAGCCATTTTTCATATTTCAGATCACTACGTCAAGGCAATCATAGTTTTGTCTCTAACTAGACTATCTACATATATTTCAAGATGTTGTGCATCCCTGCAAACCAACAGAATGAGTGTAAACATAACTGTCTTGATAATATAGCATGCCAGTAAAAAAGTGGTCTCCTATGGTCAACTTATCCCGTGTATGGGGTAAGTTAACTATAGGAGCGGGGTAAGTTGAGCCATGTCCATACTACCCCCACACTCTCCACCCCAGCCCTCCCGCACCCTCTCTCTCTGTAAATAACAGTCACTTCTTCACATTTTTATCTATTATATGCTATTCAACTGGTACAATAATTCTCTTTCTCAGTTGAGCCACTGGTTCAACTCACCCCAGAACTACTATTGTGACTTTATTAGTCCTCTTTTATGTCAGGTTTTTGACCTTATTTTGTAGCTAATAGATACGACAATTGATGTAAATTTAGAATAATCTTTTTTTGGTCTGAACACAATTCTAGTAAAACTTATGACAGACTAAATTCACTTTCAAGAGTGAAAAATGTTTTTTTTTGTAAATAAATGTCTAACCTCTTCACCCATGTATGTCTAACCTTCACAGACTCCATGAATTGATGTCCATCTCCTAAATATTTGGTCACATGATCAATTTCTTTCAACATACCGTATCCAAGCAACAGGAGGTGGCTAAACTTACCCTTTGGCTCAACTTACCCCACTCTCCCCTATTTTATCTGTAATTTTCTGTAAACTTCCTGATACTTTCTTCCCTTTTTTGCTTCAGTAACACCTTTAATGTGTGAACTGAACTTTTAATGAGTTACGTTTGCAGTTTGCCATCAGGTCTTCGGCTACAATTATCGAAATAAGCCTAATTAGTATTTCGTCTTACGCGACTGTTACGCAAGTCAGCGCATCGATCGACAACTCCACATTCGATCGAGTGGACTGTTTCCCGAGGAGATCTTTGGGCGTAATCAGTCGAGTGCAGTCGAGGTCCGGGTGTTCACAGAAAGGAATCCTAACTTTTTACAAAAGCTTTTCTCGAGCTTGAGAACAAAAGGTGGATTTATCGGAAGGTTTTCTACACAGTTGCCATGAATTTTAAAACAAAATAGCCCATGTCTGAGGAGCGTGGAGCGCGGTTCGGCCTCCCTGGAGAAAAAGAAAACTTTTAAAGACAGTAAGTTTTCATCCTTGTCATCTGATCGACTAGCGGAAAGAGCACAAACAATGGCAGAGACTTAAAGCACAGCCACACTTAGCTGCTGCTAACTCGCGTTTAATGCTCTTTAAAATCCTGACAATCACTTTAGACTATTTTCTGACTCTGGTGTCTGGAGTTTACTCTTTGTTTATAGCAGCCAATATTGATGCGCAGACAGAATACACGAGCTCCTGACTGTATGTAAAGGCACGTGTCATACTACTTTAAAAGATTATAGTGAATAAAAAAGACAAAAAGAGGCAATAATTCAACAACAACAACAACATAAAAAAACACGGAGAGTCAGAGTGGGGTATGCTGAGCCACCCCCTGTTGCTTGGAAATGTTGAAAGAAGTTGATCATGTGACCAAATATTTAGGAGATGGGCATCAATTCATGGAGTTTGTGACGGTAAGAAGCACATGGGTGAAGGGGTTAGACATTTATTTACAAAACAAAAACATTTTTTATTCTTGAAAGTGAATTTAGTCTGTCATCAGTTTTATTAGAATTGTGTTCAGACCAAAAAAGATCATTTTAAAGTTGTTTTATACATAAATTGTGGCATCTATGAGCTACAACATGAGGTCAAAAACGTCACATTAAAGACTAATAAATTCGTAATAGTAGTTCAGGGGTGAGTTGAAACTGAGAAAGTAAAGAAGTCTGATGAGAGGATCAGAGTTTCAGTTCAGATTGTTGAAATGTGTTACTTTTTCTTTTCAAAAATACAGCTGTGAATGTTCTGAATCACTTAAAGACATTCTCATGTCAAAATGACTTTTTACAAAACAGCTTTTAAGCAGTTATATGCAATAATAATAAAAAAAATTATTGTACCAGTTGAATAGTGTATAATAGATAAAAATACACATGAATGTGAAGAAGTGACTTATTAAGGGAGAGAGAAGGTGATGGAGGGCTGGGGTGGAGAGTGGGGGGCTAGTATGGCTATAGCATGGTCAACTTACCCCATACACGAGGTAAGTTGACCATCGGAGACCACTGTTTTTGTCAGGCTAAATTATCAAGGCAGTTATGTTTACACTCATTCTGTTGGTTTGCAGGGATGCACAACATCTTGAAATATATGCAGATACACTAGTTAGAGACATGATTGCCTTGATGTAGTGATCTGAAATATGAAAAATGGCTCATCTTACCCCACTCTCCCCTATAACTTGTTTCTTTTATGTCCAGATTGATCATAAACTCTTCTGAGGAGAATAGGTTAGATTTATCTGCAGAGAGTTCACTGAATCTCTTTTCATCATCTTGTTATAGTTTAATTTACTCTTAAAGTGTGTGAGTGTTGTGTTGTGTGTGGAGAGGCTGTTGGCACAAACTGGCAGCCATGTTTCTGTCAGTCTGCTCCAGGGCAGCTGTAACTACTAAGGTAGTTTACCACCACCAAGGTGTGACTGTGTGAGAGAATGAATGATGTATCCAATGTAAAGCGCTTTGAGGGTCTCTGAAAAAGGGCTATATGAAATCTGATGCATTATTATTATTTATTATTAATCCTATACTGTCAATAGAAACCTTTGATTGTATTCTTAGATGTACATTTATTTAGTCTACTCACACTGATGTTTTTCCCCTGTCAACCCACAGTGAGCATCAAACTCCAGGACCTCAGGGAGTAAGAGGCGATCACCATGGCAACACAGTTCAGTATTGATGATGCCTTCGTATTGGAGGGAGACGAGGAGGGAGCCATGTCTGATGGAGAACCACAGGGATGGCAGGACAGAGACGGAGAGATGACATTTGGTCCTCTCACTTTCTCCAAACCTCAAACTCATCCCTCGCCCGCTGCCGCCGGCTCCCAAGAGCACAGTAACTTAAAGTATCAGGTAAACATACGACCTGTCCAGTGCAAATTTAAGACCAAGAAGTTATTGACCTGAAACTGTAACGTCTCTGTCATCTGCTGGTTCTTTAGAACCTGGAAAATGAAGACGCCTTAGGCAGCAATGGCAACTCCTCTTTCAATAACTTCTTCAAAATCAGGTGTGTTCCATAGGTAGAACTTCAAATTTTCCCATGTCACCTCTTTTTTTTGTTGTGAAATTAAATGTGTTTCTGCTCTCTCTGTAGTGACCCTGCCAATTTGTCGTACTGCAGCTCCCAGTGGTCCTTCAGCACCTTGAGTTCTGTCACGCAGCTTTCTGCACACTGCTGCGGGTAAATTCCACTGCTACAACACGCACCTGCTGTCAGATGTTCACATTTGTTCACACAGAACAGCAACAGTAAATGCAGAAGCGGGTCAAATAATGGTATGTTGTGCAGGTGGGTGTCTCATCCGCTGGTGAAGAAAAACAGAAAGGTTGTTCTGGCTTCTTTCCTTCTTCTTATCACTGGAGTCGGTAAGTCTAGGGAAGGAGGTTTATTATCAAAGACATGTACAATATCTGTCAAGCCTTAATTTAGTTTCCATTGTCTTTCACATATGATCATGTCACGCTCAAGGGAATATTTAATTGATTGTTTTGAATTATACAAAGTTAAATTGCTTTTGGGGTTTTGCAAGTTTTCACCAGATAGTTTGTTCAGTGTTGTGACATGTTGAACTTTGCCCTCTTGTTAAAATCCTCTGTGCAGCACATTTTTCCAGAGCTATTCATATGAATGTAATATACACTTATATTTCTTCCCAATCACTGACATTACTTTGTATTATTTCTCCTAGCTCTTATTTTCACAGGCATTGTCATACAGCTCAATCCAAATGCAGGTAAGAACAAAAAACAGGTAAACTAAATCATTCATGTGAGAACGAATGGAAAATCAGCAATTGCTCAGGCAGTTTTCAGAGCTAAAGTCCAAAGGTATTGATGGTCCTAGGTCAGATTTGATGCAAATGTAAATGCATAACAGTCCTTGTGGTAACGAAAAACATTACAAAAATTAACACCTTACATGGACACACACACACACAAGAACAGTCTTTTTAGGGGGCTTGAGTACATGATTTGAGGTACTATAAATGTTTCCATAAAACCTTTTTTAGTTGTGAAGCCACACTCATTTGGATTACATGCAGGATGTTGACACTTCCTGGAGTTTTTCTTTTGCTTCCTGTCAGAAAATATCTCAGTGATAATGTAACTACAGGCACAGGTCTTTTTGCATTGCTTTCCTATTGTTAAAATATTCCTTTTGAGGGTGATCGCTCTAAGGCGTGTTAGTGTGTCTTTATGAACACTGTAACAAGAGAAATTCTCCTTGCAGGTGTTTCAAGTGCTATTTTCTTTGTACCTGGATTTCTCCTCTTCATTCCTGGAGGTAAATTTATGATTTTTTGCCATGAACTTTGGTTTTACTTTTTGTAGATGTTGATATTAACAGTGTCACCCACCATATTTTCCTCAGTGTATCATGTGATATATATCAACTGCGCTGTCCGCGGGAGAAGAGGATTTAAGTTGTTCTACCTTCCTTATTTTGAGAAATGACATTGAAGAGCCACTACACTTTCACTACACTACACTTCTGTCTTAAAATGAACTGTATTCATTTTTTTCTTTTGTATTTGTAGTTGCTTGTATTTTTTCTTGTCATTGTAATGACCACTACTTATTCAGCCAGCGCTACGACTGTTTCTGCCACATGAACTAACTTTAGTGTATATGTACTTAAAAAGAAGGAGATTGGTCATGGCTGTGTTTTCTATGATGTGTGAATAATGACTGTGAAACAAAAATACAACTTTTTTGATATTTACACATAATTTCTATATATTGAAGTAGTGTATATATGTGTTTGTCGCTGGTTTAGCAGTTGCCACTTTACAACGAAACTTAAAATTATGTCTGAAAGATGTGCCAAAAAGCAATCTGAGTACAACTTAACATGAAACCCTGAAATATAGAGCTTTAAGAAGATTTTCATGCATCTGAAATCAATCGTTTTTATTTTTTTAGTGACAGAAGGTGGTAACCTTTTTCCTCTGCTGTCATTATTAGGTTTGAAACTGGATAGAAGGCAGGACAGGAAGCCCAAAAAGGTTCAGGATAGAAGTTGGGTTTACATTAAGAAAACAATGAAGACAATGGAGAATGTTACAGAAAGAGTGAGTGTAAAGGACAGTTTATAGACCGTCAGACGAGACAAACACTTTGTTACGCTTGTCTCCTTCTGATTGTTTGTCATAGACAAAGCAGGGTAACACCAAACATCAATAAGCCAGTCTCTGTGGAGGGGGGCTTAGAAGTTCCTGTCCAGGACTCAGCAGGTTTCAGTCACCTCGCCTGTCCTCAGCACAGCATGGGTGTAATAGGCTGTTATCTAACATCACAAAAACACTTTTCTTTGCCCCAGTTAGAGTACAACTTGATCATTTTTATGAAATGAAACGTTTTTCAATTCTTTAAGTTTCACATACAATGATCACTGGTCATGGCTCGAAATACACAAAGCCCTGTAAACCAATAACAAATAACTTCAAATCAAACAAACAGAAAATAGAGACCCAGTCTGATCCCTATATTTACTATCTGGCCCTAATAAACATCTTGTGCTGATAATTCCTGTTTATTAAGTATACAGAAATGAGAGCGGGTATTAGGCTTGAAAAAGCTGCTGCTGATTTTAAAATCAAACCAGCACCAACAATATTTCACCATCAGTTCTGCCAGAAGATCAGCAGGGTTTATGAGGACAGCATGAATGTTAGAGAAGAAGCGGTAATTTAATGCCAAGTCCTCATATTTTTTGGTTCATCCTTTAATCGGCTTATTTCAACAAGTGATTGTGAAAGAAAAAAAAAGCAGATTTTTAATCTCTTAGGTAAGCTTCCTTACAAACTTACAGCCAGTGATAAATACAAAGGGCTTTTGGTTCCAAATGACCAAATCTATTGCACAAAAGCAGCTGCAGGTAACACCAACATCAAGAAACTACTGAACTGCTGTTGTCAAGGAAATACATTTTAAACTGTCATTTTATGGGAAAACTGTCATTTAGATAAAGGCCTCAATTAAAAAAAAAACCATGCTGTAGGAGGCTGCGCTCCCTAACCTGTCACCTGTCTACCATGATGTGAGTAAAAAATGCAGAATTTCGAATCGTGTATGTTTTTACAGCCAAAATAAATCAATCTTTTTTTTATTATTTGAAGAATAACTGGGTGGCTATTAAAAACGTACCATATACATTAAAGTTACACTGGTCACGGTTATTTACCCTAGTAAACACGCACAAAAATACTCAATTGCAAATGCTGTTGCTCATAAAAGCTAAAGGCAGGGCTCAACCTTCTCTGTGTTTATGAATGAAATTGTCTGGAATAAGCTTAATATAATTTTTATGTTTTTTTTTCTAAACTTTTATTTCAGTTCTTCAACAATGACAAATATTATTGAACATGGGATCGCTACATTCCTTTCTGAGGCATCAAGACTTTGCAAAAGAGAGAAAAGAAAAGAAAAACAAAAAATTTATAGTCCGACGGCATCCGAGTTATTTTGTAAATTATGACATGGGGATCATACATTCAGTACAGATCATAGAGAGGACCGCAAGGATTAATAGAAAGTCATAGTTCAAATTGCTTTCTTATTCATAAGTCTAGTTAGTGTTTTAAAGTATATCTTCATTTTAGTTTTAAACTGGTGGATATTTGGTTTCTTTTTAGACCATTTACATTTATGTATAAAAAATCTTTCATACAAAGTAAAAAACATTGAACAAAAAAATATGACTTTGGTCCATGTTCTTTTCTTCAAAATAAAAAAATAGTATCTCTCTTTTGCAGGTTTATCTCACATCCAGACAACGATTCAAATAAATGTTCAACCTCAATCCAGAAAAATTAAACATGCATACAGTCAAAAAATAAATATACAATTGTTTCTTTTTCAAGGTTACAAAATTCACATCAGTCCGGGATATCAGTTCTATATTTTTCTGAGAAAGTGGTTCGTTGGATAGATTAAGTGAATCATTTTTAAATAAACCTCAGTTACTTCATTGTTGATCAAATATATTCTTTATCTGTTGTGTTGTTGAGAAGAAGCCTGTCCTGTATGCTCCTGTACGTCACGCAGTGACGCTCTCGACGCGTAGAGGACGCAGTCAGTCAAGCCTACGCTGTGACGTTTCACGAATCGGCTGTTCTCGGCAAAGTTCGTATCACTCTCGGAAACTGAGACCGAAATCAAGGATGGAGGAAGAGGCTCGCAAGCTTCTCGAAGAAGGAATTAGAAAGAAATTGCTTAGTCCCGGTAAAGGAGAGCTGCCGACCTTTCCTAATGGAACAAAGGTAAAACTACAGTGCCTGTAGGTGGGTGAGACGAGTCTAGTCCTCCGAATCGGATTAAGAAATGCGACAAAAGCTGTTAGCTAATGCTACCACCATCGGCGGCTGGCATACTTCAACCCGTTGTGGTGGTGCCAAAAACATTGCGCTTATGTACAGACATTAACAAATGTGTTGGAGGTTTTCTACCTCAGCGGTCGTTTCATTTTTGTTGAATTTAAAGAGCTTCTTGTAGCCAGTTAGCGAGTTTTCATCTAGCCTGTTTTTTATCTGATGGAAACAGACAGGGGGCGGGACAGGATGGCTACGTTTATAATAGCTGATTGGCCATTCCGAAATGTCAATCAATCGTTCATATTTTTGATTGGTTAGAATTTCTGATAGCCTGTAGAGCAGAACGGGTTCGTCAAAGAGATGCACAATGCTCTTTTGTTTCTAGCAAACGGTCTTAAAGATGGATGTTAGCAGAGAGGTAGTTTTCATTGGGTGATTCTGTGGAAAAGTGTGTGATGTTGTCTTGTATGTGCTTTACAGGTGGTCTTTCACTTTCGCACCAGCCTGTGTAATGGCACTGTGCTGGATGATTCAAGGACCATGGGGGGTCGTTGCAAACCCATGGAGCTCATCCTGGGCAAGAAGTTCAAACTAGCTGTGTGGGAAAGAGTGATAATCACCATGAGACCAGGAGAAGTGTCAGAATTTACCTGCGACACTAAGGTTGGTTTCCTGTTTGATGTGACTTTGAGTAAGCTGCAGATTTGTTGTTTTGCGAATTGACCATTTCTGTTTTCACCTTTCAGCACACAGCTCTGTATCCGCTCGTGTCCCAGTCGCTTAGAAACATCAGTGCTGGTAAGGATCCCCTTGAAGGGCAGAGACATTGCTGTGGTATTGCCCAGATCCACTCTCATCACTCTTTGGGACACAAGGACCTTGATCAGCTTCAAGCCAGTCCACAACCTCTCCTCTACACTCTCGAGCTGTTAGAGGTAAGAAGGCAGAACAGGTTTACATTTTGATTTTCATATACGAAACAAATAAAATATGATTAAAGAGTTTTATGAATCCTTCTTTAACACAGCAAAGCAAAATCAAATGTCATGCCTTCCTCTTAAATACTTTTCTGAGTGGGGAAATTTTAACTTTCTTTGGGTTCAATCCAAACAGCTCTTGATCCTTAGTTTCTTTCTCATCTCAGGTTTTGCCTCCAGGATCATTCCAGCTCGATGTCTGGGCAATGACAGATGAAGAGAAACTGCAATTCGTGCCTCAGATCCACGAAGAGGGCAACAGGCTTTTCAAGCAGGGCCAAATCAAGGAAGCCACAGACAAGTATTACAACGGCATTGCCTGCTTGAAAAACTTACAGATGAAGGTTAGATTGCAAATTGACAAAAAAGAAGGTGCACAAGAGTTTTTTTGTTTTCCCTGTGGTATCAACTTAAACTTGTGCGAACAATGTCTTTCTTTATAGGAGCACCCTGGAGATGAAGTATGGGTAAAGTTGGACCATATGATCACACCACTGCTTCTTAACTACTGTCAGTGCAAACTGTTGCAGGGCCAGTACTACGAAGTCATCGAACACTGCACGTCCTTGGTCTTCAAGTATGAAGGTAGGGCTTTCAGGGCTCGACAGTGCGACCGTTTCACTCGCATTTACGACTAAAAATAGATGTGCGCGATTTGTAAAATGTATTTAAGGGCACATGTGCTCATAAAAAAAAATCAGCCAAGGCAACAAATGTTTTTTCATTTAAATACTGCAGTGAAGTTAGTTTTAGGTTAGATATTCAACGGACATTTACTGTGGATCTACCGGTGTCTTCTCACTCTCCCTAACCGGGAATAGCAACAGCAGTGCGGTTAAATCTACTCGGCATCCTTGATGTCAATGTCGGGTGTTGAATAAGGGACCATCAATAAATTACCTGTTGATGTCCTCAAAAAAGGCTGTTTTCCTTCAATAGCTCCCGTGTCATGTGACCATGTCAAATAATAGTACTCATGTCGACCAGTAAGACAAACATTATTTGATCAATTTTCATTGTGGCCCTAAAGTTCTTTGTGTGCTCCTTACTTTTTCAATTCAGGAGCACATGTGCTCCTAAATTGAAAAAGTTAGTGTTGAGCCCTGGCTTTGCAATTGCAGACTAAATGAAACACTTTCATTTGATCATAAATCCTTAAGTTTCCAGTACTACTCCCTATGATTCTGTCAGACTGACACACTTTCAATCATGCGGTTCCTATTTATTTGATTATGTAAGCTTTTTTAGCACTATTTTTTCACCTATTTGAAATCTCTTAAAATCTTTTTTGGGTGGGCTTGACTGTTGCCGTTAATAAAATGTTATTTATTATCGTATGAAGTTTTTCACAAGGCCTTTTCCCAGTTTTCAGAATTCCTGCTTTATTTCCCTCCTTTTCTCCCTCACAGATAATGTGAAGGCCTTCTACAAGCGAGCGAAGGCCCATGCTGCGGTGTGGAATGAGGCAGAGGCTCGGGCAGACTTTGCAAAGGTGTTGGAGCTGGACCCCTCTCTGGAACTGTCTGTTGCCAAGGAGCTGAGAGCCATGGAGGAGAGGATCCGCTCCAAAGAAAAAGAGGAGAAGGGTCGCTACAAAGGCCTATTCAACACACCACCTGCCACTGCCACTACGGTTTGTCTGGTTTTTCTTTTTTTTCTAGTTTTGTTGCTTCTTCTATCTGACGCCAGATATTCAATTTGAAATTGTTTGGTGAAAGTCAAGTACTAGAAAGTCAAAGGAATGTGTGCTCTCTTTCTTCCTCCTTACAGGGTTGAATGTCACCGTGGGATGAAATAAAAGGATGTCTGTTAATTTCAAGATGGAGGGGAAACAGTACACGCTGCTGCTGTTCCGGTTTTATCCATGCACCAAAGCCTAACACCTCTGCCACCCTGTACTCTATGATTATATTGAAACCTTCCCTCACTGTCAGGTTATTTACACAACGCACCAGCAAGTCCAGCATGAATGCCAATCCTGGTTTTTCTGCCTTATGTCACGGTTCAGACTCGCTCTAAAAATGTTTATCAAAGAATTTATGTAAACACATGTAACATCATAAGATTGATTTTATTGAGTTATTAACCCTTGAAAACATGAGCCATGTCTGGCTGGCAGCATGATGAACCTCAAGCGTCATTGTCTGCCTTAGCTCTGGAATCCCCTTTTTTTTTTAACAAGGCATGTTCAGAAAGTCTTTTGGTCGGTTAGATACTCAGAGTAATGTTCTGCATAATGAATGTTAGTCCAGGCATCATTATTCATTTGAACTGCTGCAGTAAGATTTTGGGGGTTTTCTCGAATAATGAATTTGTCATTTTATAGTGACTGAATATTTAGCAAACACACTTTTACCACTGTATTATAGAAGTTAGAGCATTTATGTTATACTGCTTCCTCTGAAGTATGTATATTCCTGAAATTATTAACAATCATAACCAAAAATGGAGGGAATCTATACAGAAATGCCTCATTTTCACAAGTTTTTTTTTTCTCCCCCTTTTTGCTAAAATTCGTATATACACCTCTGCCTTGCACCATCAAACTCCCTTTCCCGTCTTGGTCACAACAGAGGCTCTGGAATACTCAGTAGACCATTGTCCCCTCCTGAGAGACGTGGCCAGGACACGACACTGTCTGTGACAATCATTGTACAACACACATGGGCTTGTGTTACTCGGTGTTTTACTTTGTACTTATTTCGTACATGAAAGACACGCTATTAAGTTTTTTTTGTTCGTCCAGCAAATCCCTCAGTGGCTCCTTTACTAGCTTATAAAGAGCATCTTGTTACTCTTCATGCACAGCAGCAGGTCTGTAGTCCAGCCTGTGTAAAGTGAGATAGTGCTGAGGTTGTGATTATCTAAGTGACAATAAATGTGTTAATCCCCACAGTTGTATTGTGTGTTTTTTTGTTGTAAGACTGACAAAACAGTCATGCTATATCTCTATACTGTTCTGAGTGAAACTTTGTTACTATCACCAAAATCTCAAAACACTGTGGATATGTTTAAAGTGTTCATATTGTGAGGGGGTACGTTTTAGAGGCCACCATCCTGTGCAACATTAAAGGGCTATTCCAGAGAAAACTAATTTAGGGTCAAACACACCGTAACACGAAGTTAGACACCCTGTCAAGAGATGAATGTTGCAGACCGCTTGCTTCTCTAGTTATACCAACTTAAGAAATGACTGAAAATAGCAATACATGGTGGTCTGAGAAGCCATAAACAAACCTCAACCAAAACGCCACTCTATAGACACAAATAATGCTCAGAACAGCACCTAACTTCATCAACAGTACATATAGGGTCTTAGCCATAGTACTAGCCGCCAAACATTTTCCTAACTTTGCCTGATTTCTTTAGCAAAGAGACTAAATACAACTCACCTACTCTCTTCAAGCAGCCGCTTGTTTTTAGCGAGACCTCAGACCAGTCCATTACGGACTACAGCAGGGTGACACAGCTCAAGGAAGAACATTTATGATCATTACTTTATCATTTCCTTGAAGTAATTATCATCATATTAATTATTTTGCACTGCAGACGCGGTAGTTCTTCTGCCTTAGTGTCTCGGTTGGATTGCACTTCCATGAAGAAATGATCATAAATGTTCTTCCTTGAGCTGCGTCACCCCGCAGCAGTCCATAATGGACTGGCCTGAGGTCTCACTACAAACAAGCGGCTGCTGAAAGAGAGTAGGTGAGTTATTTTTATTTCATTTTCATATTTATTACTCATTGCATATTTATTACTTATTTCAATAGCCCACGTTCTTCATATCTCACTTTTTTCTCTTCAGATGTTTAGTGTATTTAGTCTGTTTTTATTGTATATACTTAGTATTTTTAGTCTGTATTGTACTTACTTCTTCTATTTAATTTTATTTTGTATTTTTTTGCTGCTGTAACATGTGAATTTCTCAGTTTGGGATCAATAAAGTATATCCATCTATCTAGTCTCTTTGCTAAAGAAATTACGCAAAAATAAAAAGATGTTTCATGGCTAGTACTATGGCTAGGACCGTCTATGTACCGTACAGCAACATTCATCTCTCGAGGGGGTGTCTAACTCAGTGTTGCGGTGTGTTGGACCCTAAATCAATTTTACAATGGAATATCCCTTTAATAGGAGACTGTCATCATTAACATGTCATGTCACCGTTCAATAAATCATCAGTTTACCATGAAAATTTTTTAATTCCTTCCAGTCTTCTATTTCCCAATGAAACCACCAGTCACATCATTTTTTTCATTATTTAATTAAGATATACATACCGAACTGCAAAAATCTGGTTTACAAAATTTCCATACTAACAAATTGACTTGAGATGTACAGAGTTCTCGGGTTGATAAACATCTAATGTGTGTTCACACAACAAAACATGGAAAATGGAAGAAAAAAAAAAGGGACAAATGTAAAAGGGGTTTGGTAAAGATGTTAAAGGGAAGTTTTCAGTGTTTGTTGGGTGGTGTTCAGAATATCAGAATAGAAACAAGCTCAGGTTCAACATTGATTGAGTCATTTGAAAAAACAAACCTTTTTGGTCAATTGCTGGAACTGAACAAAAAGCACTTTCAACATTTCTGCTCATACTTTGCAGGTCGATAACAACAGCTCTACATGAAATGCTGTGAAATCCCCCACACTCAAAGGTAAAAATAGATATAAAACTGCATTTTGCATACACCCCACAGGTCACAGGAAGTTTGTAATGAATGAGATGTGTGTGGTGGAATGCAGGAACCGAGATGGAAGGAGGACAAAATGCACATATAAAAAAGCCAGGAGGAAAGAGGGGAAGGATAAAAAACAGTTGTAAAACTGACGGTCCTGTTTCAGGCTCCACAGGGAGAAGAGTGAGGAGTGAGGGGGTCTTTCTACGGGGTTATGTGCGGGCACTTCTCTCAGTCTCTGCGAGACACTCCCTGACCAGTGCACGGGCATGGATTATACCTGAGTGTGACAAACAGAGAGCAAGAAGGTGTTAGATCACCATTTTGACATTAACAATCGAATTAAAATTGCAAAAATAATTGCAAGCAATTTCTGCCGTCTTCCTGAGTCAACTTCACGTCTAATGGATCCAAGACTGTCATTACTGCTGAGATAATAACAGAGCTGTGGATCAAGTTTGAGGCAAAATTAGGTTTCAGCGACCTGTCTGCGCTTTTAAATGAACATCACAGCTACTGCAGTTGCTGAGGTTATTTAATTTCATTCTACCAAGTCAATTAATTCCATATATCCTTTTGTCAACCTTCAGAACACAAAAAAGGAGAAAAGCGATGATCATTTCATCTTTGAAGCACATTTAAAAGGCAGAAGCTGATGGTAGAAACACTCAATATTAACTCAGGCTGCATCTTTTCAACTCTTGAATTTAGATTAAACTGTTTCTCACTTATTGTCCGATGTCCAATATACTTCAACACTGTCTGAATAAGAACACAATAGCGACATTAATCAATGTTTAACACAGAACTTACCACACTTTCATTTATTCTCACTCTATATAACAAAATTCAGTACATGAATAATATAAAGTGATGATGCCTTTCTCACCCACAAGCTGAATAAAGCAAATTTGCTGGCAAAAATAACAAAGGGCAAAGTGTTTGAATGGCACCAAGTATTGAAATGTTATGTAGATTTACGTACACAATTATGTTTCCTTGTATTCCTCAGCCAAAGAGTTATATCTCCTTAGTTGTGCAATTGTACTAGAGCACAAGAATTAACATCAAAAATATTTGAAAACAAAGAAAAACTGATAAGGGAAAAATAAACAATGGCCCCACGATGAAAGATTAGCTGTACCTTGTAACTCTTTTGTTGTTCAATGGGGTGAACATACCTCAGGAAGAACTCGACGTGAATTTGTCTTCAACAAAGAGCCAAAAAGCTTATCTATCTTATTCCCATTAGCCCAGGACTGAGGTCATCAATCCTTATTTTACATTATAAAAAAACAAAAAGTACAGAGAGAGAACAACACATTCTGCACTTTAATAACTACTCAGGACACACGCGCACACACACCACAGCTTCTGCTATAGTGGTGTGTCTAATGAAAGAGTAAAATGTACCTCTCTTTAGCCTCTCCATGGCGCTCTTACTTCCCGCGTATGTAGGCCTGATCTCGCGGCTCATTTCTTCGATGACGGACAAAAGCTCGCTGTAGGTGGACCCTTGAGACACTTTGACTGGCTGTCAATCATGAAGATAAAACAAGATTAGTCATGACTTTCACATCCTGGAAATTAACAATATAAGTAAGATCAAGGAACAATCATTAACGTTGACCTTTTCAAATAATAACCAGATGTGAAAAACCTAGAAGAGAACACAGCCGGAGTTTCCTAATTTTCAAAGATACACAATAACATAGCGTCTTAAAATGATTTAAGAAGTGTAGTGGCGTATCTATTGAAAATATTTTGATTTATGTTTATATAAACTAGCGTTGGTTATATTGCCACCCTAAATTCTATTAGGCTCAGTCAACTTTTAAACTAATAAATGTTTTAATGTGAAAATGAGTTTTCTTTAGATTGATGTCAACTTCAAACCACCGCCCACTAAGCAAACTCCACATCCTTCACAGGTCTGCAGGTGCCCCATAAGAAGCAGTTTTTAATATCAATTCTGCTTTATTTCAACTGGTTGACCCTATTTGGTTGTTATGTTTACAAATGAACAAACATACTCATAAACAGTGTTAAGTTAACAAGCTTTCTGAGAAGAAAGGTTCCCGCTAAGTTCACCTGATGTGATAAAATGTGCTAGAGTTTAATGATCTACTCTCAAAACAACAGCCAGGGGTATGTTCTGCTCACCATGGATGAAGTGTTGGTATAAAATTACATTCCCGTAATTTAACAAAGGAGGTTTTAAAGTTGTGGAACAATATTTACTCATTCGCTCTGCAGGTTTTCAATCACTTCAGCCAAATAAGAGAGCGCCTGAAGAGGCTCACATAAGAAAACGCAGTCAGGCAGTTTTTTCATAACCAGTGAATTTTTACATGTATTTTATGACTATAATAAATGTCAAGATCAATACATTTGTGAGAATGCTTGTGCAGCGAACATACCTGAACAAAGCCCATGGAGGGCGGGCCAAAATCACTGAAAGCTGGCCTAAAGTTTGAGGATGAGGGCAGAGATGGGGACGGCACAGAAGAGCCTGGACAGAGGAGGAAGATGGAGATTACAAACCAACGTTAACAAAAAAGAAAGCAGCTCCCCTCTGAAACACTGTATTTTAATGTCTGTGAGATGTTGTGTAGCTCACTGTCAGGTTTAACACACATGAGCCACAGCTAGACAAATAAACTCATATCAAGAAATGTTTGCTTTAACATTTCCTCAAATAAGAATATCTGATAACTGCAAGCCTAAAGTTAAGTGTACGGTTCAAACCTGGAGGTGTGTGGTTGGAGCCAGAAGGTGCAGGAGCGATAGGTTTGTAGCTCATGGCGATGTCAGCAGGTAGCTCCCCGTACGACGCGCCACTTCCTTCGGTCCCGTCAACCCGGTGCTTATACAGTTTTACTGGTGGTTTTGAGCTCCTAAGAGCTGATGCAAAAGACAAAAAAAGCACAGAAATATTTCACAAAAAAAGAATAATATCAATTTTATATCCACCCTCGGGATAACAAGAGAAGAAAAGGCTGAAACACACCGAGTCAAAAGACCATTTATGCATTAATGTGTGAAGTTCCTGCTTTTTGCTCAGGTTCTCATTTTTGCATTGTACCAACAGAAAACAACAGAGAGGGCGTTCTGTGGAAAGCTTATTGATGGTTAATGATGGGTACATGCACGATTCTTTGAACTCCAAAGTGGGGCTGCACATTATATTCTAAATATAACATAGAATCACAAGATTTGCATTTGCACTCTGCGAAATTTGTAATTCAACGTAGTAAATTAAGAAATCATGTAATCTACTGTCTACACAATCAGTATTATCTCACTCAGCATGCACATTTTACTCATCAGATGGGGACTTGGGTATAATGGTCATGCTTTTACACAGTTTTGATTCAGTCAAATGAACCTTGAGAAAGCTGCCAACCTACTGCAGATTAGTTGGTGATAATCAAGTGATTAAAAATGCTCTTTTTTTAAATTCTATGTTGAATTCAGGAGGAATATGTTGCAAACACAGATAATGAGTAACACATAAAGAACAGAGGATAGACACAGAAAGATCACTTCTTTAATCATGTGCATGCGTAGGCCTAATGCCAGATTTGTGGGTAAAAGGCTGAAAAAAGCCTGGTAAACACAAGATAAGCTTTGTTTTGTTACCGTAACAGAGACTCATAATTAGGGCTGGGCGATATGGTCGATATCAATATCACGATATAAAAAAAATGCTAATTTAAGAGTGCTTATTGGTAGCATGTCTTTTGAAATACAATAAGCTACTGCATCTGTGACATTTTCACTGACGTTTTCGTGCCAGTGTTGTCATCAATGTCATCACCTGTTGAGCTTTTATCTGCATTTCTGACGGGGGTAGCTCTTTTTTTTTTTCTCACCGACAGTTCTGTCGGCTTCACGTGTTGAAGTGCTATGGTTGCATGTAGCTGCAGCCTGCTACTACGCAGTTGTTTGCTACTTGGTTCTAAAAATGGCAAAATGCCAACTATTGAAAAGCAAATTGACCCTGTTTTATATTGATATTGAGGGATTTTTTTTCCGATATATATCATTATTGTTTTATCGCCCAGCCCTACTAATAGTAGATTATTATAAAAGAGACAATCGTCAATTATCATTTAGATGTAAATAAAACACTTGATTCATATGGCTTGATTCCCCTTTTGTTCTTATACCACGATAAATGATGCAAAAAGAAAACATATTACAATGTCTTTTTTTTTCTACACTGTTGTAGTTTTATCTGGAAGAGTGATCAATTGAAGCTTAAAGTGAGTTAAGCTTGATCCCAGCTGTAATAGCATTAACCTTAAGAACATCAGACTGGCCTGCAGTGCAGGGCGCAACATACTTCACTGAAAAGACGATTCAGTAACATCAAACAACATACCATAATAAGGACTTATAAGCACACCTGATACACTACATTAATTTTGCCTGACTTAGTCCTGATTTTCCTTTTTATAGCTTACAGGAAGACTTTGATGGACTGCTTTATCTTTTTTCCCTTATATGTCCATGACCAAAAGATTAATATATAAGCTGTTGCAGGTCACCTAGTACTGACCTGAGGAAAGACTTGTTGCTTAACATGCACCGATAAATCAGCTGGCCGATCGATCGGCGCCATTTCCTCAATTTTGGGGGATCAGTGATCGGCTGATCCTTGCACATAAACCGATTTTGTCCACCGATCTTATCTACCTCAGCAAAGGTCTGAAAGTCAGCCGTTGAAGCTTCTTGCTTTACCAGAATTAAAGGCCCGCCCACCAGTTAAGTTTATTCTCTAGATTACTATTTTACTAACTTCGTCAAACTTTGTGATTTCCTTTATTTGTAAAAGCAAAATACTGCTGTGCACTTTATTTTGGCGAGAGGCTAAAACTGGCCTGCAGTGTGACCTGTTGCACAAGTAATGTTAATTTTTTAAATGTGGAAAATAAAAGACTAAAGGAACTGATATAATTCAGTAGTTAGGACTGCGATATTCTTAACTTTTTATTTGTACTTGAGAGAACTACCACATGTGCAGCTAAAACAAACACAAAAGGTTTGTATTGTTCCACAAGTATTGTTTAATGTTTTTCATTAGAATAAGATGGGAGTATTGAAGGTGTATGTTGTCAGTTATAAAAAGAAAGAGGTATCGGCTAAAATCGGTATGGCCGGTGATCGGCCAGAAAATTGCGATCGGTGCACTCCTACTTATTACCATGTAGAGCAGAGTATTATTTTACTCAATGTAGAGTATCACCAATGCACTCAGTTCCCCATTTTTTTTAATCTATCTCTGAATCGGATTTTGATCTTGTTTGCTCATGCGTGTAAATTGACTTTTGATCGTCTAGCATGATGAAATATGCCGTATCGATTGAATTACCCGCGACTATAAAAAACAAAAACGCTGCTCAGCCACAGAGTTGAGGTGAACAGCAGGGTGGCGCAGTATCAAAGGTCTCAGACCCTACATCCAGCTTTTAATGCAGCTCTCTTCTTCATCTGTCATTCAAAGCAGTACAGTCACCCTAGGGCTCTTTACTTATTCATCAGACCTCAGACGTTTCTTGTATGCAGCTTTATATTGTTCCTTAAAGCGCGGATGTCGATTCACTTTTAGTCCGAGGCAAACACAGAGGAAGTGGAGGTGCCGCTGAAACAAAAGCTGGCCTTAGCTTCAGAGAAAGGTGGCCGGTGGCTAACTACTACTTGGTGATCTAAGCTAGCTTAGATGAGCTAGCTTCTACCGGTTAGCATAACAACAGAACTATAAGACAGGAAAGAAAGGAAAGCACGCTCGGTATCTAAAAACACACACTGAACAAAAGAGAGATTAACTTAAATCATGACCAGTGAAAAGAGCAGTGATGAACAAAAGATTATTGTTTTTTGTACCTTTGTAAGAAGACTTGGTATCCTCTGTGAGAGGGGAGACCTGGCTGTCGATTTCCTCGGCGTTTGAGTCTGCGCAGTAGGAGCGTAGTGGACTTCTATTTTTTCACCAACGGAGCGATCTGATTGGATGGTGGATTAGCGTGTGACGTGTGCCAGGACGCCCTGATTATCGTAACAGGACTTGGAGAAATGCGAACAACTTGACGAAAATGATCATCTAATCTAATGTGTGTACAACGGATTCCCTTTTTTTTTAGTAAATCCGAGCATAAATATCAATTTAGGTATGACTGAGCATGTGATTTAGGTGTCATGCACGAGGGGTTCATAAGACACCAGAAATAGGGGAGAGTGGGGTAAGATGAGCTATTTTTCATATTTCAGATCACTACATCAAGACAATCATAGTTTTGTTTCTAACTAGTGTATCTGCATATTTCAGGATGTTGTGAATCCCTGCAAACCAACAGAATGAGTGTAAACATGACTGTCTTGATAATATAACATGCCAAAAAAAAGTGGTCTACTATGGTCAACATACCCCAGGTATGGGGTAAGTTGATCGTATCCCTACTAGCCCCCCACTCTCCACCCAGCCCTCCTTCACATTCTCTCTCCCTAAATAACTTCTTCACATTCATGTGTATTTTCATCCACTGAACGCTATTCAACTGGTACGATAATTCTTTTTATTATCGCATATAACTGCCCCTGAACTACTATTATGACTTTATTAGTCCTCAAAGCTAAAATGGTGGACTTTAATTCTAGGTTTTTGACCTCATGTTTTAGCTCATAGATACCCCAATTGATGTATAAAACAAATAAAATAATATTTTTATTACACTCACAATCAAACACTGCTTAGCGGGTTAACTTACTCTGCACAAAAAAAGTGTACTATTGAAATAGATTTTGCATAAACCACCAACTGTTTCTGACTGGCATGAGGTCATATTTGATTTGCGTCCTATGGTATATTTGACATATTGGTCCAGAGGGACAATTGGACAGTTCTATCCTGTATGGACTCCATTTCTTGATTATGTGGGGCCAAGGATATACAGTATATTTTGAAAGACTCTTCCCAAACCAGGACAAGATGGCTAGTGGACTGGGGAGGCTCTGTTGTCTGTATTGCTTCTATCATTGTATATGATATGTATGTATGTGTAATGTTTCAACATTCTGATACTCTACTTGTTTATGCAGGATTGTGCTGTGCTGTGATTAAGTTGGAATTTGCTTTTGTTTTGGGGACTGAGTGTTAATGGAAAAAAAAAAGAAGTATGCACTGTTTGATAAAAAATGTGATGCTTAATGTTCAATAAAAACATATTTTTGAAAATAGATCTTTTTTGGTCTGAACACAATTCTAATAAAACTTATGACAAAATAAACTTTCAAGAGTGAAAAATGTTTTTGTTTTTTTTTTGTAAATAAATGTCTAACCCCTTCACCCATGTGCTTCTAACCTTCACAGACTCCATGAATTGATGCCCATCTCCTAAATATTTGGTCACATGATTAATTTCTTTCACCATTTCCAAGCAAGTGGTCCAATAATTTATCAAAGAGTCAGTAAAGTTGTTTGTTTTTTTTTTATCCAGTTCAGTCTTGAATGTTGTTTCCTGCCTTTTCTGCCAAGCTTTGTGGATAAAAAAATGTTATAAAATGCTTTTAAAGCACAACTTGAGTGTTTCATAACCATGGTCATCCCATCTGTGATGACTCACACAGTGGAGTCATCATGGATGGGACAGTAAAAGAGGAAATTAACCTCATTCTCAGACTAACAAACTATGTTCTTCTCCAAATATGACATTCACAGACACCACAGGGACTGGACAGAGGAAAAGATAGTTTTATTTTGCTTATAAATTAAACCGCAATATATCTGAAGTCAATACGATTATTGTTCAAGCTAATGAACAAAAACACAGAAATAGAAAATACAAGTCATGATATAGAAATTTTATCAGTCACAAGATGGAAATCTGTAATATTACAATTCTCTCTGTCTATCTGCTCCGGTCCGAGATAGTCAGGGTCAAACCAATAAAATCTCACATTATGAGCTGTAGTGCTACTCACTCATGATGACAGAAAAACATGCTGTACTCTTGACATGTCACGTACACTGTGTCATTCGTAATTTTCCTTTTTGATTTAATAGCTGGTTCACAGGGCCTCAGTGAATTTCAGCAGTAAAGAACTGAACAGGGAAAAAAGGGTTAACTACAACAGAGACGTTTTTATCTTAATGCAAGTTCAGCGGCAGGGCAGTGGCTTTTAATCCTTTGCTGTTCTGAGTTTTCATAGAGCTACTCAATTAGACACTTACATAAATTACATATGGACTCCATCATTAGGTGCAGGCAGCTTAAAAGCCTTTGCAGACGTGTCCACACTGAAAAAAAAAAGGGGAAAAAAATCTATTACAGTGCTAGGGTATTTGACATTTCAAAGATTTTCACTTCACCGGTTTTTCAAAATCAGTGCAGAGAAAAAATAACTGACATGGTTGGAGCCACAGAAACTCAAAAGATAGTTTGCAATCATAAATTCCTGGTTGGTTACCATGAGGGATGAAGATCAACTGCTTAAATTCGATGTCTTAGTCCAAGTCCTGATATGTCATCACTTCCAGAAGTTTGTTGGTATGATTAATGTGATTAAACGTGAAGCTGCAAATTTGCCTTTATCCATGGCAAGAAGGCAATCCGGCAAAGTGATCACCTCTGATGGAACCTTTCCTGATGAGTCCTGATTTAGAAAGGGAAGAAAGGCGCTGCATGGGGCCGAGGAAAGGTGGGGGAAATTTTTTTTTTTACAACAATTACAAATCCTAAAGCACTCACAGGAATACTCGGAAGATTCTGCATTATCGGTAAGAAAAACAAAATCAACAAGAAGAAAATGCAAGAAATTATTCAGTAATTTATGTGATCTGAAAATCATTGTGAAGATTACAAAGGTTCTGTATCAAGGTGTCCAACTATAGGCGTCATACTCAAATTTAATCCATAGACATTGTGGAAGCTATTAAGTAATTTTGCCATTTAGTATTATTTATTTAATGCTTATTTGTCATTTTGCTTTGCTTAATTGATTCAGTTTCAGTCATATAATTTCAGTTATTTTGGGTCACAGCTATGCACTTTTATTTTGAAGGACTTGGGCAATTTGGGCACACAGGTGAATTTACTTAGTTGATGCAGCCACTCAGGCAGGCAGTACGCACCGGGAGGGCACACAGTTTTGTACCTGAAAGAGCAGTAGCCCTGAGATCAAGCAATTTACCATCTTCTGTAACGTTCCAGAGCTGAAATAAACCTGCCTAAAATGCACTCTCTGGCTGGACAATTGACTCAATACCTGCATGCACTTTCTGAGTAAGATTCACTGCCCGGTGCCCTCAGTGGCCTCTTGATTTTATTGTTGTTGACAAATAGCCACTACAGACATGCGCCTTTTTACAGGATTATTACAAAGTATTACCATATTGAGTGAGACTGACAAGAAAATTTTGTGCCTTGGACCATATCAACTTGTTCATGTGAATTCAGTAGAAGGAGCCTATGTTTGCCCCTTCTGCTCCTCTTCCAATATTGACAAGTACACTGTACCTTTGTTGTTGCTGAAGATATAAAAGAGCTGAAGGGGGAAGCAAACAAATTTCTGATCCACATTACCTTCATGATGTAAGCAGGTTGCTCTGTGTTTTGGTATCATGAATATACCTGCAGGACAATATAAAGGAAGAGACACTCAGCAATGAATGAACTGAGAGGAAAGGATATATCATCCACATAGTCCATTGCATTGACAATCTTTTTGTTCATATCTAGTGCTGTTGGTTATAAATTTCAAACCGGAGCCACACACCACCAGGAAACAGTTTCTGCGTTGAGGGTTTTTAATTTTTTTTCCCCAAAGTAAAAGTTGCCATGCACATGGTTCGAGACAGGAACAGAAAATAGGTTTCAGTAACAATGTAAAATAAAGTATCAATACAATCACCATCAATAGAAATATGGAAATCAAAGATGATTGGTCAATCATCAATAATCAGTGATCAAAATAATTAATGGCATTATCTATCAAAGTATATTGAATCAGATGAAGGTCTAATCTCTACAGGTTCAAATACATCATCACATCATATATTAGCAGTCAGGTTATCTTACATTGATGTGGACTCAACAAATGCATGGCAGGATGGCAGTTTGGTTGAGAACAGAGGGAAAAGGGAAGAGGTCGGATTTTACTGCCTTATATAGGGATCCGAGGAAGTGGGCGTGATCCCACTGAGACAGGTGCTGCAGGTTTGAGTGGCTAGTTCCTCCCTCAGGAGGAAAGGTGAAGTACACGCAGTTCAGGTATTTCTGACAAGTGCTTTTTTTAGAGGATGATAGATCTAACCTTGAAAACTAATTGAATGAGAAAACCTTTATAGCTACAGGTCTGCAAGCTAGAAGAAAAACTTCACTACAATTTTTTTCTAATCATTTCAAAATGTGTGTATTGTGTATTTACACTGTTTCACTCAGAGTGAGAAAGAAACTGCTGGACTCTCTGGCTCTATATATGCATCTTCTTTTATTTAATTTAGACAGTTTTTTTGCCTCCTTGAATGTCTTCAAAGCAGATCAACTGCTTGCCACTTAATCCTAAGGAAGACCTGAGAACAATGAATCCTTATAAAAGGTTGCCTTCCTTTCATAGACTGATGTACCTGATCTTCTCATTCAAAGCAGGTTTACAAGTTACATTCATATTGCTCTATTTCCATGATTCCATTTACTTCTTAAGTTTTCTCTCTTTCCTCTTTCACCCTTACTCCATTTAATTCTTTCACATTTTCTCTTGCCTTCTTTGCAGAGCTACACCTGTGAGGTGTTCGTGTTTATGTTACCTCATAGGTGAAGAAGGTGAAATTCACAACACACTGAGGTAATTAAACCCAAGTTATGTAAAAGTTAACTTGTAGTTTCAGGTCATTTGGGAGCAAATGAGTGGGCTGATGCCTTACAGGCTTACAGTAAGTGTAAAAAAAAAAAAAAAAAGTTAAGCTGAGGATGCATGAATGTGGGCTGGTAGGTCCTTATAAGGAAAAAAAAAGAATTTAGGACATTAAGGAAACAAAAGGTCAACAGCTCAATAACATTTGGTCATGATTGATAACATTTTTGGATTTGTATCAGCTAAACGGGGGTGTACTTGAATAGACTGGTAACAGGCACCTGGGACCAAACTTATTAGCTCCGTTTCAAGATTTTTCTTTTTCCACCTCTGAGGTGAGTCGACTCCTCTTTGCCCTCAGACTGAAGATAAATAAAATAAAAACAGACACAGGAAAGACATCATTGAATCAGGAACCAAAAAGCAATCCTCATTGATCAGCTTCTAAAAGGTAGTACTGTGGGCATAGACTTCCTTAAATAGCCTTCTGACAGTCCAAATGACAACAAACTAGAGAGGAAAAAAGCAAGCTGGCAGGAATTTATCGTGAAAGCAATTTTGTCAAGGGGCACAGTTGGAGTACTTTATGAAAAGGAAATTGACAGATCTTCTGTGGAAGTCAATTTTTATGGTCAGAGTCCAGTTGGAGTCCATTTACCTCTATCAGTTTTACTGTTCCAAGAGTCAGAAACCACTTACAGGCCATGGCTTTTTCTTACCTCCTCAACTGAAAAAGCTCTTCACCTGCCATAAATAAAAACTGATTTGTCAGTGCGGACTGTACAGGCTTTCACACATAACTAAGTCATCTCACCACTTTTGCCACAGAACATTACCTTTAAGTAATGTTAACTATTAATTTTTAAAGGCTTTCAATTCTATTCCAGGAGTAATTTGTTCTTTTTCCTCCAAGCACATGGCAGTAAGCATGCAGCCTGAGAGCTACAGGCTGTCAAATCCAAAAGTCCCCAAAAATCTGGAAACACGTTACAAATACATTAAAAGAGAGAGTGCTGCAAAAAGCTTTAACTACATCAGCAGCAAGTATGTTGCAGGAGAAAACTTTTAAAAAAGCACAAATCTGCTGCAAAAAAATGAGGTTTGTACGGGACTAAGTGAGACAAATACAAGTAAAGACAAACACACTCACAACTAGAACCTACCTGCACAACTCACAGACTGAGTGAGCTGACTTTAGCCATTCATTGCAGAGTGTATTTGAGCAAAGTTTTCCCTCCAATAGGAACTATGTCCCGGTTCCAGTTATACAGGTTTTATTTACATGTTTATTAAGTTGTGGTCTTCTTTGTACCTTTGAGTTGTACCAAGCAGCCAAGCCCTGACCTTAAACTGAAAATACCGGATCAAGTGTAAGTGCCTCCTCTTCTAAACTTCCCCTGGCTCTTCTGTAATGCTTATGTAACATGTTGGTATTTTCGTGTGTGTTGAATGATGATCATCTCTTGGCAACCACCAGTTAGCTTTTAATCCTGTGAAAATGTGTATACTTGTCATTAATTAACCATCAACTCTTGCATGTCAAAGGTTCAAACACAGTAATTATCCGCTTCCTGAAAATAGAGATGTCACATACGTACCTCAACATACACATGCTGAAATAAGTTATACATTGATATAAAGCAGATGGTGGAAAATGAGGAAGAGTAAACAGTCAATATTTTTTCAAACTTACAACATTATGTTGCTGTAAATAAGACTTATTTCCAACTAGGGCCTTTTTAACTCTCGGTTGAAATCATATTTTTTTATGCTGGCTTTTAATACCCAGTAGCATTGTGACATTTTATTTTATTGCATTATATCTTATATTTTATAGCTTTTATTGTTTTTTTTTTTATTGCTTTTTATTGTTTTTATCTATGTATTTTTACTATGTTTTTTAAAGCACTTTGGTTCATAGGTTGTTGTAAAGGACTGTATAAATAAAGAACATTTACATTTACATTTTAAATCACGTGACGGGACACCACTTTATTCATCAAACCTGACTTTTCCACACTCAGCCCAGTCTACCTTCGGTCTTTTGTCTTCCATTTTGCACCCAAACATGATATGTGGCAGTGGAAAAAAAGGTTAACTTTCTGTGAGTGGTACATTAATATTCTACTTCCATCTTTTAAGTGACAACAAAATTACTATGAATGAACATAGACCTATTTTCAGCTTTAATTAACTTATTATGAGAGTGTAAAATAAGTGTTGCGTGTGGGTGGAAGTATGTAGAAGAAGGTCTTTTAAAATTGGTGTCACGTAACTTATTAAACACTGTAAAGCAGTCAATAAATTTCTGAAACTAACCACAACTAATCACTCTTATTCTTCAAAGGGCCTTTAGAGAAAAGAGAAAACTGCGGAGATGTATAACTCTTTTGTGCATGTTAAAAATACAGTATGGCTGAGAGCTTAGTAAATGTCATGATGTCTGTGTCCACTCTTCGAAATTAGAGGATTTTGCCGGAATGTGCCTCCATTATGCTTTTCAACCTGCTACAGTCAATACCTTTTAAAAGCACTGAGCGGATGAGTAATTATTTGAAATGTCCTTTGTCTTGTCTCACCTTGCATCTTACAACAGAGCAAAATGAAAGGCTTTTCAAATGGAAATAAAAGCTGTGTGTTTATGTCCTGGATCTCTCTCTTGACAGGTAACATGTAAAAGGGTTATTATTTTAAATGCAAGGGCAAAATTATTATTGCAATGTAAAAACTCAATGTTCCTACCCTAACACCACCAGTATATGAACATGCAAACCTGAACACTGATGTGAGTCTGTGTGATGTGCACACGCTCAAGGCACAAAAACAGGCTGAGATTTAAATGCGTGGTTAGACTCTTCTGATCCTTTAAATCAGGCTTTCGGTATTCATTCAAAACTTATTCTTTGGCTTTTACAGACTGTTTTTTAGGATTGGCTTGAGTCAGGAAGAAAAATAATGAAACAATCAAACAGTCCCCCCTTGATATTCCCAAACAGTCAATGCTGTGGTGGTTTGGTGATATTTGATTTTGTTTTTTATTTTTTTTGTATTTTTTTTGTTTTCATTTTATTTTGGTTTTTGCTCTTTCTGTGTGCTTCTGTTGTAGTTTCTTCCATTTTAAGTCTGAGCGTGATCTGCTGGAGCTGGAGCTGCTGGTGCACTCCTGACAGCAATCACCCCTTGTTTGTGGCTGCTGGAAACCTCAGCAGGTCTCCTCTACTCCACCTGCTTGTACAATACACCAGTGGTAAATTTAGCTCCTTCCTGAGATTTATCTGTTCATTGAGCATTTGGCTTTTGTGTTGTTGTTGTTGTTGTTGTTTTTTCTTTTTCCCAATATGTTGTCTATTGGTCTTGAAATTTGGTCTGAATGAAACTATCCTCCAGAAATCCCAACTAATGCAGAATTAAGTTTGAAACAAGTAAAGTTATGACAAGTAAACAATAAGCATTGTCTTTGCTAATTTTAGGCTGTACCATCATTTAGAAATAAAAGAAATGATGGTAACTCTATCGCCTTGGCTGCACTACCTCTATTAGCAGGCCGGACCTCTTCAATAGTACACGGCATTAACTACGTATAACTATATACGTATTAAATATACGTATGCACCAAGTTTTATTCAGATTAGAGGCATTTGGACATGCGCAGAGTTGTCTGATTTCGCTAAAACAACCGCAGAAGAAGAGTTGTATTTATGCCTGTGCTGTCAACAAACCAACAAATGCGGTAGTGGCTCACTCCATCCAATTCAGGATGTTCCCGCCCTGTTAAATGTTGTCACTAGATGGCGCCCTTGCGTACTTATTTTACCGTTCTGGCAAAGGTTGCTTTGTGAGCGCATATGTGACATCATTACGCTGTACGTACGCTTTGTTATGATACCGGAAGAGCACCCGCGGTTGTGTTTTGTGCCGTAGTGTTAGGAATAAAACCTCCTGTACTGGCCTCAATAAATAAACCAAAGGCTAAAGAGTGAAGAACGAGTCAGGTAAGAGAGTTGCGATCGAAATAAGTGTTTACATGGACGCGTTTCGGAATAACGATCGGCATAAACCACCCCTCTCGATCGGAATACAATTTCTTTCCCAACACGTTTACATGACGCATTTTTTATTCCGATCGGGCATTTATTCCGATTGCCGACGTGCCCATGTAGCTAGTTACTGTGTATTCTTCCTCACAAAACATCTTTGGGTCAGGGAGGGTTGCATCACAGAATCCTGATTCCTGTAGCTTCGGTGAGCCATGAAGAAAAAGGTTATTTTTTTAGATAAAT